TGGCGTCTGGACGAAAGCTTTGAACTCCTAAACCCTGTTGTGGTACCGGACAGACCGACCCCCTGGTCCGGATGACTGAACCCCTTTGCTCTCTTGTCCTTTCGCTATCGGCGTTATCGGATCGACCGTTTGCCACACTGTTGATTTCTCCCTCTCCGTGTCGCATGTCTGCATTCTGTTGGAAAGAATCGTCGATATAATTCGTGGAGTAAGCTCCGAGATGCTCGACCCCTGTGTGGAATCGGCAAGATAACCGTTGGGTTATTTCCGCCCCCTGGATCACATCGGAACGTCCGGCTCACTTAGCGAATTTAACGACCACAATGTACAGATTGCAATGATGATGCCTAAACCTTTCGTCCAGATCGACCGATAATTTTCAATGAAGATTTCCGCATGATTGCCGGACTGCATAGAAGCCCTCCCGCGTAGCCGTCAAAGAGCAACAGACCCTCACGCATGAAGAATGGCAGAATCTCAGCATTCCTGTGGCTCGTAAGACTTCACAAAGCGGAGAAGGTTCTGGGTTCATGTGCCACTGAAATTTAGTGGGAGGCAAACAATCCAATGTTTAGGGTGGCATTTTGTTCATGCCTGAAGTGGGTCTGTTTACCATGGGCTGAGGCAGAGCAGAGGAAACAGCATGACGAGCTTCCGCCTTGATGGATCAACAATCTTTAGCCGAGCAGCCTCGGCCAACGCCCCTATGCGTTCAAGCGATTATCAGAACCACTTCGTCGCGTTCAATATTCCATGATGTGGAGCCTCTACAATGGATCTCACAAACCAATAACAACTATTGCCTTGCCAAGCTCTGTTTCGGGTCATTGGCCGTTGACTACCGTTTTCAGGGATCGGCGCCACCTGGCACACAACTCGATCCCTTCCCAACCCAACCACATCATCATGGGTCCAGGCTGCTTATGCGCCGGAGTGATCTCCGCCCCCACTATGCATTAGTTAAGCCATGTGTGTGCCGACATCGTCAACGGGGTGGCTGGGCAGAGAGGGAGGTCGAAACGAGTCTAAGACATCTGGAAAGCCAACCAGGGTCTGCTGTTTACTCTTCGCGATTTCTGAATGGATGACGCGATATTAAACGGGGATTCAGCTCCCACACCGTGCGGAACAGTAAGCTAGTTGCTTTTGTCGAGCCATTCATGATTAAAAGAGTTACTTCCGGGCTTATTCAGGTACCGCGAACCAACAGTACGGACGAAACTACAACAACGCATGATAATCTCGATGCCCCCACCCTCAAGATGACGCGTGAAAGGACCGCCAACCTTGCTGACCCTTCCATCCCGCTCCCCGCACATAATCCTCGTCCGCCAATTTCCCAACCCCACCGGAATGGCGCGCAATAACACCAAAGCATCTTATTTACCAACCAGCGGCTTCACCAAATCCCAGTAATCACCGCAGCTAGCCCTACTGCGTCCGGAATCCTAGGCATCTCACCTGCGCTTTCGCCTCACAGTAAGCAAGCCTCATTCTCCCGACAGTTTGGCACGCTACTATCCAGGCTCCCCAACCGCATCCTTTTCCTCGCTACCGAACCTTCAGCCTAACGGGCGTAAGAAGCAATTCTGGCCTGAGACAGGCTTCGTATTCGCCGTTGTTGCGACCTCGCCTCTCCTATGTCTCCCAGTGTAGTTTATGGGAACGATGAATAGATGTACGTATACGTCCGTCGGCATCGCATAACAAAGTCGGTTGCAGAAGAAGCTCCGTGTTCCTCGGTGAGGCGACATTCATTGCTGAATAAGAGCGATAAGACAGTGTTGTGATGGACAACAGAACGGGATGGAGCCAATAAATCTTGCATACGAGGTGCATGCGGGTAGGAGTTGGAGGCGTGCAGTTCACAGTGGACTCAATACTCCTTCTGCAGTGCGTTCAGGCAGTCCGTGGTACCTTCCCGTCTTTTCCATTGTACCTCGCCATCCTACCCGTCGTTCTTCTCTTCCCGTAGTCCTGTCTCCACCATCATTTTCCTCCGCGGAGATACTTGCACAATCAATCCAAGTTCTCAGCACTAGAGGATGCAATGCCTGCCCCAATCCCCTCAGCACAGCAATCCCGTCCTTGACGTGACCAATGCCCAACGCGAAGATCGCGTGCCCGCGTTGCTGCACGATTACATACGCCGAGGCTCCAAGGACCCAATCCATCGGGACGGAAACCACTTGCCTTTGGGGCTCTCGGGCACTACTCCATAGTCTACCGCTCGCCACGCGAGACGGGATGCATGCCTGCACGCGAGGCCAAGCCCGATAACGATTTACAGACCCTGCATCTCGCATACGCATTGGAGCCAGTGCAACATAGCAAGATCAGAGCCCGACTTCAACGGCATGCCGTCGATCACAACATCGGGTGTCGTCGTGTCTTACAAACTGGGGGACGAAGGGCTACCCAACGAACCTTAATTCGCAGGCTATGCTCTAGGCGGCAGGAGGGCCGTCCTGTTAGCCGTTTCGAGCATGTCTGCCCTCTTGCGGAAATCGCAGGCAGCAGACCCTGAAGGAACCCGCAGAGACGCCGGTCCCAGAGAAGTCATGCTGGGGATACCTGGGCTGTCATTCCTCATTGCTAGTGCCGCGCATGATGCCTTGTGGCTCGCTTAGAGCCCTTTCCTGCCAACTCATCATCTTGCGGCGCTGCCCAGGTATTTTGACTTTTCCTCGACTCGTCCGGTACTTTCTAGGTCGGCGCTTAGTGAGGGTTGTTGTCAGTGAGTCTTCCATGCCCTTCTCGATCCCTATTGAATTAATCCCGCAGTGCCATCTACTTAGCTACATCCGAGCCGTAGAAGGAGTTGATGATCAGATGATGCGGCGTTGGAGTATCCAATAGCATGGACAATATTGACAATCCTTATGTATAGTAGTTCCTACAATACTCCACCGTTCGGCATTTTCATCTTGTTTTCGTGTCGGCAAAAGGCCGATGAGCCTCGGCCCAGGCGTGCCACTGGCTATTCACATAAGCAGTCGACCGAAAACCCAAGGCCTGCCACTAGAGACCGCCACCCCGACAGTCCAAACCCTTGCATTACGGCCTTGTTCCTGATGATGAACAAGGGCTGGCCATAGGAACCACCGGCACGCTCTTTTGCCCGATAGTAACCCCGAGCCTCGTCGGACATGCATGAGTGAAGAGAACGAGCTTACTCGATGCCTGGCCCCATTCATTTCTCTCCTGCCTCCTCAGCTTCATCTAGTCAACATTGAATAACGTCACAGTGGCAGGCAATGACCCGATTCTATCATCGGCACGGTAAAGTTTTGCGAATTGCCGGCCAGGGGTGCGCATGATGGAAATCCCATCGTGAAGATCTCCGAATTCCCCTCCGCACTGCCCCTGCTTGACCGACAATCGATATTTCATGCCCGGACGGTGAGAGTTCCAGACCAGATCAGCGCGCAACATGGACGGCCAGACCCTTGGAGAAAGATGACCTGATGAAACGAAAGAAGAACGAAAACCGAAAGCGAGCCCTCTGTGTGTGTGTGGGGGGCATCCAAGAGAGACCGGGACCGACGCTAACGGTCAAATTTAACCCTTGCTTAGCATCACAACCAAAAATTCTCCGGCCTTGTCAGCACGTTCTCTCGCCAAAATAAACAGGCGGGGAGGCGGGAACCCTTCGTCTGTCTGAAGGCAGTCTTACCGCATACGGAAGGTATAGGACACTACTCCGTATAGGGGTAAGGGAATGAAAGTAAAACACCAGTAAGACGGCATGCTTGCATGCGCGGGCTGCGGAAAAGAATATCCTGCGTACCTACTACGACTCGTGGTGAAGCTCTCACCGACTGCCTCATCTCGCGACAGCAAGGAAAAAAAAAATAAAAAGCGACCTATCGTATATACTTCCCGCTCTTTCCTGCAATGTCGGTGTAGCAGGTAAGGATGAACGATGGAACGCGAAGCCTCGTAATGCAACACTGCGCACGGCACGCTCTCGCCGTTGTCATGCTGAAAGTGGCTGACAGCCACGGTTGATCAGCGCTTCGTTTATTTGGATCCGGGCTAATATGGTAACAAACAACGGCCGAATCCCAATATACGAGGCCAGCAGGCCGCCCGCCACGTGTAGGATGACGAACGCCATGGATCATGCCCGTCTCCTGAGGCTTTGCGCTGTGGCAACATTCCTTATCGGAGTGGCGGATGCAACGAAGAAGCAAGGCGCCCGACGATGATCAACAGATTACCGTGAAGAATAGCCGCAGTCACGCGCGCGGCTCGACGAGAAAAAAAAAATTATCGCCAGAGCGAATGGAAACCCTTGCAGAGAGAGCGGCTCAAAGTCCGCCAGGGAAAAAAATTTCGAGAGAGGTCAGACGAAGCAGCACGTGGCTCACAGTCACATCAGACGTGCATATGCATATGCGTGAAGAAAAAGCCCGAGAAACTTTTCATAACGCATCATCGCCACGTGGCCCACGCGGAATCTACACTCTCCCGCCCCAGGTCAGTGGGCCCGAGATGCAGCCAAGCTGTCGACTGAATCGCTCAACGGCCTGTAAAGGTGGCGCTTTTGCATGTGATGAGCATCTTGCATCGCGTGCTGAAATCGAGTTCAAGGAATAGGCATGCGGAAAGATCTTCGAGGTCACGTTGCTTTCACCTCTACTTCATGTACAAGGAGAGCTAGCTAAAGTAACAGTCCGTAAACAACAGCGAATCATGTCATCGCACCCCTATACATCCCAAATTCCCAGTGACCAATTTCCCAAACAACGGCCTATGAACACAAACCCTGTGAACATCGTAGAAAATATTATACAAACCACCATGAGCCCATTCCTGTTTGTATTAACAAAACCAACGAACCAAGAAGAACTTTTGTTGGCCACACTATATCCTCGGCCATGAGATCATCATGCCCTAGCCATCCAATCATCTCCTTTTAAAAAGTACAATCAACTACACGGGAGCATCTACAATGCCCATTCATCATCAACGAACTACCAAAGCCCACACCTCCCTCAGTTCCCCTTCATAGCGAACCAATCCGCACTGGCATCCACCATGAAATTAGTGATGTTGAACCCATCCCCCATCTCGACACCGCCGGCCTGCTGTCCCATGCCGGCGGCATCGCCACCTTGCTGCCCGCCAGCAGCTGCCGAGAGCTCGCCTGGGCCGTTACCTGCGTCCACACCCGCGCCGGCGGCAGCGCCAACCCCATTGACGGGCAAGCGCGGCATGTTGAAGAAGTCAAAGACGTCGAGGTACTCGAGCTCGTTTGGGGCCGGGGTCCGGGCCGGCGTGGCCGAGAGGCTGTTGTAGCGGCCGTTGTTACCGCTAGGCTGGCCCTGCATGCCGCCTGCTACGCCGTTGCCAGCGTGCTGCTGCTGCTGGAAACCGTTGGCGGCGCCAGCGCCGTTACCGTTGCCATTGGCCGTGACCAGCTTCGGCTGGCGTGAGATGAGGAAGTCGAGGTCGAAGGCGCACCGGCGCATGTCTGCCAGGATCCTGACGGTGCTCGGCGTCGCGCGCTCGCCGTTCAGGTCCGCCGGGCCGTGCTGGCTAGCGCGGTACTCGTCTAGCACGCGCTGTAGTAGCGTCGCGTACCGCTCTGCCACTCGCCAGTACGTGCCCAGCTCGCGGAGTGTCTCCACCAGCGGGTTGATGGCCGGGTCGACGTGGTGCTCGATCGTCGAGCCGTGCACAAGCAGCACGCGGGCTGCGACCCAGAGCGAGAAGGCGAAGGGGGTGCCGAGCTGCGAAAGCATGCCATTGGTTTTGACGTACTCGCAGAGGCCTGTGATCGCTTCGACGGCGGTAAGGCAGCGCTGAATGGCGGTGTATGAGGGAGTGAAGATTGGAGAGCGGGTGGTTGGGTAAGCTGCTGAAGAGTGAAGACGGATGACGGTGCTATGTTGTCTTAGAATAGTTATGGATGATAAGGTTCAAGGAATACTTACGTATGGAAAGCGGCATGAAGCATAATCCAGCCACAATCCACCACCGAGTCAGCCTTTGAGGTCGCATAGATGCGGGACATGTTTCCAAAATCACTCGGAAGACTATACTTCCACGACGCCAGCGCGTTATCCAGCTCCCTGAACTCACGTTGCCATTGCTCCACGTCCGTCAAAGAACCAATGTCGACAGGTTTCTTCAGAAATTGATGAATTTGCGACAGTATTCCCAGAAGTTCAACATAATACGAGAAGGATCCAAGGTTTTCAGGTTTGTTCAGAGTGTAGTCTGTTCGCTTTGCGGTGCGGAACCAACGTGTCTCCACTGGCTGATTTCGAGAGAAGAAGTCATCTCGGCATGGCAATTTACGGTCCGTCTCCTTTTCGTCAAGAGCAAACTCGAAAGCCGTTGCAATAGTGGCATAGCGATCAAGTAGGTATACAATCCAGAACAATCTGCGGCGGCTTTCATCTTCAATGAAGTCCTTCGGTTCAGGGAGCACCATGGCCCTTAGGGTGTAGATGGACGGCACATTAGGCGAGACCAAACTTGATGTAGCCTCAACTGATAAGCCTAGTTGCACCACCGAACGAGTGATGAGAGCCAGCAAATTCCAGCCTGGTGGGCCATTGGAAAATCCTACAAGATCCAGGGCTAAAATCACGAGGGCTTGGAGGGACTTTACGGAGCTATTTTCGAGCCCATAAAGCAAGACCTTCTGTTTGGACGTGGCGTGGTACCGCTCACGGCTCTCCTTTGTCAAACGAGGATCCGTGGAGAATCTCAGCGTGGTTGCAACTATCGCATGAAGCAATATTCGATCTGCTTCCTCCAGGGTGGATGAGCCGAACAGTGAGTCTAGCGTGGATCGACGATGCAATATCGGACACCAAGTATTTATGTGCTTGAAGTACAAGTCGGCCAGGGCATAGAGCAGGTCGTACGGGGGAAAATCAGGTTCTTGCGAGCTAATGGCAGGCTGCGGCTGGTGGTTCATGGATATGTTGAGGCTTGGAGACTCCAATGGGGCGTTGTGGTTGCTGTACATGCCGCCGGCAGCCGAGGGCATTGAGATTGAATGGTTTCTAACGCCATGGCCCATATGCTGCTGGTAGGCATTGCCGCCATGGTGAATCGCAGGACTGTTCGGCAGAGCCAGGCTACTGGAAAAGGACAAGCCGGGTTGGGCAGGGGGAAATGCAGAAGACTTTTGCAGGAACAAGGCAGCCTCTGGCTTCGGGACGTGGGGCGTCTGAACGACGGGCGGAGTGTGGTGAAAGATGGGAGCGTCGTGCTGGGAGGGAGCAGAGCTGGGGCTGGCGTGGCTGTTCTGATTGGAGGCCAGCTGCTGGATGGTGTGCTGCTGGCGCTGGATCATGTCCTCGAGGCGATCTACATGGTCAGTGTGTGAGCATCTCGCATGCGGCAGAGCTGGGATTGAGCCCACCGAGACGCGCTTCCAGCTCCCTGCCGTAGCCGGCGCGCAAGCCCGGCTTCTTGCGCTCTTTATACTCGCATAGCTGATTGTTGCGGACGCACCAGCCGCAGGAGGGCTGGCCACGGTCGCCTGGGCGGGGACATGCAGCGGTCAGCTTGGGCGCACATGAAACAGGATCGGTTAGGGACTTACACTTCACCTTGCGCTGCTTGCACAGCTCGCAGGAGACGGACATGGGCCGCTTGCGCTTGCGCGACGAGCCGTCATGCTCGTCGCCGTCATCGGGCGCGTCGTGGTCGGCATCCGAGTCGCGTGCCTGGTCGCTGTCTGCATCCTCGAGCGGGGGATTCGGCGGCTGCTGGCGCTGTTGGTGGTTTGCATCGGATACGGATGACGGCGACGGGTTGTGGTTCGCGTCGTTATAGCTCTGCTGCGGTGCCGACGAGGAAGCCATGGCGCTGGGCGGGCAGTGATGAAGATTCGGTGCAGAGATGTGACGAGATGCCGAGCGTGGAGGAGGTTTCGCCCGAGGCTCAGGGCCTGGCTTGGCCCTGGCGTGGGCTGCAGTGGCCGGCGCGCGTGCGGAGTTTGGGGAAATCCCCGGCCGCGACAAACTGCGCCGGACTGACGGGTCCGCAAGAGTGCGGGGTGCGCGTCGCGGGACAACACCACGAGTTCCGCCGAGCATCCCACGCCGACTGTTGCGCCTGGGCCAGCGCCATGCCGCGCCTGGCTACCGCCATGAGCCCACGAGGGCAGCTTGCCAGTGAAACTGCACGCAGCCCTATTTAACTGCCGAATCGCCCCCAGTCCCAGCGCCCTCAGCATTCTTCCACCTCCCCGCATTCCCCGCCACCATGCCTGCTGCCGCAACATCCTCCGCGCGCGCATTCCCCACGATCAAGAAGGTGAAAACCTTCCTGATCCAGGGCGTCGGCTCCGGCGGCGACTACCACAATGTCAAGGGCGGCCATTGGCTCATTGACACCAAGATCTCCACGCCTATGTCTGGCTACGAGGCCTACCGCAAGTCGCGTACCTCCTGGGGCATCAACGTGCTGGGTTCGTTCTGCGTGGAGATTGAGGCCTCGGACGGCACCAAGGGCTTCGCCACCGGCTTTGGCGGTCCTCCCGCGTGCTGGCTCGTTGCCGAGCACTTTGAGCGATTCCTGATTGGCGCCGGTGAGTATTTCTCCGCCTACCCATTGAGGCAATTGGTCGCACCAATGGCGTCCTACCTTCTCGGGCCCGGCGGAAAATAAACAGAAAGGCGACTGGCGCTGACATACATCCGGCTGGCAGACCCCAGAGACACCAACCACCTTTTCGAGCAGATGTACCGCGGCTCCATGTTCTATGGCCGCAAGGGTCTTCCCGTCGCCGTGATATCCGTCATCGACCTCGCCATCTGGGACCTCCTCGGCAAGATTCGCAACGAGCCCGTCTACAAGCTGATCGGAGGTGCGACGCGGGACCGCCTCAACTTCTACTGCACGGGACCCGAGCCGACGGCCGCCAAGTCGATGGGCTTCTGGGGCTCCAAGGTGCCGCTGCCCTACAGCCCAGGCGAGGGCCCGGAGGGCATGCGCAAGAACATCGAATTCCTGACCAAGCACCGCGAGTCGGTTGGACCCGACTACCCCATCATGGTCGACTGCTACATGTCGCTGAACGTGCCCTACACCATCGAGCTCGTCGAGAAGACCAAGCACCTGAACATCAACTGGTGGGAGGAGTGCCTTTCGCCCGATGACTTCGACGGTCACGCCCTGCTCAAGAAGGCCCACCCCACGATCAAATTCACCACCGGAGAGCACGAGTACTCGCGCTACGGCTTCCGCAAGCTGATCGAGGGCCGCAACCTCGACATCCTGCAGCCTGACGTCATGTGGGTTGGCGGCTTGACCGAGCTGCTCAAGATCTCCGCTATGGCTCAGGCCTACGACATCCCCGTCGTCCCTCACGCCAGTGGTCCCTACTCCTACCACTTTGTCATCGCCCAGCCGCACTCGCCCTTCCAGGAGTACCTCGCCAACTCTCCCGATGGCAAGTCCGTCCTTCCTGTCTTCGGCGCGCTCTTCAGCAATGAGCCCATCCCCACCAAGGGCTACCTCGATGTCTCCGACCTCAATGCCCCAGGCTTTGGTCTTGAGATCGCCCCCAACGCTCCCTTGATTGATGCTACCAACATCCTGAACCCTGCTCCGGCCAAGGCTTTGACTCCGCCGCAGCCAGAGGAGAAGGTGAATGGCTCGTAGGTGGAATGATTCCCCATTGATTGTTAAGCATTTTGATGAAATCATTGAGGCGCAAGGATTTGGGTGAACATTACTTTAGCGCTATATATTCCGACCCATATGAGACCTTATACTTAGATTGCCTGGAAAGAATTTAGCGTCAACATTAGGGAATACCGAGAATAACAACCGTAGAAAAAAATGGAAACAAATTCAAAATTTAAAGTTGAGCAAAAGTATTCCAATCAAGTGGAAATTGCCATACAAGGATCTGGATGCTCCTCTTATGGAAGCAGACCTTTTGACAAGCTTTTCCGCTGAAGTTTGTCCGCACGAGCGGAAGTACGGATACGAGACCATGCACGCACTTGCTCACCCGTAGCCTCGGGATTTTCGTCGTTGAAAGTTATACCGAGCGGAGAAATGCAAATGCCTGGGGCCCACAAGCTGGCGAAATCAAAGCTTGGGCGCAAGAGTTGACCGTCGCTGCCTTCTATCATTTAGCTTTCCGCTAGAGTGACTATTGAGGCTAGCTGCTAGACTACATCTTATTAGCGCTCGGCATTTCCGAGGCTCTTTTGCAACTACTTGGCTATCCAGCTCCAGGACTCAGCTGTTCCTCTCATTCAAGCAAACAAGAAGCAAATCAGTTTACCCTCCTTACATATCATTCGTCTGCTGATATTGCTGAGCTCTGGGGTTTCTTGAAAATTCTTTTCCGTAGCCCGTCGCCTGAATACTCTCTAATCGTCAGCATGCCTTTCCATACTTGAATTCAATCCGCAAATCTCAAAGTCAGCCTGATGTTCTGTTGAGAAGGCTGACTAGAGGTTTCTGGCTGTTGCTGTTGCTGCGCTTGTTGCTGCGCCGTGTGAAGAGTTGCTTTGGGCGCTCGCACCCAATGCCTCTTGAATCCACCACCTATTCTCTACCATCAATCATTGCTCGCCCATCACCACACCTAATCCGACCTCATCCCCTCATCTTCACAATCTTATCCCCCTCCCTTACACGACCAAAAACCTCACCCCAACCAGAATCCCCTCCTCCTCAAAACCCCCCGCCCTCTCACTCTTGATCTGCCTCACCACGCTGCCCCCAAACGCCCTCGGCTCGCCCTCCTTCCACTCACGCCAACTCGCCCCATTATCGCCGACGCTCGCCGCCGCCGACGACGCCGAATGCGGCAGCGCTAGTTCCGCCGGCGGCAGCGGCGGCTGCGCGTACGTGATGGCGCAGTCGCGGCAGAGCTCCGGCGCGACGAACGCGCGGAAGTCCCTCTCCATCTGCGCGTGCGTGTTGCGGCGGTCTTCCGGACGACGGGCTGCCGATGCCGATGCTGGTCCGGCCGTGCCAGGTGACGAAGGCCCAGACTCTGGAGTGGTGTCGCGGGTTGTTGTTGTTGTTGCGCGCGTGACTGGCGTCTGCTGTAGGGGTTGGGATTGCGGCGGTGTAGCCGTCGAGTATGGACTCTTCGTTGGTGCTTTGGGGTACCGTGGTAGTGGGTTGGGCGTGTCGAAGATGCCGCCGTTGCCTGGTGCGCTGCCTGCGCTGCTTGGGTTGCCGGCCCGGGTGCGGATCGGGAAGGGCGTCTGCGGGATGGCCTGGGTCGGGCTGGCAAGTATGTGCTGGTGAGGAGTAGAGGGTATGGAGGGAGAAAAGTGGGATGTGAACTTCGGAAAGGGCGGTTTGCCTTCTAGAAGACGTTTTTTGTTGGAGCGAGCTTCAGCAGCAGCGGCAACGGAACGCAGCTGCGAGATGCGGAATGGGTGAGTGATGTTGAGAGTGCGGATTGCTTCGCCTTTGGACTTGAACACAAGACGCGCGAGCAAGGGATCCTCTCTCTGGCGGAAGCTTAGGTCCGGAGAAAGCGGGGATGTAGGAGGACGCTGGCGTGGCCCGGCGGGATCCAGGTCGATTCTTGAGCCTAGGGTAAAGGAATTGAACATAGACCGTTGGGACTTGTCGCTAGGGCTTCCCAGTGCGGTAAATACGCCACGGTGCGTCATCCCAATCCCGCCTTCTGTCTTCTTGATGTCAAGAGGTGAGAGTGGACCAGAAAGCCGACGTTTCTTGCGAGGACTGCCTCCTTCATCTTGTTCGGCCAAGCGGCGGGAGCGAACGCTCGTGTGAATTTGTACTGGAGGCAAAAGAGATCCTCGCGGCGATGGTAGGCCGGATGGCATATCAGACATTGAGCTCGACAAAGGGATGATTTGAAGCTTGCTCGTATCCGAACTCTGAGATGATCCAAGAGGCACTGAAGATGTTTTGATAGCGTCCCGTGGTCCCTGTTGTGAGCCAGTACCTGAGCTGGTAAACACATCACCGGGGTTGGAAGCGGGTATAGCTTCTTCTTCGTCTTCCTCAGGTATGCCGTCAAGTCGCTCTATGACTCGAGAAGAACGGTTCGTGATGTGACTTGGTGTAGAAACGCAAGCCTGCTCCTGCTCCTTCGACGGCTTCTTATTACCTCCCGTGGTCTTCTCATCATTTGTCTTGGTGAGCGAACCATTGGTGGAAGACCCGACTTGAACGGTGTACCCGCTCTTCGTCATCTCATCGGAAAGGTACGACGGAAGTTGCTCAGAAGAAATAATTCTATTGCCTTCCCTTTCCACGGATGGGCCTGAGAGTGTATCAGATTGTTCAACTTTGAGGGTTCGTGCGGATGTCTTGCCTGGTCTTGGCCTGGCTGGAACCCTAGAAATAGTGGAAGCTCTTCCACCAACAGCAGGTCTTTCTGGAGTGGCTGCCCTCAGGTTGTAACGACCAGTGGTATCTTCAAGGTTTGTCTTAGGCAGAATCGATATGCTTTCAAAGATCGACTTGTTCTCCTCACCCTCTTTGAACCTTGAACTGCCCATGCGTGTGGGCTTATGAAGATAAGATCTTTTGAGGTGATCCTTGAAGCCGCGTCCGTATGACAACACAACATCGACGACTCCGAAGGTCTGTCCGCGCGGCTCTGACCATGTTTCCAGTTCTGGGGGCATGGCCAGCTTTGCAACTTCCATAAGATACTTCGCCACCATTGGCCTTTCCCCGTTCTTATCAACACCCCTAGCCAAGGCTTCCTCGAGGACCTCTTTCTGAATCTTCTCCCAGCGATCTGCAAGGGTATCACTGCTTGCTACCGGTCGTCGGCGGGAACCATCAGGATCTTGGCCGGGTGGTACGATTAACCAAGCCCGCTCGAGCATCCAGTGAAAACGCAAGCCGCTGAAGATACTCAACAACCTGGGCTCCTCCTGATAGAAGCGCTTGGGCCACATGCCTGAGTGGGTAAGCTGACCGTTGAAGAGTACATCGATGCGGATATCGTCGATCGGCGTGTCTGTCTTCAGAAAGGACTGTTTGGAAAGCTCCACACGAAGTGCAAGGGCCCGTGGGATTTTGATGGCATCCGCGGGATCTGACCCAAGTATCCTGGCGTAAATAGCGTTGCGCGTAGGATCCGGGTGAAAAACTCGCTCGTCTCTGGTGGCAGGCTGAGCACCGGTGTCAAATGCCAAAGTAAAGCACGGAGTCAGGTGGCCACTTACCACAGGACGCATATCCTCGCCAGCACGGACGAAGAGAAATGGCATGTACTCATCACCGCCGAGTAGGTGCAGAGGATTGTCGTCGCCAGCCAACGGGATGTTGCGCTCCTTCAAAACGTGCCCGTCTTTGAGTGTTTGTTCGACATTGCTGACATGTTCGCTGACGTTCGGGGCCTTCTTGTTCGAGGGCTCGTCTGTAGTTGTACTTCTGAGATCAGTACTGACAAGGTGCACTTTCGTGCGAGAGCCACGATGGACAGGCATGGCGAAGAGGGCGGACAAGGTTCGCCGGGTGCTCAGGTGCAAAGAGCGGCGGGAAAAAGAGCGCGTCGAGTGAGGTTGGACGTCGAAGAACGTGTGATGTAGGGAAGAGGAAGTTTGGGTGCAGCAGAAGTGCGGGTGTTAAGGTACAGCCGGGACACGCGAAAAGACAATGGTGTATTCAACGCGTCGACACCCTCCAAGACATCCTCTGCGCGAACCTCACCTGCGCATAGGTCCATGCGGCAAACTCGTGACCCGAAACTGCAGAATGCGCAAGAAAGCTTGAGCTCGTGACAGGAACGGCGCGATGGCACCCTCTACCTCACTCTCTGTCTTAGCCTTTCAAGACGTAGCTCACTACCTCGTGCCGTTCACAAGACGCTACTCACTCGGAAGCCATAATCTTGACAGATTTGGTCTATAAGTCAAGCAGCTCACCTTCGGCATAGCGTTGACTACCATGAATCCTCAGTCATCCAATTCCATGACTCGGTCTGAATCTTCAAGATCCGTCTCCTTTGGCCGACAAGCATCCTCCGGCTTCTCTACCCTCAAGCCAATAGGTGGAGCATTGGTTAAGTCATCCCCTAACTCAACCAGAGTTCGGTCGTAAACCTTCGCCGTCTTCATATCCCAAGTCCCCTCCACATCATCGACCCCATAGTCGCCTGCATCATCCGCCTCCATGTCAGCGCCAGACTCCTGCGCCGTTTCCTCCTCTTCCTCAGCATCGTCCATGTCGGGATCGTACTTCAGCATGACTTCCATCACTGCCGACCGCGCATAGTTTACCATGCTATTGATCCGCACCTTCTCCGTCGCATTGACCTTCCTCCCGCCATCAAATCCCGGTAGCTCATCGCCGGTCTCCACATCCCTTCCCTGCAGTAATGATGCAAACGCATGATCCAGCTTATCCAGAGATCTGAACAGCGGTGCAGGAGAGACCGGGAAGCCCTTCATGTACTCGTTTACGAGGTCCGCCAGCGTGAGGAGGTATGCCATCTGCAAGCTCGCTTTACAGCAAACGTCAGCAAACACCTCATCCATAGGAAACAGGCGAGCACCCACGCGTCCCAGAGACCCACACCACGTCAATCAACTGGTCTATATCCCGACACGCCTCCTTCAGGCTTGCGTATCCCTTCACATCACCGCCGCCGCCGCCGCCGCCGCTCCGCGCGCTGCCACTGCCATCATTGTTCGCGCTGGTGCCAGTAGCATCGGCGGAGGAGGAACCGCGCTTCGCATATCGCCGCTGTATCTGCCGCACGCGCTCGTCCGCGTACCGGATGAAGGCCGATTCCTTGGGGCCGCCCGTCTTGAGCGGTTTCGAGCGCGGGCGCGGCAGGCGCGAGCTGCCCGTCGCGCTGGACGAGGCGGTGGAGGAAGCGGGCGGTGTCGCGATCGAGTCTGGCAGGAAGAAGCCGCCGGGGGCGCTGTTCGCGGCCATGATGGGAGGGGGGGTTTATCGGTGGGGGTTTATCGGTGGTGGGGGGAGGGGTTGTTGCGGGGCACGGCGCGGGGCTGAGTGGATGACGCGCGCGCGCTCTCTCTCTCTTTCACGAGGTCTGGGCAATTTTACGGGCTAAGGGCATGGCCTGGCTCGAGGTTGGGGGATTCTGAGATTGCGGTATCACATTTGTTAGCGAAGCGGACTGAAACGGCTATAGGGGAGCTGTAAGTGAAAGGAGTGCTATAGTGTTGTAGGCGAGAATGACGTCGAGGCTCAGTTTACCGAGAGATTGATCGTCGCCAGGTAAGTGGTTAGTGGGAGGCATTGTGCTCGGATCTCATGATGCCAACAGAAAGGTACTACCCAGGTCTATAAACAACTTTTTGAATATTCGCATATCTTAAGAAGTGCAGACTTGCACATATTAGATGTTTTGTGCCTCAATTTGCTGGAGGGTTCTTGGATACGATGGTTCTCCAGTAGGTGAGAGAGCTCAACATTTGACAGGAATGTACACAAATAATTTGCCGACATTTTGGACTCATACCACTGCTTTGAGACCTGTGAATGCAGAGTTCAGTGTCTTCGCATGATCTGCGAAAGCCTTGTGATTGCGGTATCCTTGAATTTTGCTACATCCTAAATCTTGTTGCCTTCGATCCTCAACAACCATCGCATCTAGAAACAATTCACGTCGTATATCGTGGATATCCATTCAGACACATGTCTCATACAATCCGTACTTTTCTCCTCTCAGCATCTGCGTACCACCCTTGCCACTCTATCTTCCCAACTCCGACTCTCCTGTATATTTCACTATCCCCTTGTGTGCCACAGGGCACGAGTAAGAGAATCCAGTGATGGTAAGTTCCGTTAGGAAAATGTTTACCATCCTTCCCCAATACGGCAAGAGAATAGACATCCTGATTCAATAGCTTGCCTTCGTCCAACGACGCCCATCCAACTGGCTGTTGATTGGCGTCGCAGATCAGGTAGGTCAATCCCCAGCCGAGTGGGTGTTCCGTTAGGTCGAAGCTGAGCGACGAGTACTTGTCGTGGAGATTGCCCTCAATGCTGGCTATCATACTGGTCAGCTGTGGGTCAGGGTCGCCCTGGTCCTGTGAAACGGAAGAGAACCCGCTATCCTGTCGCTTGGGTGTAACGTCGGGGAGTGGCCTGAGATGAGGCAGCTTTTTGATCCAACCGATGGCTTCAACCACCCTGTCGTCGTCCTCCGCTATGCGTAAGCGCCGACATATCCGACTTGCCCTCTCAATCTTTTGGTACCGCACGCCGTGACACGTCGACGCCCACGACCAGGTTGGAAGGTGGTTTGGACTCTTGTCTCTGTCTGCGGGTTGCAAGGAGAACCAGAGGAGACCGTCTGCGAGCGTGTCTGCCCAAATGCCGTAGACGCATTTGGTGCTGTTAATCTTCTGCAGTTCATTCGCTAAGCCTTTCAGCGCTATAAGCCGGTCCGTTGCATTAGTCAATTTTCTGGCCGAGTACTTCTCCACAATGATTTTCCAGCGGGTGTTACGCGCCCTTGTCAATGCGTTAGCTCGGCTGAGATTTGTTGGTGCAATAGTGAGAGAGAGTAGTACGTGTCATGAAACGAATCCCTTGTTTCTCGTTGGGTTAAGGTTCGGCAAGACCACACGATACATTCTCTTGTGTAGAAGATGACCCTCCTAGACAGCAACCACTCTCTGTCGAGGAATGGTTAGTTCCGGAGCAGAGTTGCCAAATCAGGCAGGTTACCTACTGAGTCGCCCACGCTCTCTCGGACAAAGGGCTGAATTCTGGGCTGATGGAAAAGTAATTCACGGGCAGTAGCGTGCCGTAGATGTGACCGTCCTGCTGTCCCTGGGAGTTCCAGTAGGGCAGTTGCACAGCGGGGCGATTGGGAGGTCTCTCGAAGAAGCAGCCTTCGGTGCAGTCTCTGGCATGGCATGCTGCAATGGTCAGCACAGCTCGCTCGTAGATCATGCCCATCTGCTCGGACTCGCGCAGCCAATCATCATGATCGTCCTGCACGATGCACAGCGAGTCGATCCAAATATAGCGGAGACCCAGCGATCTTACGACGGTGATGGCGTCGCGGAAGGTCTTGGGCAGGCGGTGCCAGGGGATCTCTGTCAGATGCTGTGGCAAGGTGGCTGTGGTGGTGGTGAGAGGGTGTTTAGACTGCGGGCCCCAGCAATGGCTGAGTGTCACATATCGGCCACAGTCACCCATGGATTGGATCAAGCGGACGTTCGCCGATCCATCGGGCGGTGCAACGTCGATGACGCGGGTGGGCAGGACGGGCTCGGCTGTCTCATCGAGGGTCGACTTTGACAACGTACGCCTGCAGCTCGGGTGAAAATTCAAGCAGGTGCTCAGCCATTCGCGCGTCATGCGGAACGCCTCGGGACAATCAGACGAGGGCAGCGGAGGCCCGCACAGGACGTCGCCGCTTGTGAAGGCGGGGCTGTCTAAGACGGCGTTCAGCAGTGGAGCACCCGGCTTCCCGGTCACCGGACTCGTGTCATACCTGGCTGCGCGTACAAACGGATTCGGCCTCGCAGAGCAACACCATCGACCCCGGGCAAGAACACGGCCAGCGCCTTGCCGAGCAGCTCCAGGTGGGCGTTCGGGCGCTCGCGCGGCAGGCGGCCGACGCCATTCCTCCTCAGCTGGAGGTACACTGGCCCGGCGGCGACACGGCTGTCCAGCTCAGCCTCGACCCAGGACGGCGGCTCGTCTGAAGTCAGATGGCTGGCGCAGTGGTTTTGCAGGACGGAGGCCGCGATCAGCGCACAGAACGAGCAGGCGGCAGCGGAGCGCGGGAGCTGACGAGCGTCGTGGAGGTGGACCATGCCCGTGACGCTGGACGACTCGCCCGGCCGGGGCAGCCAGGCAGGCGGGTCGTCGACCTCAGCAGTCAGGGCCGGGATGCTGATGGCGGTGCAGGCTGCGCAGAGAGCCATGCCTCGGGTGGTGGAGGGCACGGCCTCAGAGGTCTGCTATTTGCGAATGCGGGATTATTGGGCGCATGGGGATTTGGAAGGTGATGTCGAGCCGCGTCGAATCAGCAGCTTCGTGCAGCCTCCGCAAAGCTTGTCGTCAAGAATTGGTTCGTCTCGGACGCGCCGATGCGGACGACGGCGGCGGTGGTTTGGCGGTGCCTGGGTGCCTGGCGCGGCGACGGGGCGGAACGGCTGCCTTGCTGCGCGGTGAGGCTGCCTGCTCCTCCCGCCGCGCCCTGCGTGCTACTGGTTGCTGGCTGATGGCTGATGGCGCTGCTGAGAAGCTGCGGCGGGAATGATAGGAGCCGCCACCTGCTCCCTTCACGTTTCAGGAATGGTGCAAGCCAGAGCAGGGCTGGACGCTGTTCGCTACGCCTTCGACGACACTTTCTAGCGCGCCTCTCCGCACGCTGACTACGCCGATCGGCCAATCTCAGCGACTGCTACCACACCCCTCGCCAGGCACAGCCCGCCCCCAGCGACGCAGCTCGACGCGACGAGTCGGCCACCTATGGCGTATGGGCCAGCATGATTAGGCGTCGAGTCCAGGGCGCCTGTGCGGTGCGCACGGGGGCGTCGACTCCTCTCCTATTTCGCCACCCACGGCGCAGGGCTGAATCGGGCCCAGGCTTTTCTCATCTCGAGCTCTCCTGTTTTTCGCAGCCCTGGCCACCCACTACGCCATGGCGTCTTCCCGGCACCGTGGTTCGTTGGAAGGGCCCCCGAAGGTATGCTCCAAGCTTGCTCACCTGCGCTAGAGGACGCCGTCGAGACCAAAGCACACGCTACCAGCATTCCCCAGCGCCAGCCTCGCTGCCCTACAAGTACAACTGCTTCACTCAACGGCCCGCCCATGAAGCCCGCCCTTGCACCCCCACGCGCTCCTCGACTCCCGCCCTAGAGACACCCGCTACAGTCCAATCCATCCACATGTTCGAGAGCTTCAGCTTCGCCGCCGCGTCGCGGCACCCCTCCTCGCTTGACGACCCGGACGACTACGCCTATCCGGACGTCTCCATCTCGCCCACCTCGTCGCCCGTATCCGAGCAAACCGCCATGTCCGTGGCCGAGCTGTCGCGCCGCTTCGGCGCGCAAAACATCGGTGGCGAACTGTACCAAACACCGGCATCGCCCTTCGAACTCCCAGCGCCGTGGACCGAGCACGACGACTGGACGTCCACCTCGGCCTCGTCACCCACCTCGTCATACTTCCCGGACGACGCTTTCCCGGACCCTTCGGCCATCCGCGCGCGCAGACAGGCGCACACGCAGCTCCAGTGCGACGCGGCGCACATGCGCGACATCTCGTCGCTGGTCCAGAAGATGATCGAGTCAGGGGACCAGTGCAAGCTGGCGTCACGCAACGACTCGGTCGTCTCGTCGTCGGACTGCTGCGGCGACGACGCCGACGACGAGCCCTACGACCTGCCCCGCAGCAACAGCTCACCGGCCATCTCGCAAAGCCTCCGCTACAGGCGATCGGGCGAGGTGCTCAGCACGGCGGCCGTATCCAAAAATATTCGTTTCCGCAGGCGTCACCCACGCAAGATGACGAGCCATAGGTGATTTCAGGATCATCGGATCGTCGTCACCTCTCGGGTGGCTGATTTCAGGCGTTACGGTTGAGGGGACACGAAGCATTCTTATTTGATACCCCATGCGCTGGAAACATTGCGCGACGCATTATAGGGATACAGCATTGTAATATGATGTTCGCACGCGCACGGCGGACACAGGCGTTCTTTGGGTACTACCACCCCAGCTTGGACCAGGGGGTACCACGCGATGGGGTTTCATACGGCCGAGCCGGGACTCGGAGGCTCTCTTCTGCACAGGGGCGGTCATTTCATTTCTACTTAGACCACCACTGCCTACCATTGTTCCCCAAGCCATGTAGTTATTATTTTGACGTACACCCACGTACAGACAGTAATTATCAGAGTTTTACTTAGTGTAAGCTAGAACTGCAGCTCCACCGGCGGCTCGTTCCCGATGGAGGGCCCGCTGCTCGTGCACGTGATTGGCGTCGGCAGATCGGCGTTCTGCATGCACGCTTGATTAGCGAAGACGTCGCCCTGCGAGAGTGTCGCGGCTTGCAGAAGTCAAGCCGCACCTCCACTCTCGCGCCCAGCACCGAGCGCGCCCAATTGCGCCCTCCATGGCTACCTTCAGGTCCGCCGCGTCCAAGGCCGTCCACCTCAAGGTTTACCCGCGCCCGGCCACGCTCAGCGAGAGCCGCGAGCTCCTCCACGTCCTCCAGCAGTTCGGCGAAGTGACCATGTTTAAAAGCCTTCGGGTAAGACGATCAGATCAGCAATGCGGAGCGAGTGCAGACGCTCACATGGAGCCCGCGCACGCAGTTTGACTACCTCCAACCCGCCCAGAATTCCTGTCTCGCCATTTACCGAGACTCCACCTCCGCTGCCAGCCTGCTCAAAGCGTCGCCGTTGCGTTTCACGCTCGAACCCGTTGGTGGCGACCACGTTGGCGAGCCTCACGAGCAAACTTCTCAGTCGGCCCGGGAGGATGCAACGGCGCCGGCGCTAGGTGCCGACCTGGATCTAGACGTGGTGGACGTCATGGACGACGCCGAGTTCACCATCAAAGACGGCCCTAGCAAGCCCGGCGCTGAGGAAATGATCCGCCCAAGCACGCTTTTGAACCAGACGATCAATGCTTTCCTCAAGCGTCACGAAGCCGCCCAGTCGGCCCAACACGACACAGCCTCGAGCGATGTTTCGGACGGTGCCCGATCCGAGACCAGCTCCGCGAGCCCGGACACCGAAGTGGTCAACCAAACCGAACCCGACTATGCCGCCGAGCAGCAGCCAGGCCCGGATTCCGCGCCCAAGCACGTCCCTGAGCCGCAGCGTACACGCGTGTTCCACGTGGTGGCGGACACATCGGAAATGAATCATCGAGACTACATCGAGCGCACCTTCTGGTACGGTCCTTATAATCCGCGGGCGCGGACCAACTCGTTTATGGACCTAACTACGAGAGGTGTGCCGTCAGCCATTGCCGACATAAAGGCGAGGAAGCCGGAGCGGCCGATGAGGCAAGTCGAGAGACTGCGTGAGAAGGCCTCTCGTAGGCCCACACTCAGACAGATCTGGCAGCAGGGACAACAGCAACGTGCACACGAGTTGGGCTCGTCAAAAGGACCTGCAGTTGACGAAGCGAGGTGAAGAACGAGCCCAAACTATTAATAACCAGAGCCATCACGACCACTCTGGAATGATTACCGCGTCTTCCACGTGTTGAGCCGGTAGGTTCTGCATGATACTGCGACAGGGAGCGCTACCACGTGTAGGATCCACGCATTTTCCGGAATAGGTCTGGCGCTTTCTCTACGCCGTTGCGCCGTTGCATACCCAAAACCACCGCTTTCACAAAGTACGCAATAGCTTGACAGGGCGAAGCAGGAAGCCGCGCAAGATGGGCTTATCCTTTGGAGGTTGGTCTTCCTAGTCTGGGTTGTTTGCGCGTACTGCCTGCTACTACCGCAACGCCTCCACATGCTCACCACTGAGTCTTTGTGTGTACGATACCTGGATTGTTTGCGCGGAGCGGCTCTAGACTGATTCTTTGTTTTGCTGCCGGCAAACATTACGGGGAAAGCGACCATAGCCCGACCGTGCGTCCGTGGCGACCGGGTTCATGAGTAGCGTTCATGCAAGTAACATAATGAATTCAGGAGACTCGCAGATCGCTTCGCACCTAGAACCCGACCTAATAACCAAATTGCACGCCTTAAATGGAAATATACGTGGAACATCTATTATTTCGTGGCCAACAATGTGTTGCGTAGTACGGTGAGAAGTGAATACTGAGTTGCAGCATTCCTCCTACATTCGGCATAGCGTGCCTAGTTCACAGGTTTCCTATAGCTGCGAAGATGGTCGCTTCCGCGCTGGAGACTCGTGACCACCAGCTCATTTTCTTGCCACCGCGAAAGCAAGTTCTAGTGTTGGATCTGGCGAAAGTTCCATGCAAAACTCAGCTGTGTTCCTGCCCGTTCGTTTGTCAATCGTTTGTCTACAGCGAAGTCGCTGCATGCGGGGCTCTCGGACAAAGAGGCCGGGATGCAACACCAACAATGGCCGAACACGGAAATACACAATGCAGTTCTGCCTGCTTTCATGATGAATTCTTCCGGTCGTTCTGTTCTTTATGAAGCCTCTTGTCTCTGCTCCTGATTTCTTTCCTCTGTGGTTTGATCCTGGAGTCCGCTTCCACCTAATTCTGTATCCCCAAAGTTTTGCAAGACACATTCAGATTTGCCATGCCGCCCAAAGGTGCACCGGGTGGCCGCCGCGCGGCAGGAAGGGCGGGTCGTAAAACCCCGTCGTTCAGCGACGTTTGCAATCCAAAACCTGTCGAAGCAACTCCTGTTCACACCGGACAGGCGATGCCAAGCGGAAGCGGAGTTGGACCAGCCGCGCCCCTCACTCCCGAACCTACACCAGGAAGAGAAATGCGTCGTCGTAGCACATCAATGCCCTCCTCATCGTCCAAGTTATCTTCGAGGGCTCGGTCATCTTCGGTGTCTCAGCCATCCACCGCTAAAACGACGCCGGAATCGAAGGGGTCCAGCACCAAGAAAAGACCCCGTACAGGCCACGAAGAGCCGACAGCAGCAGCGGGGACGCCGGTGAGCCCTGTATCGAAGCAACGGCCGCCGCCTGTCACGGATGACACCCACGTCGACACGGACGATGAGAATGACTTTTACCAGGAGCGCCCGGAGTATGTCGAGCACACGTACAGCTACATCCAGGACCAACTCCGTGAGCTCGTTGGACTACAGTTGCCTGAGGACAAAGTCTACACGGCGGAAAAGCCTGGCTTGATTCGCAAGTTTGCGGAGGACCATTTCGATTTCAAAAATCTCTTCAGCAACGATGACGAAGAGATCTTGGCCAGACTACGCGAGATGAGTGTTCACTCGGCGCTGCTCATTGGCTGCGTCGCGAATGGTGGACCGCGCAGCGTCAAGGGCTGGCTGGAAATCTTCACGGAGCCGTTCGAGCGACAGGCACTCGTGAGCGGCATCATCGGCAAGGTTCTCGAGGAGCACGTCTTCGCGAGCCTGTGTTTCGGCGCCACCCCCAAGCAGCTAGAGGAGCTGCACAAGGAGATCGATCTCAAGCACAGGGACTACCCCCATGATGGTATGTTGTTTTTGCAAGCCGTTACATTATCAAGATGAGAGACATGTACTAACATGACTGGACACAAAACCAGGCTTCACCCGCGCCCAGCTCCGCTACGAACGCATCCGCAAGATCATCCAGAAAGCCACGAACCCCACAACCAACCCCTTCGGCCTCCCGCCCGACTTCATCGCCACCAGCAAGCGCCTCGCCTGGCAACTGTTCACGGTGCTGGAGCCCATCTACGCGTTGAAAGCGGGCTACGGCGCCCCCACTTCGCCCACCTCGCCGGCGTCGAAGAGCAGGAAGCGGCAGCCCTCCTGGAGCGAGCTCCGCAGCGGCAGCAGCGGCGACGCCCAGCGCGACCTCGTCGCCGACCTCTACACCATCGTCGTCCGCGCCGGCATCCTCTCCCTGCACATGCGGCTCGACCCCACCACCGTCTACTTCGGCGTCTGCGCCGGCAAGGACGAGTACTGGGACGAGAAGGCCATGCGCGCCTACAACTACCGCTACATGATCAAGACCAACCCGTTCACCAACATGCCCGAGAGCGACGGCACCGATGAGACCGAGAAGAAAAGGCGCAAGGCCCAGTGCCAGCTCGCGCTGGTCAGGATGGCGCTGTTCCCCGGGTGGCAGGCGTTCAAGAAGGGCGGGTGGAGGAGCGAGGATAAGGAGAAGGGGATGAGGGTGTGTGAGCTGGGGAGGCAGTGGGTCAGCTTGAGGTGGGGAAGGCAGCGGAGGTGGGAGAGCCCCGAGCAGAAGGCGAAGAGGTTGGCGGAGCTGCAGAAGAAGAAGAAGAAGGGTAAAGGTAAGGGGAGGGCAAAGGCGGTGGATACTAGCGAGGAAGATGAGGAACTGGGATGGGAGGAGTGGTTGACTATCTGGGGAGAGGGAAAGCCGGGCAGCGAGGCGGCGCTGAGGAAGATCAAGAATTGGTTCTCCTGGAATGTGCCGAGTGAAGAGTTTGAAAGCGAGGAGGAAATGTCCGTGGACGAGTAAGTGTGTTTGGTGTCAGGACACGCTCATTTTGGTGCACTTTTGGTACGAGCGATAGCGCTCAAAGAGATGTGGCCTTTATGGTCACACATATCCAGCTGTAACTTTACAAAAATTTCCTATGTCTGTGTTTCTTAGTTTGATCTTACGTAGCTTCAATTAATCTTTCACTTTAGGAAGTCTTTTGAAATGTAGGATGGAATATTCTTTATTTCATAGTCAACATGCGACAGGCAATTCAGCCTGCTGGCACATGGTTTCAGAAGTGAAATCATCCATACCAGACAATGACGCTGTATTCTTTGGGGAAGCTAACGTAGATTATATACTTACATACAGACTAGCATGGGCAACTGCCTAAAGTTGAACCGGATAAGGCACTTACGCATGCCGGCGATGAATCAAATGGCTACGCCCGAGAATCAAATACATCTTCGAAGTTGTATGACAGTGGTGGTCGTGTTGCTCGTGCTTATCTGCGAATATTCAATTTCAACACGGCTAACTAACGATTTTCGGTCACTTGACACTTATAAGCAGCAATATCATAGTACATTGTGTTAACCTATATTCAGTGTCAGATCTCAGTGCTTTACTTTATTGTTACCGAGCTTATCTGCCGTATTCTTTGCTTTTTACTCCAACACCAAGGCAGATACCTTGTATGTCTCACCACCAAAGCGTGATCCAGTCAATATACTTTATGACATCACAAGCAACTGGTGTATATATTAAGGTAGTTTCATAGCTGCATTCTGCTTTTCAGCGGTGTTCAATTCAATTCATTTGCACTGTTCAACATTCAGAAACGGGGCACACTTCAAGAATGAATCTGCAAGACTATTAATAGAATAGTAATGGTTATAGGATGCGCCGAGAAATCTGGGTGGGTATTGTGGTCGCAAACATAGGCAATGCAATGTCTTGTTCGCTCTATCTGGGCGGTCCAATGCGAATACAAACTCCTCTGGGCAAGGTCTATAAGCCCTCCTTCGCCAACATATCTGTAATCGAATGAGCTGAGTTCTGGAATGTGCCTGAGCATCTTACCACAAATATCCAAATAGAATGCAATCGCGTTAAACCTGCACAGCCCTTTAGCTCAGCCAACTTTCCATAACGAAGATCACTCACGTCGGTTTGTATCCAATCAAGGAGTAAAGCGTCCACTTTACCCGTGAAGTCCAGTTGATCAAGTCAAGGTGACTGACGCCTGTGATTGTGCCTTTGTACGTTCCCCATTTACTGCTCGGAACACTGCGAAACGACGTGAGTTTTCGTCAACTTTCTTGGAGTGTGGACTACGCAGATAGATACCTGACAAGACCATCGTTTGGTGCCTTCTCTAGTACCTCTACTAGATCATGCAACTGCTTGAAGCTCGACCAACGCTCTGGTTCTAATGTGGCGCCATATGAGTAATACTTTACACCCTCGCGGTCCGGAGTTTTGGGATTGAATTCTTCCTGCATGTACTTCCGGGTCAACTGTGCGAAAGCCCCGGTATCGACTCTGAAAGTTCTCAGCAGTCCGTACACCTTGGTCAGGTTTTCCGCTGGAACCGGCATTAGAATCACTCGTGAGCCTTCAGGAGCCGGATGCATACCGCCAATCTGTTCCATCACGTAATCGGCGAAGGCTGATCCACGGTGCGGCGTTGCGATGGTCGTTAGGGACTTGACGTCAACGTTCGGCGGTTTCAGCTGGCTGATCATGTACCGCGAATCCAGTCCTCTGCTCAATCCGTCAGTCGTGACCTCTTCGCAACCTCGGAGCACCGTACCCCTATGCATTCGTAAGCCTGCCGGGCCATCCACACGTTGACCAGGCAAGCCAAACTGTACCATACTATGCCTGCCCACCCACCGCATCAGCACTCATCCCAAAACGCTCCAATCCCAACAGCACTCACGCGATGATATTCACGCTCTTCCCCTGCGCCTGCGACGCGATTATCTCCGCCAGCTTCTCGCCCCTCTCCTCTATAGAACCGGACGGCGGTACGGCTGTGGTTATGACTTCGATATCGTTCGCCTCCAGCGCGTCCCTCACGCCACGCCAGTATTGCACGCTGGGGAGCAATGGCCCGGCAAGGCGGAGCTCGTCGAAGCCGAAGAGGCCATGCGCAAGGACTATCGGGTACTTCTGTCGGCCACGGAAAACGCGGAAGGAGGCGCATAGTGTCAGCGTCGGTGCGCGACACAAGTTGGGGGTCAGGTAGCTAGCGGTATGGTTCGGGCGAGCATACCGGTTTATCTGTGCGGTGTCAGTGCCTGAATGTAAGCGCTACATGGTAGCAGGCTGCTGCGAACCATATGTATCTCTCAGCGCTGCGAACTCATCGTGGTACTTGTGCCCTAAGTCAAGGTCGTCGATGCGCGGATCCGACGCTCGTGTGACCGGGGAGGTGTGTATCGCGCGATAAGAGATGTGGGATCCTTTGGACAGCAGGCCAATGGTCTGGCGCCGTAAATGCAGCGCGGAGGTCATTGTATGCAGTGGAATGGTATGTGTGAGACGTGGGAATAAAGTTGCAAGGAAAAGTATCGATGGTATCTGGGAGCTCGAGATGATGTTCTTCGATGACGTCGTACCTAGCGCGACCGGCACCCCCATGCACGAGATCCCTTGTCATTGATTGTCGCATAGCTCCTGCATGAACACGCTAGAAATCGTCGAGAAACATGTTTTGGCACTCACGCTTTGAAATGGAGATGAAGTACTGTGGCATGCTTTGCTAGCTTGTTCGCACTCACAACGACGAGTCACGTCGCAGGTAAACCGTTTGCCTTTTCATGCCAGCTGCGCCGCACCAAAGCAGCTCACAACATCTATGATACAGGCTGACTCTATGAACACAACCGACGCGACAGGTGCGGACACGTCGAAGGCCTCGCACTGCTTGTAGAGAGAAAGGGAGCCATCGGCTCATACATGATCAGAACAGAACAACATGATGCGTTTCAGATGGTAACCATAGAGGAATGCTGGGAGATTTTAGTCCTTCGACGGGGGCTCCGCCTGCACGTTGGTGACAGCCTCGAGCAACTGGTCGACGACGATGCTGCCACTCTTGCTGCCGATTTCCTTGATCTCCTTCAGCTTGACCTCCGTCGCCTTGTTTGCCTCCTCCTCGGCCTGCTTGTTGCCGCTGGTGTGCTGTAGTTGGAAATCATCGTCAGTTTCGTCGGGTACTCTCGCATGGCGCGTTCCACCGGGACGGGCATCACTTGGGTCGTACCTCCTTCTCGAAGGCCTTGAATTCCTCCTCCTTCTTGTTCCTGTACTCCTCGATCTCCTTCTGGGCCTCGCTGCGGGCGTCCTTCACGCGCTTGGTGCGGTCTGCGGGATGCGGTCAGATAAGGTGCGTCCAAGAGAGCGGTCACCGAGGGCGGCGGTGGGGGATCGGAGCTAAAGTACATTCTCTGGCTGGGGAGAGGTTAGCTTCACTGCCATCTGGAGAGGATATCTTGATGCTGACCCTTCTGGACGATCTTCTGGGCCTCACGCTCGGCCTGTGCGTTGCTGTGAGCTCGGTGTTGTTGACATGGACCCGCAACTCGGGTTAGCTTACGTCGAGCAGCGTCTGAATGCCCGCGGAGTTCTGGGCGGACTGCGAGAGGCAGGTCAGTCTAGGAGCAAGCTGGGGACGGGATGCGAAGCTCGACGCACCATGGTGCCGGGATGTTGGAGGGATCGATGACGAGGTGGGGTGGATGGTCGCGAGAGGTCGAAGGTGCCCGATGCTGGAGCTGCGACTGGAGTTGCAGCGGGCCTCGTCGTGCTTGCCCGCGTGGAGCTCGAGCCAAGCCTCCAAGGCGGTGAGGGTGGTGCGGCGCCTGACTGACGCCCGCCAATCTCAAAATATCCCGGCCCGTCTCTTCCCTCGCACCACTCACATTCGCTTTCGATCGGCTACACTTCTTTCTGCGGAGCAATCTCCTGAGACTGGGAGTAGTCACCTTCTTCTCCACAATCATGTCCACCGCATCCAAGCTCACCCTTCTGGGCACCACCGCCGGCGCCATCGGCATCGTCATCATGGTGCATTACCAGCAGAAGGCCGAGAAAGCGGTACGCTCAGCGCATGTTGACGACGGATCACTTACAAACTAATGCGATTTTAGGCCATGCACGCTGGCGTTCTCCGTGACCTCGAACAACAAAAGCTGAAGCGCGAACGTATGCTCGACTTTGAAATGCAACGGAAATTGGAGGAAGAATACCGGAAAGTCCAAACGGTCTCGGATGGAAGACAAGATATATCATAGCCCACTGCAGACATTGCGTGGCCGCCGGTTCGCTTGGAATTATGAACGAGTTGCGCCGCCTGAAAAGGACTTGCGCAGCACCGCAAATTCCAGCCTCGAACCTACGCTGACCGGCATGCTTGCAATGGCTTTCGCTTCTGCAGCGTCGGCACCATGCACAGTACGTGTACTTGATACAACAGTGCTACACTAGCCGGACCCGACATCTTGCGATATGCCGATATTGTCCGTTGCCATCTGAAAGTCGGTTCGGACCAGCTTTGCACTCTGTGCTGAGCATAGCGCTTGCTGCGCTACCACAATACATCTCCACTCCAATGGCCTGGAAAGCGGTCAAACAGCTTGAACGAATCAAGAGGAAGAGCTTGAACCTGTAAAAAGATTGTAAAACAAGTAATTACAAGCGTAACCACTGTCCCTCGTTTCCTGCATCAAAGCCTGTCACAGGTGAAGATTAAGAGAAGGTCAGATATCGCCAAGGCTTCAGCTATTTCAACGACTGCACTGCGTGTGATGTGGAGGAATCCAAGCCAGCTTGTAACGCCCACGGTAGCTCCATCAAGATGCAATCCAAGATTCCAAAATGCCACCCAATAGTCTGCTAATTTAACGTAAAGACGCAGCGCTCACGAAGACAGCTTCCTCTTTCCGGTCGTGACGGTGGTATCCATCGGATCGCCCTCATCATTGGTGAACTCCACCACTTCCCACTCCTCACGATACGAACCATCCTCGGACGCATAACCCCCGCGCGTCCTGTTAATCTTCCCCAGACGACTGTTCTCCACCAACCGCTCAAACCACGGCGCACCCCGACCCGGCGTGACCTGCAACGGCCCAAAAACCTCTCTTGTCATTCTCGCTTGCTGCTGGCTCTGCGCGCCTCCAGCAACCGACGGCGGCGTCACAGCCCTGCTCGTCGGCACCGACATGACTCCTCCTTCATCCGACGAAGCGTCCCCGTGGAACAAACCCATATCTTCCAGCTCGTGCACGTCCTGCTCGCGCAGGCTGCCCAGCGTCAGCGAGATGAAATCGGCGTCTTCGCGCGTGCGCTCGTGCCATGATGTCAGCGGGGTGCCGCAGAAGCCGCAGAACTGGCGGCGGAGGCCGGGCAGCGTCGTCGTGGCTGGCAGTGTCGATTGCGGCTCGTAGAAGGTGCGGCGGATGAGGGAGAGCGGCTCGTCCGGGAACAGCGGCTCGGCGGATGAGCGGTACCAGCTAAGGGGCACGCGGAGGAAGGCGCTGAAGGGCGTGCCTTGGTGGCGGCCTGTTGGGTAGTACGGAATGCGTCAGTGGTCGGTGTGGCTTGAGACGTGGGAGAGCTTTTGGGGGAGGAAGAGGGCTGCTTACGGGTTCGGAGGCTGCTGTCGAAGAGAACGGAGGCGAGTTGATCAGATGCGGGAGGGACTTGGACGACGTAGTGGTTGCGTCCGCAGGCACAGGAGCCCTGGAGTGTGCGCTCCATGGTGTGGTGGGCGCTCAAAGTGTGGTGGCCGGAAGCTCGCTGCTCGGAATGCGGATCGGCGCAGGATAGTTGTTTGTCGGCTCAATTGAACGCGTAGTATGAAACTTATTTGGGGTCGAGTTGGGACGGAAGCTCAAAAGGTATCGAAGGAACCTGTCGACTTGCAACTGACGCGTAACAGGTAGCTTAAGTGGACTTGAACGATGGAGGGGCTTTGGACAGTGCGGCATGGAGCCTTTCATCAATCAGGCAGATCATATGTCATTACTCGCACGGGCCATAACCGCGTTTTCGCCGGGCGGGCGGGCGGTGGATGACCTACCCAGCGCTTGCTTTTGCAGGGAACCACCGAATGCTCGCGAAGGCGCCGCGTCTTTCCATGGCCTTCCGCTCTCATGCACCTCCCCCCGCAGCCAGCCATGAGAGTAGTCAGCCACCTGCAGCGAGCGGGGAAGGCCGATAATCGCCTTCAGGCCGCCAGGCATCGACGTTGTGCCCACAAAAGAGTAATCGAAGACGTTCTTTCTAGCATCGTCCGGAAAGTGCTTGGAGGCTTCTTGGCTGACGGTGCCCTACCGCGCAGTTATATGCGCCAATCACCTTGACCACATGTCAGCTGTCTGTCCGGTCCCCTCTGACACACCTACGCCCACGCCCATGACTACGTCTGCCTGAGGCACCGTAACCCAAGGCAAGGGAGACGAATTGCTCGCAACCACAACTCCGACATAACGCCACATTGCTGCACACACGCAAATTTGACAGCTCACAAGACAGATTGTTATTACTATTGCTACCGTGCTCAAATCAGAACCTGTATCGAACTCCTCTATCAACCGAAATCTCATCGCACCGACCGCAAGCAGAACAAAAATTTCAGATGGCCAGCATCGAATCGTTCACCATCCTTCCCACCTGCGCCAGGGCAAATGGCGCTTTTCTGGTTCCGCAGGCACCCTGCTGAGGAGCCGCTCTTTGGAGTCGGAGACTTCAGGACCGTATTTGCAGAAATCCCAGAGGCCTAATGTTTCTTGTTAGCAGGAATGTTTGTTTTTTCGGTGTTACGGCAAGAGGATTTGCTAACCTGAAGCCATCGCACGGGGCCTCTCAGTGAGGTATTTGCTGTAGGAGCTGTTTCGCGAAAGAGAGGGTCGCTTGGTGGGCAAGTTTTGTGGTACGGGCGTTGTTGGGGGAGAGTTGAGGGAGACGCTGCTCGCCGACCAACTGCTATCTGTGGCCATCTCGTTTGAGAAGAGAATTGAGAAGGAATAGAGGATCTGGCGGTGTGCTTGAGTCTGGTCGTCGACAAGAGACCTTGCAACTTGGACTTTATAGTATGGGATGCGACCGCTATGTGGTACCTAGGGTTTAGAAGTGGCAACGAACCGTACTTTCAGGTTGCATGTGAATAATAATAAACATAGGGGATGAAAATCTTTCTTTATCTACGTCCAATATGCGGTCTTTGGTTGTCATGGGTCCTTTGGAAAGTCGGCTCACACTGCAAATCTTGCGGTTGGGATCACGCAACACGGGTCGAGATAACATGTGTAGTAACGGGACCATGGGTCCGTAGACCCTGAACTAGAACATCGTGAGATAACCAGCTATTATTAGCGTAGGCCTTATCAGATACAGATGATTTGCAACCCTTTTTCGCCGGTCACTATCCTCAGTACTGACTACTGTGCGGCCGATTCTCAACTCAAAGAACGGAATCACCTCAAACTAAACCTCATCCACAATCTTCGACCCGTCGATATACCAGGCATCCATCAACACCTTCTTAGCCGCCTCGAAATCCGTCCCCTCGCACTTCTTCTTCAACGCCGCCCTGCTCTTCACTAGCTCCTTCGCCACATCACCCCACGCCACCCTCTCCTTCCCCACGAGGCCCCTCGCATCCTCCTCCACCACCACATCCACCAACCGCCCACCCCTCTTCCTCACCACCCCATCCACCACCACCGCCTCGACGTCCTGCGGACTCGAATGCAGTACGATCGCCGCGACGGGGTCCTCCTGCGCCGCGCACACCATGGCCGGGCTGGTGCCGGCCCAGACGACGACGTCAGCCTTGCAGCCCTCGCGCAGGCGGCCGGCGACGCCGTCGAGCGCGAGCGCGCGCGCGCCGTGCACGGTGCCGAGGTTGAAGGCGTCCTCGACGGAGCGCCAGACGCGGCGCGGCACGCGGCCGGCGTCGAGGAAGCGCTGGTTGCGCTCGCCGCGCGCCGCCTGCAGGCCCAGCCGCAGCTCGCCCGCGATGCTGCCCGCGCCCGCCGCGTGGCAGTCGTTGCCGGCGCACGCGATTGGGAATGCGTCGACTTCGGAGGAGGAGGAAGAGAAGGCTAGTGGCCGCCCCAGCGCCATCTGTAGCTCCGTGCTCGGCGTGCTGGCGAGGTGGCTGCCGCTGGCTTTCATGATGCGGATGTCGTCGGCCGTGGCGCCGTTGGAGTGGGAGAAGACGACCGAGGGGAAGGCGTGGGGTGAGGAAGAGGAGGAGGATGCGGTTGCGGTGGCTTCGTTTTTGGGGAGGAGGCCCCAGGATTGGAGGTGTGCAGGCAGTGAGTGGTCGGCTTGGCTGGCGTTGCGGACGAAGTGCGTCGTCAGCAGGTGGATGTTGTGCTGGCGTGCCGCGGCGAAGAGCGGGCGGCAGGCTTCTTCGGGGAGGAACCAGCCGTCAAAGGCAAGGCCGAGGGTTACGCGCCCATCGCCTGGGCCGAAGGGGGAGCGTGAGGCAAGTGAGTTGAAGGTTTCGAGGACCCAGGGCGCGAGCATGGAGCCATCCGGGGAGGTAGAGAAGGTCAGAGTGGGCTCCCAGGAGGCTACTTGGTTGATTGGGGTGTAGGCGAAGATGGAGCGGATGCCAGAGGTAAGGGTTGCGGAGATGGCGGTGGGCGCTATTTGGGTTGTGAGTTGAATGTCTGCATTTGAGGCGGACGCGGAAGGTAAGTGTGTGTCACTGTTTACTTACAGGCTTCAGGAGAAGTGTTCAAGTGCGCATGGTCGAGGACCGTGGTTGTGCCAGCATTGAGAAGCTCGAGACAGCCGCCTAGCTGGCCCCAGTAAAAGTCGGAGAGGGTATAGTGGGAAGATTGCAGGTTCCCTTGCCAATATCGTCAGCCTTTCGCCCTTAGCACTAATCGGCCCAAACTAACCGGTAGGCATGTACTCCAAGAATGTCTCGTCGGCATGTCGGCCTTTCAGCTGTGTCTGCCAGACGTGCTGATGGCAGTCGATGAACCCGGGGCTGACAATTTTATCAGTACAGTCAATCACTTCTCCAACACCTTTGTCGGAGATTTCTGGCGCGATGCAGGAGATGATATTGCCAGCAATCAGGAGGTCGGCCTTGGTCGGGACGACATGATCGTTTTCATTGTGGATGAGGAGTGTGCCACCTTTGAGCAAGATTGTGGAAGCCATTTCTCATGAAACGTGGAAACTAGCCCTGATGATGGCAATTGATGGAAAGACCTGCGGAACTCTTATAAGTAGCTGGCGACATTGTTCCCTTGGCTTGCCTCTGAGCGGGGTTCGTGCTAAAATGTTGCAAGTCCGGCTCCAGAACTGTATTCGCTCGGATTCTCGCTCTTTGCGAGCTTCCATGAAAGCTCCACATGGGTCCCCGCTCGCGCCGTTAAGCCGCTAAACTGGACCAAGTAATGAGGGCCGCGAATTTCTGCGACAAGACCTCTTACACGGCGATCTTGTTAGAGGGCTGAGGAGTAAAGAAGGTGGTTAACTTCATTCGTGATGGCTGTGGCTCGGGTTTTACGGGGCGTCGGCCTTTCGCTCTTTGGATGTGTGCGAGGGCCTTGGCTGAGGGCCTTGATGACAAGAGCAGAAGACCCAGACCTGGACCAGAACCCGGAATGCTGGAAGAAAACGCTATCGGGAGCTTTGATATCGAGAAAAGGTCTGATATCAAAACTGTCCACCAACGAGTTCCTACCATAGGCGGCCAGGAACACGTGACATATGCAGTCTTCGCCAAGAATCAAGACCAAGCTTCGTCTGAGCGCTCACCGTGCAGGCTTGGAGCACTGTCAATGGCGGGCAAGGGTTTGAATAGATGGAAAGCAGAAGGGGCCAATGGGCAGAGTTGGCAGCTTCGCCAGATGCGGAGGGCGCGGAACTGGTCCGGTCGGAAGCGCACAAGCACACACGTGCAAGACCTCACCACGGCATTCGCTACTTTTCCACATCATTATCTCCCCACGAACCAAGGGAGGAACTGCATCTAGGATGCTACAAAAGCGAGCGGGCAAGCTTTCTCTGGCTTGGCCAGCCACCCAAAACGCGGTTTGTGAGCCGCATCCACGTTTTCTGGCCTTGTCATGACGCGCGACAAAACTCTCGTCCTCGTTTCCATGATCCCTTTTGCTCTGAGCTCTCCTGAGATGCAAGTCTCGGCCCCTGGTGTCTTGTCCTACGAAGTATCGGCCGGTTTCCCCACGTCCGCCTTCTCGTCCTATTATCTGCCGCCCTCGACGACCCAGGAACCGCAGCCTGCACTCCATGATCCGGTTCTGAATATCACCTTCCCGCTCAACCTCACCGATCCGAACACGATACCCGAAAAAGATTTTGACCCTGTGTTCTATCCAAGCCCCATTGGAGACCTCTCCTCAGGTGAGGTTGAAGCACTGTTCAATGATATCCTTGCCAACATCTCCACCATCATTGACGACGATGGAACTGCCAATAACTGCTCAAAATGCATTGCGGCACTGGAAGCCGCCAAACCAGCAGCCCTCTACGCTCCTGATAGAGTTCCGGATGCGATGATTGACATCTGCAAGAAGTATCGGCTGCATTCGGACAGCACTTGCGAGGAGGACTTCTCGGCTCATACATTTGGCTCCATCTGGACCCAGGTCTTGAGGTTTGCCGATCTAAGCGGATCTGATGGTCATTACATCTGCAACTCGCTAAGCAGCACCTTCTGTTCCACGCAGAAGACTGCTCCCCTGGACACGACCGCGCTATTCCCGAAGCCGAAGCCTGCCAATGCCACAGCTCCGAGGGCTAGCGGAAACAGGGTCAAGGTGCTGCACATGTCAGACTTCCATCTTGACCCACGTTATTCCGTGGGCTCTGAGGCGGATTGTTCTGCGAGCATGTGTTGCAGAACCAACGTGGAGAACTCGGTCTTCGGCTCCGGTCAAATATCGTTTCCTGCCCCTCTATTTGGCGCTTACAAGTGTGATACTCCATACGATCTTGGTCTCGCCGCTCTACAGGCGGTTGGACCGCTAACGGGAACAAGCAAGCAGGAGCCCTTGGCCTGGACAATATACACTGGGGACCTCGTTTCCCATGATCCGCAAAGTCAACTTTCTCGAGCTTATGTTGAGTATGCTGAGACCAGCATCTATGGCATGTTGAAGAAGTATACCACAGGCCCGGTTTTTGCGGCGCTGGGGAATCATGATAGCAGCCCGGAAGCCGTTGATTCTCCTCATAACTTTCCCGGTCCGCTCGGCGAGCAACAGTCATGGAACTACGACCACGTTGCAGGCCTGTGGCAGCATGAGGGCTGGATTGGCCCAGAGGAAGCCGCTGAGGCGCGCCTGCATTATGGCGCCTACAGCATCAAGAACCACTACGGCCTGCGCATCATCACCTTCAATACTGATTTCTGGTACAAGTCAAATTTTTTGACCCTAGTCAATACCACTGACCCAGACAACTCTGGTATGTTCAAGTGGATGATCAACGAACTTCAGGCCGCCGAGGATGCAGGTGAACGGGTATGGATCATCGGACACGTTCTCTCCGGCTGGGTCGGCACGAACCCTCTCCCGAACCCAACAGACCTATTCTACCAGATCATTGACCGCTATAGCCCTCACGTCATCGCCAACGTCTTCTTCGGCCACACCCATGAGGATCAAGTCATGATTTACTACGCCAACAACGGTACTGTACGTGACGCCAAGAACGCTCTTACGTCCGGCTGGATTGGACCTTCCGTGACGCCTCTCACAAACCTCAGCTCCGGTTTCCGCCTGTACGAAGTTGACACCGGCACCTTTGATATCATGGACGCTTGGACCTTTGTTGCAAATGTTTCTGCCTTCCCAGGTATGAGCGGCACCGGGCCAACGTATAGCCTGGAGTACTCGACGAGGGATACGTACGGGCTTGCGGCCGACTGGCCTGAGGAGGCGCCGCTTAATGCTACTTTCTGGCATCACGTGACGGAAGCTATGGAAGCAAACCGTACTCTCGTTAGCATCTTTAATACGTACCAGGGCAAGAGCAGCGTGATGAGTCCAAACTGCACAAATGACGCGTGTGCGGAAGCAAAGATTTGCTACATGAGGAGTGGTAGCGTGGCGCTTGGAAGTCAGTGTCCGCAGGGGTAAGCTTACTGTTTCTCATTGTAAGATGTTGCTACTAACTTCAATCGCAGGTATGGCTCGGTGCAGAGCGCCTTTAAACCTTCGTCTTAAACTAATAGAGATAATTCTCCTCCCCATATGATCCTTTGCCCGAGGTGACGGTACTACGCGCATAACTTTCTTTTTCAAAGCTCTCTTCCCCAATCTCTATCAGGAAGATCTCACGTGTTCGACTATGCTGATGTCATATTTCTGCGAAAGGTATGATTCTTGTTTATCTTTTTTGGGATTATTCCGCAGTTTCCGCACTTCCGGGAGCACAGTGTTGCAAAAGTTCCACTTTTCACCACACTATCCTCATAAAACATGGCATCCTACTTATGTTATAGGTGGAGCATGCATCTGGATGTTTCAGTACAGTTCTGCAGCCAACGTGTACATTCGGAGAGGCGCTCCACCTACATATGTTGAAAAAAGGTATGTTTTGCGAAAGGTTTGCGAAAGGTAAGCTCCTGTGTAACCGGCTGAAACAATATTTCGGCTCTCCGCCGATTATGTAAGGCCATTGTGGTGAAGCCATTGGTCGTGAGGCTGGCCGTTGTGGCTGATGCTCATTCTAGCGTTCTTCGCGGCTGCGAGCTACAGGGCCCCACACCGCCACGACGTCCCGAATCAACGAAATGAACGTAGTATTTGAACCCCTCCTCTTCTGCTCGTCGACTGTCATCTGCAGTCCCTCGACCTCTTACTCACGTTATTGCGTCGCCCGAGCGCTTGTTGGCTTTGGTCCCCCTTTATCCCTCACGCAGTAGACATCAACCTCGAGAGGTACAGCCACAGCCCCCACGACCGAAGGCTTGGATTCGGATGACCGAGTCCCCGCCCCATGGACCGCCCCCACTCGCGGTCACTAAATCCAATTGGGGAAGGTGGGGGCGGCGTGCGTCACCGACCCAAACAGCTGTCACAACATAATCTCCAGGTGCTCCAAGCATCTACTGCCGCGGTACATACAATCTTCGACCCGATGAATGTCAACGGCGGGCTAATAATAACCCGCAGTTGCATGCCCCCGACAATGACAGATACGAAGTTGGCTTTCTGAACGGTTACGACGGACCAAGACAACATGACGCTTCCACCGCTCTTTGGAGGTACACCCAGGGCGAAGCCAAAGAAGATCCGTTTCCACTTTACGCAAAGGGAGCCCAAAATGCCGCCTACAATCCGGAACAGCATGTACAACTTTCAGCAGTACCTCAAGGTAAAAGACGTGAAAGATCTGTTTCTATACCCCAAGGCGATGTCTATGAGGGAGGTACTAAACGGCGTTGTTCTACATCCACCGGTACCGAGACCCGGGCAGACTTTGCTTGCCCGTATTACAAAAGGTTCTCAAGACAAGGATTGCCTTCTAGTACCTGCACTCACCCGTTTCCGACCTCTACTAGGGTGAAGTGAGTATATGCGCGCAAGATCATTCAATAACATTTTACTGACATTTTGTCTTAGAGAGCATCTTCTCAGGACCCACTCACTCATTAAGGCGCAAACTGGAAATAGAACTTCGGCCCATGCGAGAACGAGTAACCCTGAAATGCTGTTCGGCCCCGAGAAGCAAGCATCTCTTAAGCAGAGATCCAAGAGACATACATCGGAAGCCGAGAAATGGAAGGTCTTCTGGGGCATTTTATTTCCGAACATGACGAACATTCCTTCACCATGTATGCATACCCGACAAGAATGTTTTTCCGTTGCTAACAGGAGATCCCAGATCTTGACGACGAAAATGCATCCTGCGCCGAGAAGGATCAGTTCGCGAGCTTTCAGGAGATGCAATGCATGACGTTGCCCGAGAAGGTACAGAAACGCCTCTCTGAAGAAACCAGTCGCCTTAAATATACGGACGTGGACGAACTGATTGACATGCTCCCCGCGCTGATGCGTGAAGTCATGATGGAAAACGGCTTTAATTCCCGAAACGACACACGAGCAAACACGCCCATCACTGTTTCTGGTTCCTTCTCAGTGACCGCAAATTCAGCAATACGTGGACATTCCGACCTCCAGGCAACAAGCACACCGCAACAACCCACGACACAGGACTCCACCAGCGACCTCATGTTCCCAGGAGATGCGTCACAGGCCGAGAGCCTTGGTCATCCTCAAGGGATGCATGTCGATACTTCCAATGATTCGGCCTACTTCTCTGCAGAGATGGAGGCTAGACAGCAACCTCTAAAATACCCAATGGAAGATGCAGAGGACTATCACAGCCACCAGATCCCCGGCATGAGCTCTTTTGACGGTCCAAGTGTGGCAAACAACTATTCCGGTTATTCTCACTGGAGCTCAGGCAGTCTGATAACGTCGTTCATGCAGCCAGGCCCAGGCCATGCTGGCGCGCAAGACCGATCACCTACAGACTTCGCCGGCGGCTGGGCAAACGACGAGACCTTGGGCAACGAAGGAGAGCAGATCGCTGACTTGAATTTCTTCGATGAGTTTCTTCACGAACAGGGAACACAAACGGATTATGCATTGTCGACATCACTGCAGCGAACCGGTCCACACTGACGGGTACTCGTGGCGGATCTTCGGAATGTTTACGTTGGCAGCATTGGCGAAAAAGTTTGTCTTTTGAGCTTAGTTGTGGCATTTGGAGTAGCATGGCTATTGGTTTAAAGAAGTCTTTGGATGCGGACATACTAGGGATGCTGTGCAGTTCAAGCGCTAATTGTGGATGTTATACGGGCTGAATTTATCATGCTTTATATCGATGACAAGAACAAGCTCGAAGCAGCTGTTCGTTTCTCATGAGACATTAGTATTGACCGTTTGGCAGGAGAATAGGTGCTATCTGGTAGACATGCAAACTCCATGCTCTCCGTACTACAGAGGGGTGCTGCAGCCAATGGCTAGCGCGAAGAATAGCCCCAGCTCTTTCTCAGAAAAATAACATATGTGGGTAGGTGAAGCTATCGTCCAGACGTGAATGTATAATTATTAATTCCACATTTACGTCCGGACGATAGCTTCAACTGCCCACGGTATGGGCGAAATGAATTCACGCTAGCCGTCGGCTGCAATACCCTCCTGTATTTCAGCAGCCCCAACTTTGAACAAAGTTCTCCCCCATGCTCGCTCGCTCCACCAACCGTTTGCGCGACTCGGGCCGTTTAAGCACGGGTGGGGTCCAGGACGGCACGACGACTACCCACCTTATCGTGTTCGAGGACTCTGATTGGCTCGCGCGATTGTTCAACCGAGTATAACTGTGTACGGAAGCACTCCGGACGGGCAACATGCCTGTTCCTGCAGTCTACACCGGCTGGCGGGTCACACGTGGCTAGATTGCCGTGCCCCTTAAGTCGTTTTACGATTGTCGTTGGTATTGGCAGCATTGGCGACGAGGGTCGAGAGCTGCTTAGTGGGGAAATGGAGGGAGGGGTCGAAGGGAGGCCTTGAACGGAGGATTATTACCAGTTCGATGGAGCCCCAGAGGTGGTCCTTTTAAAGCAATTGTGATGTCCAAAGGAAGGGCTTCCTCGTCGCCAATCACATCCAGTTGCTCACTACAGGAACCAACATCGTACATAATGAGTAGCCAGAAAACCCAAGATCGCGTCGCCATCGTCACCGGCGCTACGGTAAGCACATATATCCGCCCCTTCCCAAACACCACACCACCACCATCCTACCCGCCATTCTGCACCATCCACCGATCCGCCACCCACCATGCCACCCCCCGACTGACCATCCCCCACCAGTCCGGCATCGGCGTCGACATCGCGCGCGACCTGCTCTCCACGGGCTACAAAGTCGCGCTCGTCGGTCGGCGCGCCGAGCTAGGCACGCTCGTCGCGACCTCGCTCGACCCGACAGGCGCGCGCGCGCGCTTCTTCGAGGCGGACGTCGCGTCGTACGCGTCGCAGGCGTCCATGTTCCGCGCCGTGCACGCGCTATGGGGCCGCATCGACGTGCTGTGCGCCAACGCGGGCATCACGGACAAGAGCAGCGTGTACCAGCTGACGGCCGAGCACGGCGGCGCGCGCGCGTCGGCCGACGACGTGCCGCCGGCGCCGGACCTGGAGGCGACGGATGTGTGCTACAAGGGCGTCGTGTACGGGACGATGCTGGCGGTGCACTTCATGCGGTTTAACAGCCCGACGCCGGGGGGCAAGGTTATCGTGACGGGGAGTGTGGGCGCGTTTCATCCGCATAGGGTGGTGCCCGAGTATTGTGGTGCGAAGGCGGCGGTGGTGCAGTTTGTGAGGGGCGTGGCGCCCGTGTTGAAGGTCAAGGATGGGGTGACGATTAATGTCGTGCATCCTGGGTTGGTGCAGACGCCGATTATTCCCCAGGAGATGATTAAGGCGGTGCCCGAGGGATGGTAGGTGCAGAGCTGTTTTCTTTTTTTTTTGTCCCTTCTACTTCCCTCGCCATATTTCCTATCATTTTTTCTTGATTTCCTCTCTTTTGCTTTTCACTCGATTCCTTCATTTCCAACTCAAGATACGGATAGGCCATACTGATCATTCTTGCATAGCCCCACACCCGTTGAAACAATCATCAAAGGCTACCGCGTGTACCTGGAGGACGACACCGGCCGGACCGGCGAACAGATGGAGGCGTCCGGCACCAACCTTGTTTATTATGATCCTCCAGCCTACGCCAACGGAATTGCAACGGAGGGCGCTACCACAGTGTGGGAACCGTGGTTCATCATGGGGCATGGTGTCGAGACTGGGCTGCCGAACACGTACAAATAAGAGAAAAATAAGTTGTCGTCAGAGCACAGTCTGCATGTAAATATCCAGGAAATCAAAGGACTCCATTGATCATTGAGAAAAGGGCCTGGACGGGATGTCTCACGTGAAGCGGACCAGGTGGTATGTAAATAAACAAGACTACATCAAATTCTGACAAACTCGAACTTCCTCGCGAGCCAGCAGCCGATAGTGACACTCCTCACCGAATCATCCTCATCCCGACCAAACACCAAGGTCCAATTTCCTGGGGCGGGAGCATCCAGGCCTCGCGGACACGCCAGAGCCCAGACGTCTCCTCCAAGATATCGCATCAGATGTGCTGGACCTTGTCCCAAAATTCCATCAAAAGCGCCGTACAACATCTCACCTTTGCCCTCGCAGTGGAACACGGAGTCGAGTTCAGCGCAGCGGTAGTCGCCGAGGAAGGGCGCACTCTGAAGGCCGAGATTCGGTGGGAAAAGGCGGTCGGCATGAACGATCAGATTGTCTTCCGTCCGATTGATGCTGAGATGTTCCCAGTTGATGGCCGCAACCATGCCTCGAGACAGAGCACGGATGCCACTGATAGGTCGAACATCCTCCGCGTCGCCTGTGAAGTTGACTGCAAGTTTCCCGTTCTTGCCGGGAGACACGGTGACGGCTAGCTGCGTGTCGCGGTCGAGAAAATTCCCAAGCCATTGTGGATCGGGATCGACGGTCGAAGCTTCCGGCTCAGGCAGGGTCAATATCTTTCTCAAGATGTATTCTGCAGCATCTCCTGCGTCGGCTTCGTGGTTGAACAAGACGACAACGGACAGGCGTTCTTGAGGCGCGTACATTCGGTGGAGCCGGTATCCACGGAGCGCGCCGCCGTGCCCTACAGTGGCTACCCCTTCCACGTCGACGTGAAACAAGCCAGAGCGGTATCGTGCAGGATTGCCGTTGTTGAACTTTTGGGACTCAGCACATGGCCGGTACCAACTTTGCGGGTCAGACCAGAGGCGATCGAAGTATTTCTCGTAAGCGACCATGTCTGCCAACGACGCCACTACTCCGGCATCACCAGCCCACTCTATCGCGTTGGAAGCCGGGAAGAAGCCGTGCTGCTCGTCCCCTTCGTAGCCGACGCAGGGTTCGGGGTGATCCCCTGTTTTCGCACACAGACGAGCTGTTTTCATGCCAGCCGGAGTAAAGACGTGTTGTGCAAGCAGCTTTTCGAGTGGGGTGCTGGTGACTTCCTCCAGCACTCGTCCAAGGACATGGAAGTTCGTATTCGAGTAGGAATACTGCGCGCCGGGCTGAAACTGTAGCGTGGCAAACCGATCGAGCACCGCTCGAGCATCAGTCTCCCGGGAGAATTGACGTTCCGGCAGTGCACCCAAAAGTGTGCTTGTCGCCCAGTAATCGCGGATCCCAGATTGATTGTCACGCAAGTGGTTAAGCGTTAAACCGCTCTCTTGTTGGAGTTGTTGAGGAAGAATTGACTGTAGCTTCTCGGCGAACTTTTCTGTAACGTCTCCCAGCTCAGCCGTTTGTGGTGTTGGATTGCGCTCCAAATCAGTCATGGTCATGCACAGCATCTGCTTGGTGATGGAACATATTGGCATCAGTGTATCGGATGTCATCGGAATTCGTCGATTGATGTCGGCGTATCCCCAGACGTGCTGATCGATGAGTTCACCATCCTTCAGGACAGCAATCGCACCACCCGGTCCACGATAGAGGCATGGGACTTCCCCAAGGATGTGCGGTTCCACTTGCCGGTTGAAAGTCATTTTATGCCTATTGATTGGTTAGTCAAATCGGTTACCCTGTGGGCAGGCTTGCTGGGCGCTCGTACTACTACTACAGGAATTGACGTTCCTGTTGTAAGTCTGTTTATGACCTGTATCTTGTAAGCAGTCAGACGCCGAGATTCTGTGCGTACTCTAGTATGGTCATGATGTTAGTGGCGGGGATGTAGCGCTTTGGAACCCCGCACTCGATAAGATAAGAGAGGGGTCGTGCCTGATTACGTAACTAGCCCGCATTTCGCCGGGTACCAGTCTGGCAGCGATGCACAGGGAGTGAGACTCGATGTGGATATACACTTTCTCGTGTAGCCACGCAGTATGCAGATCTAAATATTGCTATACAGATTAACTGTGCCTCTTTGTTCTAAGTACAGTTGGTCGTGAAAAAAAGGCGGGTCCATTAGCAGCCAAGCGATATTACCTTAGGTGTTCGCGTGACGGGTGAGGAGATGTTGTGCCAGTATCTCTGTTGAAGCATACCGACAGCGGAAGAAAGTAAATTAACTGAATCAAGATGTACTCGTCAGCGTGGACTCCGAGAAGTGGTGCCTGCCCAGGAAGCATCATTTCCCTATCTTCTCCTATGGTGACACTCACTCCGACTGCGCCGACTACGCCGATATCTCCACGGAGGACAACTACTCCGAGCATAGTAGTCTGACGGTCACTCCGACCACATCAGCAGCCCCATGTATCCACAATCACCGAGGGACCAAAGATAAATGGTCGTAGGCTGCCACGTAGCATGGGATCAACTTCCCATCTTCATTCTTTTTGGCACGACCACCGCCGCCGAGTTGAACTATGCTTCGCGAAAAGCTCCTCCGTTTAGAGAAGCAACGAGCTCATTCCGAGCCTCTCCCGTCCGGGCCCTCGCCATACACGTCTTCAAGCTTCTTCAAGACACCAACCGCCACTCCCAAGCCCAAAGCCAAGTCCTGGAATCACCTCTTCAGCAACGCCGCCCTCAACCAGGGCACATCCGTCCTCAAAGCCTTCGCCCGCTCCAAGAGCCTCTCCCCCGACACCATAAGCCTAGGCACCGGCCGCCCGTCCGCCGAATTCTACCCATGGACCTCACTGTCCATGCACACTGCTGCCACCACCAGCAGCAATAGCAACCCCACCACCTCGCCTCCTCCCCAAACCACCATGACGACGACCTGCTCCATCACCGACACCAGCCCCTCCGCCTACAACCTCGCCGCCGCGCTCAACTACGGCTACGCCGCGGGGTCGCCGCAGCTGGTCCGCTTCGTCACCGAGCACGTCGAGCTGGTGCATGACCCGCCGTACGCGGACTGGGAGACGTGTCTGACGGCGGGCACGACGGCGGCGCTGGACACGGTGCTCGGGCTGTTCTGCGAGCGCGGCGAGGACACGTTGTTGGTGGAGGCGCACACGTACGCGGGCGCGCTGGACGCGGCGAGGGCGCGTGGGTTGGACGTGCTGGGCGTGGGGATGGATGAGGAGGGGTTGGTGCCGGAGGAGCTGGATCGGCGGCTTAGAGAATGGGATGGTGCGAGAGGAGGTGGCGAGAGGATGAAGAAGAAGAAGAAGAAGCCGTCGGTGCTGTACACGATCCCGTCGGGACAGAACCCCACGGGCGCGACGCAGAGCGCGGCGCGGCGCCGGGCCATCTACGACGTCGCCGAGCGGCACGACCTGTACATCATCGAGGACGACCCGTACTACTTCCTCCAGTTGGGGCCTCCTCCTCCTGCGCGCGTCCCATCCTCCTCCCAAGCCGACACCCCCCTCTTCCACCAAACACCACCACCGCCAACGACTAACAACGACCACGACGCCGACGACGCCTACCTCACCACCCTCCCCCCCTCCTACATCTCCCTCGACACCTCCGGCCGCGTCCTCCGCCTCGACTCGGCGTCCAAGATCCTCGCCCCGGGCCTGCGTGCCGGCTGGCTGACGGCCAGCGCGCCCGTCGTCGCCAAGTTCCTCGCGCGCACCGAGCTCGGCGCCGGCGCCCCCAGCGGGCCGACGCAGGTGTTGCTGTACAAGCTGCTCGACGAGGCGTGGGGCGGCCACGCCGGGTTGATTGGCTGGCTGCGAAGCCTGTCGGAGCGGTATAGGCGAAGGCGGGACGTCCTGGTCGAGGCGTGTGAGAGGTATTTGCCGAGGGAGGGTGGGGTGTGCGAGTGGACGGTGCCAGCTGAGGGCATGTTTTTGTGGGTGAGGGTTGGTGGGCCGAGGTGTCCGGGTGCGGTGCGGGCTGGAGGTTGCGGTGGTGAAGGTGGAGGCGGTGGTGGTGAATCACTCAGCCTCGTCATTGAGGACAGGATCTTCGCCCAGGCGCAGGAGGAGGGAGTCTTGGTCAGTAAGGGTAGCTGGTTCGCCGCTGATGACGAGGCGAAGAAGGCGGGCGGTGTCAATTTTCGGTTGACGTTTGCAGCGGCGCCGTTGGATGCGCTGGAACGTGCTGTGAGGCGGTTTGGAGCCGCCGTGCGCGCCGTGTATCAGCTTGACTGAGAAATCGGATGCTTAGGAAAGCCCTTGCACGTCATTCTCAGGACCAACGAGGAACGGATGTTCGGCGAGGTTGAGCCAGAAGTCTACTTCAAAGTCTTGTAGCACCTGGCCTTGCCAGTGCCCCCAGTCTTCAACGTAATCCGTCGGAGAAAGTGAAAGCGGGTCGGGTGCGGGTTGTGTGTTGGGCTGCTTGATGAACTCGTTGGACAGGAGCCTGTCGAGGAGATTTTTTATTGTTTGCGCGGCCCCAGATAGCAATGCATAGTTGGGATCTTCGAGATTGACGAGTGCGCCTGTTTCTACCTCCGCCACCAAAACACTTAGGTCTCGGATAGCCTTGGAGGGAGATGCCCCTTCGCTGCCTGTCGTGAATGATTTGTTCAGCAAAGCAAGGGAGATTATGCCTGCCGCCGCGAGTCCATAATATGCTACCTATGACAGATTAGTTTGAGCCTACCCCGCGATGCGGGACTGGACTTACCTTCCATCGAAGAGATGTGCCGGAGTTTGCCAGCCGGTCTCTCAGGACCACCGCCTCAACGATGAGACTCAGCATCTCGGCGGAAATGGCTAGTAGCCTAACGCCTGGTTCTGACACTCGTCGCACCAGTGCCAAATGCAAGAGAAGCCCAACGTGCAGGTAATTAAGGCGCGCGCTAACCATAAAGTCCTGCTCTATGGGTCGTCGGTCACCATAAGACCTCAAATGCCCTTCGAGACGGAACTGTGGAGGCAGTGTGGCCCACTGTTCTTCGGCATCGGCTTGAATCGCCCTTTGTTGATCAGCATTGACCTTTACCACGCATGGGGGTCCACCAACCGAGCCTTGCGTATTCGATGATCATGGTTCTCTTCTCGGAAGAGATCAAGTATATCCTCTTTCAGAACCGCTAGCACAGCAGACCAGCGCGTATCCGCTAAATAGGTGAAGCTTTCGTTTGGAGCCCATTCGACGCGCCGCCGAACAATCCGGCAATACTTTCGATGCAATCGCGGCGGTCGTCCCATGAATATCGCAATGTTCTTGTCTGCAGAATAAGCGCGTTCAAAAGCGCCTTGCCGAAGTTGAATCAGAAAGGCTGGGTCGTTTTTCGCATTGCCAAAATTTTCGTGGTAGCCGAGGGCAAACAGTGAGCTCACAACATCTCCCAGCTTCCTCCAAGATTGGTAGCCTAGAAAGTCAGCACAGTTTTGCAGATGAAGACGCGATTACTCACTCTGGTCTCCTTCTACCTGAGCATGGAGAATGAAATTTTCGTACTGCAACAGGAGTTGAAGGTCATTCAAGCAGTCGAGAGATATAGCAATTTCCAGGCAGAGGTCCGAGTAGTGCATAGCGAGTCTTTGGAGATTTCCCCGGTCGTGGTTAGAGTCGTAGAGGGGTTCAAAGAATGGAACATCAAGCGTAGCTCGAGCGACAGCAGTGAAGAATAAGCCCAGGGTCTCCCATCGAACCCTTTCCCTGCAAAATCTAGCACAGAACTCCTCCATTGTGACATCAGCACCAGTCACCAACGGGCTGCATGAGTGCGAGAATAGATTTCTTGATGTTTCCTCCATGTCTTTCTGGCTTTCACTGGGGGTTTCAAAGAGATATTGAGCTGACTCAGCGCATTGAATGGTGAAAGGGCCAACCAGGGCGAGATTGACCCCGCTGGCGACCCATGCCTTGACCAATGAGATCCAGGACGATCCTTTCACTGAACAGATTTGTGTAATTAACATGGCGCCGTGAGAGACCTTCTCATCATTGACCACACAATCGAAGGCCTTGTTGAGACCTCGTCCTGTAGCCTGATCTTTCTCCTCGATCTCGCTACTACTTCCAGATGAGAGGTGTTCGAAAAACGTGGTGTGGCTGGAGGAGCCGAGGTAGCCTGGATTGGGATAGCGTCGTGATTTTGCTAGTGGTCTTCCAAGGGATTTAGGCTTGAGCGAATAGATTGGCGTCTTTTGTCGAGAAGGGCTTGGGTTGGTGGATATGTCTTGGACTTTCCTCTTTTTGAATGGCTGCGATCGATATGCGCAAGCAGCTGCCTGGTTCCTGTCCCTACATCGTGAACACACTGGCTGCGTATGGTCGCAAGCCAGTTTTGAGGCCCTGCAAGGATCACAAGCCGGGAATTTCGGGGGCATTGTTGGGTACGCAGGGTATCAGAAGGGTTGAGATGCCTTTCTTGAAAGGAAGCTGGATATCACTCCGAGAGACAAAGCGGACACAGACTGTTGGAGATAGGCGAGATGGCACGCTAAGTGGCATTAGTCATACTTCAGTCCCACTCCGATAACGGGATGCGGGGTATCTGAATATGCGTACAGCAGGGTAACAATTACGAGCGAAGTGGCCTCATATTGCGTCATGCAAACCTCCGCTTCTGTCATCTGGAATGTATGCTCAGCTTCAGTCGTTAGCTCGCATTTTGAGACGATATTTCGAATGGTTGATCTAGAAATTCCTTCGCAAGTAGCAGTGCTGTTTGCAAGGTAGCAGAGGTGCACTGCTAATCAGTAAGTGTACTTATGGAACGACAAGACGCTGAGCCGCAAGGCAGTAGAAAACTCTCAAGGAATATCAGTAAGCATGGCCAATTACTACACAAAGGTCACATCGGAGGATTGTCGGTGGGCCGTTCAAGAAAAGGCCGTGGAAGAGCTAACCTGCTCAGGAAAGTGATGTAGTCGGCACGTTCGGCATAGTCGGAGTAGTCGGAGTGTGGCGCCAACAGACCTCGCCCTTGAGCCGAACCTGCAGCCCCATTTACCCATCGGAATATTTATTGCGGTGACATGATAATTCAAGTAGTCCCACTCTTGAAGTTGTGTCCCGTTTCACCTTTCTGCTCTCTTCGTTAGTACTTCCAAAATGCCAGGCACCCTTGCACTCGCCGAGTATCTCTTCAAGCGTCTCCGCCAATTGGGTGTGGATTCCATCCACGGCGTCCCCGGCGACTACAATCTCGATCTGCTTGACTACGTCGAGCCGGCCGGGCTGATCTGGGTGGGCAGCGTCAACGAGCTGAACGCCGGGTATGCGGCGGATGGTTACGCGCGTATCAAAGGCCTCGGAGCCATCATCACTACGTTCGGCGTAGGAGAGCTGTCCGCAATCAACGCTATTGCCGGAGCGTACGCCGAGCGTGCGCCTGTTGTCCACATCGTCGGGAGCCCGAGGAGAGCCACTCAAGAGGGAAGACTTTTGGTGCACCACACGTTCAACGATGGCGACTATCGGCGTTTTGGCGAGATGCACTCTCACGTCACAGTAGCGCAGGCCAGCCTGAGAGACCCCCGGACGAGTCCCGAGCAAATCGACAATGTGTTGAAGCAGTGCTTGCTACACAGCAGGCCGGTGTATATTGAGGTTCCCGTGGATCTGGTTGCAGCGCCGGTTTCTGCAGCAAGCCTCGAGCGCGACATTCGTGTGCCGGATGCGGTGCCCGGTCCGGCCTTGGATGAGGCGTTGGCGAAGGTGCTGGATAGAATCTATGCCGCGAAGCAACCAGTCATCCTTGTCGATGGAGAGTGTCGGGCTCTCGGCATTGTCGACGACGTGCAGGCCCTCATCAAAAGCACCAATTGGCCTACATGGACAACAGCCTACGGTAAAGGCCTTTGGGACGAGACCTTACCAAATTTTCACGGCATCTACAAAGGCCGGTATGACGACAAAGCTGTGCAAGACTTCTTCAATCAATCAGACCTGGTCTTGTGCTTCGGACCGCACTGGAGCTCGACCAACACCAACGGCTACTCGAGCATACCAGACGCCAGTGTCAGCATATCTTTCACAGACACAGAAATCAAAACAAAGGACCGTACCTTCCGAGACATCCCAGCCCGGCAAGCAGCTTCTCAGCTTCTGCATCTTCTCGACCTCTCCAGGACCCGCCAATATGACGCCAACCACTCCGATGACGGGCTGTCCGCTCTCCGCCGCCACAATCTCCTCACCTTCTCGGACATCTCAGAGCACCGCGAACAGCCACTCACACACGACAAGCTCTGGCGCATCCTCGCCGGCTCCAACTTCCTCCGCCCGCACGACATCCTCCTCGGCGAGACCGGCACCGCCGGCCACGGCGTCAGGGAGATGCACCCGCTTCCGCGCGGGTGCCGATTCTTCGCGCCCGCCACCTGGCTGTCCATCGGATACATGCTGCCTGCGGCGCAAGGCGCGGCGCTGGCGCAGCGGGAGGCACTCGCATCCTCTCATGACCAGCAGCAGCAGCCGCAAGGCGGCGGCGGCGGTGGCCGCACGATCCTCTTCATCGGCGACGGCAGCCTGCAGATGACGGTGCAGGAGCTGTCCACCATTATCCGGCACGACCTCGACGTTATCGTCTTCGTCCTCAATAACGACGGGTATACGATCGAGCGGTGTATCCATGGCTTGCGCGAGCGGTATAACGACGTTGGGCGCTGGCGGTACTTGCGTGCGCCGGAGTTCTTTGGTGCTGGCAGCGGAGGGGACGGAGACGGGGACGGCGCCGTTTTCACGGCGTCGGTGAGGACGTGGGGAGAGCTGGAGGCAGTCATGGCCGATGAGAGGTTAACGAACGGGAGGGGTCTGCGGATGGTAGAGCTTGTTTTGGATCGTGAGGATGTACCGGAGGGGCCGCTTCGGGAGTTGATGGAGAAGGAGCGAGCCCGGGTTGCGGGCGCGAAGCATGCCGTGGGATCGTAGAATCATGTTCAGAGCCTTGTCAGAATGGATGCGTTGAAGATGGTCCTGACATTTGTTAGCCTTCTTTACGCAAAGGAAGATATTTGGTGCTTCACCTTTGCCATCGATTGCATCTAAGCAGCACGCTGTGATTTTCGACGCCGGCAAGCTGCATTCATGATTTCACCTTGCCCAGATCGAGGTATGCCCAGTAGCATTCAGGAATGGTCTAGGTTCCCGTGAGGACAATGGGACGTTTGGGTGCCCTGCTTGAGCTAAAGCGGTCAGAATCATTAAGCGACACCAACGGAGAAAGATAGGAGAACTTAATTGGCTGTTCAGAGGCTGCAAATACCCTCATCTCATCCATCGGCGCGATTCCATTCCCAGCGGCTTCAACCTCCCCTCGGCTTGTGTGAATTTTGTCGCTTTTCGAGGCATCCGATGGCTAGCGCGAAGAATAGCATGGTTTTAGAACATAGCGTAACTATGCCCCAGCTTATCCTGAAAAAAGAACATATGTGGGTAGCTGAAGCTATCGTCCGGACGTGTATGTAGAATTTTTTTAATTCCACATTCTCGTCCGGACGATAGCACAGACATTGAGGATAAGGTGGTGGGGGTTACACTCGTGGAGTGGTGGTGTTGGAAGGTGTCTTTGTTGATGGAAAGGGAAAGTGCGACAGTCTCCCGCAGCACCAATCCAACATTTGCGGGGTGTCGATGTCTCACTAGAACCTCAAGAAACACTTGACGGCCGCAATCTTCGATCCTGCACCCTCTGGCTTCCTGGCAGCTTCAGAAGCCCCCGCTTCACCTTTCTCCTTAGCAGCTCCCTCGGCAGCCGCATCGGTCTTAGCAGCGCCTGCGTCCTTCCCCTCAGCGCCATCATCGGCAGCAGCATCCACGATAGAGTCCTCCGCTCCGGCCGCGTCCTGAGCAGCGCCAGCGTCCTGGGCAGCGCCGGCATCCTTAGCCGCGCCATCTCCCTCCGCGGCGCCAGCACCTTCGGCCGCGGCAGCGCCCTCAGCACATGATTGTGGCTGTTCAAAGCTCGCGCTACAGACTAGAGGAAGTCACTTCTGACTGTTACTTGCTACTTCTCAGTCCTCCGCTCCCCTAACGAGTTTTGACCAGCTCCTTTGCCGCCCTGGTCCACGGTTGAATCGATCGCTACCAAAGTCCAATTTTTTGTTCACTATTTAAGAATGCCTTCCCCCAGCAGCAAGAACAGAACAACAAGATATTCACTTCTAGCCTCCCGACGAAGATCCCCCCAGCAACAAGAAACGAACGACAATCGTCAAGACCGAATTAGAGCTTCTAGACGAAGATACCAGTAAGCTGACAATGCCACGCCAACGGTCAAAGCGACCCCCCACCGGCCTTCCCCACCACCTCGCGTCCAAACCGACAGCAAAATTAACCTTGAGTCTATCATCCAACTTGACTGCGACTGCATATTCACCTTGGACCAACAAACCGCTCGCAAAGTCTCCCCAGCGACCGTCCAGTTCTTCTCAAAAGCCAAGCGCAACGCCCAAGAAATCCTAAAGCCTATCGACCAGCTCAAGAACTCAGCATTCATGCTGATGAGTACCGAATCTTTCAGGATTACGGTGACTATCTGGCAAAAGAACCGATGGTTGTAAAGGCCTAATTGCGAAGCGTGATTGGTACGGCTTAGCCACACAGATCCTTAAGGATTTGAAGAACCTCGACTTGATCTTTCCTCAATCAAGACCGGACGACAAAAGGCACATGAAACAAGCTATCCTTGAGTTTAGCGACCGGCACTTCCACTCCCTCAGTGTGAACAAGCATGGGATCGTAGACTGCGACCCCATTAGGGAGTTTTGGGACAGTAAGACCGGGAAAGGCAACGGGAGCGGCAAGCAGAAGCGAACGGTGAAAGGAAAGGGAAAGGGAAAGGGAAAGGGGACCCGGAAGCGAAAGGGAAAGGGGACTCGGAAGCGGAGGGCGAGCACTCAAAATGATGGTCAAGTTTAGAATGAATGAGCGCTCCAGTCGCGTTTTATTATCTTCAAGCCCTTTGTTGTTTGACCGAGGTTTGTGCTACATAAATGACAATCTTTTTCCGCTCAGCGGAAAAAAAATCAGTGAATTGTAGCAAATATCCGGTCAAATGTTCCGGCGTAGTAACAGAAATGGACGAAGGATCGCGCGTCGGGATGAGATAGCGGAGTTGTTGTGTCCTGTATGTCGTGCTCCTTGTGGCTACGGTTCACGTTCATATACCAATCCATTTCTGTAATTTCTGAGCCACGAACCATCATATTCAAATCTAAAAGTCTTTTCTGTTGAAAGCAATCATTTATAAACGCCATGCATCATACTAGCCATCGTAGGTTTGATCATTCGTCGATCCATGAGTCATGGTCTCATCGCCTCATGATTCCCAGCAAAAGGTAAAGAGTATTGAAACAAATCGACATGTTTTGGTGACCTAAAGACGCTGCTTGAGAAAACTGAATTATGGAAGGCTTGCGAAGAAAACAAACATCAGGAGAAACAATGATAAGACGACGTAATGATCGTCTTTGGAGAGAACATGCTGGACTCTCTTGAATTGACATTGATGAATGCCTCCAAAGAAGGCAGAAGCTTTACTCCACACGCCAACTCAGACTCTCCTGACTCTCGCGACCTCCTGCATATCCTCGACCGCAGCGGTCACGAGCTCATATTCATATCTCTTTCCCACATAGCGTTCCAGATCTCCTCCGCTTTCAAAGTCGAGAGGTACCTCCAGATTCTCGACCCCAAATTGAAGCCGCATTTCACCTCGGTACTGTGAAATTTGGGAGGTGCTGTAGAGATCCACATCTCTTCCCCACGCCGCACCACCGTGAACCTATCCTCGGCATTGTCCACAATCCAGATGCTGTAGTTATCGACCTTCATGTCCACGAAAGTATGATCCGGGCTGGACTCACACCTCACTGCGTCGTGGTGCAATCTGGCTGACAGACTCAGTGAGCTTTCAAGGTGTGAGATCTTGAATGGCCTTCGAGTCGTCTCTGCTTGTGGGTCGACGATTTCTTGAGCTTTCAGCCAATCTCGTAAAGTGACATTTGGGACTACATGCATATCCATGATTCCGTGAGTCAGTTGTCGGATCTTTTGTTCAAACTTTGATATTTTAACAGCCTGATCGTTTGTCGTTGCCTGAAAGCTGGAAACTTCCCGCTGGAGAGCCTCGTGGTCTGACTTCAGTTTTTGAAGCTCGCGAAAGATGTCGTCTGTCGTTTCTCGTTGCATGGCCATAGCTAGAAGGACTGAGAAGAAAAGAGGACGTAGATGATTACGCCTTCAATGAAGACGTGCGAAAGGGTGGATCCTCAAAGCTCTGCGGCCAAAATACGCGAGTCGAGTGACCGTCAAGACGACGCCGGCAATGTAGACGCCCTTGGGAATGACAGAAGCCGCAGACGTGATACCGGTTCAGCTCTGACAACGATCAAGAGCAGCTGTCGATCTACCAGGTCTGTGAAAAGTTAGTCTGAAACATGTTTACTCTGAAATTGGATAGCTGCGTACAAGGATGTGAGGTTGGCACGAGGACGACCACAAAGGGCCATCAGTGCGCGCGAGTGAAAGCGTTGCGCCTGAAAATATCGTGGACAGTGTCATTAGTTACGGCTATGAGGTAGAGAAGACAGATGTTGGTGACGGTCGCAAGATAGAGGAAGCGGATGTGGGTTGAGGAAGATGGGAGGGTGGCGAAAATATCGTGTGCGCTCCGCGCAGTCGGAGCCCGACGATTTTCCGAACCGGCTCGCGACCAAAAGGGCAGCTACGCCCCCTCCACAACAGGCCGCTGACTTCCCAAAGCCTGTGACTGGCCAGCGGCTGCGCTTGGGGCACACTACGCTGTCTGTGTTGACATGACAGCTGTGAAGCTATCGCGACCCAGGGGTAGGCGATGCACTTCGCAGTCTTAAGTTTTATGCACCTCAAAGCCTAGCTTGGTCATGTCTTCTGTTGACTTCGGATAACAAACAGTTGGATTGTTAACTTCTTTGAGATCGGCTCGTGTGGACGGAGAGATATGAGCCTCCGCTTGATGCGGTTGCGCCGCTCTACTCACTCTCGATGACAATCAAGTCTTCACCAACCACGTACGAATTCGACACCGTGACGGCCCTCACCACCTGACACAGCATTTGAACGCCGGTATACTCAAGAACTGTTCCTCGCCGCGCAAAGACGCCGTGCAGCACCGACAGATACCCCGACGCTTCCGAGGACGAACGGGACCCTCGACAAACGATTCGACCGAGGCAAACACTTGATACTGGGGAAAAAATAACAGGGGAGGATGCTTGTGGTGCTCTTGCGGAGATCTTCTTCGGCATAGATGTCATGGAGTACGCCGCTGAGGATCAGCGCGGCTTGAACCTTGAACTCTTGTGAACGCGGCCGCCTGGCCGATCCCGCAACGAGACGGCAGGTCTGAAGCACCCTTCCTCACTCGCTCATACTTAGCAGGCATTATACCGCACCAGGAATTGAAGAACACGCCGAGTGGTTCGTCATACCGCCGCAAGCGCTTCTGCTGGCCGACCCGAGGAAATTACCTCTCCCTACACCGCATCCGCGCCAGCACGCTACAAGCTCCCTTTGCGCGCGTTTCGTCGACAAGGTCTCTGCCCGATCATGATGGCTAACATCACGAAGGATCAGATTCCCTCATCCATATTGCCGCCCAGGCAGCACCGCCAGCTGGCAACCATCGGGATGGCGGTGCCCAGGCTCGGCGGAGCCATCCGCACAGTGACAAGGCATGGCTGCGCACAAACCTCACCGCAAGGCCAGACCGCAGAACATGAGAAGGAACTGGATACATTGCGTCGGAATAGAGGAGAAGTAACACAAAGGGCATCTGGACGCTTTGGGACAATGCGCGACCGCGGATCTGGACAACTTGGGTGCAACGAAGAAGGAGGACAAATTGTCGCAAGGATTCATTAGGAGATAGAGCCTTCCTGACAGGATCCTGAGCTTAGATGGAGTACGTCCCGTTAGGGCAACAGCGGAATTTCTCAAGGAGCTGCAACATTCACTATGATTGACTGAGACCGAAACTCAGATGGGCTCGTGGAGGCAAACGCGAGGGTGATGAGCACGATATGCATGACGTAGATGTAGCAACTTCGCACAGCAATGCTTGATCCGACGCGCCAATTGCATAGGTTCCTGGTGAGTGATAACGCTATCATTCACAACTCGCACTGTGTATGCATTGATCCTGATTCCTCGGCTTTTTCTATTTTCTTTTCTGGGAGAGGCGGGTAGTTTCTTCTGTCTGACGCTGCACGATGCAATTCAAACTACTTCATACATCATTGTCACCTCCCATATTGTCACAGCTGCATCTTCCGCATTGTTTACTTGTTAGGCACTACATAGCCTTGTAAACATGACCTTTAATACTATAGCTTCTAGTCTGCAAGCGTCCGCTAGACCTTCCCCCCCCTCCCTTTCAGCCTGTGTCCCACTGAAGGTGCAACTCGCGTATTGAACTTCGAACTGCCATCGCCCTTCGTTCCTTACCCACGGCTCGCTTGAAATGATCTCGGTTGCATAGTCGCTTTTATTTTCTTTGTTTGCGTAATAGTCGATGTATTCATTCGTCAATGAGTGAGATTTGCTCGGGGATGTCGCCGCATAGCCGCCTTGCGATGCGTATCCGGAAGATAAATGGGTCATGAGGTGTTCGGCCAGCTCAGCATGGTCAGCGAAATATTCGAAAAGGACGACAAATTTATGCTTGTAGAGATCTTGGAGCAAGACGATCAATTCCGCTTTGACAAAATTCATGAGCAAATTCGAGTAAAAGTGCTTGCTGTGGTTATGCTTCGTTCCCACAGGCTTGAATGTGAAGCACAGGTATGCCGGTTCCATGGAAATGGCTCATCGGTGGCCCCGGGGGCATCTGACAGTCTCTGTTTCATCGCTTGCGCCTGGGAATGAGCCTTTGATTACGTCTTTCGCTATGGAGACATGGTGGATCCTGGAATGGCCTTACGGCCGTCTAGCGTCTCGTTTTGGAATGGCCTTTTTGCTTCCTGGCCAGCCTTGTGCTCGAGATCGTCAATCTTACGCTTTGGAGGAAGCGAATTCAAAGTGTTTGCCGCGCCACCTATTTGAGCCGGGCCACTTCGCAGCCATGGAGACATTGTAGCATCAGTACGGCTCGAGAAGAGACCAGAGCCTGACGGGAGCTGTGATTGAGCCCTCGCCCCTCGTACTGCGGGTCCATTCACTTGGTTGAGCGTACCCCGTGTACCCCCTGAAGTCCCGCTTGACTGCTCCTTGATGGCCGCGCCAACTGAAACTTGCACCTTCCCGAGAAGAGCTTCATCACGGCGCCCAAGCTCCGCCTGGAGATCTTGTAGAGTAAGGCTTGTGGTATTGTTCATCTCTGATTTGATCGGAGTGACGGTGCTCTGCATGTCCGTGAGGGCCTGCTTCGTTGCAGATGAGACTTCAGCAGGGGAAAGGCGCGGCTGCTCGGCCAGAGCATCTTTGACCGACGAAGAGATTTCTGCAAGAGTAGGACGCGGTTGCTGCTCCATGTACTCGGCGAGACGTGAAATGCAGTCTTTCTGGACGGTTAGAATCGTGGAGTCTCTCTCTCTGAGCTGCTCTCGTAGGCCGTGGGCGTCTTTTTGCAGGTCCTGGTACTTCGCCTCCAGGTCTTGGATCTTTTCCTGGTGCAGCTTCGTCGTCTTGACATGTTGCTCAGCCAGGTTGTTCGCATCCGCTGTCTTACGACGCTGATCTTCCAGCTGCTCCTTGAAGTTGTCGACTTCAGCAATATAGCTCTGTTCTCTCTTCTGTACCTCGTCGGTCTCCTTGATCAATGTTGCCTCAAGACACTGAGCCTTTGCGAGGACAGCTTTCAATCTGTCTGCGTGCTCGCAGAGAGCCTTCCTCAGGCCAGCATCGTCACTCAGGTCATTGGAGTCGACTTTCTGCGCGAAAGTAGATAAGCTCGCATGATGCGTGTTGATGAAGTCAACCACGAAGTCCAAGGAAGTCGACATGGCGAGGACGTCTCGAGTGGCAGTGAGAGCGGACCAACGCTGCCAAGAGGTTGCGGACGTGTCGCGTGCCGCGTTATGCGAGGTTTTTGGGGGCGGGTGAGCGGGTCGGAGTGGTGGCGTGCGTCTGGGTTGATTCGGAAGGAACCTATGGGACATCCGCGCCGACGGCGCCCGGCGAAATTTGCAGCCGAGCGCAGCTGCCTTGGGCACCTCAGACACCTCATGCAAACTATGCGATTGAGGCGGCCTGTGCTGAGGATGAGCGAATAGGTGATCATAACCGCTAATGGCAGTGAAGGCGAGAGGTATGACATCCGAGGCAGTGATCAGCTGTTGTCAAGAGAGCTAGCTTCCATCACGCAAGCTTGGAGAGGTTACATTGTGGCCTGGCTGCTTCGGGCGTGGTCGGCCGCCCAGGCTCCAGAAATACCTCAATGCTATCTGGAACGATTGAGGCGCCTTAACAGGAGACATAAGATAGTGCGCTAGTTAAGGATGCGGAATGTACGAAGTGAGGACCGGGAGCCGGGGGGGGGGGGGGGGGGGGGGGGGGGGGGGGGGGGGGGGGGAAGGTGCTAGGTCCGGCGGGACTCTTGCAGTGCTTAGCCTAGCTGCGGAGGATCTCAAAATCTTCGCCCGGGATGAGAAGAGGTGAAGATGGTATCGAGCGTTGCTTGCCTGAGAAAAGGTTGGGGCGGGACCCGTGCCTTCAGTGTTTGTTGTTATTACCGCTTTAGGGAATCAGACGCGTTGCGACTCATGTCTGAGACTGGCTTGGACATTTCTCTAGGGAAGAAACAAAAAGAAAAGAAGATACGCTGATGGCCTTGCTTGCTTGCTTGCTTGCTAGCTATGTAAACGGCCATCATGACGGGACAAAAAGCTATGTTTGTTGGAGACAAAAAACTATGCCTGTCGGCACAGAAACAGGCTCTTCAAGGACCGCCTGTTTTTTTCCCGTTACACCCTCCGACCGTACCCCACCCTTGCGTGTGGCGGCCAAGTCACAGCCTAAGCAGGGAGGGCGTCTGCGTCAACTCCCCACTCGTTACTGGTATTCTTGGCCGGGTCAATGAAGTGAAGGCGGACTTGCTCAATATATAAACAGAGCACCCAGTGACCACCGGTTTCTTGCTAATCTTTCACATTGCGATGTGGTAATATCATCGATAACTGGGACTCTCCAGCTCCGAACTTTCACTAGCATGCTGACCATTGCCTTGACAAATGACCTACAGGCAGCCAGGGCTCCACGTACAATACGTACACTCGTAGGAGAGCAAGAAACCCGTTAGGAGGTCACACCGAGAGAACCTGACTCGAGTAACACGCCTTGCAGCACGATATGTTGCCCGGATCGGATCACCTTGTGAAGGAGGAATCACTCTTGGTGGTGCTCGAAGAACCGGCACGTTTCTGCTCCACAATGAACCAAGATTCCGAATAGAGGATGGCTTACCTGAAGCTATGAGAAAGATGTTTCTGGTCCATGAAGGAGACGCTAGCATCCTGAGCATCCAAAAGTCATTGAAACATCTCCGATTCCTACATCACTGCGATTGCAGGCATGGTAAGCGCAGCGGTGCGGACATGCATCCTCTCAAATAGCGAATATCGCAACCTCTGACGCCGCATCCCAGCCGGAAAGACGTCGCATTCTCTCACCTGAACGCCGCCCCCGAAATCACCCGTCTGAAAGGCGGCATCGACACTTTCGAGCGCGTCGCCCGCCGCACGACGACGTGGAGCGTGCTCAAGCTCTCCACCGCCCACTCCATTCTCCCCGCTTTCATTCCTGCTCCTCCAGCGCCTTCAGCGACCAGCCCCGACACAACCTCGCCTCTTCCTCTCGCCTTCCGCCTTCCGCCCCGCTGTTTTCGCCGCTCACGCACGCACCCTCGCGCACCTGCCGCATCTCTGCCGCCACATGAGCCGCCCCACCTCGGTGACTTTCACCACCACCCTCGACACCATCTTCCACGCCCTCCACCTCATCAGCATCACCTCGTCAGCAATGTAGTATCCCGAGACCATAGCCAGCGCCGCCGCCAAACACGGTCTCGCTTCCGCACCCGATGACGCCGGATACACATGCTGTAGGTCGACGTCGTTCGCTTCGGCGACGGCAGCTAGAATGAGCACCGAGACACAGGAGGGAGAGGGTGGTAATAGTCGAGGCAGAGATAAGTGCGGGTGCGAGTGTTGGCTCAACAATGTGGGGCCGCATGCCGCGGAAGCCTATCTCTAGACTGTGCCGAGCCACATGCCTCCTTGTGCTCAGGCGCACGTGGTGTTGCTCGAGCTGCTGCAGCGCGCGCTGGACTTGGAGGGAATGGTGGGAGGAGAGAGGATAAGAAGCGGTGGCGGTGATATGTGTGCGGCATTGGCTCGGTGCGGTCAGGCGGAGGTTCTGATGTGGGCGTTGGAGAGGACGAGCGCGCGATAGCGATGACGGTAGATTTTCCCGGGGCAGATGAGTCTCGGATGAAGAGCCATTGTCTGTTGTTTGAAAATAGAGTTCGGTGCTGACAGTGCTGATTGATGTGTCTCATATCCATATTCACGCATTAGTAAAATTCAAACTATTACTCCATACGGCTTACCAGTTGCTTTGCGGAACAAGCAAGAATTTCTGGCGGTTATCTCGCGAAGCATTAAAGAGAACCACCGTAGATCTTTGCAGACTAGACGCAGGTGCAGGGGTGGGCGCTGGAAAGTACGCGTACCAATATCCCGTCTCGAACAATAATCGAGGCACCACCGGCAAACGGTGACATGGTTCCTGCGTATGGGCATAGTAGGTGGCACGCGGGGGCTCAAAAGCCATGCAGTGTAAGCAACGACTGCCGAATTATGTAGACGGGAATACTAATGATTGGGCAACGGAGCGGGTCTTTCAATTTAGCCTCTACATGGGTCTGTCTCAAAGTGGGTGATGGAAGTGTAGGCCGCCGCTGATTGGTCGGTAGCTCGGATCTGTCCCGCTTTGACACCTGCAAGAGACTGATTCAGCAAGCACTAATATCCTAAAATGTCTTTTGAGGGCTTGTAATCGTTGCAGGGCTCAGGTCAATTTTTCCAAGCCGCGCGATGTTTAAAAGCGCAGGCAAACCGTGCAGAGGTAGATTGTGGCCAAGCAATTTGCTCCACGTCCTACCTTCTACCCCTCCAGTGTCTCCGACGATGGCTGGCTTCGACGACATTTATGCTGCGGCGCAGCATGCGCTTCGGGCAAGGGCTGGCTCACTTGCTGGACTAGCAGCGCTTTATGGGCTTTTGTTCCATGCCCTGGTGCTGCGAAAATTGGCCGTGGAAGAGTACATGTATAAGTTTCTCGGGTGTTACTTTGTTGCATTGGCGAGCGTTTTTCCCATCTGCCTGTCGGTTTTGGACATGCGCCAGGCACTCACAACAGCTAGTCTGCTCATACTTTCTTTCAACGCGGGACTCTACTTCAGCATGGCCACCTACAGACTTTTCTTTCACAGACTGCGGAAGTTCCCAGGGCCGTTTGGAGCAAAGCTCTCCCGGTTTTACGTCACTCTCACCTCTGCCAAGAAGGTCCAATACCACGAGGAAATCAAGAAATGGCATGAAAAATATGGAGACTTCATCCGCACTGGTGAGTTACCTTGATGATTTATTTCACTATTTTTCTAATTACCATTAGGCCCCCGAGAGCTTGCGATAGTCCGGCGGTCAGCTGTAAACACCATCTACGGACCGCAATCCGAGTGCGGAAAATCCACATGGTATATACAGGTGTCTCCGGATCAAAAGAAATGTTCCATCCATATGACTCGAGACTTTGATGCCCACAAAAACCGCCGCAAAGCCTGGGACAGGGGCTTCTCCGTCAAGGGTGAGTCTTGTTTCACTTTTTTTCAAAACGCATCTAGACTCACGCTCGGCGCAGCCATCAACACTTACGCACCGAGAATTTCCTCGAAGGTTGATCTACTCCTGGACCAGATCAAAGCGCACACGGCGGCAGGCGAATCTCTTGACGCGTCAAAGTGGACCATGCTTTTGACCTTCGATATGATGGGAGAAGTTGGCTTTGGAAAAGACTTTGGTGGATTAAAGAGTGGCATCGAGCACCCTGCGATCAAAGGGATTCACGATCACATGACGGTCCTCGGAATCATGGCTACTGTGCCTTGGCTTTTGAATATTGCCGGCAAGATCCCCGGTGCAACAGCTGGCTACGCGCCCTTCTTCAGCTGGTGCGAGGAGCAAGTGAAGACGAAATATCGGGTAAGTTCTTCCCCGCAATAAGCAAACTGATGCTTACTGTCACAGGATTGGGCATCGGAGAAGCAACCGCAGGACATTATTTCACATCTCCTCAAGGCATACGTAGAGAAGGACATCAGTGCTACACCAACGGCAGATTCACTGCACGAGGACGCGCGAGCAGTCGTCATTGCGGGCAGTGACACGACGGCAACGACGCTGACACACATCCTCTTCTACCTATGCAAACATCCAGAGGTGCAGAAAAAGCTTCAGACCAAGCTTGATGTCGTCATGCCGAATCGCGAGTGGACCTTCGAGAGCGCTAAGTCGGTCAGCTACGTTGATGACATCATTAACGAAGCGCTCCGCCTCAAACCCGCGTTGCTGACCGGCGGTTACCGGACTACTCCGCCGCATGGGATCGTCGTTGATGGCGTGCACATTCCCGGGAACACGAATGTTTTCGTTCCGGTGCAGTTGATCCAAACCGACTCTCGCTACCATCCGCAGGCTGACGAGTTCATCCCTGAGCGGTTTGGAGAGCGCAAAGGCGAGTGGCAGACGGAAAAGCAGCCCTGGATACCTTTCAGCATTGGTAAGTATAGGCCCGCCACCCCAAGACGGTCTTCCCCGTACTGATCGGGCCGAGTAGGACCCTTCTCTTGCCCGGGTAAAAGTCTTGCCATAGCCACTCTCCGCATAGCCCTCAGCAAGATTGCACTGCACTTCGATGTGTCGTTTGCACCGGGAGAAACGGGGGAGGAGTTTGACAAAGGGGTCATGGATACGTTTACCACGACTCTGTTGCCTCTCCAGGTTCGGTTCACGCCGAGAGTTTGAGGATTACATTGCTGGATTTAGCTTGGCGCGTCGGGTTGTAATGCTTCTGGCTTTCTCTGCACTGCTTCGGATGAGGTTTCGGATTTGATACAGTAGAGCAAACATGAGCATTGCGCCAATAAATTGATGGGACCAAGCCTTTCTCGAAAAGTCTATAAGGGAGCCCGGTCCCAAGATGCATGTCCATGTCAGGGACCGCACTGGCTGATTGGCCAAGTCAGGTACCGGAGTACCTGTTCAAGTCGGGACCGGTTCGGGCGGGGCCTCGGTTGGTGCCCTCAAAGTAGTGCACCACATTGCTGTCGAGAGTCTTGGCGGTACAATCTAGACGTCAGCCTTGGATTACTTGGGACACTGAGACTGCTTAGCGCGGGTGAGCCATTTCTCAGCCGCACGGGGGGTTCATTTCGCGCTTTCCCTACTGTCATATGTAGTCCATGTGCGGATGGGACTAAAATTCATTCCTCATCCCTCAAACCCAACGATCATCTGATGCCCGCCACTGCGGCGATCAAGGAGCAGATCAGGGAGACCCTCGTGCGGAGACACGCGAGCCGTGGCGTCACGGCCCGAATCTTTGCAGCAGCAGACGCTGAAACATCGGAATTTTCCTTTTGACATGTCGTGGCGTCGGACGTTGCGTGTTCCATGGCGCAGCAGGTTCCAGAAAGGCGCAGAGCCCATCGGCAGTTCTGAGAAATTCGGGAGGTCGGAGGTGAGATCAGGCCATGACGGTAAGTACCAGGACTTTATTTGGACGGCTTTAGGAGTTACCTGCGCGGCTGGAAATTTGTTAGGATTGGGGCTTGGTTGGAGCATTAAGCGCAGCCGTCCCGTAGTAAGGGTGCTTACAGCACCACTGCTGCAGTAGTGGGCTGATGTTCAACTTTGCCAGTCATCAAAATCTCATCGCAAGTTCCGGCACGCATTTCCGAGCAGCTGATGGCTGAGGCAATATTGCGTCGATCGCGGCCCATAGTCCAACGTCTAATTGCTGCGGAAGGGTCGGCAGATGCGCGCGCATTGAATCATGTACAAGGGGATCGGACCAACTCTTGTTGAAGGATCGCTGCCAGCATGCTTGCGGAAAGCTTTGGCGATTCATGGCCCAGTCGCGCGGAGACGAAGAGCAAGGGGCGTACGCATGGAGAAATCTCCGGCCAAAGCAGAGCAAAGTGACCCAACCAGCGTCGTCAGCGGAATCCACATGGCAGCTGGGATTATTGTTTGGGCCGCGCGGATCCGCGCCCTTCCCGCCATCTGGTGGGTCGCACGAACGTGCGAAACGGCACCGCCTGCGCCGCCGTTGTTTAATCGCTCGCGCCGTCTACCGGTTCACTTCCACGCGACCGACTGACGACTTCGCCTCGAGTAGCGTCCCCCATGACATACGTTGGGCATACATCAGGAGTTGTCAGCGGTGCAGCGCAGAGAGGAGTTCGTGGCCAAGAATACAGACCGTGCCTGGGCGTTACCCGATCCGGAATGTGGCGTGCGACGGCTCCATTTCGCACATCCCCGACGATGGCCTCTCCTCGTACCCGATCCCTGGATTCTTCGCCACCAAACAATCAGAGCCAACCGTGATGCACACTCGGGAACTCCTCGGACTCTTTGCTGGTGGTTGCTGGCCTTCCCGTCCTGCCGCCCGCGCCGCTCATTTGTTAGCACCGGGCACCATCCCCCTCTACCAGACCGCTAAAGGAGAACCTGCTCGTTCCGACCCGATAGGCAGAAACCTGAAATATGTTTCAACTGCCGCTCTCCACATTTGCTCTCTCCACACTCCCTCCCGGCATGGGCCCTGAGCCTGTTTGAACACTGAAAGATAGCCAGGGCTTCTCAGAACCTAGCCTCCGCGCCAACACCGAGAACTTCTTACCCTACTGCCAGTCCTCCGACCCTTCCCCGCAGTTCGGCGCACACCGCCCCTGCTGAATTTTTCATTCTCTCGATACCGCCAATCCAAGAGGTTCCCAAGTTGCCAAAATGATGGAGCTCGAGGGCCGCGCGCCCGAGTTCTTCAAGGTCCTGGTGGTCATGATAGTCCTGGCGACCGTAGCCACGGCTCTGAGAGTCTATGTCAGGTTAAAGATCGTCAAGGCTTTTGGTGTTGATGACTACTTCATGGTTGCCGCATTGGTCAGTCATGTCGAATACCGTCTTCTTCATAATGGCTAACACGCCAAGCAGCTTGCATTTATCATGTTCACAACATGCGCTTTGGGTGGAATACGTTACGGTACAGGCCAACATATGGCCAACTTAACCCCTGATAACACAATGAGAGCTCTCCGCGTAAGTATATCAACGCAGAAAGATTCACGCAATATACTGACACCGTCTCAGTATTGGTGGTTATGCTACGCTGCCTACACCAGCACCATGATGTTCGCCAAAATCTCCATCGGCTTCTTCCTCCTACGGGTGACGGTGGAACAGGTCTACATCTGGATCATCTACGCCGCCATGGGCATCACCATCGTCACTGGCATCGTCTTCTTCTTCGTGACCGTCCTGCAGTGTAGCCCGGTGTCCTACTTCTGGAGTAGGGCCGTCGGCGGCGACGGCAAATGTCTCGATATGGAGATCATCATCGGTCTCACCTACTTCTACTCCGCCGTCAGCGCCCTCTGCGACTTCACCTTCGGCCTGCTCCCCATCGTCATGCTCTGGAACCTCAACATGTCCCGCAGCACCAAGATTGCCATTGCGCCTATCTTGAGCATGGCTTGCATCGCTTCTGCCGGTGTCCTGGTCAGGACGGCCTACGTCAAGGACTTCAGAAGTCCTGATTTCCTCTGTGAGTCCCCCTCCCCATATCTCGCTCTCGTAAAACAGCCCACTGATTCCTCCTACTAGGGGCAACCATAGACATCGCCATCTGGTCCACCATCGAGGAAGGCCTCGCCATCACCGCCGGCTCACTAGCCTGCCTCCGGCCGCTCTTCCGCATCTGCAGCGCCAAGCTGTCCTCCTACGGCATCGGCTCCGGCGGGGACGGCGACGGGCAGAGCGACAACAACAGGCTGCACGACAACAACAACAACCGCGTGTGGCCCGGAGCAACCCAACGGAGCAGAGGCAGAAAACACAACGAACCCTGGAGTCTGCTGGAGGAGACGCAGAACCGCACGGTAGCAGATCTCGAAGACGGCCGCGACAACCACCACTCGGAGCTCGAGCTGGTAGGCAAGAAGGCGACGGTCGATGTGGAGAGCGTGGATGAGAGGGCCGGGTCGGATTCTGTATCATCGCATAGAATTCTGGTTTGAGTCCCGTCGGCTTTTCATTTGTTTGTGTCGGGGTTTGTGGACCTGTCTATCATTAAGTGGCATTAGCGATATGGCGTTTTGGGGTTCATGTGGGAAAGTAGACCGGGAATACTGGCTACTCTGGCGTACTATCATTATGATTCCCAAGCCTGCGTTGGGCTTTTACTTGGTCACGACTCTATTGAGAGACGAATAATTAGATGGGAAAAATACATAAGTGTTGATAGAATGTTGGACAAGAAGATCAGCGATTGCCCATGAAGTGAACTGAGATAATGCAGAGCGTGCAACTAACACTTGTTGTGGTGAGTGGGTGAAGTCGTAGTGGCCGCTGCAAGGAAAGAAGTAGTTTGTCAACGGCGACGACAATGAGGAAGAGGCATCGAAGAAGCTACAGCTGAGCGGGCGTTCCTGCCCAAGACAGAGTCTGGAATTCAGGCTCGCTACGACTTCCTGAATTGTATTAGCCCTGCGACTCAAGCTCTGCCTTGGGCAGGTGTGGAAGGAACGCCCGCTCAGCTGTCGCTTCTTCGACACCCGACAAGACTTGACCGTCATGCACACCCGGACATATCGACGGACCTGCCATGAGCAAACTGCCACAACCCCACCCACATCAGCAACCGCCATTTCTTGCATCAGCCACACATGGACAGCAGCTATGGTCCAAGTTGACCTGCAGGTCAGCTCTGTTCCGCCAACGTCAAGACAAGACATTGGCCGTTGCGGTATCAACGACTACATTGAGGCTCGGCAAGCAGCTGTTGATCCTTATGAAGACCAGCGAAGCTTGCAACAGCCTCAACTCCGGTCCCTTGGCAATTTGAATCACCAACACCTGGAGCAACATCAAAGATTTACGGCTCTTTCTGGCCATTTTGGGATAGGTTCACAAAAGAGGTACTGAGGTCAGCCGTCTAACTCAGGAAGCACCGAGTCCAGCCGTTGACCCCCCTGCGTCTGCCGAGGCCGCGGAGCTCGATGAGGTTCAACCGACAATCTCTGGCAAGTCGCTTTGCGAAGGTTCAAACTAAGTAGCCGAGCCACCTGTGCCTGTGGACGCCGCAAAGCTCGGTGAAGCTGCATCTAACGATCCGACACCTGCTCTTCCGGAAGTCAGCGCCCTTTCCGAGGATGCCAACAATGTCGCAGAACGTTCTGCAGAAGCATCCAACGCCTTGTATATCGCCGCCATGTCTGGAGCTGGATAAAGTCTCTAGAACGAGACTGGGCACATCCATGCCCTCCGCACGATCCCTCTGTTGCCAACCACATTCACCGACGTTGTCACCGAGCCTCTTAACGTCAAAGTGAAGACTCCCAAGATGTTCCACAGCATCATTCTGGAGATTGGCAACAACGAATTGTGCGGAGGGCTCGACAGTAACCACGAGCGCCTAAAGCACATACCCTCGACCATACTGTCTGTAATCAGGGTACAAATCAGCACGCTGCCAGAGGGCTCGAACGCAGATGAAGCCACATACCTCGACCTCGTCATAGATCCGGACCTATGCGAGTATCTGCACGTGGAAATATACAACTAGGACGATCCTCTTGCGGCGGGTATTCAACACAAACTTGGGGGAAATGAGACAGTCACCCTGCACGCCGTGGGGTTTCCTTGGACCTCCTATGTTGAAAGCGGGTTCCATTGATGGCTCCCGGGACAATGAAGATTACCACAAGCTCCTTGCACTTGCAAGGGAAGGGGTGGAAGTGCGTCTCTGGTGGACACACACTGAAGGGATAAGAGAGACGGAGGACGAGACAATGGCGTTTTGGATGGACGCTCGCAACCTGAGGATGGGTCCAGCCAGCAATGCCTGGTACTACTCCCGCCATGAACTGTACGACCACATGGCCCGAGACCCGTTCAGGAAAGTCCTGGACTCCAGTCAATTTCCCGATGTCCCGGAATTCCTGCAGTCATAATGGCGAGCTCCGCCATGGGCTTCTGCAGGAGAGTCAGCTGTGGTATCCCTCGATGACATCGGTTGCAAATATCTTCAGCGTCGGCATCCTGCACGAGATTGACAGGCTAAGCGCTCAGTCTGACGATGCCTACAACAGCATGACAACTCACAGCGCGAGTATCCGAAGACGCGGCGCCCAGTACATCGTGGAAGTCAGATTGCGAAACAACGCCATCGCACCAGATTACGACGCTTGCTTCGTCGCGAAACTGCTGCCAAGTCCCGAGTACCATTTCGTGCCGTTCCGATTCAGCGGCTGCATCTCCGAACGGTCGCGCACTGGTGGGTGGTTTTCTTTTTTTTTTTTTTTTCCAGTCCGCCAGCAGCGCCAACGTTCCGGGATGGTATCTACAACGTTACCCTCCAAACCCGCAACATCGCGTCACCAAAGGTGACACAATGTCACGCTATCAATGACCTGGCAAGCCGATGAGCGAGAAGATGAAGGCTTCTCTTGGCCGAAGCTGGTTACCGGGATATCCGGCAACTTGGCATGTGCTCTTGAAGGCACAGCCATCAAAGGCTTCAGTCAGCAGCATCGTGCAATCTACGATGCTTTGGACAGCCACCAGAAAGCCTTTTTTGGAAGCTTATTCAATGAAAGACATGTGAAAGGTTTCCTGGCTCTGCAAGGCTACGGAGGGTCCGGGAAATCACACCTCGTAGCAGCGTCTGCACTTGGACTGGCCCTCACGAAACGACGTGCCCTGCTCATCGCAAACAACAACCAAGCCGCAGATAACCCGCTCAAAAAAGTGTTAGTTATCCAAAACACCATCCATGCGGACGGAATCAAGATAAGACGGCTCCTCGGGCGTGGGATGGCCCACGTCTACGAGAACGGGATCTCGGAGCATGGAGGCCATGATGTCGACCCATGGCAGCATTCTGTTGAAAAGGCAGTGCGTGCAGTCTTCAAAGAAAGTACAGAACGTGGAGAAAGCGACGAGCCAATGGAATCGGATGTCTGGGATGAGGTCGTCAACTCAGCTGAAATGATCTGCACCACACTCGGAGCCTGTGGGGACTTGCGGAGAGCAGACCCATCATTCTCTTGCCTCTCCTTTGATGAGGCCTCCGTAGTCAACGACGCAGGTGTGGCTGTCGCAATCGCGGCGATCGACAAGGCACTGGACCAAGTAATTCTTGTCGGTGACCCAACGCAACGAATCGTCCGCCTTTACAGCTCCAACAACCCTGTCGCCGCCCAGATGACCACTTCAGCCATCGAACGGCTGACAAAGTCAGGCCCAACCATATCGTCGTTCGTGCTTCCAACCAACCGCAGGCAGAAGCCAGAACTCGCCGAATACGTGAGCCGATACCTCTGCGAAGTACCAATGGTCTGCATACTCCCCAATGATCTCACCTCGCCGTGGGAACTTAACATTTCGCACACTTTGAACAGTGGACAACTCGGCTTTGGACGCAAATTTTAACACAGCCGGGAGGTGTTCGTCAACGTCGACGGGTATGAGCAACTGCGCTTTTGCTTACCTTGCGCTGAGGATAGAGAGAAGTGAGGAAAGGAAGGTGCTAATGATTTGGAAAGCATTTTATTAAGAGATCAATAAGAAGTAGAGAATGAAGCTTGAGTAATGAGTAATGCTGACTCCGCGGCAGCCTCTTGGCAATTCCGTCATTTCTAGGCTGTTATACTCGTTCCACGTTCACCTCTGTTTATGTAGTAGAGTCTTTGAATCTTACTAAATATGTCAGCAATAGCCTAGCATGTTGTCGGAAATAATTCAAAGTGTTCGTGTTCTGTCGTCAACTACCATTACCCTCGGGACAGACGTGGGAAAACATGTGCGGAACCACCGCTCATAGGAAGCAAAGGAAATGGGCGAAGGAAAATGCCTTTCCGGCTTCTGAGCGGCCTGACAATTGACGCAACTTTTGAAGTGGATATAGCGTCGAAGATGCAGGCGGGAGACTTACCGCGCAAACACCTCCTGGTGAAAATCTTTCAGCAATGTCTTGTATGCCCCGTCTCTCTCAGCTTCCCCACATGTACCTCTCGCTAGTTGCGCCCAAGCGGGATTTCTGCTAATCGCGGACTGGCGCAGGCAGAACTCAACAGCTTCGCTGTACGCGAGACCCATGCAGTTCTTCACCTGCCGAACAGCTGCACCAATTTTCATAGCATAGTCTTGCTTCTTCCCTTGGTCATTCCTGCGGGTGACTTTCAAAGCAAGCTTCTGACTACCGTCCTTCGAGGTGTACTGCATAAAACCGACGATTGGCTCTGCAATGTCCCCTCACTGTACCCGTCTGCTACCTCAAGCACGAACAGATAATGTTGAAAGGTGTAGTTCTTGATCCGGAAGAGGCGAGCGCTACGAATGCCCGAAAGCCAGGATGTTCCGAGCAGCATCAGTCCGCACTCTGCCACTTGATATGTGAGATCGAACCGTTCGGCATAGGGAAACTCTTCGAATGCTTTAGCAAAGGATTTCTGTTGTATTTTTTCCAGGAGGGAGTGGACATGGGCTGAAGTGGCCTTGCCCGAGGAGACGGAGTTGGGAACGGGGTAGCGGGATTGAAACCAGATGAAGGCGTCGTTTGGATCCTCACTCGCGCTGTTGGCTACACCGCCCAATTTATGGCGCGAAGATGTTCCTTGACGCAGCAATTACAGAGACTCTTTGTTGTCAAGGACACCAGTTTGGTCAAGGGCCTCGGCGGCGTTCCCGTTATCCAGGAAGAACTAGACGCCATTCCTCGGAAGTTCTTGGAAAAGAAGCAATGGAGCGAGCCCTTGGTTCGCCAATTCCAGCAAGCGTTTCCTGAGGCTGCCGGAGAGATCAACAAGTTCAGTCTCGCAAGAGCTGCAGGGTATATCACAAAATTCCACCAGGTCATTGGCTGGGAATTGAATGGGAACGCGAACGGAGATCCCCACAGGTTTGACTGGCTCCTTGTCAAGGCCTGTGCAAGATTCTGGCGTGCGAAGGACAACGTCTCCGTGGGCCCAAAGCATCTTCATCCACGGAAGGACGATCTCGATTCCTGGGCGCGGGAGTACAAGCATGGAAAAGGGCCGGCGTGGATGACCCCCGCTCGCCTTGATGCCCACGCACATCCGCAGATCATCAAGTCTTTTGCGGAAATCCAAAATCTCAAGTCACTCTCCCCCATCTTCGCCGAGATCCTGGATACGCGACCTCCTACTATTCGTCAAGGTAGGAAGGAATACCAGAACACCCACGGTCGTATCGAGAATATGCCAGAGAACCATGAGCTACGCGCCATGGCCAATGGAGATGAAGAAGAGGTCTATCTCGGCCCTATCATCTACACCAAATTCTGGTTTCCTGTCCTGCAGAGGTTCTATCAGAGCAACAACCCCAACGATATCCCAGCGCTACCGCGCGAAAATGTCATGCCTGGCTGGGGAGATGGAGATCTCATGAGCAGCGGATGTCCAGATCGCATGAAGAAGTATGATGTGTACGTCAAGAAGTGCAAGAAGTTCGGACGCAATGCGCTCGTTGTCTACCTCTTGTCGGAGCTGAAACGGTCCGTTGGCAAGCAGAGAGAGTTTAAGTCTATCTTGAAAAGGATCAATATCTGCCTACAGGAAGGTCTTTTCGACATTTCCCCGGAGGAACTTCAGCGGAACAAGGAAACGAACATCCACATGCTGCCGCCGGAGTGTATGAGAGACAGTTGTACGTATATGAGACTTAGAGACTGACACAGCACTAGACCTACTTTCAGGAGTGTAGAAAGATTAGGTAGAATACTCTTTTTAGCCTTTTCCTTCTACGTATCGGATGCATGACATGTCGATGGCGTTAGTTAGCACAAAGGGGAGACAGTGGAATCAGGTACTCCACCGTAAATGTGATCGCGATCATTGCCATTGCAGGGATGCCAAGTCCCTCTACAGAACTATTAATTTTATAACACATCCAGGTATCTTGAAATTGACTCCCAAAACGCCACCATTTATCCCTTAACCGACCCAACCCACGCAGGTATTACTTCCGCACGCCATCCTCACACCATTCCAAGTGCTCCCTCATCGCAGGAAACACGTCCCTCGCCGAATCCTTCCCCATCCACGTATCCAGATGTCCATAACCCTGCACCACCCTCCTCGAATACAAATCCGGTCCAAACCGCCTCCTCAGCGCATCGTACGTCACGAACGTGCTCTCCGGATCGTACACGACATTCGAGCCGCCGCTGACGAACAGGATCGGCAGCCCCCTCAACCGCTCCCACCCTCCCTCGGTCGCGACGGTATCGCCTCCCTCCCCATCCAGCACATGCCCGGCCCTCCCCATCGCCATCGTCTGCGTCAGCATCCGCATGTGCACGCCGCCCAGCAACTCGCCCAGCCGCTCGTGCGTCGCGCGGTTCAGGTTCGCGTGCTCCCAGCACCGCCCGTACGTCAGGCTGAAGCGGTGGCACACGGCGCTGCGGCACACCTCGGCCTTACGCTCGACCGGGTAGAAGCGCAGCGCCTGGTCGATGGCGCCCTGCACCGCTGCTGACGCCGCCCTGTTGTTGTCCGCGCCCTCGGCCGCCGTCATCGGGAACCACTCGCTGCCTGCCGCCGCAGCGTAGATTTTCGGTAGGCACGGCGTGTCGGCCTTCAGCGTGTTCCAGCGCCCGAAGACGAGGTGCGCGAAGACTTGCGTGCAGGTGAGGCCGGCGAGCCAGGCCGCCGGGATGGTCCCGTCGAGCAGGCCGATGGCGGTGGAGACGGAGCCCATGCAGTGCGCGATGACGTAGATCTTCTCGTTGTTTTCTGCGTCGGCGGCGAAAGTGCGTAGGTACTCGAGGGCGGCGAGGACGTCCAGGCGCGCTTCGTAGACGGTTCCGCCCTGCGCGCAGATGGGCGTCGCGGCGAAGCGGTGCGAGACGATGGACACGGTGTGGCCGAGCGAGGTGAAGTAGTCGACGGCGTTGGTGGGCACGGTCGGCAGCGCGAAGATTTCGTGCGTGACGGAGGCGCCGGGGACCATGAGGATGCGGTGTTTGCGGCGGGTGGGCGTGGTCGTCGCGGCCCAGGTGCGGAGCGTGCTGGTGACTCCGTCGCGGGCGGTGAGCTCGACGGTGCTGATGGGCGCGGGCTTGGGTGGAGGGCTGTCGAACATGTCCACTTTGGGTTGGGAGAGTTGGAGTTTGCCGAGCGGCCCTAGGTAGAAGGAGGCCGTGTTTTGGGCGAAGTTGCCGACGAAGTCGGCGACGGTTGAGGCGCGGTCGAGGAGGCTGCCGTTCGGGAGGGCCGACAGCGTCTTCAGCTCCGAGGCGAAGTTGCGCCACGGTATGCGCAGGATTCCTTTGGCGGCCAGGGAGCCGTCGGGGTGGGTGATTGTGGTACGCAGCACTGTTGTGGCTCTCCACGTCGAAGTGATGGAAAAGGCCATCTCCGGTGTGAGGTCCTTCTTGCCATGCATATGGTATGTGCTGCCATCGGTGCTCTGAACAGTTAGGTTGTAGACCAGATTGCTGCCTTCAGAAACTGATTTGTCTGCAGAAAAGAATTCTACTTTGCCTCTTACTAGAAGAGGATCCTTGGACAGCGCTCTGCAGGAGAGCGTCCCGGTGGCGACGGCATCCTGGTTCTGCATATTGTTCCTTCTTCTGGGAGACGAAACACTCAAATACAGCAAGCCCGAGCTTGACGAGCTTTGCGCAGTCTTTTCAGCACTGACAAAGTCATCGAGATCATTACCGACGTGGATATGGCCTTCCATGATCTCAGTGAACTGTACGCCACCCGTGGCCGCTGCTATCTGCATGGTCCTGTGGGCTGCAGCAAGATCCCGGGGAGGTGGAAATGATTTAGCAGGTTTGCCGAATAGATCAAGCCTACCATTTCTTGTCCAATCAATGCACAAGCCTCTTTGATGCGCGATGAGGTCCACGGACCTCTCAGCGAGGGCGGTGATGGTGGCAAAAGGGTTAACGCCTGGGATGTTAGCATTCAATATGTATGTATTATGGAGAACACCTCTTACCAAGGGAAGTTGGAACCACGGCTCCGTCAACACAGACGAGACCATCATGAACTTCCGAACCCTCACCACTGAAAACCTGACCCAGGTGATTGGTGGCGCCACGTCTGCCGGTACCGTCGGAGCTCATCACGGCACCACCGAGGGGATGAACCGTAATCTGTTCTTGTTTGTTTAATACTACTCAAGGCTGTCAGTACAATCACTGTAGGAAGGGGATTCCATTTCTCATACCGGAATGGAAGGGAGTATTGACAAGCGTGCCGCCAATAGCATGGGTTGCCTTTGCAAGAACAGCATTCAGCTTCTTTACGCTCTCTGTGCGCCCAACTCCCACGAATTGCAACTGTGGCTTATCATTGTCGAGAGACAAAATCGCTTCGTTGCTGTCATGAGACATGATGAGGTAGACCTGGGTCTTATTGACGGAACCGCCTTTGGAGTACGGGCCAAGGAATCTAGCTTCAGCTTTCGACATTAGGTGTTGGAGCTGGTCCTTAGCATTCAATCTTTCCGGCTGTTGCTTCCCGGGCAGTATCTCCAGCATGGACTGTATCAGAGGTGCAAGTGCTTCTGGGATGGCACCTTCCTGCATAATGTAACCATCGAGGACGTTTGGAGAGCTGATTGCGTCTCTGTTGTCAATGATTCCGGTAATTGTCGGGCCGGATGGTTGTTCTGTTGAAGGCTTCGCACGGCCGATACCGTTCACAACCTCATCTGTGTCATATCCTTGACCGTGTCAGTACCGATGAGTTTGAGCATCTTGATTGACTCACCAAAGGATAAGATATCCCCGTTTCCAGAGAGCTTTTGCCCTACCATACGTGATACCTGCAAACCATGATCTCGGGAACGGAGGAGAATCTCTGTTGTTCCCAAAGAACCAGCCCCAAGGAAGCAAAGTTCCTTCTGCATGAGAGATTAGTGGTGATTCGGGCAAAATAAATAGATGATCAATACTTACGGCTCGTACCCACATCAGGCTTCTGTGGAAATTGTCCTCAAACTTTTCCCTTCCGGCGCCATGCCAGGCGAAGAAGATAATGTAGCCATTACCTTTTGGATCTCGGCTTATGTAACGTACTTCGCACTCGCAAAACATTTCCGCTCCCCAACTCCAGGCATCTGGAATGTAGTTCATCAGAACCGAGTTCTTGGAGCCATCGTTCACCCCAGTACAGTCTTGCCCGCTGCATGTTGAGGCCTTCATTTGAACACCAGCGTTGTTCAAACCCTCTCGGAAGAACGTAGTTTGGGGTACACGGTAGAAGTTGTGCTTCTGGCCCAAAGCCTCAGCCTGCTTCTCAAGCACGGAGAGCTTCTTCGGTGTAGGAAGATTTTCTGGATAAGGGGTTGGCTGTAGCATTTCCGAGGCACGTTTGTAGTCTGAAAATTGATCAATGCACGTTTCTGGGTTGAGAGCTAAGTATACTCACAAGGGTCAAGAGCACCCACGTCGTTTCGGAGCTCAGTTGGCCATGAACAGAGCGCCAAGGTGCGTTTGTCACACTCCAAGTAAACATTTGCGTTGATGAGAGATGTCCCACCAAGACCTATACCCTCAGCATCAAATAAGCTTGAAAATGGTGGAAGTATTGCTCACCTTTTCCAACAAAGGCGTTTTGCCCTTGGCCCAGAACCAAATTGTACATTCCCGTGGGGCTCCCGGCAGCAACACTCTTGCATGTTGCCGTCGCTCTACCAGTGCTTCCGGAGATATGGAATTCTGGTAACACTTCCATCAGGGTACTTGGATACTCGCCAGCTACCCATCGTCAGTGTGCTGTAGTATGAACTCGTTCACTGAAGTACGCACGCCATTTCTCTTTCCCCATCTCGAGCACTGCAACGCTCTTCCCTGCCCTTGCCATCCGGCTTGCCGCAACACCACCGCCGTACCCAGATCCGATAACGACAACGTCATACTCCGAGCGCATCAAGTGCACAGATCTGCTTAACCGGGGGAACTTGGGTTTCGACGTGGAGTTCCTTCTTGCATCGTGATTGGCTTTTTCTGAAGAACGGGATTTCGGCCGTGCGGCGTCCGTTGCTATGGCTATTTTTTCCGAGAGAACGGAAATGGATTCGAGAGCTTTTGGGACTCCGGCGGTGGCCAATTTTTTGTCTCCCAGTCGATCAAACCAGCCACCTAAGTCAGAAAACGGTGCCATGGTTGGTGGTCTCCAATCTCCCTCTCAGTGAGGGTTGGAGCTTTTCTGTAGGACCTTTGAAGATAAGAAAAAGATGTCAGTGTAGGCACTCGGTTTTCACCTCTGTCGTCTGGGTGGCTGCATTATTTATATAATTCTAGGCATCGTGACCCATGGTAGTAAACTAAGCTCGCAGGGTCCTCATCGGGTTGGTCAACTAGTATGAGGCGGACCGTTCCATATAAAAGTGGCATTTCCCGTTATCAGGAGTGCATTCAGCAGCAGCAAAGATTTCACGTGGCGCAGACGTGGCACCAAGTTGTGGACATGAAGAGAGTGTGTGGCGATGCGTTGTCAAACCAATCTCAAGGAGATTTTCAGCTCTCATGCGGGACAAAAATATGGTTTCGTACGTGTCGGGCCATATCGTGCTACATGAGAACCGGAGAATCATCTGTATCGAGCTTTAGATGCGGAAAGGTGTACACTTTGGGCCTAGTGAGGCTGCTAAAAGGGCATGGCGGCCACGTACGCTTTTTCTGTGTGGCTGATGAAGCATTTGTCGGGGCCGAAGCTGGTAAGCGAAATCAGAAGTGGCTGGATCGAGACGCAAAGAGGCAGAAATATGGGCTTGTGAGATCTGAGCTGATGGGGGGCCTATACGGCCCTACCCGGCGTGCATCAGCCAACAGTCGAGCCTGGAGAAAAGCCACCACCCGGGGCGGCCGAGATCCTGAATGACTCAGTGAAAGCCTTTTGTATTTTGTGTATGGGAAACTCCAAGCATCCGAACCAAAGGATTCAACTGCCGACGAAGTTGCATCTGTGCAAGACCGTTGCCGTTCATCGTTCGTTACACACTAGCGCGCCGTCGGCGATTTTTCTCACAGTTTCTCTCCACGCCCCCACCAGACTATCGAATGCAAGTGCTTATCAATTGCAGCATCTGTCAGGTATATTCTTATCTCAAGGCTCCCGTCTACCCTGCCCCTTCCAAAATCAGTAATTGCATCTTCTCCGCAAAACCATCCCAACCCCAAACTAGCTTACGCCCTCCATTTCTCAGCCCTACTTCTCCCGTGCGTAAAACTAGCCTGCATCTCCATCAACTTGATCTGCGCCCGCGTCCAACACCCACACCGGAGCGTGGTCCGCCAATATTATTCTCCCCCACCTTGAAGCACTCCACTAAGCCTTAATCACGAAAAAGAAAAAAATCCTGAATCCGATCCGATCAGATCGAGAGTCGCGTCAACCGCACGTGGCAAGGAGCGGGTTTTCAAAGCGAAAAGGGTCATCGGCGGCGTGCTCGCGAACCGTGGTTCTCAGCGTTTCGTTTACCCTATAAGGAGTTAGGCGCAAACGGTGGAGATTTTCCGGCCGATGTCGGCCAGCATACCGAGTCAAAGTGATCAGAGAGTTCGGTTTGCGGGACGCATTGCCGTTGCCGGTGTTTAAGTTTTGCAAGAAGGAGCCAAGGTAGAGCACGGTGAAGTAAATCATGTAGATGATGTTGAGGATGGGACAGGGATTGGAGCCGAGGCCAAGGTTGACTTTATTTTTCTCTTTTTTTGTTAATTTCATGGGTAGTTGAAGCTATCGTCCGGATATAAATGTGATATTAATAATTATACATACATGTCCGGACGATGGCTTCAACTGCCCACATATGTCGCTTTTTTGTGAAAAAAAAAAATATAGGTATCTTTTACTTTGGTGTTTTTTAATTTGTGGCCCTGGTCTTCGGCTACGTTGCCTACCTGTAGAAGGGTTAGGAGGGAATGCATGTGAATGAACCGGATACTGAAATGAAGAGAACATCTCCGTCCATACAGGCAGCCTTGTGTTTAAAATACCAAGTGCCAGGATTACTTCCGATATCCATAAGGACCAGACAGATATTCAATAACGTTTATACTTCACTTGGCCAAGTAAATGACCTGGATCATCCGCTCCTCTACGCGTCGTTTTCCATAGTGCATTGCGAAACATGCAACAGTGAGTCTACTGGATGATCTATACACCGCTCGTAGAAGCATGGATATAAAAAGCGCTTGCTAAGAAGGCCGCCTGTGGTAGTTTTGCATCGATTGGTCAGTGTGGGGACTTGATATAGGCGTAACGTCTATGCGCACTACGAAATTGCCTCAGAAAATGCCTATTTTGCAGAATTGCGGGGCTTAGAACGGATGTTAAGCGCAGATCCCCCGCATGAGACGGGAACGCGCGGCCGTAGGTATGTAGTGTAGGCTTGGTGGCCATCGGAGTCCCCCCGACAACTAGCGGACATTCCCCGAGGCCGCACATCAGCGCTCCCCTGCACCCATAAATTTTAAGACTCGGTTGCAAATATACGCAAAACCCATTGTTTCCATTTTCAACATCCAAAATTCATACCAAAGGGAAACCCCCCCCCCCCCCCCCCCCTTTTTCTGCTCATGTCTCGTCAACAATTCCCATTCCCGCCAAAACCCGTGCCACCAGGCGCATGGGATACACACTTGCATGTGTTCGAAACGTCCAAGTTCCCATTAGCCGAAGGAAGACACTTTACTCCGGCTCCGGCAACTCTGCAGCAACTCAAGGCTTTCGAGGAAAGCATCGGCGTTCAGTGCGTGTGCATCGCCCACGGGCTGTCTTATGGAGCAGACTGCAACTCCCTGCTCCACTTCATCGCCGAATGGAATAAGCAAAGCGCTACGGCAGTAGCTCGCGGCATTTGCGTGCTTGACCTGGAAACGGTGACGGACGACCTGCTGGATTCCTATCACGCCGCCGGCGTACGGTCCGTTCGACTTGACTTCTTTCGGCACCGCGCGACGCAAGATGTGGAAAGGCAAGCGGACCTGATCCTCAAAACAGACGAGCGCCTGTCCGCGTGGCTTGGAGAACGCGGGCGAAGGGCACAGGGAGGGAAGGTTTGGAGCATCCAGATCCAACAGCCTCGCTTGGACTTTTGGCCACGGCTCAGAGAAATCGGGGCGTCCCTGAAACGGCCACTGGTTGTGGATCACCTCGCGTCTCTCGAATGCGCCAGCCTCAGGGAGCACGGAGCTCCGTGGACCAGCGAGGAAGAAGAGGGATTTTCGGAGCTGCTCCAGGCGTTGAGAGAAGGGAACACGTGGATGAAGATCTCTGCTCCGTACCGATGCTCGGATGACGCCCCGATGTTTCAGGAGCTGAAGCCCATTGTTCGTCGCATTGTGGATGCAAACCCCCGGCGAGTTGTTTGGGGAAGTGATTGGCCACACACGCAGAGGCACAAAGACCGCGTTGGAAGAAATCCTGAAGACACAGAGCCCTTTCTTAAAGTGGATGACGGGCGCTGGGTTGAATCTCTTAGCACATGGCTGTCGGATGATGAGTGGAAAGCGCTTTGGGTGGAAAACCCATGTGATCTGTACGATTTTGTGTAAAGACATATGTAGATGGAATCGTAATTCATATGTATCTTACAAGGCAATAACAACAGTAATAATTAACGCATATAATCTGAGATCACCATCAGCATGAGGGGAGCGACGGTGAGGACTGCGTGAATGGTTTGTCGAAATACCACCGAGTGACATCAGGAAATGCATTACTGAATGCATCGACACAATCATTCACTGCAAAGCTGTAATAATAGTTCCGCCTTTCGTCCACAGCAGACACCACTCTCACGAACGGACACATCCCGCTCTGGATTCTGGAACCAGTATCAGTCTCAAGCCAAGCTCAGGCGGTCTACGAGAGCTAATTCCTCGGAAGCGGCCCCGCTCCGAGACCAGCATTGACACACCGCAGAGGGGCTTGTGATGAAAGACGGTGAACCGAGGAATCCTTCCCCCACACAATCTGGGCCTGTGTGGAACCCCCCGCTCAATAGCGGGACCACCCCGCAAAGCTTGTGTGCAGGACCAGCTCGGCTTGTGTGCACGTATAAATCTCGGCATCTGGGCAGTCTTTTTGATGGAAGAAGCATTCAGGCCAACTCTTTCTCTTATTTTGCTCTGTTGCAAGACATTCTATTCTCCTACCTACGCCGCCATGGGAGACGACAACAAACCTTCAGAGCAAGTCTCTGTCAGTGACAAGGGGGTCGGGAGTATCGTGCAAGATCCGAACACCAACCGACTTGCTTTAGCTCAAGCATTAAGCCCAGAAGACTTTGCAGCAGCTGAAGCTTCGGTCAAGAAAAAGCTTGATGTAAGACTTTTGCTGACGGTCTGGGTCATCTTCATCATGAATTATTTGGATAGAGTAGGTTCCGGATGAGGCTTGCGAGTGGCTCACCATTGCTAATTGCTTATTGCAGAACAACATTGCCGCAGCCAAAGTGTCGGGCATCAAGGAGAGCTTGGAGCTGTCTTCTACCCAGTATTCGACCGCAGTGGCTGTCCTATTCGCCGGCTACGTGTCCATGCAGATACCATCGAACATCTTCCTCACACAACTTCGACCATCGATCTACATTCCGACCGTAATGGCTATCTGGGGAATACTTTCATGCTGCACAGGAGTTGTCAAGGGTGTTGGTGGTCTTTACGCGTGCCGATTTTTCCTCGGAGTTGTTGAAGCCGCGTTCTACCGTACGTTGCACCTACCCCTTTTCTTGGGCTCCGGCTGACACCGCATCCAGCTGGTGCTCTGTTTCTAATCTCGTCATGGTACCGGCGCTCTGAGCTTGGAGTCAGGTGTGCGATCCTCTTCTCTGGCTCTCAGTTGGGAAGTGCATTCTCCGGCCTCATTGGCGCTGGCATTCAGCATGGTCTGGATGGTAAGAGAGGAATGGAGTCATGGCGCTGGCTCTTCATTATTGAGGGCAGCATCACAGTCTTCATCGCCTTGTGCGCCATGCTCATCCTCCCAGACTGGCCTTCCAACACCAAATGGCTCACACCAACGGAGCGAGCCGTCGCTGAATGGAGACTGATCTGTGATGCGGGACAGGTCGATGAGGATGACGAGGCCTGGAGCTATGGCTTCAAGATGGCCTTTGTCGACTGGCGTCTCTACCTGTTCGCCTTCATGTTCCTTTGCATCCAAGTCGCCAGTGCTACGTCCAACTTCTTTCCCAGTGTCGTCGAGACGCTCGGTTTTAGCAAAGTCAATACTTTGCTTCTCACCGTTCCGCCTTACATCATATCCCTAACCGTCACGATTTTCAACAACAAGTCCGCGGACCACTTTCACAACTCCTCCTTCCACGTCATGTGGCCCCTTGCGATGGCCATTGTTGGATTCGTTGTGGCCGCTGCAACTTTGAACACGGGCGCCAGATACTTTGCCATGATCCTCATGGTTGTTGGGGGACACGGTAAGCCTCAGTCTATTTAGATGCAACGGCAAACGTTATTGACTGAAGCTACTCTGCAGGCTCCAACGCTGTCGTGGTTGCATGGACACAGAAGACCATGCTCCGGCCCCGTGTTAAACGTGCTGCCGCTGTTGCATTTGTCAATGCGATTGGAAACACCTCCCAGGTATGGCGTTGTCCCTACCCTCTTTCATCATAACACACTAACATCAACAGGTCTTCAGTTCTTACCTCTATCCTGACGAGTCTGCCCCTCGGTACACTCTGGCCATGTCAGCCAACTCGGCCTTCGCCCTGGTTGGCATATTCATGGCATTACTCATTCGATTAGTCTTGCAGAAGGCGAACCGAGATCTGGAAAGGGGCACGCGTTCTATTGGAGAGGTCATGGTTGGCGAAGCGGCTACAGAAATTTCTGGAATTACTGAAGAAGAGCGAGAGGCACGGAAAAATGGGTTCCGTTACATCACTTAAGTGAGCCTGATTGGGAGACCGAGAACGTAAGATCTTAGTGTACCGAATGATGATTGCCACTCCGAGACGGTGCTCTCGCTCTCCACTCACACTCAATGCTCAAGGTTTGAATCAAGATCAGTACACTTATGTCATGGGAAGAAAAGTGTACATAGCGAGTGACTAGATGGATAACGAAGCTGGCCAGCTGTAAAAGAAAAATGTCAAGACCCATTCCCATCAAGCGATCACCGCCACATGGAATCGGTTCAGAACCATAAAGAAATGGCCTGATACCTCGTTCCACGAAGCCTCGACTAACTGCTCTAAGAGCAGTTGCACCTGTTGGGGTTCGCATTCGTGTTCCAGTGGCACTCGTTTCCGGTCTTCTTGCACTGTAGGGCATTAGCCGCCGTAACCACCCCCAATAGTAATCAGTGAATACTCACAAGGCCCCCAGTAGGCGCACCGCAGTTGCACTGACGACTGTCGCCATTGACTTTGTAGTTGCAAACCTGGTTTTCCTTGTTGCAAGTCTACAGTCTTGATTAGCCTGTGAGAGATGCAAACTGAGGATTGTAACTGACGCCCTTGTGGTTGGCTCTTGCAACAAGTCCATCAATGTCCTGGGCCGGTGCAGCGGCAGCTGAGGCAAAGCTCATGCCGGCAAGCAGGATAGAGACGTAGGTGAGGGTCTTCATGTCTGTTGATTGGATTGAACTGTTTGGAAGAGAAAAGGGCGACTTGCTGATGCTCTTCAGAACTCCATCTCTGCCATCTTATATATTCGTCCTGTTGCTGCTATTCCATGCGGCCAGGGCGACCGGACCGCCAGTCTGTTCCCATCAGGCCTTCAATCCTTCTACATGTCCCACAAAGAAAGACGTCGGTGAATGACCGTGGCAAATGCATTGCCAGCTTACTGGTAGGGCAGATGTGTCGTCCACGAGGAGTGACACAGAACCGTCGTTCGCCAATTGCCCCCCGCACACTCTCTTTTGCGCTCTCGCCTCCGATTGGCTGGCCGGCGTCGGTTTGCTCCGGTATGACTGTGATACAAGCTCCTTCAAAAGCGTTCCTGTGCTGACTACCCCACATAGCTGAAAATCGCTTTGTCTATCATCGGCATGACTACAGTTTAAGCCACCACAAATTCCGCGAAGCTAATAAATATTGAGCAGTGATCTTCGAAGGCCTCCCAGCATTATGATCCGCCCTAATATGCAGAATCCCTTGACCCAGCCTTACAGTTTGAACACTGTGCAACATTTGAATGCCCTTACGGCGTTTCCAACCTCCGACTTGCCGACCGCATGAATTTGGCAGCTGTATCACTGTCAAAACAAATCTAGCGAAATTACTTGCTTTTCATAGCCAGCCGTGGTTGCCATGTTTGCAGCATGAAGCTCTTGATACATGTCTCTTCCTACCCAAACGGCTCATGCATCATAAAGTACCTGATTCATTTCTACTTAATCATTGCTGGGGGCCTTTTACCTTCTGACTAAAAAGGCACGCTTGATACTGGGTCTTTCGTGGGATCATAAGATGCGTAATAATTTAGCTCCACCTGTTCTTGTAGTGCTTAGGTAGTGCTTAGAGAGTACCGCATCTCGTGGTTGTCACATTTGCTCATGAAAATTCTCAGATCGCTGATTTCAGCTTCTCCTCAGCACTTGAATCCCTTGATTCTGACAAGCGCGATTGTTTTAGATTTGTACACAAGTAAGCACGCCAACATCTACCTTAACAGATCGATGCATGACTTCATAAACAGCGCTAAGATGGGAACACAGCCCGCTGCCCACGTCAGCGACATGCAATCTCCGATGCAAAGGAACATATTAAGATTCAATTGAGAGGTAATGGAGCCCAAAAGTCCAGCTTGATTCGCTACTTCTAGGATTTGCTGAAAATTCTGGCCGAGATGGCTTTCAGAGGCTCAGATTTTTCGTGCTTCCAAGTCGTTAAACGCTTTGGTCACGGGCTGCTGTGAGAAATTCAACAGGAGTGCCGTGTAAAATCTGAAGGGTCGTACAGCAGAACCATCGGTGGCCGTATTGCCCACCAAAACCATTGAAAGCACCAGTTGACTGATAGTGAGACTGCTGTACAGCGTCAGATCACTGTTGCGGGCCCCCACCACGGTGCAGTGCGTGCACAGCATGTCCTGAAATGATATCTCGCGCATAGTGATCGGATCCTTTCTGCTCCTTTGCATTTGTGGTGAAAAGCAATATGAGTTAGTTCATTGTCGCTACCTTTGCAGTGGTCTGGCATTGAAGAACCAGCGGGGTCGTCTTGGTTGTTTCACGAGGCAATAGTAAGGATACGCTATGCAAGCGGCCCAAACCGAAACCGAAACTCTCCGGAAACGGAAGGTTGGGCATGATTATGGCGTTATTGATGTACATAGCATTCGAGAGCCCGGCGGTAGTCTTGAAAATGGAAGATGTTTATGATTTTCTCTGCTGATCTCTACATCCCCACCAGAAATGGAGTTGAGACTTCTGGTCAGATGAAAGTTTTCACGTGAAATGTCACATGAATCGGATTAATAGTTGTTGAGTCCGCGGAGCAGGCTGAGGGCTGCGAAGGACACCAAATCAGCTTCTCCGCAACAGAGAATTAGCATCCTGCCCTGGTTTAATTGGGGCTAGGGGTGATATCTGGCAGCAGCAGGGGGCGGCAGTGCCGGTTCTGCCGCGGCATTGCCCCTGGATGTTTCGCGCTGCTGGCAATACAGTACGTGTGGCTGTTATCTACTACCCGATTGGGCAGGACGCGATCGTAGGAAAGGACACACCTACCCTTTCTGCAAGGGCTGCTGGACATATTTCCTAGGGCGTCTTGCTTAATGTGGTGCTTGCAAATCTTCTAATACTTGCCTAAGCAGAACTTGCAATACTGCCAGACGTACCGGCAATGCCGGCAGCGAACCCCTCTGCCGGTAGAATTAACCCCTAATTGGAGCTGACTGTCGTACTTTCAGCAAAATTGATCGTCAAAGCTAGCATTTTACTGGATATGACCCCGCTCGTCTGAAGCTTGGGACTGGAGTTCTTTATGACCAACTAGCCAATCGGAGTTCCCGGGCTGAATTAAGCCCCCCATACAGATAAGAGATCCCCACACTTCAGTCGTATTGGATGGAACCCATACCACCGGTCGCTAAGCGTGTAGAACATGTTATTTTTTTAGGGAATCATTTCTGGCCGCTTAACCTGTCTGGAAAAATTTAGCTGCTGTAAGTACGCCTCATAGTATGTGTTGTTCAGCTGGGTGGTCCGCAAAGAGTCTCCGCCCCGGCTCGGGAACAGACTGTAAGCCAATGGGTGGATCCGCGGTTTATTCTTAGCTCTACGGTTGCAGCCACAGCACTTTGAATGGAAGTCCCCACTGTGAGTTGGGGATCATGAGCTGGCAGTTCAAAAATTTTCACTATTTTGATCCCCTAGCAGGCCATCCTCATCGACAAACACCCTTTCCCTCCCGGTGAACCTCTGCAGCACACAGTCGACCCCCGATTCAAAAATGCATTGTTGTTTGAATATTCGTCATCTCATCAACAAGTTCTTGACAAAGAAAGAGAAAAGCTCACCTCCGAAAATATCTGATCCACAGTCCGATGACGAGGAATTGAAAGCTGAATCTGATGAACTTCCAACGGTTCTTCCCCTCTTACCTGTTCCTTCTAATCTTGTATCGCCTGAAGACGAACTTTGCGATGTTTGCAAAGGTCTAAGTCTCAGTCCCAAACAGTTCGTGGTCGATCAAAATGAAGACCAAGCGTGGAATTCGCCTCTCATCGAGAAGGAGCTGGTAGCAGATATGTTGAAGAGGAGTAACTGTCCTTTGTGTCGGTTGATTATCACAGCGCTTGGGGGACCCAAACTGCCCTCTTTTGAAAATGGGGAGCCGGTGTGGGTGACCCTGGATTCGCATACTGATGGATCAATTCTCGGCCCAGATGGGGATAATATCCTTCAGATCCGCAACCTGTGTCCATACGCTCGCAAATTGGAAGGGGGAAGCGTATCGGCGCGTGAACAGTTGCCATTTTTCCCAGAAATTACCCTCCTCGCCAACGATTCTCCGGTTCCGTCAACAACCCTTTTGGCCAGGCCCATACAGCAAGACAAGATTGACTTCAGAATGGTTCGAAAGTGGATCGCGATTTGCGAGAATGGCCACGGGCAAGACTGCAACAAAAGCAAGATGCGAGACCACCAACTCCAGCACCCGGTCGACATCATTCCCGAGTTCCGGCTGGTCGACGTTATCGACAATTGCTTAGTACGGGGGGTCAACGTCGGTAGGACCAAGTACGTGACTTTGAGTTACGTTTGGGGACAAATCGACTTCCTTCACACTTTAAAGAGCACTGTGGGCCGTTTCGAACAGCACGGTGGACTCACGAGGCCGGGAGTCTACGAAAAGATCCCATGGACGATCCGAGATGCCATGCAAGTGACGAGGAAGATCGGGCTTCGATACATGTGGGTGGACAGTCTGTGCATTGTTCAGGATGATGATAGCGGAAACAAGGAAGAGGCAATCAGGAAAATGGACCTCGTATACGGAGCATCTTTCATAACAATCCTGGCAGCTACAGGTAACGATGCTAATGCTGGATTACCTGGAGTGCGGCCAGGGACGCGAAACTTTCGCCAACCTATCGAACAAATCGCCCCTGGCTTCAGACTGGCTTTCAAGCCAACGCACCATGACTACATCAGTAGCTCCACTTACTACACAAGGAGCTGGACGTAAGTGTTCCGCAAAACATCACATCTGCAGCCTTCTTACTGTTAATAGCTTCCAAGAGCATCTTTTTTCCCGGAGAAACCTCATCTTCATCGGCGGACAGGTAGTTTTCAACTGCCAACGAACAGATCAACTCCGCGAAGACGTCGTGTTGGAGGATGCGGAGACTACTCAGATCCTTTCTCTAGACAGGAGCTCAAATGATATCGGAAACTTTGAGGGACTCATTCAGTCATATTCTGAGTTGAATCTTTCTTTCGAGACCGATATTTACTCTGCGTTCGCCGGAGTTGCCAGGTACATCACGCTGGAACTCGAAACAAACTTGTGCCACGGGATCCCAGAAGCTTATTTCGATTGGTTTCTCTTGTGGGCGACATCGAACACTGTGAGACGTCGTCAATGCGCACCAAGTTGGTCATGGTCAGGATGGATTGGAGGCGGCTGGCCGAATATGTGGAACTGGTACTCACGCGACATCAAAAAAGTCCGGAACGCATTGCAACACCGAACTTGGATCATCTGGTACCAGCGCGTAAGGCAAGAGTCTACCGAGTGCGTACCGGTCTGGACCTACAACAATGCCAATCCGTCTGGGCAAAGAAATTTCTATGGTGGCCCAATCAAGAGCCGGTTCCCTTTCGACTGCAGCCAGACGGCCCCAACACCCCGAAAGCTCCTCAATGCCCCCGAATATTGCAAAGATATCCTCAATCCAAACCCTGGATCTGGGTTCCTGCAGTTTTGGACAGTATCTGTGACTTTCTACCTCAACTCATCACCGGATGCAGATGCAGAAGCCCATATGACTCCAAGTAAGTGGCGATGCCGCCTTGGGATATTCGGTAAAAGCGGACGAGAGCTTGGGCACGTGCTTGTGAGTGAGGACTGGCAACGAGCCCATGTGCCAGGAGAGCATGAGTTTATACTTTTATGTGAGGGGAGGGACGAACGACCAGAATGGGGAGCAGAGGACAAGGAAGAAGGTTGGAAATATATGGCCATGCTCATTGAACGGCATGGCGATTGGAATGAACGCGTTGCAGTGGGGTCGATTGGGAAGGATGATCTTTCGGAAGCATTGGCGGAGGGAGCAGTCTGGAAAGAGATTGTTTTGGGCTAGCTTAGATGTTGGGCAACATGACGAACACAAATTCAAATTTCCTACGCTTAAAACTACAAATTTGTCGAACTTTCCATCCCCTGACTATGAAGACTTCTCCGCCTTCCCCATTGCTGCATGAAACGGGCAGCCCGGCCAATGGTTCGCATGCGAGCTTGCGAAAAAGGGCTTGAACGCTTGATCAACCTGCCTCAGCTCTTTCTGACGGCTCACCTTCTCTCCCTGCTCCATACTCTCCATTTTAGGCCACCATGCCGTCTCCGGAGCAGGGTCCGGTAGCAACGTTTCCATTATCCAAAACATCGCCCCAACCACCCAAATGATAATCGCTTCCAGGACCGGGTTGATAGGGTCAATTTTATGCACCTTCAACGTTGACGGCAGCGACAACGCAATAGGCATCGCACGCCCAAGCCAGTGCAGCGGCCTTGGGAAATAGCGGAAGCCAAACTGGCTATAAATGGCTTCGGCGATGAGGTGGCCGCGCTCGGTGCCCTCACGGGGCGTGTTTTCGAATTCTTCGCAGTATTTCACCGTCGCGTCCCAGTCGGATGGAAACCCAATGAGGTGATTGTCCTCTTCGGTCACGAAGTACTTGGCCATGTCTTGCCAGAAGAGATGTGCGGCAATCTTCTGCTTCTCAGACCATCCGCGCAGTCCGAGCCGCAACCTCAAGCGGTGCACCAGAATCACGCTGAATGCGAGGGTGTACACATAGTCCTCATTGTCGGAGAAGCGTCCCGGGTATTTCTTGGCCCAGTATTTGTGGAGCTTGTTGATGCCTTCAATGGACTTCTGTGTGCGAGGGTCGTTCGGGCCGTAGTACCACCACAGGGCGTTGTTGTTCTGCGTCTCTTCTTCTCGCTGCGTTGCTTTGGAGAGGACCTTGTTACGTCACGTCAGAAGGACATAATTTAAGAAAGTGCTTCTGAGCACTGACCTTGCCACCATCGTCCCTCCACACGACCTCGGCTCCGTGAGGGGTAACAACAAAATTTGGAAACGTCAGAGCATAGATAAGATTGTTCGCAAAGTCGTTGAGCCCATATCCAGTAGATAGGCGGTAGATACGCTCGTAGTCCGTGTGAGGATCGAGGCTCTCGATTTCGCGGTTGATCCAGTGGTACGCCGGCATCTTTGTCAGAAGTTGCAGAATTTGTGGAGCGTGGCTGAAAGGATTCAGTATGGTGAAATATGATGTGGCTGAAACGCTAAATTCAAATTTCTTGAATCATTTTTTTCTGTTTTATACTCAATGAAATCTGAATCAATAGCCTTGACAAAAAATGACATCCTTTTCCGACCCGATCCAACCCCGGCGAATTTGATTGGTCAGTCTCGGCCGAATCCCCCATCCGGGCCCACGTTCGGCCCTCACAGGTTCCGTACTGGACCGATTCACCGATTTACAACGGGTGTGGCTGAACCGGCTAGTGATCTTGTAGATATCTTAGGCTGCCTCGTACAGTGAGTCAATGCACTATCGGTAAATACGGGTCTTGGGGGAATCAACAGGCAAGTTCTTTCCCTCCTCACCCAAGCATTCTTTTCTTTTTTCATGAAAGAGAAACCTCTGTCATAGTGTAGACACTTCCAAAGTGCTCTGATATATCTGGCACAGTTCATGGAGGTTTTAATCAACAAGATCGCTTTCATTCATGAGCTGGCCAAGAAGCGAGTTTACGAAGTTCGGCAATACATTCATGCATTCATGAAATCATTTGGAGACGTACAGATGGGATGACAGCTACTTCATATTCATGAGAGATGTGATTCATGCTCCTCTAAAACACTTCGGAGTTACATTTCAGTCAGACAGCAGGGCATTCTCATCCATCTCCTCCGTTCTGTAGAAACCCAACGATTTCAGCATCGGCTTATCATCGAACCGGTACAGATAGACAGTCTCGCCAGGGGAGGCAAAATGCTGGTACCGGTACCATGACGGAATGCAGAATGTGTCACCCCTCTTCCAGGCAATCATCTCCCCATTGATCTCCGAATATCCGGAACCCTCGATGACGTGGTAGACCGCCGAAGAAGTCTCACGTCTGGAAGGCGATGTGCTACCCGAGTTGAGGCGCTCCGCCGAGCCACCCAAGATGCGGCTCACTGCAGCTAGCGATCAGTACAGAGCTCATGAGACGCAATTTAGAACCAGATTTCCACATACCTTCCCTCCCATCCTCCTTCAGATACGGCACAGCCACCCACTCGCCCGCCGTCCCATCCAACCTCCCCTTCATCTTCGCCCACGGAAACACGATGGGCGAATCATCGGTATCGATGTCCTCGGCCGGGTACCGCGGGTCCTTGTAGTGCTCGACGAAGTGGACGGGGAAGTGGACGAAGTTGGGCAGGTCGAGGCCGTCGAGCCAGATCATGGGCTGCGAGCCGCCGTTGCCGTGGTCGTGCCAGTTCCACGTCGGCGTCAGGATCACGTCGCCGCGCTGCATCGGCACGCGCCGGCCGTGCACGGCGGTGAAGCCGCCAGACCCCTCGATGACGAAGCGCATGGCGAAGGCTGTGTGCCGGTGCGCTGGTGCCGTCTCGTGCGGCATGACCAGCTGCAGGCCGGCGTAGAGCGTGTCCGTTGTGAACGGCGCCTCTGTTGCAGAGTCAGTGTGATGTCGTCGGGGGGAGAACTGTAGAGTACGGCTTACCGCGCTTGGGATTGACGAGCATGAGGACTCTTCTCTCGGCCTGTTTCTCTGTGACGAGTTCGCCTGCTTGGATGAGGAGCGGCCGGATCTCATCGTACTTCCAGATGTAGGGGATGGTGCGTGGGTCAGGCGCAGGAGGATTGAGCCTCTTCATCTGCTCCCATAGGGGCAGGGTGGCGGTAGACTCCATTCCCTTAGTGAGGGATTCATACTTGGTTGCCTTGTTATCAGGCGAAATAGTGGTGGTTGTTTGAGCGGACTCAACAATAGTAGACATTGTGAAATAACGATGTGGTTGTGTTGCTTGCTGTGGCTAATTGATGCACGTTGCAAGATTTCTGCCTCGGGCCATCTGCTCTAAGTATACCGTGTTGGGGTGATCTGCAGTTGATTAAGTTCAGCGCGGGTCCTCTCGCGGATCGTTGCGGGGAGATGCGGGGGGAGTGCACGGAAATGTCGGGACCATGAAAGCGGCAACATCCATGACGGGTCAGGAGTCGGCAAATCTAAAAAGGAGCATTTTGATAAATGCTGCCGGTGATTCCGTTGTTTGAACGACCGACATTCTAGAAATCGTATTGCGTCAACAACGATGAACAGCGCTATGTCTGAACTGGAAAAGCTGGTAATGAATGGCAACTGTCTCACCAAACCCGATCGAGCTAACCTTGCCAGATTGAGGATGTTGCTTACCCAACAAACTGTCTCTCGTTTCTCACAAAGATTCCGTTCTCCGACGCCACGGCTCCGGGGCCCAAAAACGACGGCCTGAAGCTGAATATTCTTGTTGTTGGTGCAGGGTTGGGCGGCCTGGCCACGGCAGTTGCGCTCGGCAGACGCGGACATTCTGTGACCGTCCTGGAGAGGGCAGCAGAGCTCGGTGAAGTAATAAAACTTTACCCCCATTCACTGCAACATGCTCACGTTCGCAGGTTGGGGCAGGTATACAGGTACCCCCGAACTCCGCTCGTCTCCTCCTCTCATGGGGGATTCAGCCCTTTCTTCAGGATAAGGTCATCGCGCCTGAGAGTATCACCTTTCGGAGGTGGCAAAGCGGAGAGAGCATTGGGTTTACCAAACTCAAACCCGAGTTCGAAGACAATTTTGACGCTCCGTACTACGTCATCCATCGGGCTCACCTCCACGACGCGCTGCACAAACTCGCAGAGCAAAGTGGAGCAAAGATCCTCATTAACAAAAGTGTTGTGAAGTACGATCCAAATACTCCATCTGTAGAGACGGACAATGGTGAGCTCTTTACCGCGGATCTTGTCATTGCAGCGGATGGGGTCCGCTCAACAGCAAGAAAAGTGGTTCTGGGAGGAGAAGATATGCCAGCACAGAAGACGAGGTTCGCTGCGTACCGTGCAACTGTTCCCGTGGAAAAGATGCAGAGCGATCCCGATCTTGCTTCGATCCTTGCAAGGCCCGGTATCAACATCTGGTGAGCTCCCAGGATGATTTTAGGAGAAACAATGGCTGATTCCCGTCGTACTTGAAGGATTGGAGAAGACAGGCACTGCATGACATATTGTATTGCTGGAGGAAAGACATTCAATATGGTGCTTTCCCATCCAGACTCACCAGATGCCGCGATATGGGAGTCGGACAGGGTACTGAAAGACATGCGCGCCCAGTTTGAGGGGTGGGACCCAAGGTATAGTGATGCTCTGATGTTGCTCAAGCACACCGCTGATGATACCAGATTGACCAAGGTGATCGGCCTTATCGACAAGACCCTCAAGTGGCCGTTGATGAGTGGGACCAAGCTGCCAACGTGGATCGCACCTTCGAACAAGCTTCTGATCCTTGGCGATGCCGCTCATGCAATGCTGCCATACATGTCTCAAGGTGCTGCAATGGCAGTTGAGGATGCCGCAGCAATTGCAGAAGCACTGAGCCTCATCAACAACAGAAAGCAGGTGCCCAATGCCCTGAAATGTTTCGAGAAGGAGAGAATGAAGCGCGCTGGAGATATGCAGACGGCAAGCCTCTTGAACGGAGTGATTTGGCATTTTCCAGATGGTCCAAAGCAACGTGCTCGAGACGAGAGCATGAGAGCAGAGGTCGAAGGGAGGATCTTTTCTGAAAGCGCAAATCAGTGGAGTGACCCCGCTACGCAGGCATGGTGTTATGGGTATGATGCCGAAGATGCCATTCGCAAAGCTTGGAAAGCTTCACACCAGACCAACGGAAGCGTGAACGGAGGTTCTGTTTATAAGTAGCCTTTAGTTTTGGATAGTTTAGCAGCCCAGATCAAATGTCAGATGCCTCGGTCTCCGTTTCACTATCACCCTACCGCAAAGTGCTCCTGAAATTCACAGGAACATGACAAGAGTGATAAGAAGGATAAAAGACAAGTTGCTGCATCTGAGCGCCTATTCCGCTAACTGTTGAATATAATGATGTCGTAATCTTGATTGTCTTGTTGAGAAGTTGAAGTTGTTGATTGTGATTCCCGGACCAAGTCGGCAGGCAGGTCCAAAAAATGCCTCACGTTTTCCAGCTATCTGTTGATGAAGATTACACCTGCATATAAACTTCATACACGAAAGCACAGGTCCACGTTCGAAGCATAGCAGTGTTCACCTTAGAATGCAGCGGCTTTTCTCGTAGGTAAATCATTGGAGGAAGTTTGACTATCTAGTGCATTGAAAGATCCAGGAGATATTTGGTTCAGGCTAAATAACTTGCATGCCTGCCAGTGAGACTTGGCACTCCCTCTATGCAAACTTGACACCATTCCTTAGCGTGCCAATTTCCGAGATGTTTACCTCCATCTTCGTACCCGGTACGAGGTACTTGGGTGGATTCATCCCGGCACCAACTCCTGCCAGTGCACATTAGCAACCTGAGACTCATGATGCGTTAGAATCCACTCACCTCCAGGTGTCCCGGTCATGATCACAGTCCCCTTCTTCAACGTCGTTCCGCTCGAGAGGTACGAAATAATATACGGCACCGTGAACAGTAGGTCAGCCAACTCCGTATCCTGTCTCAGCTCCCCATCCACAACGGTCTTCAACTTCAACCTCTCTGGTTCTCTGATGACAGCCGCTGAAACCAGTGCAGGACCAAGCGGGGCATAGGTATCAAACCCCTTGGAGAAGCTCCACTGTGGGACTCTTCCAGCAAACTCGGGATTGCGTTGCAACTTGCGCGACGAGATGTCGTTGCCAGCGGTGTAAGCTGCAACGTAATCAAGGGCCTCGGATTCTGATACGTCCTTGGCGTCCTTGCCAATCACAACGCACAGTTCGCCCTCATAGTCGGCCTGATCATCCTGAGCAATCTTCGGGATGACAACGTCGGCATCATGGTCGTGAATGGAGGTGTTGGGTTTGAAGAAGAGGGAGGGAAAGGGAGGGGGCGAGCGGCCTGCTTCCTTGACTGTTCTTCGGTGTTAAAACTGTGATGCAAGGCGGTAATAGATCACGTGCGGAGACACGTAGGGATACTTACTGTGGGTCTTGTAGTTCAGCCCAATGCAGCGCACGATGGGCACATCTTCTTGAGACAGAGGGCCGAGCAGCTTTTGGACAGTGACGGTCTCTTCAGTGACTTTGGTGGCACCGGTGGTGTCGTAAAGATCGGTGCCTGAGATGACTTTGGCCTTGAGGCCCGTCTCTCGCGTAGTGTTTCCGAGATCGAAATCTGGATTCGATAAGATTGGTTCGCCGTAAAGTGTTCGTCCGTCAGTTGCGACGAAGCGGATCAGTCTTTGCCATGCAGTCTTCATCTTCAATTTTTTTTTTGCAACTCTCAGAAGGTGATTATTCAACGGGTGAATGTTCAGGTCTGATTTCTCGATAAAAAGTTAAAGATGTTGGATCCCAAGACTGACGTGCGTTCGGTTGCCGATGAGAGCATCCGGGCCACACGTGACTTACCGTTCTTTCCCCGGTGAAGCCAAAGCGGACCACCTCTTTCTGAACACGGTTTTCACAGCCCGCCATCGACCTACTGAGCCACAATTTGCACGTAACCAATTCCATAGCCCTCAAATCCACCACCGTCGATAAAGACCTTTCCGGCCTAATCGGGGCGTCTCCCAAAAGCTTTCGCCGCAGTCCACTGACCTGGCGATCTGGCGTGACAGCCGCCCTTCCCCGACAACAAACGGCCGAACCAGCCCCTACCTTTCCTTACCCGGCCCTTCTTCCGTGCAAATTTCCGCCCACACATTCCCCCACACCTCCTCCGAGCGGACGATGCCTCCACGTCGGGCGACAGATGCCGATGGGGACTCGGACCCAGAGCGCAGCAAGCGCCGCAGAATTTCCCTAGCATGCTCCACATGCCGTTCCAGGAAATCGCGGGTAAGTGTGCCTCGGTGTTGTCCGATCATCTCCGTCCTCCAATGCCCCGGTTCGCTAATCAGGGGATCAACAGTGTGACGGCAAGCGGCCCAAGTGCTCCAGCTGTACGGCTCTCGGCTTTGAGTGCAGCTATGTCCAGTCAGCATCGTCGTCCAACGTCATAGTCGGCAAGGAGTACCTTTCTGATCTGGAATCCCGGCTTGAGCGTGTTGAGGCCCGCCTCTTCGCCGCCGCTAATGGCGAGCTCCACGGGGACCATATCGGTAGCAGACCGCTCCTTAGTCCTTCGAATAGCAGCACCAATGCGGCACCTCCCCAGGCCACGGCGCCAGAGGAGGATGAAGGAGGCACAGGTACCGAGACGTCGGATCAGAGGACCACAACGCCACTCATTACCTTCCAGTTCGAGCACCGCAGCGATGAAGCCGAAGGCGCAACAGACGGGATCGGCTCCATCAGCTTTGCCGATGAAGAGGATTCCGCCTTCCTCGGCCCGTCATCCAACATCGCTTTCATGCGGCACCTTGGCCCCGCGTTGGCGCGCATATCGCCTGCGGGACGGGCCGACACGGTATCATCCATACCGTCTCACCTGGAGGGTGAAATGGTCAGGACGTCCAGGAGGGCATCTCCTCCCACAAGCTCGGGCCCCTCCCGTTTTTCGGCCGCCACTGCCAATGGGGGGAGAGAGAATACTTTCACCTTACCTCCCGATGAGGATGTGCGTAGGCTGATGAACATGTACTTCTCAAACACCGGCATTCTATTCCCTTACATCCATGAGGAGACGTTCCGCCAGAAATATGAGGAGATGAAGCGTAAAGGGCCAAGTTCAGTTCAGAAGACATGGCTGTCTTTACTGAACGTAATGCTCGCTTTTGCGATAAGCACCTCACACGGCCAAGAATCGTCCTTCGTCACGCGGCAGAAGGATTCTGACGTCTTCTTCCGCCGTTCCATTTCGCTGTGCAAGGAACAGATGTTCCGAGCGTCAAATCTCGAGACGGTGCAGCTGCAGCTCCTCACCAGCCAGTATCTTCAAGGCTCCCATAAATCGCTGCAGACGTGGATGGTGCATGGTGTTGCGGTCAAAGGTGCACTTCAGCTGGGTTTGCACTGCCAAAATGCGTCCGCAGCATTCACGCCAATCGAGAAAGAGTTCAGAAAGCGGACTTGGTACGGATGCATTCTGCTCGACCGGACTCTAAGCATGACGTTCGGTCGCCCGCCATCGATCCCAGAGGAGTACATCAAAATAGACCTCCCCGCACCCGAGCCCCCGTTGAGCAACACCGCTGGCGTTGTTGACCACCACTCGAAAGCCATCAGCCTTATGTTCTTCAAGGCCACTATCTCCTTGTACAGTATCCTGAACCAAACCATAACCCGCTGCTACGACTCCAACCTTGGCTATTCCACTGGCCCCGTTCCCATCACCAAAACCGTCCACCACGTCTTCGCACTCGAAACGCAGCTGCAGGACTGGAAGAGCAGCCTCCCTGCTGATTTACATTACCATGAACCCAAATCCCCACCCAACACCACCACACCCGCCTCCCCTCTGCCGACCACAAACCTCATCCACACCCGTGCGGCCACCGTTCTCATCCTCCGCTTCCTCAACCTCCGCATTCTCGTGCACCGCCCCATCCTGACCACCATCCTCGACTCAGTAGCAGCCAACGCCCCACACCATCCCCCAGACCTCTTGCTCAAGCAAGTCGGCGCATACAACCTCAACTGCTGCCTCGAGTCGGCACTGTCCATCATCACCATCGTGCGCACGACGCTGCGCTCTGCTCCGCAGGCGCTGGGCGCGTGGTGGTTCACGCTGTACTACACGTTCAACGCGGCGCTGGTCATCTGCGCGGCGTTGATCGTCCGGCGCAGTGGTAGTTGTAGTGGCGAGGCGGTGCCCGGGCAGGGCTTCGCGTTTGCGTGCGAGGATGCGGAGGCGAGGGACGCGTTGGACGCGGCCATCGAGGCGTTGGCGGTGCTGGATAGGGGGAATCGGATGGTGGATAAGTGCCGGAATCACTTGGGTGGGTTGGTGGCGGTTTTGAATAGTGTTTGTGAGTGGCTTTCCTTCTTGCGTAACTCACTGTGCTCTCCATTACTTCCTTGTTATTGAGCGTTTGATGCTTTGCATACATTTACTGACCGTATGGGTTACAGTCGTGTCCAAAGAGCCGGCCGTGGAGGCGGTTTCGAGCTTGCTGTCTCCACCGACTGGTCCCGGGGCTAATGGTTCCGCAAATGCATTCGGGAACGGTGCGATTCCTGATCTCAGCAATCCGTTCGGTCCATTTGGGACGTCGCCGGCAGGCGTTGAGCTGGGCGAGTTCTTAACGGATATGGACACTGAGATATTGAACATGTTTTTTGCGTAATACTGCCGGCACCGGATCCCCAAGCTCGCCTTCGCTGCTGCCTCTAACGCTATAGCGGGTGCCGAGAGATCCGATCCCTCAAAACGAATTTTTATCAGCATGTAGGCTTGTAATATTACAAGAAAAGATAATGATAGGAGTCCTCCGGTTTGTTTCTTGGTTCCGCATAGTCTAGGTTTAACTGTATCTTTCGTCATCTGTTCTTTCTTACTAGCCAATGGCGAGCTTAACCATAGCCGCGCGAAATTGAATGCCGTTCCCCGAGGGGCAGAGTTCGTGAGCCGACCAGGCGCTTTAATCAACCGAAAGTCCTTTCCCCATATGAAATCCCGAAAAGCTATTATCCAAACCACCATTAAGCACTTGTGGCATCTTCCCCCTTAGTCCAATTAACAATAGTGACTTCAGTACCCTCGCCTCGCCGATGAGGCGGCACGAAGCAGTCATAGTATCTTGGCATGATGAAGCCGAGAATGATCATGAGCAGACAGAGGTGTGCGAGAATAAAGCCGGATATCATCATCGGGTCGTAACGAAGGGAATAGAACTCAGGATAGGCGAAGCTGAAGATGATGGCCAGAGTGGGACCGCTGATGTACCTCAGTAGGAAAGGGTGGAAGGCAGGAATATTCCAGTTCCTCCCACCGCCGACAACAACGTTGAGGTCACGCCGCAGTTGGTTTCCCTGTGAGAGCAGAGGTCAGCGAAGCTGGGAGGTAAAGGGTTGATCGAGCCTTACAGAGTAGAACGCCAAGTACCAGAATCGGCTGAGGAAAACGTTGGCATCCCAGAAACTCGGTGCTTTGGAGTCCGGTGTCTTCGAGATGAGAATGGATACGAGGGAGCAAACGATGTAGGTGCCAAATCCAGCGCCAGCTCCTGCCCCAGGGTTTGAAATGCCGTGTGCAACCGAGATTCCGATAATCTGACCTCCAAAATATCCGACGTTGTAGACGACGAATGCAGGCAAACCTGTCTGGCCAACAACGTCTCTCCAGCGGTAGACGGTAGTGGCGCTCACAACCTCCGTCCAGACCACGAAAATCAGAGCCACGTTGTTAATCCATCTGTCGATCCCGTCCAGAAGGTAATAGCCAAACTCTGTGCAGTATGGTAGACACATGAGAAACGATATCAGTGTCAGCACAGTGACAATGACCGGACGCGAGAGCTTGAGTCCCGAGTCCACAACCAAAGTTACGACAGCGTCAAGCATGACAAAGGCGGAGCTAAATCCAAGAACAACAAGGGTGAAGAACAGAAGAACGGCCCAGAAGTTGGAGCCGGGCATCTGAAGCACGGCCTCTGGAAGCGTCAGGAATCCCACGACGAAAGCACCCAGCCGGACGCCATCCTGCGGCCACCTGCGAAGATATCCGACAACACCGAATACGGCAAAGGCCGCAAAGTTCTCAAACAGGACATTGCTGCCGCAAATGAGGATTGCATCCATGACGGCATTGGAGTGTTTTGCGTTGTAGGATGCGTACGAGGTAAAGTAGCCGAAGCCAATGCCAGTGGAGAAGAAGACCTGTCCAACGGCAGTTTGCCAGACAGTTCCAGATGCTAACTGATCACTTCTCCATGTTGCCCACAAGAGTCTAACACCCTCCCGGGCATTTTCAAGAGAGAGAGCACGGCCCACGAAGATGATGGTAGTGACGATTGGCAATCCCATGGTGAAGTATACGACGCGGCCAGTAAGACCGACGCCGCGGAAGATGGAGACCCAGATTAGGAACCAGATAAAGGCGCTCCATCCGACGGTTTCCCCGAGAATGGAGATGCCTGGGTAACTAGTGTACTCTGCAACCTGACTGTTTCCCGGAGTCAAGCTCCCTTCAACAGAGTCAACATTGTGGATGATATCGTTCCAATAAAACTCTTCAATTCTACCTTCCCACGGGAGCGGGCTGGTGAAGGAATGGCGGAAGTAGTTCATGATCCATGCTAAGTTGACGGTGAAGTATTGGACAACAATGAAGCTGACGAAGACGGGGCCCAAGCCCACGCCTTTCAGGCGTTTATTGATATTGTTGAATGCCATAAGGGTTCCTCCTTGGTATGCTTGGCCAACGGAAATCTCCAGGATAAGCGACGGGATGGCAATTAGGATGACAGCCATAAGATATGGAATGAACCATTGGAGGCCGTAGTTGTTGTAGACGACAGACGGATATCGCAGCAGGTTGCCTTGGCCTGCACAGCCACCCATGGCGGCGAGAAGAAACGCAGCTCGCGACGGCCATTGGTCACGTCCATCTTCTGATTTTTGCGGAGGGGGAGCGAGCCAACCGCCCACCTTCTTGATGTATTGTGAGACCGCCATTACTGAAGCATTTCCATAGGTGGGAAGCACAAGAATAAGGCAAGGGGAAAAAGAAAGGTCCCGAGAGAGCGGTAGGCAGACTGCAGGTCGAATTGGCGGTTTTATACCAGGTTCACTGAACCCGTCCAGCCAAGAATCATAACGAGTGTTATGCGCCGCAAGCCAAGACAGGTTTCCGATGGCGGCTCCAATGCGTGGCGTGAGTGGGCGGAGAGGTCAGACAGTTTGCCGACTTCCGCCTTGACGAATTCTTGGCCCGTCTTGGCTCCCATTGCGTGCGACCCACGTGCCAGTGCCATGGGAATTCAGATAGATGAGACCTATCGGATGCGTTAATAAAGTCTCTTTTGACAGCTAAAACGAAACGAAGAATGCAGCATATGGTGTGGCCGTGATCCGGGACCATGGTACAGAAGCCTGGCGCTAACGAACCTTTTCCGCATTCCTGGAGGCAGCCAAGACTAATACGATTAGAGGAACTGTTTACAGCTGCGTCTGCTCTCCGTTACACTGTGGTCGGAGAATAGCCCATTGTTAGTGGTATCGTGCCAACAAGAACGGAACATAGCCAATAGAGTGTTGAAAATTCCCGGACACCGTTTGTGTATTCTGTAGGATTGCCCCAAAAACAAGAAAAACAGCCGGCGGCATTAAAACAAGGCCTTAAAGAGATCGTCAGCCGCCTCCACTGCGTCAGCACCCGCCGCCACCCGCAGTGGCGCCTGCGCCTCCGCCGTCACTCAGTCGTCCACAGGCTGACCCCACCGGTGGCACATCTCCCGCAAGGACCACCCCACCTCGCTGTAACCCCACGATTCCTTCTTCTCACCTACAACTCCGGCGTGTCAGTCATCAAACCCCCCATGAGCGCTGTCGGGTATCTCGTCCCCGCGATCTCGGCTTCGTCAACCAGCTTCCGTACTTTGGCAACCTCAGCCGGGGTGATATCCACATTAACGGCCCCAACGTTTTCCTCGAGGTTCTTGATCTTGCTCGTCCTGTAAACACCATCAATATCAGCAACCCACACGGTCACATACAGCATTTACTCACCCAGGAATCGGAAAAACATCACCCCCCTGCGCCCACAACCACGCCAGCGTCAGCTGCCCCGGCGTGCACCCCTTCTCCCTCGCAATGCCGCATATCGTATCCGCCAGCACCAAATTCTTGGGCAGATTCTCGTCCGAGAAGCGCGGGTAGATGGCGCGGCGGTCGCCGGGGCCGAAGTCCTTGGAGCTGCGGAACGCGCCCGTGACGAGGCCCTTGCCGAACGGCGAGTACGCGACGACGGCGACGCCGAGCTCGCGGCACGCGGCGAGCAAGCCCGAGGTCTCGATCTCGTGCGTCACGGGGCTGTATTCCATCTGCACGGCCGCGATGGGGTGGACGGCGTGAGCGCGGCGGAGCGTCGTGGCTGAGACTTCGGAGAGGCCGAGGTGCTTGATCTTGCCTTCGCTGGTGGTGGTGACGGTTGTGTTAGTCATGGTTGATGTTTCGGGGTGGGGGTTGGTGCGAAATACTTACGCTTTGAGCTCTGCCATGGCCTGCACCGTGTGCTCGATGGGCGTCTTGCCGTCCACGCGGTGGAGGTAGAACAGGTCGATGCAGTCGACGCCGAGACGCTCCAAGCTACGCTGGCATGCTTCTTTGACGTGCTCGGGGTCGCTGCGGAGGAAGAATCTCACGTCGGGAGAGCCGAGCTTGCCCTCGATGATGCCACCGAATTTAGTGGCCAGGAAGATTTCATCACGTTTGCCCGTCCGCTTGAACCACTTCCCGAGGAGATCTTCCGAGTCACCCTGCCTTGACAGTCAGATAAATTTCTTGCACAACAGAGGGATCCAGAGGTAAATTACGTAGACGTTGGCCGTGTCCCAAAATGTCTCGCCGAGCTCCAGGGCGCGGTCGAGGAACTTGAACCGTTCCTCATCGGGCGCAGGCTCTCCGAGTTCTATAGACAAACCCATCAATCCGAGCCCCAGACGTGGGACGAGGGGGCCGTTGGCGCCGAGTGGCTTTGTCGGGATGGGAGACATTGTGAAAATCTGTCGGGAGTCTTGCGGAAAAGTCTGGTGGATTGTTTGTATGAAATGATGGTTTGGTAGTTCGAAACACCCTTCCCACATCTTGAGTCCCTACTTATACTTTTCGTTGTACATCTTTCGTGGTAGAAACGTTGGTGATGGAGCCTGGCGGAGTTCCGTCCGGAGGTCCGCTGGGGGCTTCTCGAAAGTGGAATCCGCCACACAACACTTCTTGGCGGAATTCCGCTTTGCATCCTCTACTGGCTGCGACTAAGAGGCGGGTGCGTGGAAACATCCTGACGCTCGTTTTCCACGTTCCTGGTCATCCTGAAAAGAAAGTCTGTAACTGTCGGCCATTTTCAAGGCTGATTGATATATCAAAGGTAGACCTCCTCGATCTAATGGTGCGCCTTTAAATTCAGTCAAACGGTGATCCAGTTTCGTAATACCATCCCTTTGCGGCATCGGTCCCAAGGTACCTGGTGAAAGTCAGATCGAGAATGGTTGTACTGTAAGGGGGAGCCATACGACACGATATACATCCGCCCGAGATCGTCTACATCGGAGCCTTTTCCACTGTGCAAAACCTCTTTCACAAAGCAATTAGAGATTGTCCAATGAGGCTTCTCCCTCCATGCCCGAGTGAACTCGAATGATGATGATGCGTCCCACAGATGCGCGGAGAGTGTCCAACGATGCGCCCTTCCCCAGGGACCTACATCAGCGACTATGGTCGCACGTCAGCTAATGCCTTTGGGGAAAAGGTCGAATGGGTTACCGTCTCCATTCTTCAGCAAATGGTATTTGCTGAGAAAGAAATAGCTCACGAGCACGGTTCTTCTCGTGCACTCTTCAAGTAGCCAGGACTGCACTCAGAAGTTAAGCACAATCATTGAATATATTACGGGGAGAAACATACATCCCAATGAGGTGGATCCGGGCCTGCGCTAGGGACGTTGGCAAATTGATCGCGATGTTGTTCAAGCTGTATTGTCATTTCCTTCAGGGCTGGCATTGCAGTCTCGGCATGCCCGCGCTGCCGGATGTCACCATCAAAGACGCGAATAATCTGGTAGAGTAGTAAAGCTTGGATCATGATGAGCAGATCTCGAGTTGGTCTCGATTCGGCAGGGTTGTACTGCTGAAGCAAGTTGGATGCGTTTGCATCCAAAACCTTGAATACAGCTGCCTCGTTTGCCGAATTCTTGGTTGCATAAAGCGCCGAGGCTGTAAAGGCATCGAGTATGGCCTTGGGCATATTGTCTTCGTACATCCGCGGATGCAGAAACGGTGTTTTCATCTTCAAAGCCATGGTTTTGGGGAAATTCCGCACCAGATCAATGATGTATGCGCTGGCAGAGTTCGGGTTGCCCAGTTTGCCTTGATCAAGTTCTTCCTACAAGCCGGTGAGAATGCGCCCTCACAAAATACAAGAACACGACAAACCCTTAGTTCATAAAAGTCTTCATAATCTTCTCGGGTGAACGTCTCCCGGGTCGAGGTCGATTGAGACTCTGGACTGCCAAAAGAACTTTCGCGACGATCATCCATTTGGTCAAAGGCGCCACTGCCAGTAAGAAGGGCAGGCGTATCTCCCAGGTCCATGTGCAGATCCAAATCGTACCCGTTCATGAGTCCGGGCATGATACTCTCAAAGCCGTCCGCCCCCATCGCATTGCGTGCAGCGAGGTCGAGGTCAGGTGCTGCAGCGGGCTTCTGCGACTGGTCTGGCCTCCAGGGACCAGCGGCGGACGGGTACTCGCACGCCAGACCCTTTTCCGCACATCGCGAGCAAGGGAGCTGCAGGTCGCAGCGCCGTTTCGCCTTGACGCAGCGTCCACAGCTCTTGCGGCGGGGTGGCGGGGCGGCTGCCGAGGCGGCGCTAGTGCTTGTGGCGTAGGTGAGCGACATGGTGGAGTTCCGCGAGCGAAAGTTTTGAGCGGGAAGGTAAAGTGAAGGTGGAGTGACGGAGGCGGAATTCCGCTGCATCGAGTAGTGCGCGGAGCTGCACAGCCTTACAATCCTGCAGGATCGGTCGTCGGGGAATCTGACGTGCAGTGAGGACTTCAGCTGGGCAGCCTGGAATTGGGGGCCGCCCCTCAACGGGGCTTAGCGTGATAGCATCAGGCAGCACCATCCACACACGCTTCGTCACCCACCGTTTCTCACCTACGTATGTTGCTCATGAACAACGATTGGACCTGGGATCTAATGAATGCGGCAGGCCCTGGCAATGCTTCAAACCCACAAAAGGCCCTTGAGGTACTCGAGCTCTCGGTCCAGCATACGTACCGCCACTCTCAGCACACGACGCGCCTATTCAGGAAATCTATGTACAAGTTGGGGAAACCCCTCGCAGCAGCGTACGCAACGCCTTTACCAAGTACCCGCGTGTCCATAATTTTATCCAGCGCAACTTACTCCAAGCATCCGCCTTCTTGGAATCATATTCAATCCCTCTACTCAACCAATGAACATCCATCTTGTAGAATGTTTGAGCACCCCGAAGCCGCAATGCCCGCTACAAACCACCTACACCTCGGTGCTCCTAATGCAGGCCATATGCACAACATGGAGAGCATCAGCTACGCCGCGATGTTCGTCAGCCAGGGTGCCATTGCTTAGAGGCCGTTGACCACATGCAGTCCACTAATCAGAAGCTTCTCTGCGCCATGTTTCCTCCAACTGTCTAGTGGCCTGAAAGGTTCCGCACCACATGTCTCTCGAGGCTCATGGAGCCAAGTTCGGCAGTGCATCTACGTACAAGTGGCCACGTCCAGATCGTGCGAAGAATTCATCTGCGTAGGAACCGATTGAAAAATTTAAGTTAAAATGCCAATATGAGCAAGTTTACACACGAACCGGGCGTTAATTCCTTTCGTAGATTCAATCGGGTCATGTGTACTAACATTTCTGACGCAGTGCGCAGGTTTGTCAGCTCGCCTGAGGTGTGTTGTGGGCTGCCGACGGCCATCCGGCGACTGCGGGTATCCGTTGATAAACCTTGCGGCTTCCCGAGACTGACTAAAGCTGGCTGTCCGCTGTCTGCCCTGGCATGATGCGCTGAATAAATATCAAGCCCGAGCTTACTATGACCGCAGATACATTCATCCGTTGATTTCCATTCAAGTCATTGAGGAAGCCCATCCGAAGCGCAACAACCAATCATTTTAACCATGACTCTTACGGTCCACCACCTCCAGCGCTCGCAGTCAGAGCGCATTGTTTGGCTTTGTGAAGAGCTTGGAATCGACTACAACCTTCAAGTCTACCATCGCGAACGGGTTGGTTTGGGAGCTCCGCCAAACCTCAAGGCTATGTAAGTACACGTCTCACGCACACATTGATACCCTTGACTGACTGAGCAATCCACTCAGCCACGCATCCGGCACAGCCCCGGTTATCGAAGATGGTGAGGTTGTCATCTCGGAGTGCGGAGCTATCATGGATTACATCCTGGGAAAGTACGGAAATGGCCGCCTCACCCTTCCCTCCACCGCCCCGAACTTTGCCGACTATGTCTTCTGGTACCACTGGGCCATCGGCACTCTTCAAAGCATGGAAATGACTCTCATTTTCGTCGCCAAAGCCGGAGTTCCTGATGAGAATCCCGTCATGCAAGTTCTCAAGGGCCGCCTCGCGCATGCGCTCAAAATGATGGACGAGCGTCTTCAGAAAGCACCATGGCTGGCGGGCGACGAAATCACAGCTGCCGATATCTACGCCGTATTCACCGTCACGACGGTGCGTCTATTCACTCCCTTCGCTTTGACTGGCTACAATGGGATTCTGGGATGGCTGGAAAAGATTGCGCAAAGGCCAGCCTACAAGAACTTCATCGAGAAGGGCGAACAAGGGGACGACAGGGGTGAACTACCGGTTCTTGGTGCCGAAGCACCCCGGCCTCTTTAAGGACCTACAAGGAGATGGAGAGCGAGGATCTACCGGCAGTACTATAGACATTCCATGACAAAAAGTCAACCCCTACGTCGCAGCTTCTCGCTGACGTATGTAGTCCGTCAGAATATCATCCCAACTAGTCCCAAGCCATTGCATCTCCTTTTCGCATGGTCTTGCCCCACGGCTCTTCTCTTCTCCTATCCTTCTCAACAGATCAGCTTCCGAGTCCGCGTCCCATAAAAATTCGCCATCGGGCATGGGGAATTGAAGGTGTTCGTCCTCGAGCAGCTCCGCCTCGTCTTCCGGCAAGACTCCCGACTGTTCATACAGCCTCCAGACCTGGTACAAAGCGGCTGCAAATCGTTTCATTTCTTCCACCGACACCCAAGCGCAAAGCGTCGCGTGGTAGGGTCTGGCGCCAACAGCGCGGAATTGGGTAATCATATTCTCATGCGAGAACATGCCTCGTTTGCGGCAGCTCTTCACCAAGGCGATAAGGATATCTCGGTCGTTTTGGGTTGATGGGGCCGCCGCCTCTTGCCGGGTCTCGAGCATGGTGGTGAAAACAAGGAACAGGAGGATGGCTTGGCTCGTGCCGATGGGCCATGCCTCCTGCAGTTGAGGGTCGTCATCTTTGCACCCTGATACATCCCACTTTTTCTTTTTGGTTACGACGCGGATTATATCAGTTTTATGTCTTTTTCCCCGGCGCCGCTACGCCTTCCTGAGAATAGCTTACCTGTTGCTCCCGGATCGACACCCGCATTTTCTCGTGCAGCTTTATCGCGGCTTCCCGGGCGCCCGACTGCTGCGTCGTCGCCCACAGCCCAATCATAACGACGGCCTGCACCAGGAACGGCAGCTCCCGCCGCGGGCTAAAGGTGGCCTTGTGCAGGAACGACCAGGTGGGGTGGAAGCGCGCAAAGTAGGCCTCGACATACTGGTCGATCTCGGGCGACCACAAGTTGGTACAGTCGATCGTCGTCTGGCTGCTGGTTGCGGGTTCCGGCTGCGCCTGATCGGCGCCGCTGCCGCCGCCGTTGTCGTACTTGCACTGCAAGCCTCTCTCCAAGCAAAAGTCGCACGGCGCGGACCCTTCGCATTTGGTCTTGCGTGCTTTGCAGTTCACGCAGGCGGCGAGTGCGCGGAGGCGCTTCAGATCCTTGTCGCGGTGGTGCAGCTTGATGTGGCGGCGGAGCGAGTCTCTGTTGCGGGTGGGGTTTCATGTCAGCGGGTGGCCCCCGAGCGTCTTCTGATCTGCTGCCGCGGCCAGGAATTGTCACACCTGCGAGTATACTCGCATTCGCAATGAGGACACGAGAACTTGGCGGGGGGCATGCTGTCGGGCTCGCTGAGCAAGGATATCTGGGTAGTTCGAGAGAAAAATAATCTTAAAGATGGCCGAGTAGTGGTGGTGGTTGAATATGGTCGGGGTGAGCCGATTACGTAAAGGTTGCAGGCTTCCGGCGGCTACCCGACGCTCCAAAACAGTCACACAGAAACTACAGCACTTTCGCCAAATATGCCCAGGTCTTCAAACAGGTGAGCTCTGGAGAGTTCAGCATCGTCCCTGAGTAGATGTTTCTGATTTTGCGGATAAACCCCATCAAATTTGATTTAGAGAAACCAATAACTGGAAGTACCGGTACGCTGAGAAAATCAGCTGCCCACTGAAATGCCTTACTATTGCAGATCTAGAGTCTATATATATCTTTTCGATCACCTAGTTGATAAGCTTCACCGATGCGAGCCGCAACGCAGGACTATTCAGCATTTTTGCTTATAAAGAAATCTTACTACGCCCTTGGCTGACCTCGCCTTGCATCTTATTTTATCAAACATAGACCATTTTCATGCTTATTCAGCCCGCTCACATGGCTGTGAGATAGTTTTCTTGGATACACCAGCGGTTCCATCATTTATGAAACTGGAAGGAGAGCACAACTGATGAAGCAAATGATAATAGCGGAAGGTAATGACGACGATGGGAATCTGCAAAGTGATTTATGATATTCCGTCTTGTGAAAGCAGAAAACAGTCCAATATAGACTTGGAATGAGAGTTTGTCTAGCATGGTCAGTATATGCATCATGGCCGTGGTAATAAAATAGGGTAGGCTCTCGCAGAGATTCTTTGGGTTCAAGTCAACGCCCCTGAACCGAGGCTTTCAAGGAGCAGACCATGTCTGGATGATAAGAGTTCAATCTTCTGACTTGATACCTTATGTACCGTGTCTGCAGATGGCAGCCCGATGGGATAGAAGGCCAAGGTCGTTACACGAGTCATACGAACCTGTCCAAACACACGCCCAAAGCTCAAAGGCTTGCCAAGTTGTGGAGGATCTCTGTGGATCAACGACAAGGGCAGAGCGTTGTGGGGGATGGGCGTAAAGTTAAAAGTCCTAGTCAAGGCGACCAAGGAGGAGATGTCGCAATTCGAGACTTAGCAGCGGCAGCCAGAGCTGATTGGTAGTGGTTTGGCGAGAAGCTGCGGGTCTGGTGTTTGCAGCGAGTCAAGAAAATACGAGTGGCGCGGCAGCTCGCCAGACTGACTCGCTCTGCCTTAGGATCGCCCTGATGTCGTACATGCAAGGCAACCTAATTGCAACTGCGTACGAACTGTCCGGATGGCAGTCGGGCAACTTCTGAGAGGGCCAAAAGTGCACGTGAGGAGTGCAGTGGTTCCCTGGACCATGCGGTCATGGGATTCGGTTTTGAGCTCCCCACTTGTCTAAACTCGTCGGAGATAAGCTCAAAGATCGTCGAGAAGCGACCGACATATGCAGGAACAAGACCGGGCATGATTACAATTCAACAAAGTTGAGAATCTTGTTTGACTGCACGTCCTTATGCGTGACGCATAAAGGGTTGCAAGCGAATAGCGTGACGGGTAGGCGGGAGAGGGATGCCGCGACGCAAGGTGATTGCGCAACAATGAAGCAGGCAGTGCATTGACTAGTGTGATCTGACTTGATTCGTCGATGTCTTCTCCACAGTGACCCTTGATCGTCGAGCAGGCGAGGCAATTGCAGTGCAACAGAAGAGCCTTGTCGATACGAGGGATGCGAGACGCAGCTCGCCTCTTTCCGCGTCAAGAGTGGGGATTTATCCCTCGTCGGAGAATTGATAAGATCCTCATGTGGAAGCGAGCTGCCGGTAAGATCAAGGGATCTAGGTTAAAAGATGATCCAATTGTCCCACAACAGCAACAGGCTCCGCCCGCGCCATTGAGAAATAGGCAATGAAAGAACGGCCGCTTGTGATAAAATTCTGCACCGTCGCCGACCGTTTGGCGGACGGGCCACAAAAAGTGGTTCGCTCAACGCTCGCTTCGCTGATCCCGCTGGCGCAACGGACAGCAGATCTGACGGTGCTCCGTCCGCCCGCCATCAGAAAGCGGAAAAGAGATGATAATAATATTGGTGTTGATCCGTCATGCCATTGGCGATTCTGGCAGTGAAGTGCAGGCAGCTGTGACCGACCCTTGGACCCGCCTCCGCACGCCGTCGACAAGAAAGGATACATTGGGGCATGACGCTGGTGGAGCGGTCAACAGCGCGAAACATGGGTGAGGCTGGTGATCGTCCTGTCATTCAGAATAGGGGCGTTTGGAGTTGACATGATGGCCAGGCCTGGGGACTTTCGCTGCCGGAGATTACCATACGCGGCCAGAGCCCGTGGCCACAGTGGCGAGGGGAGGGGTAGTTTGGGGAACCGGGAACTGGTGATCGGGGAAGGCCGGTGGAGCAGCGCCTCAGACGCGAGCTACGCACCACCACAGTCTGAGGCTTGCCGTCGTCGGTCGGCTATTGCTGGCGGGTGATTGCGCGAGAGTTGACGACGCCGGCAGCGCGCCGATACGTCCGCTTCATCCGGTCGAGCCCTACAGACCCTCATCAGTGTGGCCCCTATCCTCGACACGCGGTGACGGTGGTTGAAGGTGGCCACTTACCACATGATGAGGCGGCCGGAAGCAGTATAACGCGTCGGAGAACAGCCGTGGTTCGGCGCAGGGCGTTTTCGGACCGGCTGAAGGCTTCTAGCGTGGTGCGCGCAAGCTGACATCCGTTTCGCGCCGGGTACGCACGGTGCATCTTGCGCCGGCACTTTCGCCCGCCCTGGCCGGCGCGCAGGCCTTCCGCCCGCTAGCCTCGGATGAGTCTTCACTGTCGGATTAGAGACCCAGCCGCCATCCGCCCTTCCTCTCGTAACACCATCGCCATGTCGCAAGCCTCCGCGCCAGCTCCAACATGGCTGCTGCCTGCCAGCCCGCTATCGAATCGTCGAAAACACCCGGCGTCTGGGGCTGCCGTACATGTGCTCCCGTGGTCCCCATCCGCCATCTCGTGAGCCTGCCTTCACCGACGGTGGCAGCTGGCGCGTCGTTCCACGTGAAAGCTTGGGCGAACCTTGCGGCGATGAAACAATTTCATCCCCGCATTATTCCCACCTCGCTAAGGACCTGATCATGCAGGCAGCCCAGTCCAGGTCGCCCGATTTCCTCGCCTTCTAGCCGCATTCCTGGAGGCGGGCCACTCGGCGCCATCATATGGCAATTGTGCAGGAACACTCTTGGCTCCCCAGCCCTTGGCAGGGACCGACAAGGCAGTTCCATAAAACTGTGGATCGCTCGTTCCGGACCAGTCACCCCCGTTCATTCTCTTGCACCTATTATTTCCCCCGGACCATTCCCGGAAACTCGGCGAACCCACTCTCGTCTCATAAGAGTGCCCGCTCTTGCACTGCCATTTTCTTGTCAGCTCTCTGGATTTCCTACCGGGCACCGCTGCCCTACCACTCGCCCGCCAGCCATGTCTGCCTCGGCCACTGACACCAAGGTGTCGTCCATTGCCTTTGGATTCTTCCTGGGCTTTGGCTACCTGACCGCCTGGGATGCCTACAAGATCACTGCCAAAAACCGGAACCCTTTGCGGAGTTTGTTCGTGTGGATGGTATGGGGCGAGCTGTTGGCCAACCTCTCCATTGCCATCTTGGCATGGCTTTTCCTCGAAGAAGTGCTTCCACCAACGTACGTCTTCTTCCATCTACCTCTGTTGGCTCTCAATTGACTCTAGTCCAGATTACCAACCTTCTTTTTCATCCGTAAGCCGTGTCGACCGACCAGCTCGCACGCTGCATGCTAACATACATTTCTAGTGGTGGCATGGGTTTTTGAGATTCAGTTCATCCTGCAAATCATCGTCAACCGAGTGGCAATCGTCTCCATGGACAACCGCCTCCTCACCTGGATTCGATGGGGGACCGTCGTTTTCATCTCCCTCGTCAACATCTCAGTCTTCTGCATCTTCCTTCCTGCTAACCTGGGTGTCGGCGAAAAGTACGTCTTCCTTTACGGCCGTAGCGACGGCATGCTGACAGCTACGACAGGTTTGTCGAAGTCAACGCCGTCTGGGACAAGATAACAAAGGTCCTGATCGGTCTGAACGATGCTGCCCTCAACTGGTACTTCATTGTTCAGGTGAAGAAGCGCCTCATTGCCAACGGCCTGCAAAAGTACAACGCTCTCGCGCGATTCAACACCCACATCATTTTGATCTCGATCGGCATGGATGTAGGTTCCTCGATGGTTGCGCCTTTAGACGTTGCCTAGCTGACCTGGCCTCCCTAGCTGCTCATCATCGGCACCATGTTCCTCAAGAACGGCGTCGTCTTCATCCAGTTCCACCCCGTTGCCTATACTGTCAAGCTCAAGATCGAGCTGTCCATGACGAATCTGATTACGCGCATCTCCAAGGAGTCGATCAACGAGCGCAACCTGGGTACAACCTCGACCAGCCATGGCCACAGCCGCTTCACCTTTAACCCCACCCGCACAAACGTTACCGCGAAGGATGTCCAGCTCGAAACCTTCTCTGAGCAGAACCACACTTCAACCGTCTCCGCACAAAAGTACTCAGAAGAAGAAAATGGCCAAGGCCTCAATCAGATCTTCACAAAGCGCGAGGTCACTGTGCAGATCTCTGACCCTCAGGAGAGTCCGGAGAGTATATCGCAGTCGGAGCAAGCGAGCAGTAGAGGAAGCAAAGAGCATGCCAACTACCACCACGGACACGGACACCGGCAAGACGACGAAGTGCCCCTGTCGTGGAGGTAATGAAAAAATCCCACCATGACCCAATCTAGCAACTGGATACCCCTCAAAAAGTAATGATCTGACCGTCCCTGTCAATTATACCTCTCCTATTAATATCATATGTATACCCCCATCGCATGTCCGGGCAAGATCCCAGAAGTCCAATACCCATTCATCTTTTTCCGTACAATCATTCCACTTCGATAGTTGAGGTTGTAGAAATGTCACGAATGTTCAAACCTGCAATCACTTCGAGGCCTCCTTCTCACAGATAATCTGCCGATCACCCTTGTTTGGAATGCTCCACCGCGAAGTCCTCTCTTTTCGCGCGAGCAGTACCACGATTCATGCCAGCGGGGAGCAATGCAAATCATACAAGCTCCCAACAGTTCGCAAAGGTCCATGCATGCAAAAAAATGAAGCTATTCGACAATCGGGCCGGAATCGTCGATTTGCTCACGGTATAGAGTCGAGCAGAAAGGCGATGCTGATCCAAGCCTCATCCCCCAGATCGCCATAACGCCGATATGTTGTATGTAGTACACAGTACGTCCGCCTATCAGCATTTGACCAACAAGGAAATCCCGGCCTATTGCCCGGGATCTCTAACATCTCCTCTTCGAGTAGTCTCTAGCTGTTCTAGAGGGGGCGCTAAACTTTGTTGCCATGCTAGCCCAGCGCGATCTGCGGCCAAGCCCGATAGTCGGTGCCGATCTTTTTCTCGCCAGCGCAATGCACTCGTGACTGTGGATTTCGCTTCGCCAACAAGTCCAATTGCCATTCGTCGGTTTTAGTCACATGCAAGGCAATGCTCATCATTCTTCCAGAGGCCGAGGGTCGATAGCACTGTCCTTTAACAGTAAGCTGCACTGACCACCCGCCCAACGCTTTCGGCCTTAACATCATTTCAACCGTACCCACCAGGGGGGAGATGACAGTGGGAACGTGGTCGTGATTTTTTGGGGTGTTCCCTCTATACGAAATTTTCCGGTCAATGCGCCGCCAGGCTCGGAAGCATCCGAAGTGGCGCGGCAAAACTTTCCCGCTGCCTAGTGAGCTATCGAAAATTCCGAAGCACTGGTCCGAGTTCTACCAAATCCTACGTGATTACAGACAAGACTTCCGAATACCCCATGTGGGGCCGCGTAGCCTTTCCACTACGACTGTGATTAGTCGTTTGGCCTCTACAATAGGTCACTTTCCGAAGACCACTTCTGACGATGATCACCAGCCAGGTCACGGCCCTTATTGGTATGGTACAGCTTGCCGGCTGCTGTCTCAAGCTGATGCTCTTGGTGGCCGTCCTACTATCGGGCCTCTTAGATGCTACACACCAGTGGGCTCTTCAGAAGACCATATGGCTCTTGTCAAATTTGGTCTGCCAAAGCCGTTAGCATCTTGCCAGCTCCCCCTTTCATTCCGAATGGGATTCACCGGTATGATGTCTACAATTTCCACAGAAGGCCAGTGACAGCCCTGTGAGATATCTCACCGCTTTTATGCATCAGTCCTGTTGTTGTTTCCTTGTGATAGTATGCAAAAGAGCAAGCCAGGTGGTCCGGAAATTCGCCCGCTTTTATCTCCGTCTTTGGTAAGCGGTATAAAAGCTTCGACGCTCCGACTGCGATTGCAAACATGGACTTCACAGTCTCCTCACTCAGGCTTTCTTCTCATAGACCACCTCACTCATGATGATTGAGTAACGGAACGGGACTGAAAACTGTCATGCTCACATGCGCCCACTGTCACGACAAGAAAGCTCCAGAGCCCTACCTCTACACACGTCACAGCGCGAAGCCAAAGAAACGGCCAAGAATTGCGTAATTTCTCCGGATGTCTGATAAGAGAACGGCTGACGCGGGGCAGAGATGTGCAACTGACAAGGTTGCGAAAACATCACGTCAACATCGTCTCATCGTGACTAAAGAAAAGAAATTTACCCGCAAAGTGCCACTGCCGCTGTCAAAATGTATACCAGAGGACGCGGAGGGTTCTAAAGGGTGCATTTGCTTAGTATGGCATCCATAGCGAGGTGCTTAATTAGGGGTTGTAACGGTTGGCATTACCTAGAATGATAACTTCTATCGCGGACATATTGGTATCTCTGAGCTCAAGGACATTTTTTTTACAGATTATCAGTTGAAACTTGGGTATCGTCAATTTAAACCAAAAGCTGAAGAAGTTTACCTTGCGGGCAAATCACTGTACCGATGTTTGATGCTTCGCAAGCTGCGATGCAGTCGGCCTGATCAGGTTGGCGCTGTGGCACACGTAGAAGTTGTGGCTGTGCAGCACCTGCTTATAGGAGTTAAAAACCACCAAACAAAGTCGTTTTGGCTGTCCGGTGATATCGTTGCCAGCTATTAAATGCCACGCAACACTTCGTCGTATACTTCATTTGCGATACCGCATACTTGAGCCACGGTATCGATATGTCGCTCCCTTGCCTGCAGTACTCGGTCCGACCGTGCTTGGTTTTGTCATCCTATGATATATTTGGCGTTATTATGTAAGTTGCCAAGCGTATGGTGTTGGAAAATCCTTTGGGTCTGGCCCGGCCTGCACGCTCTCTTTGCCGTGGTCTTGCCGGATTTCAACCTTCTTTTTAATGTGTGGAGCTCTGTTACAGGCTAGTTCTGACGAGCTATTCTTCGAAACACGAAGTTGGTTCTCAACGGGCCGTAGACCGAAACCGCCATTCCTTCCGCTCAATAGTTCAACTAGCGCGGAAGTATTTGCCGAGCTCCGGCTTACTTCGATACTGTTGAACGGGAAACTTTTTCCTTGCATATGTGCTTTCGGTAACTCATGTATTGAAAATATTCTATGCATATTCTGCTAACAAGTCAGCCTTTGACGAGAAGCCTCAACGGCAATGGACGACAGGTCTGGGGAACTGCCGAGTCAACGCAGCCCGACTACAGTAGTAACTCAGTCTATAATGCATTGTAAACTGTCCCTCGCAACTTGGAGCACCCACTACATAGAATATTTCAGGCATCCCTGCCTCATGTGATCCTATATGTGGCTCGATATGTAAGGGCTTTGCCCTCACCTAGTACGCAACGCAGTTGCATATGCTTTTTAAGCTTAAAGGAGTACTGTATTGAACCTAATTGAGAGTTCATTCTGGCTTCATCAGTTAATATACTATTTCTGTGACATAACAAGTATGAGGCAACCGAGAGGCAGGCCGTATAGTGCATACCACAGACTAACTGATTTGTTGGAGTACGAAGAGCCGCACAGAGTATTTATCAAAAATAGAAGGCCCATTTGGCTTAGTCTCACCTCTGAGTGCGCATAGTCTCTCGATCGAATCCTAGACCAGGCTCTCCTCCCAATGCATGTCGAAGACGTTTCTCCTCTGCCAGCACTGATGTTAATGGCCAGGCGAGCCTTTGGTCTTAAGGCTTCTATTACTCGGATAGAAACGTCGCTGTGGCGAGCTCGAAATGGCCTAATATAACTTGGGCTATATTAGAAAACGTAGTAAATAAGAATTCGACTATGATTCTATATACGAAAAGAAGCTACTAAAGAAGAAAGAGTTCTAAAGAGAGAAGTATTCAAGTAACAGAATTTACGTGCTAGATATAAACGAGTAAGCGTATTACGAGTCGTACGGCGTTAGCCATAATAGGCTGAGTGATCCGACCATGATATGCATGTGTTCGAATATCGAAGCAAAGGCCTCTAGCGGCCTTAACCTATACTGCGATAGAAGGGGTAGAGTTTGGATGATGGGTGCCAGCTGCACACCCGTGACCTGGATTCGCTGAAGGAAGGGGAACATGCTGTCTGCCCATACCATGGTGGACAGCGGTACCGGGCGCGCCATTGCTGTGTCGTCGGTCGTGGCCGAAGATTCAGATAGGTAATCATCTTCAGGAGCAGCGGGCCAATCATCCATTGACGAGTGGTCGGACTTGATTTCAATAACACTGCCAGGGCCTTGGTTCGAAGGTCCGGCATCAGGGTCGGGCTTAATGCCCGTGACACTTGCATCTGATTCGGCGTCCGAGTTTTCGTCAGCAGGCTTGTCGGACTCGGTATCCGGATTTTCATTCGAAAGCTTGTCGGACTCGGCATCCGGGTTTTCATCAGCAGGCTTGTTTGATGGCTTGACACTAAGATCCACGTCCATAATATGCTGACTGTTAAGAGGGTTTCCGACGCTAGGACCGAAGCCAGTACGACCGTTATTTTCGAACGGGGATTCCGACGGGAAGTCTACACTGGGGTGCTGAAGTGTGTTCGATGGTTGGCCAACACCAAGATTGGCCTGGCTTGATAACCCCCTGAGATGGTTCTGTAGCAGGTGGCTCGCACCGTGCTCCTTGATCGTTTCCTCGCTGAAACGTTTCAAGCTCTGATTTGTGACGGCGATGTATGTTGAGCCCAAGTGAGTGAGCTCTCTCCCTCCAACGGATAATATCCTTAGTGGCGTGTTGGAATTGCGGGGATAGAGTGGGCGGGGGTTGGCGCTTTCCTCAGCGACGGGACCGACGGCATTAGCATCGGTGGTAGGATGGTCCTGGGGTTGTCCGTCTCCGATTTTCTGAGAATCACTTTCCGGCTCGTTCTCATGGGTCGTGCTTGCCACAGAGCTATCATCTGTATCGCTGATGTGAAGGGTGGAGATTGCTTCTTGCAATAATGCCGCATACGCAGGGTCTTCTTGAGCTAAAAGCTCCCTCGCTTCCCGCCTCTGCTGGATACGGCGATGCGGCAAGTCGCCCGCGTGATACCCTACAGGTCCAATAACTAAGAAATTAGCGCCTGAGCTGTTACCTAGTAGTATTAGAGAAACTTACATTTGAGCATGATGTACTCGAAGCCATCGTCGATCTCCTCGTCCGTAAGTTGGGGTGGAGGGTCGGCGCAACTGTGAGTGACGACATCAAACGAATATATCAAAAAGTTGCGGAATGCGCGACGGATTTCGATCGCATCTGCAGCCAGGACTTCGTCAAGCCTGGCTTGGACCGTGTCTTGATCCATTTTGGTTTGATCGAAGGACAGTCTTAAGTGGAGGATGCTGCTTGATGGCGAGGTTCAGGTTCAAGGTACAGGAGGAATATCTTGAGCTCTTGCCCTACCATGTGAAATATCCGGACGCTAAACCATTTTGGGCCGCGGCACTTGCATGTTTGCTTGCGACGGCGTTTTTCGAGTGCCGACGCTCGCTGCTGCCTAAATCGTGACCCTGGCCCTAAAAGCGTCCTGTCCAAAAGCAAGTTACAGTCCCCTCTCACAACCGATAGCTTTTTTTTTTTGCTCATGTCATGGGTAGTTGAAGCTATCGTCCGGACGAGAATGTCGAATTAAAATTTCTACATACACGTCCGGACGATAGCTTCAGCTACCCACATATGTCAATTTTCTTTTTTTTTTAAAAAAAAAAAGAACCGAGGCATACTTACGCTATGTTCTGAGGCCCTGCTATTCTTCGCGCTAGCTATCAGCTGTATGTAGCACCTCTCTGTAGTTCGTCAGCGCTGCGCACACATCCGCGCCCAAGCAAGCCTGCCAAAAGCCTCCCGAGAGGTAAAAGTATGTCATAAAACCCCAGACCCTTGCGCCTCTACCAATTCCCCACCCGTCTATCTAATTAATCAATCGTCACAACTTTTTTCAGCCATATCATACAAAAAACAATCCATCCATCCACCCATCACCCAACCACAACAACATCCTCCTCCCTCCCACCCCTATGCAACGCCGCCCTTATCCCGGCCCCCACCAACTCCAAAAACTCCCCCTCCCCCACACTCACATCCAAATCGTGCCAGTCCGGCGCCGAGTCGTTCGCCGCGGCGTGCGCGCTGAAGTAGCGGTGGCCGCGCATCTTGGCCAGGTTGCGGAAGCCCTTGTAGTTTAGTCTTCGTGGCTGGATCTCGACGACGCTGGCGCCCGGTGGCAGAAACAGCGCGTGCGTCAGCCCCGCGCCGTGCACGCCGACTAGCACGTCTGTGGTTTGGACGATGCGGATTTGCTCGCTGAAGGGCAGCACGGCGAAGTCGATGGCTTGGACGCGCACGCGCGGGAAGTGCAGGCGCAGGTTGGCGAGGTGCTGTTCGGTGTTGACGAGGGCGCGGGAGGAGCGGCGGTCGATGAAGGTGAGGGTTAGGTCCGGGGTGGTGTCGGTGTCGTCCTTCGGGCGCGGGGGAGACGAGGAGGGGGGGAGGAGGGAAGTCGAGGAAGTGTTGGCGGCGTGGCCGTAGTGGGACAGGACGCGCCTCGTAAACGTGTCGATGAGCTGGGAATGGGTGCAGGAGCCCGTGTGCCAGTCGCCGCGCCAGAGCGGGTTGCTGCCGCCGGCGAGCGGGATGATTACGTTGTCGAGGCAGGCGGCTGCGGTGCCGTAGGAGGGAATGTCCTTCAGGCGGACGACGGGGAGCGGGGCGATGGCTTTCCAGAGGTCGAAGAATGGGCCGTCCGGGTAGTCGTCCAGGATGACTATCTGTGCCGAGGACATGTCCGCGGCAGAGAGGAATGGTTCGGGGGTGTGTGAGGAGGGATCCTGGGGAGTGATACGCAGTGTGTCGAGGGTGAGGTAGAGGGAGAAGATCTCCAGTAACGAATGCCACATGTTTCCATCGCCATCGCGCTTCACAAGGATGGTGTACTTCGGGGTGCCCTGCCGTTCCGAACAGAATGGTTGTGATGGTAAGCCTGGGACGGTGGAGAAGTAGTCGGACCAGATGTGGTATGGGCCGGTGTTGTACAAATATTTTGGGAAGGATTCGGTCTTTAGCGGCGCCAGCGCCATGCTCCCGTCTGTTCCCGGACTCTTCCAAGTCGTGCAGTTGAGTCTGAATGTGGTTGACTGATGCGAGTGCAGCATAGAAACCCCCTTTGCAATGCAAAAGGTATCGGTGCGCTCGTCTGTTATCTTTGTATTGAAGCAGTTGAGTGACGAGTCTGACACGCTCGGGTTACAGTACGACTGCCGGCCATCACGTAGGTTGGTAAGGTATCTTGTGCTGTATTTGCTCTCGCACCATTCCGGATCTGTGTTTGGGGCATTGTAATCTCCAGGTAGCGACAGTCCGTGGGGCTCGGGCGGGTCGGACGGGCGGGATCCGGAGAAGTGAATGGGTAAGACGGGATGATCGTTAGTCGAGAGCTGACCAGGAAGGCAGAGATTAAGCCATATGAGAGCGGCTACAGCAGCAGTGAGTAGTATTGTGCGTAGCGGGGCAGCAGGCAAAGGCATGGCGTAGCTCCTGATGAGAGGAATCGGAGAGAGAAGGGCTAGAAAAAAGAAGAATATGCACTCTATTTTCTAAGCTGCACGGTGAAACCCGTTTCTCCCGCTCCTTCCAGCCTCTTTCTTGGCATTTGGTGGAGCTCACCAGATTCTGCAAGCATGGTGTGAAACGGGCATAAGGTTCGAGAACCATGCAATGATGACTGCATCCTTCTCACGGTCCAGCATGTGGGTACATACGAGATCCTTCGGCGCCTCGATGAGATTCTATTCATGGCAGTTCCCCTGGAGAAAGGAAAGGACATGAGCTGGTAGCAAGAAGGGAGCCGTTAGATAGGCGGCAGCATCCTCGTCATCGACCCAGACAATACATAAATTAATGGGCCTTTTCTTGTCACTAGGCCCCTGTAGTCGGCGATAAGTGCGACGGATTGCGTATGTGTGCCAAGTCGGCATCTTACGGCCTGAGTGCCAGCGTGCGGCCGAACGATTGGTTGAAGTTTGTAATTTATGACTGAATTCTGCTGCAAGAGTGGATCTTTAAGCTTTACACGCGACGCTAAGGGTAGTAAGCCAATGAAAACGCGCACAATCAATCCGTGGCGCATGTTCTAGGCGTCCCAATTCGAAACAGAATCCAGAAACGTGCGTCAGCCACATGCAGGGATGTGCATTGGTGGCGATATGAACGATTGGCGCAGGCACCAATTATTGCCCGAAGAGACCCGTTTCAAAGTTGGGTTTTCAGCTCTCAAGGAGAAGTTTGGCTGCGCTTGATTTCCTTTGGTCGGCTCAATCAACTGTCCTACCAGGCTTCTGCTCTGGTTGCGCACACGGAGGGTCCACCGGCAGCTCGTGTCAAATGACCGTTTCTGTGGACTCATGCGTTATCATCAAGCAAATGTTCAGCTTTGGGGAGGATGTGTTTGCATGCCAAGCCGGCCTGGAAGCTTCCGAGTTTCTAAATTTGTAGGGGCCCACAACGCATCGGCTGGCAATGACGAAACTCAAAAACCCCTGGCCTTATCAACAAATATTGTATGCGCGCTTACTCTGAGACCAACCTGGCATGAAGGACTTTTTTGCATTGGCGAACCTCTAAAAACTTTGGATATCCTCGCGCAGAATATTGAATCGACACTGTAAACAAGCGCTAAGGAAAAATAAAGGAATTCATCACAACCGAGACTCGTTACGGTAAACCCGCCCCCACAAACCTTTCTCAGAATCGCAGAGAAAGCTTCGACAACCGCCATGGGCACAACAGCCCCCATCCCCAACTATCATCTGCGGGGCGGCGGAGAAAGGTGCTGACTGTAGGCGGGATCATACGGCCTGTCGTACGGCGGAGGCATGCTGACCGGCGACACCGGGCGCTCCGCTCCAGCGGCCGGCGGCACCAGGGGGTGCATCGCCGGGCTGTTCTGGGCGAAGGCGGCAGGGCTCTGGGTGCGCATGTAACCGGCAGCGACGGGGCCGGTGGTGAACATCTGGGCGATGTCCATGACGAGGTCGGACGGGTTGATGGCGTCGAAGGCGGCGGCGGGCAGCGACATGGCGGCGCCGGTGCCGCGCTCCGACGGGTGGTACAGGCGGCTGCGGAAGCTGAAGTGGAAGAAGAAGGAGAAGAAGACCATCTCGACGCACACCAGGAACGACGGCAGCCCGTACTTGATGTCGCGCGGCGACACGGTGCCGTTGGACGACAGGCCCTTGGGCGTGGGGATGAAGTTGAAGACCAGGTTCTGCAGGAAGATGACGAAGACGATGAGCTTGAACGAGGCGAGCTTTGCCAGGGGCTTGTGGACCGTCATGAGGTGCTTGTTGACTTTGTAGAACCGGAGGATGGTCATGAAACAGACAACCAAAGAGATGCTTCCGATAACCGTTATCTGTTCAGGTTAGCGTGTGGACTTGGTACATTGTGAGTGATGTTTCCATACCCAGATGTGACCGAAATGGATCGAGTTGGAAGCCGCGCAGTACGTTCCTGTCGCTGTCGATGCTTCTTGTGCGATGATGAGGATGGTCTTGACGATGGGGTATTGGAAAACCAGGATCCATGTTTTCTACAACAGTCAGCATGCGAAAAGATTGATGAGATAGAGGCCAGTCTCACCTTGATATCTGCAATGCTTTCAAACTCGTTGCGCGTTTTGGCCCGCGTAAACCCGCTCGTATCTCGCACAGTGGGGTTTCGGCAATAATGCGCGAACAGCACGAAGAGGCATGCCAGAGCGAAGGCCTCGTACAGCTCAGGTAGCGGCTCGATATATTCATGCGCATCGTAGAACAGGAGCGACAGTACAGCCAGGATGCTGTAAATGACGGGAGTGAAGATGAGGCGGACGATCTGACGCTGTTCTGCCGGTCGAGTGTATCGGTGTAGATGCTTGAAGATGAGATAAAGGCAAGCGATTGATGAGATGGCAGCGCATGGAATAGAAATGTAGGTGAGGAGTCGTTGCGTTGTGATTCCAATGCTCAAAGGCTTGGCCTCGGCGTCAGATATCGGCGCCGGGCAGGTCGTGTTCTTCAGCTTGTCGAACATTGTTGTGTTGGAATGTGATGATGCGATATCCTGAGCAGACTGGCTGCATGGCTATATAGGTCCTGGAGGATCTGCAATGCACGAAAGCTGCCGACCGCAGCGGCGTGGCTGGGGCCGTTGGTGGATGAGCATCCTGTCGACGCGCTGTTGATAGAGGAGCGCGATGGTGGGCATGACACCCAAGCTTCGCAAAGCCTCTCCAAGTTCGCACGGCTTTCTTGTTTTGGGCTAGCGTTGCCATTTTGGCCCCTTGTGCACCTGTTGCTGACGGGCGCTAAGCCACTGTAATCCTCCCAACCCACTAGTGCTGACAGCGCATGCCTATTCAACCTGCCGCCCACGTACGCGCCTCCCCTCTTCTCACCGAACATCGGTCAAGCATCGTCCCGTGTGAGCCAAGTAAAGCTTGGTCTTCTAAACATTTGGTCTCTCGTATGCTAAACCTTTAGTATTGAGGGCGGAGCATCCATCGTCAACGAACTAAGCGCAAGGTCTGACTCACGAATACACAACAACCTTTGATGGAAACTCCGCTTAGCCTTCAAAACATACGCGGGCCCGCATTCATATGCGCTGGGCTGCAGGAATAGCCTACCGTAACCATCTCGTCGCTTTTCCGTCGCATCCGCCCAGTCTGTGCTTCGCGTCGGTCAAATGGCGGCGGCGTGTTGGACAGCTTTCAGATCCGCATATTCCTGAAGCCGTATCTGTTTCATGTAGTGAAGATATGCATCCTTTGAGCAAGTTGATAAACACCAAATGGCTGTGTATTTTGGAGAAACGTGCGGGTGAACCTTGCAGTGAATGAGTCTTTACTAGTCCACAAACATACCCGCTGGTTACCATTGACAAATACGTGGCACTTTGTGAATTTATTTGTCATTTTCTCGCGGTGGTGATATGCACAACATTCCCGTCGAAGCAGGCATCCCCAGCGAAGGATGCGCACAGCCACTCGGGCCGGATTCGTAGCCGGACTCGCACTCGGACGCGTAGCCGGATTCGCATTCTCTTCTAGAAGTAATGGTGTAAGTATAAAGACCGCTTTACTCGGCGATATAGCTAAAATCACCGTGGGCTGTAGTCTCACGCTTTGCGATTCATCGCTGTAATTCATCTCGTCCCCCAATCCACGCGAGAACTATTTCGATTGGTGGCTAAAAACATAAGCCTTTCTTAAATCACCTATCATACCACGGTTGTGGCCATCTATTATAACGCTCACCTTTGAGAGGAGGGAAAGCACATATGGAGCCGACGAGAAATGGCTTACCGTACTTTGCAAGGAATGACGTGATACTGCAATATTTGAAGAAAATTCTGAATATAGAAAGGTATCGCGAGTGAAGGCTAATGTGAATTTGTTTTCGCTCATGTTATAGGCAGTAGAAGCTATCGGCTGGAGGTGAATATATAATTATTGCTTCTACATTGACGGTCGGATCATGGCTCCCATTACTACCCAAACGTGGTTTTTTGTTCTTAGGAAAAAGGTCAAGGCATAGTCTTTGTTCCAGGGCCTTACTATTCTTCGCTCCAGCCCTCGGCTGCAATGCCCCTCCGTATGCGAAGCTTGGCGCTTGCTTGTAGCACCGTCAGCAGTAGAAAAATGTGTGGGGAGCGCACAGCTGTCCCAATTGGGTAAGGTGTGCGAGCTGAGCGGCGAAGCTATCACCTGCATACGAAGGATTTTGACCCTGCGCACCCGAGCATGGCGCAGCACGACGGAGCAGATCTGCTGATGCTTCCGCCTTGAGTCCGGCGCTTAATTCACAAAACTCGGTCAGGCCCTGATGATGTTCTCCGCGAGGGCTGAGTTTGTTCAACGCAAGCACGGATGGTGAGGTTGTCGTAAATGGCTACATTATGCGCGGGCCTATGTTGTTGGGAAGCGGCGCACAAATGAGTATTGGAGCCGAAGGTCAGCGTGGATTTGTTTTTCGCGCATTCTATGGGCAGCTGAAGCTAACTTTCGGACGTGAAGGTATAATAACCCTCATAAAAGAGGATTGCTGAGACATAGTCTCTCTCCCCTTTGTTCTATCTTCGCGGTAGCCTTCCGCTGTAATATCCCTCTGTAAGCGTCTGAGTATGTGGAGAGACAAATCTTACCATTGTTTAGATGTGAAGAGTACCACGAATTGTCCCCTGCTTGCTCAAAGGAGAATTTGGTGCTTCCGTTGCGGGTGCTGAAATGCAGAGTTGAAGGTACGTCGGGAATCCAGCGAATTGTCAACAAAAGCTGAGAGACGGGACCAAAAGGTAAATCACGCCCGAACCCCTGGCACTACTGAACCAACAATAGCCACCAGAGACCACGTCCGTGGCAGTTGCCTTGGTTCCAGGCACAGGTGAGTTTCCCTGACGGGTCGTTGTGGAATGTGGGGCACTCGCTTGCAGCGGGGTCAAACGCGTGGATCCAAGGGGGACACAACCTGATGGAACATGCCTACTCTAGCTGACCACACACGGCAATATTGTGGAACAGAAGATACGAACGGTTCCGCGGTCATGTGGAGGTGCGTGACTTAAACATGCAGACACCTGTTCAATGACAACTGATACCTTTCAGTGGAAGACGGCCTCACGGGGTACATCAAGTGAATGGCGCCGCTTGGCACGCTGGCCAGACGTGCGGAGAAGGATGATCTGATGACACAAGCGTGGAGTCAAAGGAAGTCGCTCATGGCAAGATGAAGCGAGATGGTAACTACGCCGGCCCGTTGACGGCGCCTTTTCTCCGAAGAAACTCGAACCAGACCAGGCATCATTGAGCAAATGGGAGCACAATATCAGCAGATTGACCCTCTTTCCCCGCCGCTTCCGGCTGCGACGTCATATGCTTCCACATGACGCGGCCCGCACGCTGCAGTGTCTATAAGAAGCAGCTTCCGCATCCAGCTCATAGTCTTTCCATCAGAGCAACCAGAATTGCATTTCTCTGCCTCAAGAAGACACTCCTCGAAGTTCCACTACACTTTTCAAACATCTGAAACGAACATCATGGGTTGCAGCTGTGGTTCCTCTTGCACCTGCAACGGTCCGTCGGCCTGCACCTGCCCGCAAGGACAGTGCTCCTGCAGCGGCTGCGGCGTAAGTAATCCTCGGGTGTTGGCCTTTCTTAGGTGTGGAGCTAAGCATTTGTCTGTAGAAATAAGCCGACAGCACAAGGGCCGTCCGAGATCCGACTTTCCTTCAACTCAGCTCTCGATGTTAGCTTCGGTAAATTGATGATGTGGAAATAGCAAGAATTAATAAATTGACTTCGAGAGACAAAACATTCTCCGACACAAAACGCCTGTTCCAAGTGATGATCATACTAAAACGCCTCCAGAGAAGGGCAACAGAACTTCAACGACGACTTCAGGCCAATGCCTTGCTCACGCATCCAGGCTCAATAGCGTCCAGCTTTGCAACAAGTTGATTCCAGACCTTTTTCTGCGTGCGCTGGCCCTCTTCCGACTTGACAAATTCGGCGGTTTTATCCCTACAAAGAAGAAACGTCAGCTCCACTCAAGATGCATCAGCACGGAAAGGACACGACTTACTCCCTGATCTCGCAATCCGAACAAACCTGGCCATGGCTATCCGGTCCAGCGACTGCAGCATGCAGCAGCGTGCGGCTGCCGACCTCCTGAGACCGCGCCAGCAACAGGCGCAAGGTAAAGATTTGCAGCCACACTCCCCAAGTGCAGTTGCGTGTGAGCTCACTCCAGCAAAGGCCAGGACAGAGAAGGTTGATGACGACGCCGGTCTTCTCGACCGGCAGGAGGCTGGCGAGTTCGCGGCCGGCGTAAATCTCGATGAGCTTGCTGACGGGGTACCTGAAAGCCAAAACGAATCAGTAACCGCTGCGGCAGACGGGGGCCGAGGAAAAAAAAACCACTCACCGTTCCTTCATGTACTCCGGATTGTTCTCCGCCAGCGCCGCGAAGACGTCATCCTGCTGACCCTCGACGAACTTGGCGTCGAAATGCGTGCTACTGGACACGACGGTCAGATGAGGCGTGATGCCAAACTCCTTGGCGACGCTCTTCAGCTTCGGCAGCAGCAGCATTGCAAGAAGAAACGTCCCGATCACATTGACCTGCACCGTCGTCTCGGTGCCCTCGGCTTCAATCCACTCGGCCATGGCGACGCCCGCGTTCTCGAGCACGACGTCAATGCGGTCGAGCTCGTCGGTCGCGCGCTTGGCGAAGGCGCGGACGGAGGCGTTGGAGGCGAGGTCGAGCTCCCAGACTTGGGCGACGCCGGCGCGGGAGGGGAAGGCGGCGTCGATGGCGTCCTTGGCGGCGGTGCCCTTGGCGAGGGAGCGCACGGCGATGATGACGCGCGCGGCGTTTAGCTCGACGAAGTGCTTCGCTGCGTCGAAGCCGATGCCTGTGTTGCTTCCTGTGACGATGATGGTCTGGCCGGTGCAGTCTTTGGGCACTACGGGCAGCCTCCTGTACTGGTCGTAGACGAATCCTGGGATGATAGCCATGGCGTGTGGTGGATTTGTGCTATGTGAATCGGAGGAAATAGACAATGAAATTGGAATATTTGCTCAGTGGGTGACACGCTGTTGAAAGAATAGATCGGGAATTGCTGTTGTTCTCTATGGGCAGGTTCAGCAACAAGTAGAATTTCACTTTCCTTTTATCTGTACAAGTAGGCCTGGTTGCTTATAAGCGGTCCGGGCTTAAATCCGTGGATGGTGTTCAGCCAGCCTACCACAACAAAGCGAAGGATCCAACGCCTGCGCTCAACCCCGACCTTAAGTCCGGGTTCTGCCTTCCCGCGCGCCGCGGAATCCGCACGCGGCTGGAATATCCATCCGCTGAAAATAGAGTATGACAGATTGTTATACCTATTCAGCTACGAGCACTCCGCGGTATCGCATCCTTCCTTCTTCCAGCGTCGCAAACGCGTCAGCCAATCCAGCCTCGGTCATGGGGAACTTCTGAATCCACGGGGCAAGTTTATGCCGGCCAACAAAGCGCAGCATCTCTATGTAAGTCTTTCTTGATGCTTCAGTTGAAGCAATGATCTTGTGGCCCGGGAGGATGAACGGCATGTACGGAATCTGGACGGGCTCCTGCTGGATGGTCATGAAGACGATACGCGCCCTGCGCGCCAGCAGTGGCAGCAGCAATTCGAGCTCTGGGATGCCGTTAGAGCATAGGAGCAGCACATTTACGGGCGACGCGGATGCAGGGCGACCGCTGCGGAGCGAGTCCAGCGTGAAGAACTCATCTGCGCCGAGTTCTCGCGCATCATCCTTCTTGCCCTCGTCATTAGAGAAGGCCGTAACGCCGCAGCCCCAAGCGCGCGCGAACATTATCGCCATGTGTCCCAGCCCGCCTACGCCGACGACACCGACTCTATCGCTCGATCTAGTCTCAGCGGCGGTGAGAGCTTCGAAGGTACTCGCGCCAGCGCACATGAGCGGAGCAGCGTTCTCGGACAGCACGTCGTCGGGGATGGGGTAGAGAAAAGACCGGTTGCGAATGGCGTAGTCGCCCATTGAGCCTTGCTCGAGTTCTCCGAAGGCGAAGCCACACGCGTCGGCACAGTACTGCCTGTAGCCGTCGACGCAGCACTCACACGCGCCACAGGACTGGTGCGGTCAGCAAGGTGCTCAATCTTGGTAGCTCGCAAGGCGCAAACGCACGTGGTGAAGCCAGCTACCGGCAGATCATCAGCCTCTAAAACCCATGGCTGCGGCTCGGATCGTGGACTCACCCCCAGCCGACTCTCTGGCTAAGCTTCAGGTCCCTGACGGCATCACCCTTGCGCACGACGGTGCCGACACCCTCATGGCCCAGGCCGCAGCCCTTGTTCGAATGCTTCGCATGGACGTCGGTGTAGCAGAGCCCGCTGTGCGTCGTCTTGACGAGCACCTCGTTGGCGCCGAGCTCGCGGTCGGCCGCCTTCTTCACGAAGCCATTGGCGGCCTGGTCGAAGCGGAAGGTCGTGATGGTGTAGGAGGGCGACATCGTGTATAGGCTCCGTTAGCGGCTGCCGCGCGGGCTGGCTTGGGTCCAGACGCCTGCCCCGCACCGCAATGACATCACCCCCACTCGGCTGCGATTCCTTCACTCCCAATCGCCTTTCTGCTCCTTTTCTTATTGAACAGACGTCGCTCCCAATTCCGGGGCTTCTGATGGCTTACTGGATGGCCCTGCTGCCGCACTTACACGTCGTTGATCGATTGCATCCGATCGCATAGCTATTCCTCCGATCCTGGAAGAAATTGTCCTGCGACTGGTAGAGCTACACTACAATGGCTATGTCTCTCATCACCCACGCGTCTTGCTTGCTTCAACTGGGGAATATTCGTGCAAGATATGTTCAACTGCGCAGATCAACACCGCTGACCATACCTTTGTGCGAGTTCACGGCGTTGAAGACCTTGCCGAATCAACCGTCGTAGATATTCAACATGTCGTATTGCAACAAAACCGAGCAAGCCGAGTGTAAATTTCCCGTTCGGAACTTAAGCAAAGCCCCAACGCTCGATAGCCAGTAAACAGCAGACGCAACTTCATTGGATCGGCTGCTTCGCTAATGGGTTCCGTATTACCTGGCGATCGCCGAGTTGCTCTCTCAACTGTTCTTTTCTCCAACTCAAGCATCTGTTGCCGCGTTCACCAACCCGTCTCTTCAAAATCACCCCACAATTTCGCAATATCACTTCTGGAAGGAACGGAAGCAAGCACGCCATACAGCTCAATCCAAAGACCACCAATATATTGATGCCTTGAGACTCAAAACTTCGGCAAAGGCAGTTCTTTTTGCTTTTCATCACCCACCAGTTGTACTCGCCATTGGAACTTTGGAGAGAAATGGCGTCTTGCGGGTCCAATAACTCTTACTCAGCGCTAATGCACAACAGGCGTGATCGATCGTTACCACCTCACCCCGTTTTGGCTCTGTACAGCAACGCGGCTATGCTTATGAAGCTTGGCATGCCCAAAACGTAACCACTGGGTATGCGAGTTACCGTTCGTAATTTACGGTACTTTCCCACTCGAGAGTGCGTAACAGTCGGGATCTCGGAAGCACGGAAATGCTCTACCGTGTACACAGCCACCGACTATTGTCCTTCACTTTCGTCCACTTGATCTCCGCACTGTACATGACTTGTCAACTTACTTTGCAGGGTTCAACGATTGACGCATCACAGCCGACCCTATGAGGGCCGAATAAACCCTGTTTGCCGGCGGGATCCGCGGTGGACGGTGGCCACGTTGGTTGACTAAAGAGGAGAGCTCCACAGGTGCAGCAGACTTACCCCGTCTGTGCTGCGGATCCGGAATCTGGGGAACTTTGTGTGGGGAAACTCAATCACGCACGAACATCAACCCAACGTAGCCGCCTTCCTAGCTTGGCATGCGGGGGAGAGATAGCCTCTGATACTCTCCAAAACAACACACAACCCCTCCTTTCGCCATGCGGAGCCGCAGCTTTCAAGACGCTTCCGCTCCACGGGCTGCCGCACGCGCGCAATTGGGCCATGTACTCGAAGTCGCCTGACGTAGACTCGTCCCCTCACGATCCACTGCGGACGAGAATTGCGCTGGCCTTTGCTCAACGCTTCTCTAACGCTGATCACATCCGTAGAACCGCGCACGCAGTATCGAGTATTAATTTCTCCCAGATTCTTTTCCTATATAACTATCATGTCCGCACCCAGTTACCAAGTGCAAGCCTCGGATATCCCTCCAACGCCTCAAACATCAGAAGCTTTTCCCCTGCACACTCCATTTCCACTTTCGGTCAGATTCCAAACTCTATACTCGTTAGCCCCTATTATCCCCAACGCTCTCAAACATGGTCGGTCCCATCAAGACAGAGCTCCGCGAATACGCTCACCGCCCCAGCGATGGCAAGGGGCCCTACGCCGACAACCTTGAGACAGACGTTTTGATCGTCGGCGCCGGATTCGCTGGAGTATACCTCTTGCATGAGCTCCGTTCATTGGGCTACAAGACCACCATTTACGAAGCTGGTGATGGCTACGGCGGCACCTGGTAGGCCAGATCTCCATGCCTCTTTGTCATGTTTTCCATTGTATTCCCCCTCATCTACGCCTCGCTAAACATAAAATCAGGCGCTGGAACCGCTACCCCGGTGCGCGCGTTGACTCGGAGGTACCGGAGTACGAGCTCTCCATCCCAGAACTCTGGAAGGACTGGACGTGGACGACGAACTACCCGGACTTCAACGAGTTGCGGGCGTATTTCGCGCACGCTGACAAAGTCCTCGACCTGTCGCGCGACACGGCCTTCGGCAGCGTCGTCGTCGATGCGCGCTTCGACGAGAAAGAAGGCCGGTGGAATGTGCGCACCGAGGATGGCCGCAAGGCGCGTGCAAAGTACCTCATCGTTGCCGCCGGCTTCGCGGCGAAGCGGTACGTGCCGGATTGGCCGGGCATCGATTCGTTCCAAGGTATGCATTCCAATTTGAACAGGTTCGACATGGGGTTGGAGAAGGAGACCGGTGAGTGTAGCTAATCGAGTGATCAAGGGTTCATCTGCCACTCGTCGTTTTGGCCCGAGCCTGAGGATGACATTGATGTCGCGGGCAAGCGTTGCGCTGTCATTGGGACGGGGGCTTCTGGCGTGCAGATCGCGCAAGAATGGGGCCCCAAGATCGGGACGAACGGCCACTTGAAGTATTCCCTATTGAACTTTTCACTTTAGGTAATGTTGCTGACGGGAGCAGGGTCTTCCAGCGGACACCAAACCTGGCAGTGCCTATGGGGAAGAAACCCCTGACAGCGGAGGAGCAGAACCGGACGAAGAAGTTCTATCCGCAACTCATGAAGTTCCGCGAGCAGTGCTTTGGCGGCTTCCTGTTCAGCTTCTCCGAGAAGAATACATTCGAGGACTCGGCCGAGGAGCGCGAAAAGTACTACCGGAAGCTGTGGGACCACGGCGGGTTTTCCTTCTGGCTCGGTAATTACAAGGACTATCTCTTTGATGCGAAGGCCAACCGAGAGACGTACAACTTCTGGTAAGCTCGAAACCTTGCTTTATCACTGATTCAAGGCAAGCAATACCTCGTCCATCGAGCTCACACGCAGCTGCAGGGCGAAGAACCAACGGGCTCGTATTGGGGACCCCCGTAAGAGAGACCTGCTTGCCCCTGTGGAGCCTCCTCATCACTTGTAAGTCCCGACGAAAATTGAAATCCTGGTTACACAGCTGACGACGAGCACAGCGGTGTCAAGCGACCTTGCTTGGAGCAGAATTACTATGAGCAATTCAACCGGGAGAACGTCGATATCGTGGATATCAAGGACAACCCAATCGTTGAGATCAAGCCTAATGGCATCCTGCTTCAGGATGGCACGCTGCATGAAGTCGACGTCATTGCCATCGCGACTGGATTTGATATCACGACTGGCGGAATGACCAACATGGGCCTGCAGAGCATCCACGGCACCACTCTCAAAGACGAGTGGAAGAGCGCAGCCTACACCTATTTGGGCACGACGGTCAGCGGCTACCCGAACATGTTGTAAGTGGCGTGTCCAGCGTATCCGTCTTGATATTGCAATGCTGACGAATGCAAGCCATCTGTACGGGCCCCACGGGCCCACGCTGCTTAGCAACGGCCCGACGAGCATCGAGGTCCAGAGCCGATGGATCATCGACTGCATCAAGGCTGTCGACAGGGCGGGCTTGAAGTACATCGACCCCACGCCCGAGGCCAGCAAGGAGTGGAAGAAGCGGATCAACGAGCTGTCGGACAAGTCGCTCTTCCCGACGACGAAGTCGACGTACATGGGTGGCAGCCTTCCCGGAAAGGCTTTCGAGCAGGTTAATTACGCGGGAGGCATCCCGAACTATACGAAGGAGATCCGGGATGCGCTTCCGGGGTTCAAGGGCTTCCGGACTGTTGTGGCTTGATGGCCCCCCCTCCTCGTCGCTCTACTTTCCGCTCCGCTGGACCCGGAGATTTGGCCCCCCCGCCGCTGCGCACTCAAGGCTCAGCTTTCGTGTTGGTAGACCTGGGTTAGCCTATCAGGTCAGATTGCGATTCTCCTAGGATACAATGCGCGTTGATTTCTGGTTATTTTCGGCGACCGCATTTCTGGTCGTCTGCCATGAGCTTTTCTCCTTTCAGTAGTGTGTCGTCCGTAAATTCTAATGAATCCGGGATGTCTGTTATAATTTATGCATGTCATCGCACGATCTCCGACTAGACGCACAGGGGCGTTGTTGTAGACCATCTCGACACGCGGGTGGTTACACGTTAGCAGTTCGACGCGAACCATAATCTCAACCAGGAGCAGCTGATACTATCATGTGAGCTTTGTTGCTACAAATGCAACCTTATACTCCGCAACATAATACTCGGGTCCAGCCTTACATTGTAGGGGGTCTCTCATGCTGGGTAGAGGCGAAGCGCGAGATGCTCCGGGTAAGCCTTTAGCAGACGTTACATAAACACGTAATCTCAAATATTCTCCACCGTGTGGGTCCGCAGCTGAGATAACCAGATTTTTTCGCCCCACCAGGGCTTTCGATTGGCGAGGAAGGAAGGCGACGCACATTTTTTCTTCCCAGGTGTTGCACTACCTGAGGAAGGGAAACATATCCCGACCACTAGGCTGGGCATCGGGGATGACACCGCGGGATCCGACGACAAGAAAAAGCAAGCTGCGCCTTGCAGAACCGGGGGGGTTTGCTAAAGCGCCTACGATAAAATCTCGGGACGTTATGACAGTAGGCCTATATGATTCAGTAGACGCAGACCGGTGAAACGTGGTTAACTAGAGCAGAATTCTAGGCTCGGAAACTAGGTATACGCGCCGTGCCGCCGAGGCGACAAGCGAGCGGGACTTGCATATGAAAGTAGAGCAATAAGGGGTAGATGCGCGTGGTACTACTGTAGGTGGCAGCAATGTCCGATGGAAGTCTCTGGACCCTGCATAGACAAGCATGCAGGACCCACGCGTGATTTCTTTTGGCGCGAGCAATTTCTGGTACGGAGGATTCTTGGCGCGCGCGCGCTTTGCGGTGTAACACAAGGGGTTGAAGAGCATTCGACCATCATGAGACGGCTGCAGCGGCAGATTGCTTTAGGTACGGGCCGTAAAGATGCAGCTCCCGCGTGGAGACAGAATCGAGTGGGCCGCCCCTGCAGTGTTTACTTGCTCGGCAGAGGGGCAGCAGTGCTTCGGGCTGGCACACCGCCTCAATGCGCAGAATCGAGAAGCACATGTCGCCGGTGAATGCAGGATTCGTGGTTGCACTATCAGTTTCGGATTCCACGTGGATGCTCGACGACCGGTGCAAAGCCCGCCAATGACAGGTGCGAGAAATGTGACGATCCCACGTGGGTTTGACAGAGGGTCGGGCAGGACCGTCCCCTATTTGCGTTCCGCGTGGCAGTGGGCCTATACGGATTAAAGCGATGGAAGGCAGAACCAAAAAGTGTAGTGGCGAGGTCGCGGGCTCGGGCTAGAAGCGCGCCAAACGCCTCCTTTTGGAGGCGGGATCTGCCCGCACGAGCGCTCTCAGCGCCGCCAGGCCAATGACGGGTCACGAGCAACTCCTCAGACTGCCGGGAGACGCGGGACGCGTGCTGATCCATCGAGCTAAGCTGGTGAGCCCAATCAGCGGCTCCCCCGCATTCCCCACGCTCCAGGGCCTGATCCCGGGTGTTTATCTGTCCGCCTTAGCGGGCTCGAGTCAGGATGAGGCTAGCAGCGCATCGTCTTATAACTGATCCAGGGGCCCCGCCTATGGAGACCCGCTTTCCACGTCACTCGCAGGCCGACGCCGACATCATGTCCCATCCGCAGCCCGTGTGCGACTTCACGACGACGCAGCAGCCCATGAAGGCGGGCTTCAAGACTGGCCGCCGCCAGCACCGCAGCTGCGACCAGTGCCGCAAGGGCAAGCGCGCGTGCGACGTTGCCTTCGCCAAGGAGCCGGGTAAGACGAAAGACCTCGAGCGCTGCGCCGCACCACGCCTCCACCCTTCCTGAAAGCTCATCACTTGCTGCCTGCAGGCGGAAACTCGGACGACATCACCGCCCTCGGGCCGTGCTCCAACTGTAAGCGCACCGGAAAGAACTGCACCCTGCAATGGCTGCGCGCCGTCCACCGCGCTTCGTTGCGCCCGCGCCGCGACATCGACGAGCCCGCCACCAAGCTGGAAGACACGCCCGCCCCCGCCCAAATCGCCTCCACCACCTCCCAGCCGCCCGGTGGCGACGCTCGGACCCAAGTCACGGCCTCTGATCAGCGTCCGGGAGCCTACGCTTACTCGTACGCTTACTCGCCTTCCGTCGACGATCCCGTCCTGGCATCGCTCCTGCCGCCCCAGCAACAACAGCCCATCTCCGCCCACGCCCAGCCTGCCCTGTCCGACCAATGGCCTTCGTCCGGCTTCGATCCTTTGCCTCTGCGCGCCGTGGCCGATGCCCTGGACGACGATTTCCGCTTTGACGACGTCCCGGGTCAGAACATTCAGCAGCAGCAGCAGCAGCAGCAACAACAGCAACAGCAGTCCCAACAGCACCAGCATCAACATCAGCAGCAGCCCGACTACCAGCATGCCTTCTTCCCCTCTGCCGCGCCATCGACCGTGTCCCCAGGCTCAAATGGCCTGTATATCACGGGCACGGCGTGGGAATGTGACGAGAAAGACGATAGCCCGGAGAGCATAGAGCAAGGCGTGGAGGACATCCTAACCGACGCGCAGCAAAGTGAATTAGTGCCATGGCGGACGACAGCACCCCAATTCGGCCAAACGCGGGCACGCAGCCCGTCAGCCGCCAGTTTTAGCAGCTTCCTCGACAACATACAGCCCTCGACGCTACAAAGCCGGCTTTCAACGACCATGAACCAATCCGTACTAACCAAGGGGTTGTGGAAGGTGTATCATGACAGCTTTGAGAACGCCCTGTCCTGCTGGCTCACGGAGAAGACGTGCCCGTACACGTACCAGATGCTCCCGGCACCGGGGGATAGCAGCGACGCCACGCTGTCAGAGGTATGGGATCCCGCGTGGGTGGTGGATCCGATTATTGCCGCCCTCTTCGGCGGAACTGACCAAGAACGGCAGGGCAATCGCATCGTCAAGCGTGTGTGCCATCTGGACAAGTCGTGGGCGAAGCTGCGGAACCGGGGGCCAATGAGCGCACAGGAGGACAGGGCGGCGTCGCGTGCGCTGCAGCTGTCTATTATGGCTTTTGCCACCCAGTGGGCTCAGGGAAGCCAGCGGAGCTCCGCTCAGTTCAACAACAACGGCTTCGATGGCATGCCGTTCCCTCTGGATGGTGAATTCGACCGCATGCTGCAGGAGTCGTTCTGGCACCAGGCCCGCCGCGCTCTGCAGGATGCCGCTGACTGCGAGTCTTTCCGCGTCGTGCTGGCCCACATCATCTTCTCCTTCACACAGAAACCACTAAACCTAGATCAGCATGCTCCTGCTGCGTCTGATGATGGCGACACGTCAAGACTCGACGACATCATCGAAGCCGAAGGCCCTCCCATCTTCCTCGAAGCAGCAACTAGGCAGGTCTTCGCCCATCGCGCGAAGCTGAACCGCATGATGGGACGGCCTGGTGCGGCGAACCCGGCAAGCAATCTGGAGACGAGTGACCGCAAGGTATGTGAAACCCCCCTACCATGTGTTCTCGCTAACACATTGCAGACATTCGACATGATGTTCTGGTTATGCGTCATGTTCGACACCCTCTCGGCCGTGATGAACGACCGGCCACTCATCGTCTCAGATAAAGACAGCAAGATCCATCCTGACCGGTCAAAAGCCAACAGCAACAGCGGACGCACCGGAAGCCACAGCATGTTCGACGGAGCTTCGAGCGGCGACCTTTTCACCGACGGCGCCTTTTCCGCCAAGCTCCCGGAAGAGCCACAGGGTGATCTGTGGGGCGATCTATTCCTTAAGCCCAAGCAAGTCCGCTGGGACCAGGGTATACCCCGATGGCCATGCTCGTACGAGGAAGCCACAACGACGCTGTGTAACGCCTCGCCCGTCAAGGTGTTGCTCTACAGGAAAGTTGCGCGGCTGCAGACGTTGATGTCGCGCGTGTCGACGGCGCCGGAGAAGATGGAAGCGTCCATCACCGAGTCACTCAAGGTCTACCAGCACTGGAACAACATCTACAGGCAATTCTTCCTCGACTGCATGAACCACCACGAGAGCCTTCCCCCGCGCATCCAGTCCTGGTACGTCATTCTGGCCGGTCACTGGCACCTCGCCGTTCTCAGCCTGGCCGACATGCTGCAGCGCATCGACGAGTGCGGCATGGGCCTTGACCCGCAGCGCGAGCAACGCGAACAGTCCCGACTCGTCGTCAATCTGCGCAAGGAGAACGCCTTCGCCATGTCCGACGTCGGCCGCGTCTCGAGCCCCAGCGCCGACTCGTCCTTCGCCAAGGCCCAGGAGTTCCACTTTGCCGTCAACAAGGGTGCCCTGCTCACCGAGCCGTGGACCGTCGTGCTCGTCAGAGCGTTTGCCAAGTCCGCCCGTGTGCTCCTCGACTCCGTTCCCTTGCCCGAGCAACTTCCTCCCGGAAGCGTGCCTATCAACATGAACGCCGCGGGCGAATACATGCGGCGGTGCGAGCACTGCATTAAGGCGCTGTGGTACCTGGGGAGGAAATCCGATATGGCGTACCTGGTCGCCACGTTCTTGTCTAACAACCTGAAGGCTAAGGCAATGAAGCTGTCTCCGCCGTCGCGGCAAAATAGTGGTGCTGGGGTCGGAGGTGGGGCTGCGGCACAGCACCAGCAACAACAACAACACCATCAGCAGCAACAACAACAACAACAACCCCATTCTCAACCTCAACCTCGCCGGCCGACGATGGACTCGAACTTTTACAACCCGTGGCAAGGGTGGGAAAATGGCGGCCATCTCGATACATCACTGTATGCCTCGTTATAGGAGTTTGCGTCTCAAGGAAAATGGGAAAAAAAGTAACTGGATTATGCATTCGCTCTTCGATTCTGGTATTTGAGAAACGGTCTTGAGGAGAGAGTAATTTGTTCTGCATAGAGGGGGAAGTCACGCCGCAACGGTTTTCTTGCTTGTCTCTCTCATTCAGCTTGCTCGCTATTATAAGGTTCATACAATCGTCATATATGCAGGGTGTTGCTACGGCCGGTTTGCATGGTTTTGGCTGGAGATGGAGGACTGGATGGTAGGCTTGGCGCTGGATTAAATAGTCCTTTTTTTTTGGTTTGTACTATTCAATTGCAGATAAACGTAGTCACAGTTACGGCTGTCTCTAAAGCGCACGTTGTCTCATTGGCATTTCTCTCGCATACGGCTCATATATCATCCCCAGCGAAGTGGTTCAGTCCTTCACTATACCGAGTATCACTAATCCCAGTATCCGCTACCTCGACACCCGACGGTCTCCTTTGAACCGGTGCAGAAACGCCTCCCCGCCGCCGATCTCCACTCTACGATGGCGCCATACCGTTCAGCCAGCGCGGGACGGTTAAACCTGTTTTTTTCCTTTTTTTTTTTACTTCACCGGCCCTTGCCAACGGGGGCGGCACAGCGGCGGCGGGTTGGGAACTATCGACTCGGACCATGAATCGCAGTTACGAAGCACCAGTCCGAAACGGGCCGGTCAGGCAGAAGAGATCTCCACCTCGCCTACCCGCTTCGGCTCACAGCTCTCCTCACGGTTCCGTCTCGCCACCAGTTGACCCCATCATCTCTCGATCAGACCCTCCCTGGTCATGAGACACGCACGTCACGACTAGGGTTAGGTTGTTTCGGTTCAACAGATAGGTACGTAGTACTGCTGTGCCGCCCCCGCGTGTTCGTCACTGGAGGGGCTCGACCGGTCGGTCGAGCCGGAATGACGGCATTGCTTGTGTGCATGCTTGTTGGGTGTCTCAGCTCTGGGCGGTTTGTGCACGGTGGGTTTCGGAGGTTGGTAGGGAGCACGTGGAGGGTTAGTCAGCAGGGCTTAATGTGGAAGGTGCTCCCGCGGTGTCGTTAAATGGTATTCATCTTATAGGAGCTCTTTGTAATTGACCCTCCCGCAGCGATCTCTTACTGTTCCCTCTCTCCAAACATCTGTGGCTGGTATTCATGAGACAGTATCTCAATGAAATCTGCTCTGATTATTTGAAATCGTATTCAAGATTTACCAACTGGGCGCTTGACGAGCGGATCATAAACACTAACGTTGCAGCATTCACCTAAACTGCCAACTTCCACGACATCCAGCATAGTGCTTGAAACGGTACGGATGGTTGTGTTGACCGGTTTGTGAAGGTTCAACACCACTGCTTCCGGCGTAACCACCACCACTGGAAGGACCACAACCGCCGCCGCCGGAGCCACTGCTATTACCAGAGTCGCCATCACCGTCGCCCGACCCGCCTTGAGTGAAGTCTTTCGCCCCGCCAATCCTCTGGCCAGAGTACACTGGAGGGGAAACTCCAGCGTTACCATTGCTTGATGATTTCTTGGTTACTTCGCCGGCATGTGCTTTTCCCGGGAGCCCGTAGTATACGGGATCCTTCTGAAACGTCTCGGTATGTGGTTTAAAATCGGTAGGGGGCGACGCGGCATTGGCTGCGCCGCGCCCAACGGGATCCTGCCGCATGATCTGTCCTGTGGGTCGGCGGATATCGGTTTGAAGTGTATCGAGGTTTTCGAGGAAAAAAAAAAGTGGTGCGGGCTGGTGTCAAGGACTTGGAGTTGGGAAGGTGAACTTCAGGTTGGTTTCAAGCCCCAGTTATTGAGTCGATCAGTCGCATATCCGTCCAGATTCTCAGAGCGTGAACTTATAACTACAAACTCTCAGTTGTAAACCCCTCATCGCTGCTGGGGCTCCTAAAAGTAAGCATGTACGACGAATACTCGTGTCCCAAAATGATTGGTACTTCGAGGCTCAGCCTCGCAGGCAGTGTAACACTAAACCTCACGGTCAGGCTCTCGTAATAAAGCCTTATCATCCGCCCACGATAATGAGGGTAAGAAGCTGTGTAAGGCTGAAAGCAAGCATAGCCTCCCCAAGTGTCACATTTTTGCGGCAATATCAGTACCATGTCCGCAGGATCAGCTTCAAGTCCACCCTTGGCCACCGATGTTGAGAACGCAGCCTTACACCCAGAGCCTTGGAAATCTGAAGGGTATCCGAATTTTGTCAAATTTGTCACGTCGGACGATGATTTCTTTGTGCTCCGGCGCTTCAGCGATTTGACAGCACGGGTCCTTCTCGCTGCTCAAGACGAGCTCGTAGAATTGGAAGGCCAGCTATCACAATTGGACAAAGAAGTTGCGCAAAGCCCGGATCCACAGAAACGAAATGACTCTTTCAGATTTGAGGCTTTGCCGAATCGCCTGGAGCTCCTCCACGAAATTGACCGAAAGCTCAGAGCGTATAGTAAGTTGTGCTACCCAGCAAGTTTCCCAACGTTGGAGTGCGCTAACCGACCCCTATATGAACTCGTTATCCAACACTAGAACATACGCTCGCGCCCGCGTGTTCAGGAAAAAGATGTAACCAGCATCTCGAACTGGTTTCACAACCATGAACATGCGATCTTGACGGATGAAACGGAGTATATAAACCACACATCTGACCTCTTCAGCATGGTACCTAAGGCGAAAGCACCTTTACGCCGCCTCTTGGAACGTTCCTCACATTTTCGCCTGGCACGAGTGTGGAGGCGCACACTTCCCGAACATCATGATGAAAATGTCCGCTATGCTTCCGATCAGCGAATCGATTACTTTGTCGCATTGGTCATTACGGCCATCGGTTTAATGATGTTGATCGCACCGCTCTGGATTCTGGCTGGAGTTCAAAAGATGTCGTCAAGGCTTGGAGTTATCACCGCTTTTATCGTTAGCTTCGTGGTGCTGTTGTCCCTGACGGCTGTTGTGAGGCCATTTGAGAGCCTGGCCGGCGCTGCTGCGTAAGTCCGAAGACTGAATACATGAACGAGATCGCCACCTAGTAGAGCTTTCATACTAACATATGTTTCAGGTATGCGGCAGTGTTGGTTGTATTCCTACAGAGTACATGAATGACTTGTGGGACTGGATTTGAAGTGCAAGCAGTTGACGGTTCCTGCTGCGCTTTCAGATTGTGTGGTGTTATTATTTCCTTCATCTTACTTTCTATTTGCTGCATTATGGCCTCTGTTTTCTCCTAAGCTATTTAGCAGCGTGTATATTCTGCGCTTTTTGTAGGTATTCTAGTTGATCTTTCATTCTGAGCTCACGCCAGTACTCATGGCGGCGAGGTACAAGGGATGAAGTCGAATCTTTACAGTTATCGGAAGATAAAGCTCAACTGTTAACGCTTTCTGGTGGTTGGTACTCTTTATTAATTAGGCGTTGTTCTCAATGTGGCAACTCACGCTTGAGCTGAGGTCTTGTTCGACGCCATTGAACACCGTCGGCGCTGAGCTTCGCCGTCTGCGCAGAGGCCTTCACTGGCACTCAGTGACAGGCCGGAGCATTGATGCCGCCGGACGTGCGACCAATTACGTCATAGAGCGAGAGCGGCGCCCCACGGGGCTATTCCGGCTAAACGAGCGACTCGCATCTAAACTGCAGTCACGTTCGACCCTGCTTTCCTTCAACTGACAACAACCGCCGCGCGACTTTACCTGATCCTCGCAGCGTCGCAGTCGTCCGCCGCACCGCCGCACCACCACACCGCGACAACCTTCCAGCTTCACCTCAGTTGTCTCGACCCGCCGTCGGGTCGCGGTGATTCCACCCGAAACATGCTTGATGCCTCAGTGAGATTCGCTAAGCTGGACGAGATCCGCCAACAAACCGTGGATCGAAGAGCGCAACATTACGAGGAGTTCCCAGCCAAGGAAAAGATCTGGAAAGCCCCAAGGAAGAATGATCTTGTTCTGCTCAGGAACTTTGCCCTGGATTCGCAAAAAGGAAAAAAGTTCATGCCCCGGTGGAGAGGACCATACCTGATCGACAGAATTACCGCCACAGAACGTTCGGCTGAGCTGAAGGACCTCCAGACTGACAAGATCATCGGACCACATCACATTAATAACCTCAAGCTATATGTGGCCAGAGACGAGCAGAGCGACCATGGTTCCTGGAAAACGCTTGTCAAGAATGACCTGGAGCTCGCGAACGAGTGGGCCCAAATCAAGGATGTGCAGGTAGAAAAAGGCGTTCCAGCGGCACCCAGAACCAGTTGGCCCGGGTGAGCCATGGCCCAAGCAGGAGAAGGAGAGGACAATCCGAAAGCGCCAGGAGAGAGAGCCTCTTCTCCGACAGGAGCTGGAGATGCATGGCTCTCTGCCTCCCTACTTCGTCCCATTTCACGTCAACGACTATCAGTATCAAAAGATGAAGTATGAGGTAAAGATGGCACGCACCCCAGAATCTGACCCGCTCAAGTTCATGATCGAATACCATCCTTTGAGCAATTCCGGCATGAATTGCTATCTGGAACCGAGGTCTGTGCGAGAGCCAAGGCCACCCATCGCACTCGAGGAACCTGGTTTTGGAAGACCACCCCTTGAGTACGTCGCGACGGATTGGTCGTGGAGAAGGTTCTACGACCCCAACGAGGCGCTTTACGAAGCGCTCAAGACGTCTCGGATGGCCGCCAAACAACCGGTACCGTCCTATGAATCATTTGAGAGGGTGCTCCGACGCGTGAACGACGAGAGAGGAACCCTTTTTGTCGATGACCGCCCGACGCCTTACCAACCGAAAGATCAAGCATTCCAACTCCTCCCTCACGAACCATATCTCGCCCACGTGGCACGCCAATTTCGCGTGTCGATTGCCATCGCGCAGCCGTTCGGTCATTCGGATTCCCTAGATCTTCTGGGTCGTTCAACTTTTCGAAAGGTCTGGAAGCAGCCATCTCCTGGTATCTTCTTCAGATGGGCTCGCGCCTCACCAGGAACTCTACCCGCTCATTTTTATGAGACGTTTCATGAACATTTGGTATGCTCTCAGCGCAAGGGATCCAGATATCTACCAGGTGATAGCGAACCCGGATGTCCCCCTGTTGATCCACAACTTGTGGGACGAGTTCTGTCGTAAGCTTTGTTCAAGTATGCAGTCACTGCTCCGATGTGGATTTCCGAGTACTGACCATCTTCGAGCCAAACATAGAAAATACCGTTGCTCACTGAGACCGACTGCTTACGCAAAACCGTCACCAACTTGAAAGCGCAGAAGGACAGCCTCGTTCGAAAGAATGAAATCAAGAACCTGCAGATCGCGGCCCTTGAGAACCAGTTGCTCGAGGTCAAGGCCGAGTTGGAAGTTGAGAAACGAGCCACGAACACGCTCACTTCCATCGTCAAAAAAAAAAAAAAACCGCGAGGAAAACAAAGCCCTGCAAAAGATGAAGTCACAAATCGATAGCTTCACTTCCTCAGGTGCCAAAGACGGAATTCTTCAGGACATCAACCACGCCATCGAGACCAACGACAAGGCCTTTAAGGTCATGCTCGAGAACGTCACCGCGATCGCGATGATGGAAGACACGTCCAACATCTAAGCAGACTACGTATTAGGTTGGTGATCTGTACGGCACGCTAAGCGTAAAGTGGTGGCGGTGTTGGCAGGAACCATCGCCGAGGGGGGTATTTAGTGCATTCTTTCGGGTAGCTTCTTAATACATCACCCGTTTACCTTCTTAGCTTCACGCACCAGCCTCGCCGCACAGCGGGTTCGAGAGGAGTGACACTTTCGAGCCGGGCGGATGATAGGTGCTACGGAATGGGTAGTTAGGATTAGGTTCCACGCCAGATAGGTAAGAACGGGTAGATAGCGTAGATAGTAGGATCGCGATCCGCCATCATTATTACACTTTTTACCATTTGACGTATCGCGATCTACGCTTCGTGTTCTATTCGTGTTAACTGGTAGCTGAAAATGGGACCTCGGATATTGTTCTGTAAGGGCTTTTAAGATGATTGACCGATACTACGGTTGTACTTGATCTGTATCTATATTGATTAGGCTGAAATGGCGGTCTCTAATATAGGATATTGTATACGTTCGCTCTTACTCACCAAGCTACACCATTACTTTCAGAGATAAGCTTCTGGCGGGGTTAGCTTATAATAAAATATCCCCATAATAGATTATGTCTTTAATTTCACACCAATTGCAAATCGAAACAGCGCTGTTGAAATGAAACATTATGTAACCATATTTGAATTAGGAATGCGCTTCTTACTATCCTCATGGCGAAATCATCTCTTTAATCAGAGGGAGTTGTCGTGGGATCCGGAGTCTCCATATAGTTGAGGCATGCTAAAGGCTCTATAGTAGATGTACCTGACGTAGGTATCATACTCCCTGTCCCCATCTGGCATTGTTACGACGGCCGGTCTCCCCATTCGTAGGATGTTCTCACAGGACAGCCTCTGTTGGGTGAAGTTGGCCTATCAAAAGACATGAAGTGCGCTTGATTGGACACAGTTGGTGGTCGATACGAGGCGAATGACGCTGTATGCCAAAACGCTTGTGAGGATGACATTGCCTAGGGGAAGTCTGTGTTCTATCACATTCATTGGAACATCGAAGATTTGCTTGCTTGAGGTTAGCAAGTCAAGCATCATCAACCTTGCGTATTTTTCCAATATCATCATGTGACATGGACATGTGAACCATTTGTAAGACAAGTATGAATGAAGTATCATCAACCACCAATCCCTATACAGCCTTTTTACGAGGCGGTACAATCAACGCCCAAAGAGCAAAATACGCTCAATAACCATTCCCGAAAATAACTCCGAGGCCCTTAAACCCACAAGACCAACCCATGCTTCAGCCCAACCACAAGAAAACGCCTATCAATAGACCAATTTTCGCCTTGAGACATCCCTCCTTCTCTCATCCCGTAATTCAGGCCCTCAACCCCCTTCCACTCGCTCTCCCGGCCCTCCTCATGCTTTCCAACTTCTTCACGAGGGCATCGTGCAGTTTCTTGCTGTTGGCCCACTCCTCGCGCATCTTGCGCATGCGAATGCCGGCGATGACGGCCAGACCGGCGGTACGGAGGGAAGGCTTGCGCTGACGGAAAGATACGTCGGGCGTGATGCCCATTTCCTCGACGAGACGGAGATCCGCTTGAGTGCTGCAGGCAAAAATATCGCGTTAGTCATGCAATTCCAACGAAAACGTGAATATGAGGAAGGAAAGGGCACCATACCATTGGTTATACGTCTCGATCTGCATCATGAAGAACCTCTTCTCGTACGCCAAGCCCTCGCGGAAGTTCTCCTCGCGCGCGCACCTGGCACGGAGGTACTGGATCTGCTTGGCGAGGCCCTTAAGCTCGCTCGAGTGCCTCTTATCCTTCTCCGACAGCTGGGCCTTGAGCTCGACCGCGTCGCCGCTGGCGTCAGCCTGCAGCTGTAGCGCCTTGAGCTTCCGCTCCTTCTCGCGGATGAGCTGGCGCGACTCCTTCGCTAGTGCGTCCATCTGCGCATCGCGCTCGGAAAGCGCGAGTTGCAGCTCTTCCACCTCGAGCGTCGCGTTGCGGAGCATCTCGTGCAGCTCCTTCAGGTCGGCAGTGTGCTTCTTAGTGGCGTCACGGTTGGTGCCCTCACGCTTGAAGCGGGCGGCATAAGCCTCCAATTCGCCATCCTTCTCGGAAATCTGAAGCTTGAGCTCTTCATTCTCCAGCTCTGCCGTCCGGAGCTTCTTCTTGTCCTCACGGACCTTGGACTGGAGGTCGGACAGCTGCTTCTCGCGGTTCGTGAGCTCGAGGCGGAGCTCTTCGGCCTCAAGCTGTGCAGACTTGACGGCTTCGTGCAAGTCACGGCGCTCACCGGTGGACGTGACATCGGGGCCCTTGTTGGCGGAGGCACGCAACTGCTCAAGCTCTTGAGCGAGCTTGCGCACGCGTGCCTGGAGAGACTCTCGATCCTTGTCTGCGATACCAAGATCCTGCTTAAGTGACTCAATTTCAGACTGCAGGCTGGCCTTCTCCCGGTCAGCGGTGCGGAGGCGCTGCTCAAGTGGCTCGAGCTTGCTTCGGACATCGTCAGAGCCCTTGGCTTCTTCCTCCAGCTGCGCAAGCCTGAACTCCATAGCCTCTTTCTCCACGTCGGCTTCGTCGGCAGCAGCAATCAAGACTTCGATCTCGTCCTCGAGCTCCTGCTTCGATTTAGTAAGCTCTTCTCGCAGAGCGTTGATGGCTTCAAGTCTCTCGTTGGCCAGCTTCTGGACAGCCTCAAGGTCCTTCTCGCGAGCGTTTACAGTTGAACGAAGGCGGTCGAGATCCTGCTCACGCTCCCGGGCAAGGTTGTTCACAATCTCGAACTGGGTGTCGGGCTCCTCCATGCTATTGCGGAGCAGCTCAATCTCCTCAGACCGCTGAGCCAAGGTCCGTTTAGCAGTCTCCAACTCCCTGCTCTTGTCATTGAGCTCCACGGTCCGCTGGTCAAGAGTCCTACGGACGGTTTCAAGTTCATTTGTACGGTCATCCAGAGACTTGCGAACTGACTCCAGGTCCCGAGTGCGTTGAGAGAGGGTAGCGTCGAGTTGCTCCTGGGTTCTGCGGTTGTGCTCAAGATCTTTCCGTGTGAATTCTAGAGCCCTGTTAAGACCCTCGACGTCCGAAGAGCGGCTTGCGGCCTCCAGCTGAGATCGCCTCAGTTCCTCCAAAGACTGACGAGCTGATTCCAATTCGCGTGTGCGCTGAGCGAGAGTAAATTCGGCTTGCTCCTGGGTCCTACGGCTTTGTTCAAGGTCCTTCCTAGTGAACTCCAAAGCCCTCTTGATACCTTCCGCATCTGAGGACCGGCTTGCGGCATCGAGTTGGGAACGCTTAAGCTCTTCCAGGGATGAGGACTGCGACTCAATGGTGCGCTTCAAATTAGAAACCTCCCAATCACGCTCAGCCAGAGTAGTCCGGAGCTTCTCCAAGTCTCGGTCAGCGTCCTCACGTTCTCCTATCCGTTTCTTCAGTGGGCTCATGTTCCGCTCCGAGACCCGAAGCTGCTCCCGTAGGTTTTGGATTTCCTGCTCTCTTCTGTCTTCAACAGCGTCCCGGCGCCTCGCGTCGTCGGCATATTGGCGCAATTGGTACTGGCATTCCTCGAGTTTGTCCCCCAGGACTTCGGCTGCATCCAAACGGGCCTTCAGAGCGGAAATCTCGTCATCCTTCTGGCGGCTCATCTGTTGCAGTTTCTCGCGAGCCTCGTTGGCAGCTTGTTGAGCGAGTTGAGCCTGATTTCCGCCAGAAGCTTCGGCGATCCTCACGCGGTCCAGAAGCGCGTCGATTTCGTTTTGCTTCTCGCGCTCGGCAGACTCGACTTGACGCTCCAGGGACTTGATGTCCAAATCCTTCAGCCGAACCTTCTCCTCCAATGCTGAGAAATCATCCTTCTTTGCCCGCTCAAACGACTCCAGTTGCCGTTGCAATGCCTTGAGCTGGTTGTCCTTCTCGCCTTCGATGGTTTCCAGCCTTTCGTGGAGTTCTTCGAGTTCATCTTCCTTCTCGTCTCTCTCCTTGGCTGTTTGCCGCAGCTGATCCTCGAGTTCGTCAATCTTGTCGGATTGTTCATCAATGACTCGTTGTTTCTCCTCGGAATCACCATCACCACCCTCCGCCGCCTCAAGCTTCGCACGCAGATCCTCGAGCTGCTCATCCTTTTCGTCCAGCTCCTGATCCTTTTGCCTGAGCTCATGTTCCAGGTCCTCAATCTCGCCCTGTAGCTTTTCCACCTCTGCGTTGTCCTTGCTAGCCGAATCCACATTTTTCTGTAGTTTCTCAAGCTCGGCGGCTCTCGATTCCGCAAGCTTCTTCAGCTCCTCGATTTCCTCTCGTGCGCTTGCGTCAAGATGCCTCTTCTTGACCTTCTCAGCGTAGTCCTCTAGTTGCTGGCGGTATTCCTCGAGCTCCTTTTCAGCCTTGCGCAGCGATTGCTTCATTTTCTTTAGCTCGAGCTGCATCTGTGCGCGGTCGACTTTGAGTTCGGTATTTTCTCTTAGAGCATCCTGTTCGTAATCGTTGCCAGTCCGTTTCAGGTTCTCCTCGAGGTAGTGGATCTTGAGCTTTAGGCCGAAATTCTCCTTGTCGATTTGCGCGAGTTTCTGCATTCCTGCCGTGTCAGCCACATACAATCTATCTCGCTCCATGATTGGAGACGTACTGCTTCCTGCTCACGCAGCGTGAGCATATTCCCTCTGTCCATCTCGCCCGACCGAGGCAACGCCATCGGCGTAGACATTATACTGCTGCTCGCAAGCGGTGGCGCTGGGTCCGCCAATTCGGTGGTTTCAGTCACTGACGAGCCATCGTACATCGAGCTCCCCTCTGGCAGTGGGCTGTTATCGAATTTGTACCCAGGCTTCAGCGCAGCAGGAGTCTGAATGGGGCCCTTGAAGACCGGACCACCATTGCCGCCACCAAGCTCCCTGTCGTACGCATTCGATATCCTGTTCTTCATCGCGCTCTTGAGCAGAGGTGTGAACTCCTGTTTGCCTGGCTGCGGCTGCTGCCGGCGACTGTGGGAGGCGACGAGCGGGTTGCGGGCCCCGGCCGAGGGCGTCTTCAGGCCGCGCGGGGTTCGTTGGCCGCGCATCTGGCGTACGAGGTCGTCGCCGTGCTTGGAGGGCGAGTGGAAGGACGGCTCGATGGACATGTCGAGGTCGTCGGCCGACAGGCGTGTCTGGTCGCCTTCGCCGTACGCGGTGCGTGGAGTGTCCGGGTAGAGGTATGCCATGGTGGCCTCTGTGTAGTTTTTGTGTTGGGCTGTAGTTAGGCGCACGTAGCTGCTCTCGTGGCTATGGTGGGTAAGTCATAAGCATGCGCAAAGGCAGAAAATAGAAAAAATTGGCGGTGTTGGCGCGCAATGGCGGGCGCGTGTGGATTGTTGTCGTTGCCGTTTCGGCGGGGAGGTGGGTGGTTGTAGCTTCTAACGGTTGTTTATTTTGCTGTTGTCGTTTTGGGATTGGCGTCCCCGAGGCAGCCTGCGGGTACCGCACGGGCCACTCGCGCCAAGACCTTCCGTCTTTGCCATCGACCATCAACGGAGCCGCCACTCTTTTCCGCTCTGCGCTAACGAAGCAGATCGTCAGCTTGGGCGGAACTTTTCGAGGTCCTCTCAGCATCATATTCTGCAGTACTCTGTGCCTGGGCATCTTCGACCATGGAACAAATCGTCGACACGCACCGAGATGATTTCAAATGGTTTGGCGAAGGCTTCGACGGCTTTCCCAAGCGCCTCCCGGACGACACGGTCGAGTACATTATCTTCATAATCGACTCCAAGCTCACAGACTCGCAAGTCCGTGAGAGGCTTAGAAGTGTCGAGACTGCAGCGAATTTGCTCATTAAGAAACTCCTGAAAGACTACATATGGCAGCGCGAGTCTTTCAAGCTGGAGCTGAAGAGAGAAGATGGCACGTGGTTATTGCGTGGCACCACCAATTATGGCGATTCTGTTGCGGATGAGTGGCTAATCGTCTACTTGCTTCGCGAAATCAGCAAGCAATTTGCCGATGCCTGGATACGCGTGTACGATACAGACGGCGAGTTCCTCCTCATAGAAGCTGCCAATACGCTTCCCAAATGGCTCAACCCGGAAGTTGCAGAGCACAGAGTAAGCTACTATTCACCATCGTCTACAAATCTTCGCTCACACATGCAGGTATGGTTAAACAACGGCCAACTAAAAATCATTCCTCTGGACGGTCCTCCGACTGCCCCAGACAAACGGCCTCTAACACTACTTGAAGCCCGCGACATCATCAAAACGTCCCCATCTAAAGCCACCGACTCTCCTCTCATCGAGTCCGAAGCATTCTACCGCCTTCGGAACTACCCTTCCGAAATCTCTAGCACCCTGCATCACGCGCTCACCACCATCCCACGGCGACTGGCCTTCCTGCTGCACAGCAACCCCGCCTACATCAGCCCCGCTGTCGAGGCCTTCTATCTCCGTGATCCGATTGCGCTCAAGCCGCTGAAACAGGCCGACGAGAAAGGCGGCACCCTGCGATTCCCGCCTGAGGACCTCGTGACCGTGCGCGTGCGCTTCACGAAAGTCGGTTACGCGCAGCTCAAATCGCAGGAGTTTGACGCACCCAACAAGGCGTGGGAAGCGGCGCTCGCTCAACACGTAGAAGCGCAAGAACACGACCGGCTGTTGTTGGGCATGAAGCTGGCGTGCGGCTTCGAGATGTTGGTCGGTGACCCGCAAAACCGCGATAAGCCTGCCGTGCGCGAAATTGAGCTGCTGCTGGAAGACGTTGAGAACGGGGACGACGCCCTGCCGACGGACGCTGAAATTGCTGCGTGGGACCGGCAAGAGGATGACGACAGTTGGATGAACATCAACTATGAGGACTTCGAGCGCGAGCTTGCGGGCAAGAAGGGTTTCACCATGGAGGGCACTCGAGGCACTGAGGAGGGCTTCGGGGATAAGGACGTGCAGGAGAATTTGCGGAAGATGGTTGAGCGGTTCGAGAGCTTCTTGAACGATGAGACGGCTGGTCCGGAAGGGGCGGAGCTCGACGATATGGACGTTGACGATGAGGATGATGAAGACGACGACGAGGACGACAGCGAGGTCAGTAGCGAAGGGGAGGACAAGGCGGCTTCGTTCGATGAAGAGGAGTTCTCGAAAATGATGCGACAGATGATGGGTATGCCCGACGACGTCTACAAAGAAATTATGGAGATGCCCATCGATGAACTCAAAAAGCTGAAGGGCGAGCAAGTTGAGGCACGCCTAAAAGAGAAGGAGACGGAGGCGAAAATGTTCGGGCCTCCAAGACCACCACCAAAGGGTTCCGCAAAGGTGGAAGAGCTGAGTTCTGATGATGAGGATGACGAAGCTTATGATCCGAAAGAAGCGGAAGAGTTCCGCAAAATGATGGAGGGTATGGAGGCAGAGCTCAGGGAGGCTGGAGCACTGAACCTTAATCCGAAGCCTAAGACAGCCGATGGGCAAAAAGCGATCAAAGGAAAGGGCAAGGGAAAGGCGGATGAGGATGATGATGTCGAGGAAATTGAGAGAAGCGACGACGAAGACGGTGAGGTTCTTGACATGGACTATAATATGCTGAAGAATATGCTGGAGGCTTTCAAGGGCCAGGCGGGTATGGCAGGACCTGCGGGCAACATGATGGGCATGATGGGAGTCAACATGCCGAGGGATGAGCCAGAAAAGAAGTAAAACAAGGACATGTAAAATCAAATAGAGCATATGAAGTTCATCTGCAATAACAGGATATCGATATCTTATATAAGCATCGTTTTCACTGTTTGCACGAAAGATTCCGTGGAGGATTGATAGATAGCCTCTTCAATGACGCAATCCACATATTCGCCGGGTAAGCGTAGCGCGCTATCTTATCGGCCCCAGACGAGCAATCCAACTTTTTTCGAACGGCCCCGCGATACAACAACGCCCGACGCCCAAAAGTTCAAAACAGCACACCTCTTCGCGCTCTGCACCCATTCCCCCGCCTAAACAATGCCACCCTACGATAGCGACTCCTCCGGCGACGAGGACTCGGAATTCACCGAGACCAATGTCCTCCTCGGCTACGCCTCCAAAGAGCCAACAGACGACAACTTCAGCCAGCTCGGCGGCCATCCGGTACCATACCCCACCTGCTTCACGACTGTCCCTCCTCCCAAAGTCCAATCCCATGGCCACAATAAAGCTTCCTCAAGCTGACCACGTAACTCAATTTACCACAGACCTGGCTCGACACGACCACAACCCCCTCCTTCGCCCTCACCAAATGCGGCGTCTGCAACACGCCCATGCCGCTCCTCCTCCAGATCAACGGCGACGCGCCGACACACTTCCCGGGCCACTCGCGGCGCCTCTACATCTTCGCGTGCCGCCGCAAGCCGTGCGCGCGCAAAGCCGGCTCGGTGCGCGCCGTCCGCGGCGTGAAGGTCGACGCCGCGCTGGCGGCCGCGGAGCGCAAGAAGAACGAGGAAGAAGCCGCAAAGGCGGAGCAGCGCAGGAAAGAGGAGGAGGAGCGGTGGAAGAAGCAAGGGCAGCTGGGGACCGCACTCTTTGGTGGCGGAGCAGGCCCGACGCCCGCGCAGGCGAACCCGTTTGCTGCGAATCCGTTCGCTGCGAGTGGTGGTGGTGCTGGAGGCGCGATGGCGAACCCGTTCGCGTCGCCGGCGAGCGGGCTGGCGGCGAAACCGCCGCAGGCGGTGGTGGGCGGCAAGAAGGAGGACGAGCTGAGCCAGACCTTTGCGGAAAAAGCACGCATCGCCGCCGCCGCTCCCGCCACCAGCGACCAACCCGCCGCCGCAGCAGCAGCAGCACGCCCGCCGTACGAGCCCTGGCCGACGGACGCCTCGGCGCTGGCCAAGCCGTATCCGTCCTACCACCTCGACGCCGACTACGAGACGCTGTCGCCCGAAGACAACTCGCTGCCCGCAAACGCGCAGCTGGACCCCAACGCCGCGGACCCAGACGACGCGGCGGGCGAGGGCAGCGGAAGTGGTGCAGGCGCCGCGAGCAAGGAAGATAAGCAGATCTACGAGTCCCTCATGGACAAGACGTTCCAGCGCTTCGCGGACCGCCTGGCGCAGAACCCCGAGCAGGTGCTGCGGTACGAGTGGAACGGGCTGCCGCTGCTGTACAGCAAGACCGACGCCGTGGGCAAGCTGCTTGATAGCGGGGACGATGATGATAATGAGGATATGGAGGAGGGCAAGGTCAAGACGGCGGGCGGTCGTGGGAAGGGCATGCCCAAGTGCGCCAATTGCGGCGCGGGCCGCGTCTTCGAGGTGCAGTTGACGCCGCAGGCTATTGCGGAGCTCGAGGCTGAGGAGTTGGGTCTCGATGGAATGGAGTGGGGCACGATCATTGTTGGCGTTTGCTCCAAGGATTGTGTGACCAAGGATGCGAAGGACGGGGAGGCTGAGTACTTGGAGGAGTGGGTGGGTGTGCAGTGGGAGGAGGTTGCTGACAGGAAGTAATGTAAGCGATGTCTGAACGATTCCGTTGGTAGGGTAGAAGGTGGGATGGAAAAAGTTTGGAGTGAGCACTTTCGGCGTTTTTTGGTCATTACGAGATATCACGGCATGAGAGAAGAGCAAATGAAGGGATGATTTTGTTTTTTCTTTCCTCTAATGGTTTCAGCGAGTTCATCACTGATCGAGCTTCCTTGATGCTGGTGACTTGTTCTTGCATTGTAGGACATATTTCAGCCTCCAGCGCAAAACAACCGGTGCTCCATTTCTCTACCAGCTTGGTTCCGAAGTAAGAGCATGCGATAAGCCTTGCAACTCAAGATGGAACCGCACTATTTCGTCATCTCGTAAAACGCCGTTTCCCTTTTTGTCTCCGCCATACTCGTGCATTCCGAACCTTTTAGGGCGGGTGCCGTGCCCAAAGATATCTTTAAAGCAACAAAATGATGAGAGCACCAAGCAGTGATTAGTGCCCCTGGAGCAGGTACGAGATAGAATGAAGAAACACAAGGATCTGAGGTCTGGTATTAAGGTTGGTGGTAACGTCATCAAGCAACGCGCTTACGCGGGCTGCTCGTAGGCACGCCTGATCAACCTCGAGAATTCTGTTACGAAAGCATGTTAGCATACCATAGAAGACGGAAACCCCCCTTGCAAGCGTGCAGGACACGGAAGACTTACGGTCGAACTTGACGTTCTCCCTCACGACGGTGCCCTTGGCCTCGTTCTCCTTGTTCAAAGGCACCTTGACGTTGTCACCGTCGATGGTCCAGCCGCACACGTCGCCGACGAAGTGCTCAAACTCCTTGCCCTTCTTGTTCAACCAAGTCTCGAGGATGGGGCGCTCGATCTCGCGCACGGCCTGGGAGACGACGACGGCGATGCGGACGCACATCAGCTCCTCGAAGCCCGACACGTCGGCGATCAGGTCGGCGTACAGGTCGTCGCTGTCGAGCGTGGCCCAGAAGCCCTGGTAGTCGGCGGCGCCCAGCAGGTTGCTCAGCACGCTGAGCTTCTGCACGGCCTCGCTGAGGGCCGGGTCGCCGGCGGCCGGGTTCGCGGTCGAGGTGCTCGACAGCGGCGCGAGGATGTGCGGCGGCAGCAGCGACAGGCAGAGCGAGAAGTCGGGCGATTGGAAGACGGTCAGAGACTTGACCAGGATGTTGGTGATGGTCTCATCGCGGGCCAGGTGGGGGTTGAACTGGTAGCTGTGGACGCGCCGATTCGTGTTAGCGATGCTTGCTTGAAAAGTGCATGCGGTGACAGAAAAGTAGGAGAATCGCGCTTTCAGATAGAGCTAATAAAGACGCTTCAGTGGACAGGAGGGTTCAGACTCCGACGCCCTCAGGTAATAGGAAACGTGTGGTATTTGATCATCATTGCAACAAGGGCAGACGCGCAGGCCAGACGAAAAGATGTAGGACGCGACCAAGATCGCAGATGAGGCCGGAAGATTGGAAACGAGGGCGGGAATAACGTACAGCTTCAGCAGAGCCAGGTTGGCGTAGCAGTCGTAGGTCTGGCTCTCGCACTGCTGCATCACATAGTCCTGGAAGACGGCAGTGGTCTCGGGGTTGTACCGATCCAGACCGTTGAGGATCTGGTCGATGTGTTCCGGCCGTTCCTGCGCGAAGTCGAAGGGGATGCCCATGGTGTGCGGATGTGGTGGGCAGCAAGGCCGAAGTGGAAGAGGTTGGAGGGGTTCGTGCTGGAGATTTTGGTGAGCCACAAAGCTCGCATTTTCGTCGTCGCGAGCCCCGAGTGGGCGGCACGTGATCTTCCCCGGACCACAAGACAAGACATCGACCACGGTTCCGCATATGTGCCCAGCAAGTGTCAAAAGTGCAGTCGAAGTTGATCATACTTCTGTCCGTTTAAGTTTCAGATGGTGATACGTTGAGGTAACAAATATAAGTAATGACTATTGGTAGTGTGTATTTATCAACATGTCTATTCATACATGGGTAGAGACTAGCTATACTTGAATACAAGGATTACATTGTTTACATCTAATTTGGCGAACGCGTATGATCGCGGAAAACTGACTATGCCTTGTTCTTTTCGAAAAGCAGCTTCAACCATTCCGAACCCCTCCTCTTCTGCAGCCACTCCTTCAAGTCCGCCCTCAACTGTGCGTCTGGCCTCCACTGTCCCTCCGCTTTCCCCGTGATATCAATGCCGCGGTCAGTGCAGGCAACGAGCACCTCTTCAGGCCTAAGAGCGTCGACACCACCATCGCGGCGCAGAAGCGCGTCATCAAGCGTCAGGTATCTTAAATGCCTCCGCAGCTTGATCATCCACAATATCGACGGCATGATGGTGTAGGCTTTAGTCCGATCCCACAGGGTAGAGCGCACATTGAAGTTGGTAGCGGCATGGTGCAGGTACAGATGTACCGAGGTTTTGGGGGAATGTGTCAAGTTCTTCGTGGCCTGGTCGAGGTTGAGATGTAGCGTATCCAGTGCCCTCATAGTCTCACCATCACCCTGCGGCACGCGGTGCTGATCTATGCGGGCGGCAGCTTGAGTATCGGCCAGCAGCTTTCGGCCGCCACGGCGCTGGTCCTCGCGCTTGCGCTCGGCCTTCTCAACCTGGCGGGGAATGCGGCAAGGCAGCGGAACGAGACCGTCGACGAAGATGACGATGACCGGCAGCCACTCGCCGCATAGTAGGAGCAGCACGGCGAAGGCGGGCACGCGGCGCATGTCATGCTGCGACCGGCGCAACAGCTGGAACTCGCCGCGTGTGAAGGCCACGTCCAATGCGTCCATGCCGGGCTTGATCTGCACAAACGGCTCTTTGTTCTGGCGCAGGCGCTCCAAGACGGCCTTGGCCAGCTTGCGGTTGTTCCATATGCTCTTCACACCGGCCTTGTAGAACTTCCAGTAGGCTTTGCCGGATTGGAGGCCATAGCTGAGGATGTTTTGGTCGGGCCTCCGCGGAGGAACGTCGACGAGCTCGGGGAGGGTCGAAGCCGGGGGATTGGCGCGCTCTCTGTTAATCAGGTCGAGCTTAGGCTGGGACTTGGAGGGCGGCCTGGAGGGCGAGGTGGCCGCTTGTTGGTGGACGGCGCGGCGACAGGCAAATTGGAGCGGAGTGAGGGTGAAGGGCGACGGGGCAACCCGCGCACTGCCTATGCGGGAGATCATGGCATAGAGCAGCTGGCGTGGGTGCCGAATGGAGGTATGCGGCGGTTTGGGGTTGGGTGGAAATTATTTGGAGAGGGAAAGTTGCCGCGGCTCAGTTCGTGTGACGCGCTTGACGCGCCGGCGCTGGCGTCATGACCACCACCTTTCTTCCTTCCCCTCCTCGCTGCCGGTCGCATTGGATACCTGAAATGGCTACGTTATGGCGAGTAACCTACCGCCGACAGGCTTGTGGCGACGATCAGTTGCTGGACGATATGCTTGCCTCGGCTCGAATCTCCAAATCTGATCTGCGCTGCTGGCTGCTGCTCCACATGCTTCCGCAAATGTCCCGCTCTTCCACGTTGCCTTCCAGCCCGCCGACTATATAACTCTCGGGCCTGTGCTGTTTTTCGACGCCAAAAATCACCATGGCCGTCTCCAAACTTGCTTCCCCTGTAGTGGGAGCCATCACGAATCCTTTGATCACGGGACCCTTGCTTTTATTGCTCACCAAAGCCCCTGACCACGTCAAAGAGCCCATCATTCGTCACCTCGCCAGCATTGCTCCTCAACTAACCATTCGCCGCGTCGTGTCCTCATTGAAGTGGCTCTGCGCCATCGGCCTGGTCAAGCATGTCAATTCATGGCTCAATTCACTCGCAACCAATGGCTGGAGCATCCGTAGCGATGCCAATCGCTGGGTCTGGTCCCAGGAAATTGCCGTTGTGACCGGCGGTTGTGGCGGTATCGGCGAAGTAGTAGTGAATGGTCTCATCCAGCGCGGCGTCAAGGTGGCTATATTAGATGTGCAACCTCTGCCTAAAAGACTGGAACATTGTACGTCCCTTTCAATCGGCCTTGCCCACTTTCTAACAGATCTCAGCAAATGTTTTCTTCCAGCACTGCGACATCACCGACCCTGATGCCGTCAACCGTGCAGCAGACCAAATCAGGTCCACCTTGGGTCAACCTTCGATCCTGGTCAACAATGCGGGCATTGGCGCCTCTCATACCATTCTCAACACTAGTCCTGAACATCTGAACAAGATTTTCGGGGTCAATCTGTTCTCTCACTGGTATACATGCCAAGCTTTCTTGCCGGACATGATCAAGCACAACAAGGGCCATGTCGTCACTGTCGCCAGTACCGCCAGCTTTGTGGCCCTGCCGAACATCGCCGACTACGCTGCCACAAAGACCGGCGCTCTTGCTTTCCACGAAGGTATACTTTTGCATCACACCCCTTGCATCGTTGCCACAGCTCACGCTTTCACAGGCCTTACCCAAGAGCTCCGCCACCGCCATGGGGCCCCCAATGTCCACACCACCGTCGTTCATCCCAGCTGGACTAGTACGGCTCTCATCGCCCATCACGCCAAAGAACTTGAGCGCCACTACGGCCCTCTCCTGACGCCCGCATCTGTGGGCAATTCCATCCTGGAGCAAATTTTTGCCTGCCGTGGAAACCAATTGATATTGCCCAAACCCCACTCGTTCCTTTCAGGCTTCAGAGGATTACCCAACTGGATGCAGGAGAAGTTCCGAGACAATGCAAGCAAGGCACGCATGGGTGATGGCACGAAGCTTTGAGATGACCATTTTACCCATTTGAGCCTCCTCAAATAGTCCAGATTCTATGCACGCAATAACTGGCAAATTTCTTGAATTGACTGATTTATAGCTTCAATGTCTTCGACTGCGGCAGCGTTTTTTCGATCGCGTGACGTTGCGGTTCGATGCATATGCATGCATGACCAGGTGACAACACATGCATGCTCGACACTGCACCGTGACAATTGAGCATAAAAAACTTCCACACCTTTCAGTGTTGCTGATTTCCAAGTCTGGCTCGACCTACAGTTGTTAAGACTAAGATTCACTAATGATTCGGCAGTCGAAGGCAGCATGAAGCTTAGAGATGCCCCCGACGATTGCCATTTCCGGGATCCCATTTGAGGAGTCATCCAAACTCTTTCACCAGATGCAGAAAATGTTACTCACTCGCGACACTTGCGATTAGACAGTGTGGACTTGTCGTTGATTCGTTGTACTTTCCCTTCATGTCCACCTAATCCGATTTAGCACGCCAAGAGACGGTCGAACAAAGGCTATCACAACCTTTCATTCCTTGGGAATATCAGACCACGGAGTGACTCGATAGCACGGCTCGTTTAGTTACACAGATCCTCATTGCTGGGCCGTTGGCGCCTGTCAAATGCAACCATCCAGCTCCGTTCTTCCACCCGACGTTGCACAAACGCGCATACCTAAGCTGCAGGGGACCGCATAGTGCATGGAAATCCCTTGAACCACCAAGCCGCATTGCTCAAATGGCTGCGTATCTGCTACTGTTCCTCCCAGCTGACTCACCATTGGATATCACTTCAGACACCCTGTTGCAATATTCGACAACACCCGATCTCACATCCATTGAATGTCTTACCACCACCAATGGTGCCTCAAGCAGAATGACATGTTAACGTTGGAGGATAGGGCTACAGCCAAGTTTGCGTTGGTGAGTATCCGTAATTCTTTTGCATTGAGACAAAGCCAATATACATCATCACGCACAGCATGCGCTGCCAAGACCATACGACTAAAAGAGTGATGGTGGTATGTAGTGGCGATTGGGGGTTCTGCATACTTGACATTTTTCAGCCGCAGCATGCGTCTGCATGTACCCCTAATGCAGGCTGACATTTCGGCAGACGCCATCCCTACCGCCGCTCATGCAGAACACAGTCTGCAGGCCCTGCTGTCCAGACGCCATGCCGTGTACCATGGTGACGACATACCGCCAACTGCAGCTGAACTTTCTGAAGTCTTGACGTCGTTCCCGAGCCATGCAAACACCTACACCGCCACCAGGCTTGCTGACATGGTTTAATACCCTTCCATCTTCCAATTGATGGTGCAGCAACGCGTCCACTCCCGACCTCAGCACCACCATGCTCCTCTTCGTCATGCCTGTCTTCACGTCTCAGCTTCTCCTCATTTCCCCAGCAGCCCTCTGCCAGGCCTTACCACCACTACCCGTCCTTACCCCACAAGGCACCTACCACCCAAACACCAGCATACCAGGCGTAGAGCAATTCCTCGGCATCCCCTACGCAGAGCCTCCGCTAGGCGCCTTACGATTCGCCGACCCACAGCCCTACACATCGGGCGACCCGTCGCAGCAAATCGACGCGACGAGCTACGGGCCCGCGTGCCTGCAAGACCGCGCCTTCGAGGCCGCAAACGGCCTGAGCGAGGACTGCCTGACGCTGAACATCTACCGCCCGACAGCGGCCGCCGTCAACCCCACCCCCAACACCCCCAACAACACCACCAGCTCCTCCCCGCTCCTCCCAGTCCTCATCTACATCTACGGCGGCGCCAACATCGGCGGCCAATCGCAGCACTACACCGCCTCCAACCTCGTCCTGCACTCGCTCAACCTCCTGCACCCCACCACCACTGCCACCAACACCCCCAAGCCCGTCCTCGCCGTCACCCTCAACTACCGCACCGGCGGCCTCGGCTTCCTGTCCAACACGCTCTTCGCCCGCAACAACCTGCTCAACACCGGTCTAAAAGACCAGCGACTGGCGCTGCGCTGGCTGCGCGCCAACGTCGCGGCCTTTGGCGGCGACCCGCGGCGGATGGTGATTTTCGGGCAGAGCGCGGGCAGCTTCGATGTGTGGACGCAGGTGAGGTATGAGGCGTACGTTGCTTCCTCCGCCGGCTCCTCCGTTGAAGAGAAGAAAGGTGGTGATGGTGAGGGTGATGGCCAGTTGTTCCGCGGCGCGATAATGGAGAGCGGGGGGCCTGGCAGCCTCGCGCTGAGGGGCGTGCGGCCGGAGGAGGGGGACGGGTTTCTCGAGGGGAGTTTGAGGGCGTTGGGGTGTCCGTCTGCTGTTGCGAACGGCGGGACGGGGCAGGAGGAGGCGTTGGCGTGTTTGAGGGGGGTGGGGGTGGAGGAGTTGATGCAGGTTTGGTATAATAGCTCGAGTGAGCTGTATAACACGTTGGACGAGTTTGTGCAGTTGCCGGTTGGGTTCGGGATAGATGGCGAGTGGGTGAAGTCGGAGAATTATTGGGACGAGGACGCTGCGCAGATTCCGATGGTGAGTGTGTGGGGCTGCTGTTGTAGTTTGCCTGGCGGTGTTGAAAGTGTCTGGCGGGGAGGTCTTTGCAGATGATAAGGGCTGACCGTGAGCGCCGCCCGGCGTGGGACAGATGATTGGAGATACCCTGAACGAAGGCAGCTTGTACGGCCGTGTGCCTACCGGTTTGGCGACCAACGAGACCTATCTGGCTCAAGTTGTTGCGAGTAAGTACTTTTATTCCAGCTTCTCCTGCTTCTTCTTCTTCTTCTGCCCTCAGAAACATTACCACCAGTCATCCAAACAACACTGACGCCTCAAACCAGAAAACCTCCACACCACAGACCTCACCCTCGCCCGCCCCGTGCTTTCCACCTACTACAACCACACCGCCGCCGAAAACGGCCGCGGCTTCGACGCCGACCCCACCGCCCCAGACTCCTACTACATCGGCGAAGCAGTCCTGGGCGACGCGGTGCAGGACATCCCACGGCGAATCAACCTAGGGCGGCACGCTTCCGGCGCGGACGCGCCCAACACGACGACGGCCACCACCACCACCGCTAGCGGCAGTTGCGGCGGCGGCGGCGGCGGCGGCGGCGTCGGGAAGAAAGCAGGAGGAGCAAAGACGTGGGGGTACCGGTGGTCGCAGAAGCCACGGTTGAGCCTGTTTAACGAGCGCTTCTACGGCTTCCCGCCGGACGTGCCGGACGCGAATAAGATCCGAGCCGGCGTGTTGCACGCCTCCGAGTTGGGGTCCGTGTTCGGTGACATTTACGGGTGGCCGGATGCGGTGGAGCAGGATAAACAGCTGGCGAGTTTGGTGCAGTCGATGTGAGTTGGCTCTGTTCCGTAGGCCATTGCTGCAAAGGGGGCGTGGATGGAATGACGTTGCAGCATGGTCCCTGGAAGCCTGAAGAGGAAATGACGGGCTGACCGCTGTTTTTCTATCATTAGGTGGATATCCTTCGCCTACGACCTGGACCCGAACTGCCACGGAAGTAAGCAGTTTCTTCCTTCCTCCGAGCTCCTTACTGACGAATTCTCCCCGCGGCAGTCCCGGATGTCCCGCACTGGGATAATTACGATCCTTCGTCAGCCGCCATCTTCAACTTCGAAAACCAAGGCTCTACGACGCCGGGAATGATTCCAGACGACATGCGCCTGGACAGCTATGTAAGTCCTCTCATTCGCTCTAGCTGTGCCCCACTGCCGTGCCCCTGGCTTGACCTATCCTTGCTTCGATCGAACGGACTTTACCTAGGCCCGAGAGCGCTGTTTCATCCTGATCCAGATGCTAACAATTAGGGGTTCATCCCGTGTAATACGAAAAGAACGCATATAAAGACGCTGCAGCGAGAGCGGGTCTACCGCCACTGCCCGAGATCAAGGTTTGAAGGCCAGTCCCGGGAAAGACAGAGAGATGGGGGCGGCGACGTATAGAGGGAGTGGACAAGTTACGTTCTAGACTCGTTTAACTAAACAACATCGAACTGAGCCTCGCTTTCGCAAGGATGGATCCGAGAGAATTAGGCGACTAGACTTTTTACTTCTGATGATATCGGGTGTGACGAGATAAAGCGCTAAGCATGACTAAGAAAGCCTATTTCACAACCCTATTCACGGAAATGTCCGGCAAAAACGGGCCCATCTCACCCAATGAACCCGCAAAACTTCTTTTTTCCTCCAGGTCTAAGAGGGTTGATCCCTTACTTATGCTTATCAGTACGACACTTTATTTGACCCCAAACAGACCATTTCCCCACCTCGGCCTCGCATATTATACTAGATGCGAATGGCTTACGAATTCGCCCCTCCGTTAGGTACCGCTTCTCGCCTTGTTCCGTGTCTCGGAACCAAGCGGAAGATACGGGAGTGAGAAATACCCCGAGGCCGAGCACGACTGGAAAAGGGCGGTGGAACTAAGTGTGGAGATTGATAGACCACTAATCGGCTTGTCGTTCTCGGTCGGTCTTTTGGGGAATGCGAAAAGGAGAACTCTGGCGCAATAGCTTGCGTGGCCAGATTTATCGGTAATCGAACCTTCTGCCGAAATGGAGGTGAGTGTTTCAAGTCACAGCTAGAGAAAAGAAGGGGGTGGAAGAGAATTTTCCGGTAGTGTGTCTCCTGTTCATGATAGCGAGCTGTAGAGTCAAGCTGTACTCTTCGTAGTACCATACAACGCTTCCGCGGAGTTGTAATCTGGAACAGTGCAGTACACGTGTTGATAGTTGACTCTGTTTCAAAAATCGTTGACAATACTGTCCACCTAAGGAGGTACAATTCTCACGTCTTAATCTCACAACAAAGAAGCCAGAAGTCCACGAGTTCAACCTCATATCCATGCATTATAATCTATTCTGTGGTCGCCCCATAATGCCTAATGGCGGCACTTATCTTTTCTCTGTATCTAAAAAAGCACGAGTCCGCTCCACAAGCCCAAGCCCCTCCCTCTATGGCTTTTATAAAAGGTATTTATAAAGAAGAGACAAACCAGCCTCCCGATTCGTTCCAAGCGTAACGAAAAAAAAAAAAGAAGTGAAGAGAAGAAGAAGCAAAACATCCACCACCACGAAGGAGATCCCCTCATTAGTCATTCATAGGCAAATTACTCCCGTCCCCTCCCTCTAAAAATAATTTGAAAGAAGACATCTCTCTACTCTGCCTTCTTGGTCGCCTTCGTCCTCAACTTCATCAACAGGTACACAAGCGCGTAACTGCTGATGGCGAAGATGACGACAATGGCCGAGTCTCTCCAGCCGTAGTAGTAGTCCTTGATGTTCAGCGTGCCCAGATAGTCCGAACCGCTGCGGTACTGGCACACCTGGCAGCCGGATGTAGCATCCGGGTTGACGAGGTGCGATGCGGAGCCCATGCCCTGCTGGTATGCGCCGAGGTATTGCTGGCACGTCTGGTTGGCCGGGGGATCGAAGACGGCGAACTCGGACTTCGAGCACGTCACGTCGGCCTCCCAGGTGGTGAAGGTGAGCAGCGAGCCCATGAGGTAGTTGAATGGGTTAAGCCAGTACATCCTATATTGAAACAAGGAGTTAGAAAATATGTTAAAGGAAGGGGGGATGCATAAGAGGGGGGGGCTACTCACCAGTATTTCCAGAATTCCTGGATCTGGTCGTATGGCACCATGACACCGCAGAAGGACACAAGAGTACCGATGACAACGGGGTTGGCCAGGGATGCGAAGACGGCGTTGGGAGCGTACGCGGCAATCATCTGACCGATACCAGTGTACACGAACTCGTACATGAGCATGACGAAGAAGGTGCTGCCGGCGTATTTGGACGCGGTCGGGAAGCCGCAGGTGTAGTACCAGCAGACGAAGTAGAGGACAGCGCAGATGATCAGGTACGGGATCTCAGAGACGATGAGGCCGGTGACGAAGGGTCCCCAGTGGTACATCTTGCTCTTCTTCTCACGCGTCTCGTAGATGTCGCGACGGTCGATGAAGAGCGGCTGCAACTGTGCGATGACACCAGGAGCGACGAAGATGAAGTTGAAGACGCTGAAGAGCTTGAGCTGCAGGTCGCCGACGCTGTCGCCGATCATCCAGAAAGAGAAGCCGTTGAAAAGAGCTGAGCCGATGTGCAGCGCGAACTTGTTGTTGACATAGTCGGTGTTGCGGTACAGAGAGACGTTCATCCTGTGCGTGACCAGCTTAACCTGCTCCCACATGGGAGCCGCGAACTCGTGTCCGTCATCGACGGTACCCGGAGGCTTGGAAGCGGCTTCGGAGATCATAGCGTCCAGTTCCTTCGTCACCTTCTCGTGCTCGGGCGACTCCAGCCATACCTTGTTCCAATCGCGACCTTGTGAGAGCTGACCAGATACCACGTCGATCATGTGTTCGGCAGGGTTGGCTTCAGGCGGGCAGGGCGCACCGTAGCGGCCAAAGTACTCCTTGATAGTGGCAGCGTTGTCACCGATGTCGCCGAAGTAAACGGTCTTGCCACCCTTCGCCAAGAGAAGCAGCGTGTCGAACTGAGCGAAGAGTTGGGCGGACGGTTGGTGAATGGTGACCAGGACGGCTTGGCCAACCTCGGCCAGCTTGCGCAGGAAACGGACGGTGTTGTACGCGGCTTGGCCATCGAGACCGGAGGTGGGTTCGTCAAGGAAGATCAAAATGCTAGGCTTAGAGACGAGCTCGACGCCGATGGTCAGGCGCTTACGTTGTTCCACGGACAGACCGGCACCGGGGCGACCAATAAGGGTGTGCTCAAGATCGTGGAGCTCGAGGAGGTCGATGATGGTGTCCACATAGCGGAGCTTCTCCTCACGCGGGGTCTCGCGAGACTGGCGGAGCAGGGCGGAGAATTCAAGGGCTTCACGGACGGTGGCAAGAGACTCGTGGACATCGAGCTGCTCGACGTATCCAGCGGACCTCTGGAAGGAGACAGGGAGAGGACGGCCATCGACCATGATGGATCCGTGGATCGTGCCGTCGGTCTTGCGCTGTGCGAGGACATCCAGAAGAGTGGTCTTACCAGCACCCGATGAACCCATCAAGGCACCAAGCATACCCGGCTTCACATAGCCTTGGACGTTATCGAGGAGCACGCGATCGCCAGAAGGAGTCTTGACGGTGTAGGTCAAGTTCTTCCATGTGAAGATGCTGGTGTTGCGGATGAGTTGGTTGTTGAGGGTGTTGTCAGAGTTGTCGGAACTAGATTGGCCAGCAGGCTTCTCGGTAGCCTGCGACTCCTCGTCCTGGGGCTGCAGGTGCTTGACCATGTGCTGCTGCTCGCGAGGAATGAGCAGACTGCGGCCACCCTCACCCATCTGCTTCCACTTTGTGGTGAAGAAAATGGTCAGGCCAGCGAACAAGACCCACCAGGCCCAGGTAATGCCAAAGTTGCGCCAGACATGGCTGTGGCTGTAGGAAAGAGACGCGAGGTAGTCGTCACCAGTGACGCTGGTGGCACCAACCGCGGCACCACCAACGCCGGCGCAGGCCTGGCCGCCTTCACCGGTACCGTATCCAGGTCCTCCAGGTACGATGTTGACACCAACGCATGGAATGATCTGGCCGTGGAATTCGTTTGCCAGGAGGGCCTCGAATCCGTATGCGAGAGGGTCAATCCAGAAGATCCAGACGAACCATGGATGCATGTTGGGCTTGCTGATCATGTAGCCAGTGTACATGATAAGCGCCGAGATGAGGAAGCCAGACACCTTTGAGGCAGCATCGAAATTGGGGAAAGCAGCGCCGATCAGCCGGAAGAGCGCTGTCATCGCCATCGTAACCGCAAAGTTAAGGATCCAGTAGGTAAAGAAGGCATCAGCTGTCGACTTCAGGCCAACCATAAAGTAGACGACAATGCCAAAGTGCGTGATCTGGAAGAGCAATACTGGGATATCGGCTGCGATCTGCGCGATACAGAAGGCCGCTGGGTGGTACAGAGCAAATGAGCGATGCTTGGCCAGAACCGGTCTGCCAGAGAACGAATCCGTGACTTCCGACATGGCGAGCAAAGAGTTGTACAGGAGAGAGAAGAACAGAGCACCGCCTTTGACGAAAAGGCCGGCCGAGTTACCGGGGGCGTCGTAGAAGAGGGAACCAGCGATCAAGGCCTGCAAGAGGGTCGAGACTTGCTTCAAGATGAAGGTTGCCTTGTCACCCCATAGGATCTGGTATTGACGGATGACGCAGGCTTTGACTTGAGTGAGGAAACCAGTGGTCAAGGGTGAGCTCTTGCTCAAGCTCTTGTGCTTGTCCCGGGCCGTCATCTCCTGGAAGTCAACCGTATTCTGCTTGGCGTCCTCAGTCTCTGGGTAGTTGTATTCGGCGATCATCTTCGGTTTAATGGGCGAACGTTCGTAGGCAGCACGGACTTCATCGGCGTTTCGCGGGAATCTGTTCTCGTAACCAGGCGCAATGCGGCGCTCAGTGGGGACGGTGACACCGGTCAGGAAATCGGCCTGGTTGGCAGAGGGGTCGCAGACGAAGCCCAGCTCCTCCATGAAAGGGACAGCTTCCTTCTGCGGGCCGTAGTAAATCTGCTTGCCCTCATCAAGGATGAGGACCTTGTCAAACTGGTTGTAGATACCGTTGCCTGCCTGGTAGAGAGTCACAATGGTGGTAAGTCCGAGGATGTCGGTCATGGCGCGCATAGCTTTCGTCCATTCGAGGGCCGTGCTGGCATCAAGACCACGCGTCGAGTTGTCCCAGCAGAAAACACTGCCACGGGTTGCAAGACACTCAATGATGGAGACACGCTTCCTCTCACCACCGGAAACACCGCGGACGAATTCGTTGCCGACCTTCGTGTCGTGAGTGTGCGAGATGCCCATGGATCTCATCAGGAAGTCCCTGTTGATGGCGGCGTACTCTTCCTTAGTCTTGACCTCGGGCGGGAGGTGGAAAGGAACCTTCATGCGGGTGGCAAAGTCCATGGTTTGGGCGACCGTCAGCGTTGGGAAGAAAATTTCCTCCTCAGTATTCATGACGATTTGGCCACGGTAGGCCTTTGCTTCTTTGTAGTCCATGGTGCCGAATTTAACGTCGCCGGAGATCTCAGCGTAGCCAAGCCTGCGATTCGAAAGCATGCTTAACAAGGTCGTGCATCCCGCGCCGGGGCGTCCGAGCACGAGCAACATCTCTCCGGGCTTGACACAACCGTGCGAGTTGTCGACGATGGTCTTCATGGGAACATTCTTGTCGCTTTTGCCGATGGGGTTGAATTGTGAGAGCACGTTCTCGTTGAAGGTGGCGTCGCTGCTGATGCCCTTGACAGTAAGGTTTTGCCAAGTGACACCAAGCTTTCTTTGTTTCCCTCCGTCTACTTCGTCGCGTCGTCGAATCTCTTGAACTTCTTGCTCCATATGCCATCTGGAATGGTCTTCGTGGCCCTTCTCCTCGGACTTATCATCCGCATCATCGGAGCCGAAGTGCTCACTCCTGGAGTCGGCATCGATGTCCTGCATTTGTCGTTCTCGTCGTGACTCTCCAGATAGAGTTCGGACAATCTCCTCACCAATACCGGCAGGGTAGGAGCCTACCGAGTGGTCCTGATGGTGAACCATGTTGGATGGATTGCCTGCTGAGAGGCGGGGGCCAAAGAGGAGAGCGAGGCTGCCGTATGGGTTGTCGATCAAGGACTTTGGACAAAGAGAAACCCAGCTCGGCGATGGCCTCTTGAAGTTTGGGGTTTGGGGATTGGAGGAGTTGTCACAGTGTGAGAAACAGGGAAGAGGTTAAGTATAATGTAAAGAAATACCAGGTGCGCGTACGGCAACGCCCTGGCCTGATACGGAGATTCCCAGAGAGCCGGAAGGACCCTAGGTCATCGTCCGAAGGCAGCAAAGCCCAAGTCGGAGGAAAATGAGCCCGACTAGCAGTCCGGAGCGGACGCTAGGATGTTCGCAACATTTTCTCATTGAGCTAGGGGCGGGCATGGGGCACCAGATTGGCGGGACCGTTGATACGCAGCGCGGAAATCGGACATTTCGCGCCACGCGCACCTCCGCCCTAACAGGGACGTGGCCAAGGGCTAGACCTCATAGCAAGCACGTATCTCGGCCGATGTGGCTGAGACGTGTTGCATTTTGCGGATGATGGAAGATATCAGTCCCGGCGCGTCCGTCGCAGCGTTGCTGAGCAGTTGCGTGCTCTTCCCTCCCGTTCCGAGCCACCTCGAGACCTCCCAAGCTCAGAAACCGGCCATGTCGAGACGAAAAAGATGACAGCGGTGAGCAATCGTAGCCCCTGGCTACAACGCATCCATTATCTGAAAGGTACACGTTGACCCTGGCGCATTTGCGGCTCTGACTGTTGTAGTGCACCATCTGTGGACCAGATTGATGATATGGGTAAGTACGCCGCATCAGGGGCCAGCATTGGCCAGGCGGCGGAGACATGTTCAAGATACCGCTTCGGCTTCGGCCTCAAAAGGGCGAGCTGACAAAAATCCGGGGCCAGAGGCTCGGTTTGGATGATCATGGAGGCAGCGAATGTTGTGTTGGTGGTGCCGGGGTTTCGGACTTTTCGAAATCACCGACCAAACCCGGAAAGGTCCGCATGTGTCCGGGGTAGACCAGGCGGATCCCAAGTGTTTCCGCCCCGGGTCCGGCTGTTACAGGAAACTGCCGTGAAGTACCGGTTACCGCCGCTAACTGACTCCGGGAAGTGCAGGCATGGTTGCAGATGGCAGCGGGATTGACGTGCGCCCAGCGCCATCTGACGTGTGGGGGCTATGCTCCGCCGTGCTTCACGGGGCTGAAACAGCCGTAGGCGGTGAATGATGGAATATGATTACCCTGATGGTCAGCGACTTTAACTAAGTGCGGAGACAGCTCCCTCTAAGTAAAGACGGTCCAGCTTCCGGGCAACCGTCTCATTATCCACCTTCAATTGCAACCAATGCTGGTTCGTCGCCGTCTCATCGTAGACCCAGTTGTTGCTTCCGTTCGGATGCACGTGGTTGTAGCCGAACTCGTTTGCATACTCGAAGAGGTCGGCCGTCCCTTCACAGGCATAGAGAACGGTAAGAGGATCCCAGCTGAATCGCGAAACATTGTATCCGGTGTACCAGCGGTAAGCGGCGGCAACTGGGTCGCCTGCAGGAGCCTCGACAGTCAGAGAGGCGCCAGACGTCACGTTCCCGCCCAGTTCGCTCCCTGTGGTGGTATGAGCAATGCACAAATGGGGCGACCGTGGCGACAGTGTCCTACCTGAAAACGTCATTTTGCCCGGCCAGTTATTCACCACGTGTGCAGTCAGCGAGCTATTCGAGCCCTGTGTAACCTCCATTCAGCCAGGAATACGCGGATCGAACGGATACCAGTCGGACATACCCAAAAGTTGTATTCATAGCCAGATGGGTATCCGCCGCCCATAATGACGAGCTCCGCAACTTTACTTTGGACGAGTTCGAGACCGGAACTGTTGGAGTACGCGTCGGCGGTGGAGTTCAGCAACCCGGAAAGCTACGGGACAAAGTTAGCAGGCCTATCTGGCACGAGGGTCATGCATTGCCTCGTACGTTGTCGAAGAAACCAATGGACGCAATGGTCACGCTACTGTCTTCTTGTTCGGCCAGGACTTTCCTGTAAAGCGAGACCGGGTCCCAAGCAGAGCCGGCATCACCCCATGACAGCGATCCGCCAGACCAATGGTAAGCGACCTTGCTTGCGTACTCACCCAGCTCAAAGTAGAAGTCGTCGAAGAAGGATTCATTGGTCAGGGGACGCATGACGCCAACGGGAACATCCTCATGGCCGTAGTGGGCGAGGATGGCTGAGGCAGCCAGGGCTGAGTAAGAGCTGGGGTAATTGACATTGACAGCAAGGAGGTTCACTTTGCTGGAGGTAGCGGCCAGGAGAAGCGCGCCGGCATCGTCCACGTCGGAGAACAGATCGGTGTCGATGATCAAGTTCTTCTTGGCTGTCGCGACGGAGGCCAGCGGCACGGAGGCCAGCGCAAAACGCAACAAACCACGGGGCGACACCAACATGGTGAGTAACGAGGGAGTTTTGAGGGCTGCAACACGCGCGCCGCGAAGATTGCGGCGGTCTTGGCGACGCGCCGTATCGCCGGCGAATGGGGGGCCAGCTGCTATTTCGTATGGTTGGCGAGTCGTGCTTTCCCCCCGCCGCGTCCGAGCACTGACATCATAATCCGCTCCGCCCGTACTGTCAGCCTTCCTCCCCGCCCTATTGTCGACAGCACCCCGCATGCAGCTCCGTTCCTACTTCGCGAAAATGTCGCTCACAGTCCACCTCCACCCTCTTTCAAGCAATTCGACCCTGAACCTCCACCGCCCCGACGATGTAGAGAAGCCGCTGGTTTGTGTACGGAGAATTCTCCGTGTTGCCCGTCCTGTATTTGCGTCGATCCACCTAATTCTGCTCGCGGCGGGGCACATTTCCCCGTTCAGGCTTGTCTGCGACATTTGCGGCGTTCTGGAGGATTGCTGACTCGTCAGATGCTGCCGCTTTATTGCTCCAGGCGACTTTTATGTCGGGTACCGACCTTATCTCCGTTCCGTGGTTTCAAGAAGGCACAATGCACAGGACTTTTTCGTGTCCGGTTTACTATTCAGGGTGCATGTGCTAGCTGACAATAACATCCTATGCGTTTAGTCAACATCTGCCCCGCAACCATGGCGTCAAAGAAACAACCTTAATTGGCGCTACCACACCCTTATCACCCCTCAGAGCCTGTTCGAGGCCCTAGCTTGCATAAGGGCCCGGTATTAGCGGCCATGATAGCGCCGTGTCGACGTCAGCCTCAGCCTTGGTGCTGCAGCTCCAGCTGGGAGAGCTCTTTTCTTAAATAGCCCCTCGTTCGAAGCAGAAACCAAAAAGCAGCAGAAACCTCCCCAATTCATGCAGACGATACTGAAGCATATCCCGAAAATGTCGCCCAGTCTCCCCAAAACCTACAAGGCCGCCGTTGTTGAAGAGGCCAATGGCAAGCTGAACGTCAAGGACGTCCCGCTCAAAGAGCCCCAGCATGGTCAAATCTTGGTCAAGGTCAAGGCTTGCGGTGTCTGCCACTCCGACGAGGTTGTGCGTACTGGCGGATTTGGAAACCCGTACGTTGAGTTCCCGCTTGCGCATTTTACCGCTGACATGTTCCACAGGCCTATCGTTCCCGGCCACGAGGTGATTGGCAGCGTTGTTGCCCTTGGCCCCGACGAGAAGAAGTGGAAAGTTGGTGACCTTGTTGGTGAGCTTTGTGTGAATCTGGTCATCTGGCGGTGGCTAACTGGACCAAAGGCGGGCCCTGGCATGGCGGTCATGACGGTCTGTGCAGGCAATGCAACCGCGGTCTCTTCCAGATGTGTGACAACGAGGCCATCAACGGAGTCACCCAGGACGGTGGATGTGAGTGTTCCTTGCGAGCGTTCTCCCAGCTCTGTGCTAACACTGTGCAGACGCCGAGTACGTCCTTCTCCGCACTGAAGCTGCCGTCAGAATCCCCGAAGGCATCGACCCCGTGAAGGCTGCGCCCCTTCTCTGCGCTGGTGTTACAGTCTTCAATGCTATGAGAAACATGAAGGTCACCGCTGGAGGTGTCGTCGCCATTCAGGGCCTCGGAGGTCTGGGACATTTGGCCGTTCAATACTCCAGGAAAATGGGCTACCGCACCGTCGCCCTCTCCCGGGACGGAAGCAAGAGGGATTTTGCCACAAAGCTCGGTGCTACCGACTACGTCGACGGCAGCAAGGAGAACACTGCCGAGGCTCTGCAGAGGATGGGCGGCGCTGACTTGGTTGTTGTGACCGCACCCAACCCCAGCATCATGGGTGATCTGGTAAACGGCTGTGCCGCAGGCGGTCAGGTCGTGATCCTTGCTCCCGTTGGCGAGATCACCGTCAACACCATCCCCATGATATTGAAGGGAATCAGCGTCCGTGGCTGGCCCTCCGGACATGCCCTCGACTGCGAAGAAGCCATTGCGTTTGCACAGACGCATGGCGTAGAGTGCATGGTGGAGCCATTCCCTCTTAGCAAGGCGAATGAGGCGATGGAGCACATGATGAGTGGGAAGGTCAGGTTCAGAGCTGTGCTCACTATGGAGTAGGAAGAAACCTGTTCATGGAAGTTGTAACGAGGGATGATGTGTAAGCAAACCAAAAATTGGCAGGAACCAATCCGAACAATCTCTGGAATTCTTCGCTAAAGTGTGTAAACCAAAAGGGAAACGTGATATCAGAGTTTATTCTTTCATATTCTCTTCTATTTTACTTAACCAACAAACCCAAATTCTAGGAACCAAGCATACATCAAGCGCCGCCATATTAAATGCTGCCATCCACTCTCCTATTTACAGACCTAGCTCTTCAAACCACCATTCCCTTGTTCGACATCTCCGCTGAGCTCTCCCTTCCCCTCTCCTCCTTCTCCACCTTCTTCAACGTCATTCCCACACCCAAAAACATGTACACAATAATCAGCTCCATAATCAAAGCCATGCCCAGCAGGTACCAAGGATCACCCATCACAGGATTGTACTTCGGCCTACCGCCAAACACACTCATTGCCGTATACACGACACGCACCAGCAGGAATGGCGACGTCGCAGCAACGGTGACCAACAACCTCTTCTCGCCAGGCTCAGCATAGTTGATGCTGGGCCATGTCACGACGGTGAAGATGACGATGAAGCCCCAAGACACAATGAACAGAGCGATGGCAACCTTGGTCAGGGACGGGACGGAGACGGTGCCTTCAGGGCTGATGTTCTCGCTGGCCTCGACACCACCGCCGATGGCCAGACCCAGACCTGCCGTGTTGAGCAGCTGCACCAGGCGCACGTGGCGCGGCGTCACGAGGGTCGCCTTGCCGCCCTTGTCGTTGATGCTGGACAGGATGCGCGAGAGGAAGCCGAGCGAGATGAGCTCGAGCGGCGACAGCGCGATGCCCAGCAGCACCCATTCGCCGATGTAGAGGGAGATGTTGGTCGGGTCGGCGATGGTGCGCAGCTGGAAGCACGCGGCGAGGATGCGGGCCAGCGAGAAGGTGAGCAGGAAGCGCCAGCCGGACGAGCGGCCCAGGCCGTGGCGGATGGTGAGGAAGGTCGAGAGGAGGAGCGCCGGCACGTAGAGGATGATGAGGGCGATCGAGATGTTGTTTCGGGCGGTTAGGTGCGTCATCGTGCCTGGTTTTCCTTGGCCCTTTTTTCTACTTTCTTGCCTGGAAGGATGGAGATCGACGGCTTGGCTGTTGGTTCGTGGGGGCCGCTGGGTGCGGACTTGGGGATTGGGTGTTTGGAGTCAGGGTCTTGGTGACCACTGATCGAATAGGAAGGGATGGCCAAGAAAAAGTTCCGTAATGATGCACAGAAGTGTTGGCGAATGCTTAGCAGGTTGGTGAGGTGAGACAACCTTGGCAGTGCGATGTCTGGGAGCTTTATAGTCGATTTCAAGATGAATCTCATGCGGCTGAGTCGCTTATCAGCCTTCCACTTTCAGAAAGGGCGGTCACAGTGGGTATCATGGCTGCGCCTCTTCGCAAGTTGAAGCTGAAGCTGGTGGTTAATGGAATGCAGGAGAGCTCTGCGAGGCCGAGATCTCGCACTGGTGGACAAATGCGGTTAGCAGTGCGAAGCTACTTTCCAATCTTGGCGATAGCGTGGGCCCTCGACATGTCAGCCTTGCCTGGTGGCTATGCTAACACTCATGCGTCCCACGTTTATATCAGCTAAAGGGTACCACTACTGGCCCTGAAGAGTCCCGACCCATCAGCACTATCATCGGACCTGTCAGACCTGGGCCCTTGTTCCTGTCTATCGTTCCATTAAATCCTCTCTACCAGACTATTATCCTCCGGTGCCGTAACCTAAAGTCACCGCCATCACTAGCGCAACCGACGAACGACAACAGACGGACAATAAACAACAATGAACCTCAGCTACCGCGACATCGTCGCCATCCTAGTCATAATCTTCTACACGCCCGCTCTCCTCGCCTCCATCCTCCTCATCTACCGCCACGGCTTCCGGCAATCCTGGGAGTCGTGGTTCGTCCTCGCGACCTTCTCCATCTCGCGCATCCTGTACGGCTCGCTCGAGCTCGCCGCCAGCGCCAACCCGGACGCGTACGGCTACCGCCTCGCCGCCGCGACCTTCGCCGTCGATGGCCTGAGCCCGCTGCTCTTCGCCGCCCTCGGCCTGTTGCGCCGCCTGCGCGACCTCGTCGCCGCCAAGAGGGTGCAGGAGGGCCGCAGTCCGGTGTTGCGCGTTACGTCGCGCCAGATGAACGTGCTCGACCTCGTCATCACGGCGGCGTTTATCTGCGCTAGTATTGCGTATAGGGGCCTCAGCAGGGAGGAGGTGGAGAGTGGTATTCAGCACCATTCGGGCACCGCGCGCGCGGCGGCTATCTTGTATGTTGTCGCTTTTGCGGCTATCGCGGCTGGGGCGGCGGTCATGTTCGTTTGTTATCGGGGGGAGGTGGAGGTGGGAGAGATGAGGGTGCTTGTTGCGCTGGTCGGCAGTCTGCCGTTTTTGTTTGTGAGGTTGTTGTATTTGGTGTTGGATATTTTGGGAGAGGTGGAAAGGTTCAGCGCCATTACGGGAAGTGTGACGATTTTCTTGTGCATGGCTTTGCTGGAGGAGGCAGTGGCTGCGGCGTGGTATCTGGTTGTTGGGTTTACGGTAAGGGTTATTACGCGAGAGGAAACACTGGCGATGAGAGAGGCGGAGAAGAAGGTTGTAGAGGGAAAGACGGAAGAGGTGGGAGATGTTTCGATGTGGGAGAGGTCAAGGATGAAGCTGGATGAGGAGGACAGCAGTGGTAGGGCGGAGCTGGATGATAGAACGAGGAGGGCAGAGTTGGCATGATTGATTCAAAGAGTCTGTTTTCACGAGAGTTTATGTCACGAATAGAATGTATATAAGTTTTGTTGTTATTAGCCCAGATTGAAGCTTTCTATTACATCGCAAGACCTGGTGGAGATGCACTTTTTCGCAACGAACAATTCACCGCAAGCCTTTTGGCAAGAGTATTCATGGACTGGTGTTATCAGTCAGCATCTCATGATCACTCGGGGAATGCCTCGTGTACGAGCAAAATTTTAATGATTATCATCTGGGCACTTCGTGTATAGACTCTGCAGCGCCTTGTGATTACTTGGCCATCGTCAATGCGAGTTGATGAAATGCTTCCAATTGGTTCGCACTGCTTACCCAATTGGAGTGCCCCACGCGAGGATCGGGTAAGCAGTGCGAACTGATCTCCTCTTCACCGACAACGGGGCTTATACCGTGTCAGCATCGATTATCGTCCGGCATTCTTTGACTTCGCAGGAAATATTCTTTCATCTGCGTGCTAACATGAACGCTTACCACCCATTCAAGGCTGTCGATTTCAATAAAGTGAACGTATGTGAATGGGCTTTTGCTGGAGATGCGCTCACATGAATCGCTTACATGGCAACTGACAGCGGCTCAGAACAAACCACCAGATTGGATCAACCTCTATATAATACCTATAGATGAAACCTATGAAAAAGTCACGATATCTAATTCTCGCCGTCATCAAGGTGATTGACGCAACTCCGATTGGCTCGCACTGGTCGCTTGATCGGGAATTGGCGACGCTCGGACGTTTCGGAGGCGCCGACCGCGACACCATCAGCCTTGTGAATCCTTCCAGCCATCATCATCTCAAACCACAGACGTGGGTCGCGCACAGTCTCAGGCTGCGGCACTTAGCCATGGCTGGGCGCCACGTGACAGGCCGTTGGCAAGCGCCCGCTTTCAGCTGCGCCCTCCCGTCCTTCCGCCCGTCAAGCCTCCTCCGCACTGCATTCCTTTTACGGCCACCACTGCGACTCCACTCACTGCGCAACGCCATCTATCTCATCCCGCACGGGCACCGCCATCTCAGCAGCACAGCAGCACCGATCGCCGCCTCAGCCTCGCTCGCGTCGTGTCTGCCCCGCGCAGCCGCTGCACCGCCACGGCTCGCTCAGGCAGCAACCAACAGGTGCCTCCTGATAAACGACAGCCTCGATCCGCGCCCAACCCGGGCCACGCCCGCTGCAAGGGTGAAAATCCTGTCTCTCCCTCATGGTCTACTGTGGACCGCCTAGTCGTGGGTGCGAAACCTGCCGAAAAAGGAAAATCCGCGTGCGTACCAACAACGTACATGACTCCACTAGTTGCATACTGACCCGCGCCTAGTGTGACCAAGTGCCGCTGCCGGACGGCTGCACGCAATGCTCCAAAGCCAGACGTCAGTGTCCGGGCTACCGCGACCTGCAGCAGGTGCTGTTCCGCAATGAGAGCGCCAAGGTCGAGAGGCGGGTCCAGCGCAGCTCTCAAGCAAAGAAAAAGCATGATGCTCGCCAGCAGCCCACTCCGCCCGCCTCTGCTTCTTCGTCTTCTACTTCACCCGTCGTAATCGATAGCTCTCCTGAAAATGGGCCTGTCGAAGAGATCGGCAGCAACAGTAGCAGCAACCTTGTGATTCGGCGGCCCTGTTGGACAGGGAACGCGGGTCCGTCCAGATTAAACGGCCCCAGTTCATTCCTCGTCGACGACAGCGGGCCGAACCCAAACTTTTACGCCCTGCTCCCGTCGGCAGATGATCGGGCCGCCGGCTTCTTTTTCTCCAACTTCTGCAACTATGTCGTCTTTTCCGGCGATGGCGGCGGCTCACTGGCCCAGACCGGCCTGCGCGCAGACCTGTGGCAGAGCTCCATCGATCCCCATCTCTTCACCAGCATGAAGGCTGTCGGCCTGATTGGCCTGTACCGCCACAGCCACAACCCGGAGTTCGAGAAGCTGGCATGGCGCCGGTACCTTGACGCCATCCGCGTGACCAACGAGGCCCTACGCAACCCGGCCGTAGCGACCAAGGATAGCTCTTTGTTGGCTGTAATCATCCTGGGTCTGTTTGAGAGCATCAGCGGGCGCACGCGGCAGTCGCTGGAGGCGTGGGAGAACCACGTCAACGGCGCCGCCGCCCTGATCAGCTTGCGCGGCCGACGCCAGCTCGAGACGGCCGTTGGTCGCCGCATGCTGATGCAGATCACATCGAGCCTGCTCATCAGCTGCTTGCAGCGCGATGTGCCTTTTCCAGAGCCCATCAAGGAGATCATGCTTGACACCACTACCGATAATTTCATCGACCCAACGAACCCGCTATACCTGTTGCGCAAGATCATGGTGTCCGTGGCTGACTTCCGTGCTCAATGGCGCCAGGGCGTAGTGTGGGATTGCCGGGCCATCGTAAAGCGATCGCGAGAGTTGGATAACGAGATGACCACCCTCATCTCAACACTGCCAAAGTCATGGCTGTACAGCGTCGTGCATACGTCTGACGATCCGGAAATCGTTGTCAACGGCTACTACCACATCTACCCTTCATTCTGGCAAGCCCAAGTTTGGAATAGCATGCGCACCTGCCGGCTGCTGCTACTAAGCATGACGCGTAGGGCGCTGCTCGCTGGCTTTGCCCGAACGCCGCCTATTTTCGACCAGCCGCAGGACATGCAGGCCTTCGCCGAATGCACCGCGACGCTTTACCAGCTCCAAGCCGAGGTCCAGGCCAGCGTGCCCCAGCACATTGGATACCTGTCCGCTGTACGCCAGCGCGCACGGTACAGCGGCACCTACCCTTCTTCGCCTGTGACCATCCATGCCGACAACTCCTCCCCCTCCTCCTCATCCTCAGCTTCATCCTCGTCCTCACCCCCCTCTTCCTCATCTTCACCCACCTCCTCCGCAAGCTCGGACGCCCCCTTCACCCGCAAAACAATGATCACCCGCCTCGGTCTCCTCGCCTTCCCGTGGGCCGACTTCGCCTCGTCCCCCACCGACGATCCGGACGACTGGGAGCTCACGTCGACGCACCTGCCCCTCGTGCGCAGCTACGGCTCGTCCGTGCTGCTGTGGACGCTGTTCCTCGTCGGCAATCAGGAACTCACGACGCGCGCGACGCAGAAGTGGGCGGCTGAGACGTGCGCGCATATCGGCGAGGCGATGGGCTTGAGGCAGGCGAATGTGCTGGCTGATATTCTGAAGGAGAAGATGGAGATTGAGGCGAGGGAGGGGGTGGTCAGGGGCGAGGGGTGATTGGGTGGATTGGTCGGTTGGAGTGTTGGTTGTAGGGAAGTGGAGCGTGAGACGACTTGGCTGGGTGACGACGAAGGTAAGCGGATGATGAGAGTGTGTGGTGATGGTGTTTTGGTATCTGGCTGGTTGTCCGTATCCGTGTCCGTACCTCCGCGCGTCTGGGGGATAAATGGAGATGTGTGTGGTGGACTTTACGCCCTCTGTCAGCGCCGAACCACGTTTCCACTGCGATGGGCTCTATCGCAACATTTACAAGGCTAAAAGGGAGACAGAGGCTTTCTTTGAAACGTTAAGGTTTTCTACTGGTAAAGAGTCAAATAGCGCCGGCGTTATCAGATAAAGGAAGGTATGTGTCGTTCTTGAGGATTTTTTTTGCAACGATTTTAGGATACATTATTATTTCTTACTTGTTGTCGATCGCAACTTATGCCGGGGCTAAAGCAATCACTCGCCTCAAAGCCTCAGGGTTCGTCTAATTTTAGAAGAAACGTCAAATGTCTAGCATCTTTTCAGTCGACTGTCTTGCGTCTTTGATCAGAACAGTTCCTGCTAATGTGGGCAGAGTCTCGGCAATTTGTGGAGGTTGTTTGGACCGGCCCCGAAACGATTTACCCATTCAAACTTTGCGTAAGCTAATCATTACAAGGCCTTAAAAGCATGTGGAATGGGCAGAACGCCTCTCTCATCAAAGTGTCGGTCCGAGCCTTTTCGTTCCGCGCCAAAGTCAACTTTAATTCCACGAACAACACATGCGTCACGGACCACCTCTTTGAAGATTATGCATCCGGCAAAAGTGGATGGCAGAAGGGGCACTTCCTCGCTGGCAACCTTCTGCAAGGCCACAGACTGAAAAAGACAGGCTTCCACAGAAATTGGCATCCTGAACGAGCTGTCGCTCTGGAGAGCCAGACTGGGTCGCAAGCAGCTCCACAATGACGACTTAATCGAGAAAAGAGAAGACGGTTCCAGGATCATCTCGTCAAAGAAGCGGGAGAGGCTTACCCGGCGCCGGGGTTACGACCTGAAGAGGCCGCCAAGTGGTGGGAGGGAGAGGCATCCGTTCAGACTTCATGATTAAGGTCATCGTGTCTATCACGGCCTTAGAGACGACACTGGATGACTCTCTGACACACCAGGGAATGTGTGAGAAATTACCTTCTCACATCCCCCACGATTGGGGCCTTCGAGATGTTGACAGCATTGATGGTAGCCGCGCGTGCTCTTCGCCGACAGCAACTACGACTTGGCCGCCGCCGACCGGTTCATGCGCCAGCTAAACAGCATCGGGCTCGACATGATGTCGCCGCGAAACCAGCGCAAAACCGAAGTCATGGACAAAGCTACCGGCGCGACTTCCAACGCAGGAGCCGCCAGCCTCGTCGTCTGGGCCCTCTTGCGCGCCAGACCGAACGACCATGTGCATGTGCTCCTCAACATGATACCGCTCCGGTGCCTGCTCCGCAAGGTGCATTGGCGCATCAACCCGGACACGGTGGATGAGGATGCGGCTATTTCAGTATATAAGCCGGTAAGTTAAACCACACCGGTATGCTAACTACGACCGAATAAGATGGACTGCCTCGGTTAGATGAGAGCCTGAAGATTTACGTAGGGCATCTGAGCTTCCATCCGCCCTCTTGTGGGAAAGAGGACGCAAGTTCGAGTACGGGTTAGGGAAGGCAAAAAAGACGGTCCCAAAGAGTCTTTCTGTCAAAGCACGGGAACCGGGGGCACTCCCCATTAGATCCCACCGCTTTCAGTTTTGCCATTTGTGTCGACGGTCTTTTTTTTCCCCCTTCCTGCCCGTTCTACCGATGAACTCTAGAAGTCGAACCAAATGCTGAAGCAGATTGACTGAGTTTGACGTGCCACCTGCGCCGCACCCCAGGAAGAAGAAGCGCTGTACCGGCACTCAACCATGTCCCTCGTGTGAGAAGGCCGCAAAGCGCCATTTGTGCTCCAAGGGCATCCTCTCAGGATCCAGCGACCCGTAGTTTTCAGGGTCCGCGTATTGGTAGCTCTCCGGCGAAAGCGAAGATCCACGGCTCGTGATGCCTTCCTTTGCGTTGTCCCTCTCGAACCACCACTCCTTCAGCTGTAGGGCCACCTTTCGGTCTTTCGCGTTCCCCTCGAGCTTCTGCATGCCGTACTTGCCGCAGAACAGGTAGCCATTGTAAGCTGCGAAGAGGACCTCATCTTCTTCGTTCCTGATCAAGGCGGGGCGGCCGAGGGGCTCTATGTGCTCTCATGGTGCGCCTTTCTGCGCATAGTTGGCGGGCCAGTTGATGTACATACTTGCCCGCCCGCCCGTGTCCGGACCGCTTCCGCGCGGTGGCTCGAGTGCCTAGCCCGCGCTGCTCGCAGGGCCTGTTGTTTTTAAGGGCCCGAAGATAAATGTGCCCTAGTTCCGCTAGGCGCCGGCGGATATCCACGTCTCGGAGATGGAAGACTAGGCGGTGGCGGAGTGCGTCGATAATCTGGCCGGAGCGGGCGGTAAAAGCGAGGGGCGCGGAAGATGCTAATAGTGGCGGTGCCTGGTGAGAAGGGCGGGGCCGTCAAGGACGCGCTGAAGAGGTCGTCGCAGGGCGCCTTGCGCCTGGAGAAGCTGGGCTTCATCATCATGAGAGCGGGTGGGAGCAGATGCGCATGGTTGACCAGACGGGGTCCTACTGTGATGTCGTGCTTGACTAGAGCACTGCTGTTGAGAGGAATGCCGGATGGTTCACGGACGGAGAAGACGGCCGCGTTGCTGCGAGATGTGTTCGGATTGAAGCATGTTTGCACGGGTGTTTTCCTCTGTAGGGCTTGGGTTAGTGTAAAAGGGAACGCTGAATTTGACACTCGAAAGGCTGTGAGGGGTAATAGGGTGCAAGACGATCGTGTATGAATGGTATCGTTGCGCTAATGTACTTGTAAGTACCAATCCAAGATCTGCGTGGGCTTCCAGTTTAATTACTAATTGCACAAAAAATATATTGACAAACAATGTGACTTTCATCATTTCTACGGTTTGCCTTGCATATGCGTTTTGATTTGAACGCTTTCAGGGTACCAAAAAACAAACTTGCTCCAAGTATCCGATTCAGGAAGAACGTTGCTATGTTGATTGAAATCAACTCAGACTAAGTTGAAAGTTTGAGACTCGAAATATCCGTCCCTCCACATGTTTACAGCTTCTCCTTGCATGATACCGTGCACATAACAGGATCCACATAGCCTGTAGATTGATTCGCTCGCGGATGGTAGCTGGTGAACAACGAATGGAGTCTGGCCCCCAAAGAAAATGCATACTTCATCCCCAACAGAGGACACTTCAGGGCCTACGCCAACCCATCCCCGCTCTGTGACAAAGAAGCATCGGTTAAAGCATGCATAGTTGGCTGCGAAAAGACCCCGATTTTCATTCAATTCAGAGAGGTTGAAACCAGAAAGATCCATACCCATCTCAAAAGCATACATCAGAAAAGATGAAATCAGTCTCTGATGAAGTTCGATGTCTGGGCTCTCAAACGAAAGGAACGTGACTTGCGGAGAACATAATGAGATAACGATGGCTTCAACCACACTTTTTGAGATGTTATCTCCAAAATATCCCCAGATCTGACTTAATGGGTGGGGGTTGTGGTTCAAAAAAGCTTGCGATGGGTTATTTGGTATAGAATTCCGGCGGAAAGTATCCGAGGTCCAGGTTATCTTGTCAAACCGAAAGCCTCGAGGGCTGAGGGCCAAGCCATCGAAGGAGACTTTTTGCGAGGCCCCTCCCGCTTTGAAAAACCTGGAGTGTCCATAGCCAGATGTTAGGAGCACTGGAAACTGGTCTATATCCCAGCGTGGAACCCAGGAGGGACAGTCGAGGTCACCGAATGAACTTAAGTCATGCATGACATATAGGAGCATATAGAGTGGGTCCTGGCTGAAAATCCTAACCATCATTCGGGCGACCTTGAGATAAAGCTCTTTATGAGGTATCGTGTAATCTACGGGCAGACAGTATTCGGATTTGGGGTTTGCGAAGGTGTTCCGGAAAGCCGGATGCCCCAAGAAGCCATATATTCGGTCCCTTGGGTCGGAGCACTCTTGAGGTGCACCCAAGCGAAGGACACTGAAAGTAACACTGGAGTCCCTGTTTTTGTTTTTGAAGTCTAATCTCGCGACTCTTGCAATATCCCAGACATAAGCGAGAAGCTCGTAGTCGAGACGCCCTTGCTGCTCCTCCTTGAGGAAATCACAGAACGCCACAAAATGTGTCCAACACAAAACTTTTGATCCGCAATGCATAGTCGCGTGAGTTGCAAGACCAATTTCCTGGAGTATCCAGAGCCTTTTGAACCAGGGGAGTCGAGTTACTTTACGAAAATGTTGCCAAAAGTAATCGGTAAGTTTTTGAAATATACGTTGTACAATTACTTCTTGATCGACCAGTCGTGACATAGAGATTCTTCTTACAGATTCGAAGACAGTGTTGACGTCAATTCCGTGGTCTTTTCCAAGCCATACAAGCACAGTCTGGGCCCGCTCGAAGACTTGGCCCATCATCTGGACCTGATGAGCCTTTTCTTGGTCGTCGTCCTGATCGATACACACGGCGTCTGCCCAAAGTATTCTTGCTCTTTTTCTCTTGCGAAACCTCTGCAGAGCGTGCATCAAATTTCGAGGGACATTCAGTAATTTCCCTTCACAAAGAATATCGCCACGGTCATCCGGGCTGCCCCAGGTGTATGAAATTGCCTGGTAAGGTCGGGTACGGCGAATAGGTTGAATGTGGAGGTTGCACTGGATGGCATCTTCTGGCTCTCCAGGAAGAAGTTCGAGAAGTCGAATACTTTTTTCGTCATTGAAGTAGTAGTATCTGTATTCTTCCCACTCGTACAGAAAGAGAGAGGCGTGTGGGATCCTTGGTGGCAGACCGCATCCTTCTGTATGTTTGTGTAGAGAGCGGTGATGATGTTTACCGCCATTGCGGCCGTTTCCGGGTCGGCAATGCGTTTTGGGGTCCCCATAGTGGCCGCAGTGTGAACAGCGCCGCATCTTGGTCGGAATGGCTCCTCGTGACGAGTCGTCAAGGCCTTGGGCAGGACGTCGGTCCACGACAGGAAGACGGGACGAGGCAGGAGCCGGGGTGCCTGTCAGCCTGTTGCATTGGGCACAGCCTCACTTTAAAGGGTTCGACAGCCCTGCGTGTGAGTAAGCGCTACAAAGCGAGGTGGCTGCTCCCTGGTCGATTACGACCAATAAACAACAGTCAGACCCCACTCAATGAAGCTTGGCTGCCTAGCCTGATGCTGGTGCCTTGATCGAAGAGATGCCATGCCACAGATCCCTACTTTAAAAACCAAACAAGGCTGTAACCCACACAATGTCGAGTTTTATACAGTCCCCTCTTGCAGCCGATGGCTAGCGTGGATTTATTTTTTTACTCATGCCATGGGTAGTTGAAGCTATCGTCCGGACGAGAGTGTCGAATTTTTAATTCTACATATATGTCCGGACGATAGCTTCAGCTACCCACATGTTTTTTTTTTTCTAAGGCGGTGCTGGGGATCCTTGCTATTCTTCAATGCTATCTCCCCGTTTCTCCGTGATAGTTGTTAGTGTCCAGCTCTTGAAGTGCAGGCTGCTGGGAGGATGCAGCTTCGTATATCGGCTCCGGCGCGTCTTTCCCGGGGCGATCCTCCATCTCAAGTATCCCATCGCTCGCGTGAAGCGGTGCTCTCTGCGAATGCTTAGAGTCTACTTCAACATCTCCGCGAGCTCTCCGTTGCGACCGAAGCAAGAAGAAGGCTGCTACCACAATCACTAAGGCCCCGCCCACGCCTCCAATCACTCCACCAACTATCGCGCCTGTGCCGGAAGAGCTCGAATCGGAACTGCTGCTATTCGAAGAAGCCGAGGCTGATAGAGTGACAAAGACCTGTCAGTCCACGAAATTCCCGCATACAAGACCAGGACATCTCCTCTCACTGAACACTTACCCTTCGACTCCGCCACCACCACCGTCGACGCCGCCGCCAAACTGGTCGGCCTCGTCGTTACCACCTGGCGCTCAGCATTGATCCACTTGCCTTGGCCGCGGTTGCAGCAATCGGCAGCGTTCCTGCCAGTGCCGTCGTAGTCACAGCACCAGCTCTTGTCGGCGCACTGCACGACCCGCACGTCGTCGGCCGCGAAAGAGTCGTCGACGACGCACAGTTGGAGACATTCCTTCGCCTTCCACGTGCGGTCGGTGCACGACTCACGCCAGGTGATGTTGCCCACCTGGCACAGACCGTCGGCGCGGCAGTCGTCCCAGTCGCGCGTGCGGCAGCACATGGATGCTGCTGTCTCTTCGCCGGTCGAGGAGGAGGGGGATGAGACGGTGCATGGGCGGTAGGGCTTCGAGCTTTCTTGGGCATTGCGGTCGGTGCCGTTGGGGTAGTAGCATGCTGCCTGCGCGGCAACCGCGGCGGGGAGGGTGAGGAGGATGGCGGCGATGATGATGCACGTGATGGGACGAGGTTGTGGAGCCATGGCGTTGTCAGGGTTTGATGGAGAATTTAGTGTGCAACGAGGGATCGAGATCTGCAGGCCGCAATGGAAGCTCCAGTAGCAATAGTAACTATTTTGTACGTCTCGCGGTTGAAGGAAGGGATAGGGTCTCTAATTATAGCCATGCGGCTGAACAGAGCTTGAACAAATCCGGACATAAAGAGGTAGGTAAGCGAAGCCAAGGTAGACCTACTTTTGCCTTGCCATACAGATTAGTTGTAGCTTGTTAAGAGCTGGACGTCAAGAACTTGAGTAGTTCCTTCTGGAGGACTATTATTAGACTGTAGTACTGGATCTCCGGAACTTTCCGCTGATGATAGAGAACTTAGCTGGAAGCGAAGAAGAACCAAATAGACTATTTGAAGGCTTATGACAGGAATTTGATAGATACGCTACACTCCTTGAGGCATAGGCACGGAAATGTTGACAGCACGATGAAAATATCTAGGTTGGCGGTGTCAGAAGTCACTCCGTCCACATCTTCCGCGGCCTATTTATATAAAGGTCATGCAGAGGCTTTGAACGTGATGGCTCTGATTTAAATTAGACCCTGCCCACATCTCCTCCCTTTGAGCATGCGGAACGTCCGGAGATGAGACTTGAAAGGGAAGAACCCACCAGAATCAGGCTCGAACTCGTTTCCTGCCTTCCTGCGGCCAATTTCAACATCCACTACTCCCACGAGCTGGAACAATCTTCGGCATCTCCCGCAACTGCGCCCCATCATCAACATCACAAAATGGAGAAACCTACCTCGATCAGCAGACTATACAAATCAGCAGCATAGTATAACTTTAAGGGCCCATGGAATTCCAAGGACAGACTAAGTTATACCAGCACGAACCTCATGATCCGCACGAGGCGAGCAAGTACCTCGGTGATGTGCAGCTCTCCAGCTGCAGCCATCATGATTGATCAAATCGGAAGATTGACTCCCAGCGCTTAAAATACCCTCTAGATACGTCGTGCACATGCAACGTACTCAGACACATGCACCCACCCCAGCCACCTGCCCACTACCTTAGCAGTCGCGTGGTATACACTCTTTCGGAGTCAGGTGGCGGAATTAAGCCAACGGTACACACGAGGGACGATTGTCATCTGCACACGACGCGTATCTGTCTGTGCTCCATAGCCTGTTGATGACCGACTTGACAGCTGCGGGCGAGTAAAGGCAATTCTCACCTATTTCAATGCTATTCCTGTTGACAGTTCCTCCAGCACGGCTATAAGAACTGGAAGTTCTATTGACCTTGTATCACGAATGTTTGACTGCGTCCGTCTCCCGTCCCTCTCACATGCACCACTTACGTATCGCCGACCATCACTCCAGCCTCAAATCGCATCACCAACCAACAATAATGCTCCACCCCATCAAACGTATCACGCTGCACCTCATCACTACAATACTAATGGACATCCAACCCAATCATTACATCCATTTTATCATACACCTATTTTCCCAACGAAAATTTTCTTCCGCCCGAACCACATACTCTCTTCCTCACTGTCTCTCCTAATCACCGCAGGGCGTCCGCCTCTAACAACCACGACTCTATACCCCTGATCGTCTCCGGGGTCGACGTTTGCGACGCCATGAGATACAGCACATTGCCCAAGACGCGCGAATGCACGTTCGACACATCTACAGCCTCATGGGCTCGTTGCCCCCGAATTTCGGGCCCGAATGATCGAAGGCCCGCGCCCTCCAAGAGCTCGGCCTGCAGAGCACGTGAAGCGTTGGACTTGTATCCTGTTTTGATTCGTACGAGCACGTCGGTTAGTCACGCTTGTTTCTTTTTTTCACACACCAGAGAGTGGTGGGACGGAGAGGGGAGGGGGGGAAGATGAGTGAAGCTTACCAGAGCCAGAATCGTCCTTGAAGTGAATAGCCAGCACGCTTCCCAGTGCCCAAATGCCCTCAATCCTGTTGACCCTTCTCGACAACTCCTCAACAAACTGCTGGTGCCACACGCTCCACGCAGTAACCTCAACCTTATAGTCTTCCTTGGCGACAGCCATCTCCCAACTTTCTTTGAACGTATCCCACGCGCCCTCCTTCTCCATCTTCTGCATCTCGCTCACGCTCGCCACCCCGACTTGGCAGCCGACGGCGTGTGCGGTGTAGCTATGGCCATGCAGAAGCGCCTCGCTCTTGTCGTCGCTCTCAAAGGACTTGAAGATGTGCTCGCTCGCCATCGTCGTCGCCAAGGGCACGAGGCCGCCGGTCAGCAGCTTGGCGTTGACGCTGATGTCCGGATGAACACCCAGCAGGGACGCGGCGGTGAAGTGGCCGAGGCGGTACAGCCCGGTGAATACCTCGTCGAAAACAACAGGAAGGCCGGACCAGTTGTTCTCGTCCTTAGGAATTTCGGTGTTCTCAGGCTTGGTGGAGTCAGTGGCGAAGAGGTGCGGCGAGCGACGCACGACTTCGATGAGCGTGCGCTGGAAGAGCGGATCCGCGAGTTGCATACCACCCGCACCGAGAACCATGGGTTCGAGCATCAGCGCGCCAAACTTGCGGCCCTGCTTCTGCAGGTCCGTAAGAGTGCGGCTGATGAACTCTTGGTACTTCTTGCTGAGTGTGCTGTTATCCCGATTCTTGAAGTCGAAGATCTCTTCCAAATTCTCGAAGGTGGCCGGCTTCGCACCGATTTCTTCTGGGACCTGGACTGTCCACTTTCCATTGGTCATTTTGACGGTAGGGAAGTCAAACCAGTATCCTTTGCCGCGGTACCATTCGATCTTCTCGTTGTACGTGCCTGGCTCGGAGCAGTCCATTGCGCCCATCGTGTCGCCGTGATAGCTGCCCCGCAACCCGAGAATATTCAAGTCATCATTGGCACTCCAGCCATACCGTAACCGGGCTGCACGGAGGGCCATCTTGACGGAAACTTCAGTTCCGGTGGAGCCATTGTCAGAGTAGAAGACGCGAGAGAGACGGGGGTTGTTAGATCCCTTGAGGAGCATCTGGGCGAGCTGAAGAGCTGGTTTGTGCACGGCTTCGGCGAACATAACGTGCCCATAGCGGCCGGCGGCGTACGCGGCGGCGAGGGTGAGCTGTGGGTTTGCATGACCAAGGCCTTGTGTCCACCAAGAAGCAGAGCCATCGAAGGAAGGACGAAGGTTCGACGGTTGAGGGAAGGGCCAAGCGGCCTTTCTCTTTTCCTCCCTGACAAGGCTATATTTTCGCCTCCGTTCAAACTTGCCTAGCTCGCCCATACTCTTGGTCATAATCTCCAAGTCCTCTTCGTTAGCAGGAGGTTCATTAGCCTGTGCATCAGCAAGGGGCTTGTTGGGGGGATTGGCAGAGAAAGTCTGAAAGTAGTCGCCATATGCCGAATCAATAGCCGTGATCTTGTCCGAAGATAAGAGCTTTTGCTGCGTGAAAGGGTACCAGATGGTTTTGTGGGCTTCCGTTGACATAGTCTCCAGGCTTTTGAAACGCTCTTCGTGACGCCGGCTCAGAAGCTTGAGGACGTCCTGAATAAGGTTGGACCGGGCCATCGCGCTGTAATAGTGCATAAGCATTCTTTTATCCTTTTTCGGATCCGGGTCGCGTTCAGGTGGAGGCGGGATAGCGGCGCAAGGAATGTCGAACTTCTGGAAATAAGTGGTGAGGTACTCGTGGTTCTGGTACGTCTCATCCTTGAACAGGAAGACGGATTCGACATCGTAGCCCCGGATGCGGAGAGATTCAAATGCACTGATAGTTGCGGAGATTCCACCAAGTTTTGAGTCGCCAATGAGGATGGCCGGAAGTCTTAATGGGCGATAGAGGTCGGCCTGAGAGGTTCCGGAGGGGCCAGGAGAATGGACGCCGCCTGCAGTCTCACAAAACAGCCATCCAGACTGTTTTGATGCTACGGAGACATATTTGTGGACCTTAGACAGCAATTCGGGGTCGGAAACGACATCCTTTGGGAGTTAGAGTAGTGCTAGAGTGATTCAGGTAATAATCCTACCTGGGTAGAGTTGGCAGCAGCGATATTAGGGCTAACGGGTTGCTCATATTGATAGAGGCAGGTGCTATTCATGTGAAGCGAACCTCTGTCGCCATGCACTCCGTTCATAACTTTCCTGACATATCTGAGAGAAGTCAAATCAGCAGGAAGTTGGGCACGAGGGCTTCGCAATCATCTGCAGACAGCATGAGCTTAAGTAAGATAGTTGTTTCAATAAACGCACACTTATCATCAGCGTCATCAAGAGGACCGGTAGACACAGGCTTAAGATAGTAGATTTCGGTGTCTACCCATCGGTTGCCGCGTATGCTTGAGCGGGCGGCGGAGCACAAGATGGAAGAGAAGACAGTTTTGCCGACATCTGTGTTAGCGCCCCAGATCTGGTAGGGGCGCAGCGACCGCCAGAGCAGCCCACCAACGGGCGCCATGGGGCGAAGCAGCAAGGAATGCGAAGAAGAACGTGAGGCTCCGCGGGCGGGTCAACAGTGGGAGAGAGGACTGGGAGGATGAGAGGGTGGAGCGGAGCTCGGCGGACGTGATCGGCGGGTGAGTCAGACCCGGAGAAATGGGTTGAGAGCCCTGGCGATTGGCGTTGCGGGGCAGTGGTTGTTGAGCTGCTGCGTCGCGTCGCGACGAGGTTGATGTTGCCGCCACCGCGTCCGGGCCGTGGTTTCCACTCGCAAAGGCTGAGGTTGTGCCGCGGGTTCCTGCGCCAACCGAGCCGGGCCCGACAGCGTCCTCAACCATCTCGTCGTCATCTGTCAACAGCCCTAATCCACTCATCCCAGCCTCAATGGCTCTGCAAATTTGACAGCTATCTCCGTCGCAAAGTCCGATCCATCTGCATATCTGCAAGAGCTAGGAATCGTCGGGGTCGCACGTGTTCCTGACAGCTGTACCATCCGCCTTGCCCCGCAAAAAAATTCGCCGAACCTTCCACCGCGTACTTTCCCTTTCGGGACACTCCGACCTTCCAGTCAATCTATTCTGCCCTGCGGTAATCCAACAGCCCACGATGACCGACAGAAAGCCCCTCACAAATCTCGAAACCACCTTCTCGCATCTGCTCGCTCGCCGGCACTCCCGCTCTCTTCTCCGCCGCCTTACCATTGCTCCTCCTGGCACTGTCGACTTCTCCTCCAACGACTATCTCTCCTTGTCAACGCATCCCGAGATCCGTTCCACATTCCTCTCTCTTCTCCAGGCCCCTCAACCCATCACTCCACCACCCTCTATCACTGGCACCTCCAATCCCAATGCCCCCTCCCAGCCACCACCAATCGGATCCCGCGGCTCCCGTCTCCTCGACGGCAACCATCCTCTCACCGTCTCCCTCGAATCTCTGATTTCCACTCACCACCGCTCTCCCTCCGGCCTGCTCTTCAACTCCGGCTTCGATGCCAACGTCGGGCTCTTCTCGACGCTGCCGCAGCCCTCCGACGTCATCGTCTACGACGAGCTGATCCATGCGAGCGTGCACGACGGGATGCGGCTATCGCGTGTAGCTGCACCTCGCCGGCTGGCCTTCGCGCACAACGATGTAGGCGGGCTGCGGCGAGTGTTGGAAGGCATTGTTGGTGATCGTGAAGTAGGAGAGAAGGTTCGCGCAGGCAAGGCCAACGTCTTCGTTGCGGTAGAGGCGGTGTATAGTATGGATGGAGACGTGGCGCCTCTGCGAGCGATGCTGGACTTGGTTGATGAGATGCTACCGAAGGGCAACGGCTATGTCATTGTAGACGAGGCGCACGCGACGGGGGTGTTTGGCGGAGCGGGAGGGCGGGGATTGACGTGCGAGTTGGGAGTGGAAGACAGGGTATTTGCGCGTGTTGTTACGTTTGGGAAGGCACTGGGTAGCCAGGGTGGTGAGTCTGCTTCATTTCCTTGCCTTCCTTACCATTTTTTCACCATTGCGCGTCTCCCCTCTTGAACGCCGTCTTCCCACGAACACATGCGTGCAGTCAGCTAACTTGGAAAAACAACACAGCAATCGTCCTCTGCAGCCCCATCACCCGTTCCTACCTCATCAACTACGCCCGCACCCTCATCTACACGACCGCCCTATCCCACCCCTCCCTAGCCAGCATCGCCGCCACCTACGACTTCCTCATCGCCGGCAAAACCACTCCAGTAAGTCCTCCCCCCCCCCCCTCCCCACGAACCTCCCTCACTAACGCCAAACCCACCGCAACAGCTCCTCACCCACCTCCACACCCTCATCCGCACAACCCACGCCCTCCTAACCGCCCTCATCGCCCGCCTACCCCCCAACACCACCACCACTCCTCTCCTCTCCCTCGCCCCCTTGCCCGCCAACCCCTCCCCCATCGTCCCCCTCTTCACGCCCCACCCGCGCGCCCTCGCCGCGCACTGCCAGGCGGCGGGCTACACGGTGCGGGCGATCGTGGCGCCGACGGTGCCGCACGGGGCGGAGCGGGTGCGCGTGTGCCTGCATGCGGGCAACACGGTCGAAGAGGTCAGGGGGCTAGTTAGGGCCGTGGAGGGCTGGGTGGAGGCGAGGTTGAAGGAGGAAGGGGGGGTCGGAGGAGGAGGGGTCTTGTTGCCGTCGTCGTCGTCGTTGTCGTCGGAAGAGGAGAGGGTTGGAGGAGGAGGAGGGTCGGTAGTGGCAGGTAGGGCGGTTCTGGAGAAGGCGAGGTTGTGAGGGAGGGAGGGAGGCGGCAAATTACGATTGGATGAAGATGATTGTGGCTCTTTTTAGCTGTGAATAGATGGAAGGAAAGACTGCGAGAAAGAAAAGTACTCGTCCTTTTCTGTATATTTCACTAGCTCCATAGAATTGTGGAAGATACGAATTTTCCAACTTCGGATATCCGAGCGACAAGTGCGATATGTGAACCAATCTATTCATCTCTTTTCATTCCCTCTACGGGCTTCTGGGTGATCATAATCTTGTACATGTCGTTCTCATGGTAGCTCAAAATCCAACTCATCCACTTCGATTTAACCACACTACTGGATTTCAGGCGCCGGCTGAGGGCTCTTCTCGAAACTCTTCATGGGCACCAGGCCCCAGCGGCCGAACATCTGGCTATCCTCGTCCCAGCCGTTGCACTCGGTGGTCAGCATCTTCTCGCCAGTGAAGATGGCGTTGGCGCCAGCCATGAAGCATAGAGCCTGCTTCTCCTCGCTCATCGTCTTCCTACCGGCGGCGATACGGATAATGGTGGCCGGCATGATGATGCGGGCAGTGGCGATAGTGCGCAGCATGGAAGTGAACTCGAGCGGCTTCTTATCGCCGAGCGGCGTGCCCTTGATGGGGACGAGGGCGTTGACGGGGAAGCTCTCCGGGTGCGATGGCATGTTAGAGACGGTGTACAGCAGACCAATATGGTCCTTGGACTTCTCGCCCAGGCCGAGGATGCCGCCGGAGCAGACGTTGATGCCGGCGTCGCGGACGTGCGACAGCGTCTTGAGGCGCTCGTCGTAGGTGCGGGTGCTGATGACGGAGGGGTAAAACTCGCGGCTCGTGTCGACGTTGTGGTTGTAGGCCGTCAGGCCGGCGTCCTTGAGCTCCTTGGCCTGGTGCTCGTCGATCATGCCCAGCGTCACGCAGCACTCCATGCCCATGCCGCGCACGCCCTCGACCATCAGCTTGATGTTCTTCAGCGAGTTCTTGCGCCCGCGCATGTCGCGCCAGGCCGCGCCCATGCAGAAGCGCGTGCTGCCGTTCGCCTTTGCCGTGCGCGCCGCCTCCAGCACCGCCTCGACCGGCTCGACGCGCTGCGCCTGCACGCCCGTCTGGTAGCGCGTCGACTGCGCGCAGTAGCTGCAGTCCTCGGTGCAGCCACCCGTCTTGATGTTCATCAGCGTGCAAAGCTGGACTTCGGCGGGGTCGTGGAAGCGGCGGTGGACGAGTCCCTGGCGATTCGAAGGCATTAGCATGCAATGGTAATCAGACGTCGCTCAGCCGTCTCATGGTGAAGGAGGGTTGCCAATGGCTTGCATGTGGCTAGAAAACATCGGGTTGGGTGATCGAACGAGCTGGGGTGGAACTCACAGCTTTGAAAGCGAGATCCATCAGCGGGGTGTAGTAGATAGCGGCGATTTCCTCTTTCGTCCAGTTGTTCCGTGGGGCCGTGGCATTGACGGCTCTCTTGAGGATTTCGCGCGCATTGGCTGCTCTCTCAGCCTCGACAGAGGCAGGGGCAGCTGCAGGCGGAGGCGGGGGCGGCGAGGGTGTGTTTCCCAGATCCTCGACAACAGTCGACATGTGGGCGCGGCCGCTTAGAGCGCGCCATGACCGGACGGAACCGAGGACGGGCGCGACGGGCCGGCGGGAGGATGCGAGACCGGTTCTGCGGGCAGAGGAGAGCGCCAGGCGCGCTGCTGATGCGGCGGGAGATTTCATGGTGGTGTGGTGTGAGATGAAGGGAATGTGGGAGGAGTTGTCTGCTCTTGAGCTGTGACTGGCGCGCTCGCCAATCGGCGTGAGGCAGTTTACAGCGGGACAGCACGGTCCTTGCTGGTGGCGCAGATCCAGCCGCCGGAAGGCGGGGTACCTGATTGTTGAGAGAGCTAGCACACCCGTGGGCCCTCCTGCGTCACCACCGAAGTCATCGCTGGCCGGCCTCGGAGTTTTGGGAGTTACGCATCAGTGTCTGTTGAGTCACCGACCTGCTCATATCTCTGCCATTGCCCGTCTGCCAGCGCATCGCTAGTCGCATCGCTTCCAAGTTGCTGTCACAGTCCGCTGTCAGGCGAGAGTCAGGCTGTGGGCCCAAAGCTTTCGACCTCGGCCGCCGGACCCCTCAACACCATGCCCGGCCCGTCTCCGTCCTCTCCGCCGTGATGTGACACGGCAACGCGTCGCAGTCGCGTGTTCAAAGGCCAGGAACGATGCGCGAATATGCCGCGCGTGCACGAGACTGCCATGCGACCGGCAGCTGAGCTTTATGCCGACCGCAGGCCCACCGCGTCGCTGTCGCCATCCAACCCCGCGATGAAGAATCCCCTTTCTCCGGCCGCAGTCCCTGCAGCTCGCCATCCAGAAAGACTCGCGACTCGGGTCGTGGCTCACCTCACATGCTTATCGCACACGCTAAAGTGAGCATCATCGAGGCCCGCGATCACATCATCCGCCCATTGCGACTGTTTCCCCACGACAACCCCAGCCTGCGCTCAATGTAATTCGTCCACTCTCCCCATGACTGCCGATGCCTTGTCAATTGTGTGCCTCTGGTTTGCGCACCACTCTTGAAGCTATGGCCACTTGAACCTCTCCCTGTGCTGTATATAGCGCCTCTGTTCGCCGCGGCCCCGCCTAGCCTGCCCGCAAAAAAAATTGAGACTGCTCTTCTTTGCCACCATGGCCACCGAAATCTACGTGCCAGACGCCCGTGATGGCCATTTACCCGTTGAGCCTAAGTCTGCATACGCAACTACGGTTGAAGAGGTGCCTGCAGCAACACCAAACGGCACCTATTTGCCCTACCCCAAGCTCAAGAGGGCAGACGGCACTATTTCCGATTTCCAGCTCGAAGATCGCCCAATCGATGAGATAAAGAAGCTCAAGGTCGCAATTATCGGAACCGGTCTGTCTGGTGTAACTGCTGGCGCTCTTTTGCCCGTCAAAGTCCCTGGCATTGATCTTACTCTGTTTGAGAAGAATCCCGATGTGGTATGCCAAAACCTCTTACTCCGCACATGCTCGTTCCATAGTTCTAATAGTTCCAGGGCGGTACATGGTGCGAATAAAGTCCTTCCCTAACAACACAGGCGACTAACATCCCCCAAGGTTCGAGAATACATACCCCGGCGTTCGCTGCGACGTGCCTTCGACGGTATACCAGAGCACATTCGAGCCGAAGAGTGACTGGTCCGAGGAGTTTGCAAGAGGAGATGAGATCAGAGATTACTGGCAAGACATCGCGAGGAAGTATGGCGTCTACGAAAAGACTCAGTTCAAGACGAAAGTGCAGCGTGCCGACTGGGACACTACGCGAAGCCAATGGAAGTTGACCCTGGAAAAATTGGACACGAATGAAGTCAGGGAAGAATTCTTTGATTTCCTGATCCCTGCCATTGGTCACTTCAACGCATGGAAGGTAAGCTTGAGGGGCGCGCTTTTTGTCGTCCGGACTCTCCCCTAACCTCAACTTCAGATTCCAGACTATCCCGGTGTTAAAGATTACAAGGGCGTCCTTCGCCACTCCTCGAACTGGGACCCCTCCGTTGACCTCACCAACAAGCGCGTAGCCGTCATCGGCAACGGTGCCTCAGGAATCCAAGTCGTCCCGGAACTCCAGAAGATTGCCGCACACCTCGACCACTATGCTCGCTCCCCCACCTGGATTGCCGGCTCTCTCGGTGGACGTGATCGCCAGGCGGAGCCCATGCCCTTCTCACCCGAGCAACTCGAGGAGTTCAAGGACCCGCACAAATTCCTCGCCTACCGCAAAGCACTCGAAGAGACCTACTGGCGGCGCTTCGGTTCCGTCTTCAAGGATGGCGAGGAATCAAAGAACGCGCGGGAGAAATTCATCGACCTGATGGCCAAGCGCCTAACAAACAAGCCCGAGCTGCTCGACCAGATTGTGCCCGCCTTCAGCCCGCACTGCCGGCGACTGACGCCCGGACCAGGATATCTAGAGGCTCTGACACAGCCCAACGTCTCTTTCATCCGCACGCCTATCGCCCGCTTCACCGAGACTGGCATCGTGACGGAGGACGGCGTGCACCGTGAGGTTGACGCCGTTATCTGCTCGACTGGCGCAAACGTCTCCTTCGCGCCCCCTTTCCCCATCACCAGCGGGGAATACGACCTCAGCAGGGATTGGCAGCACGATGGCAAATTCGGCTTCCCCTACAGCTATTTCGGCCTCGGTGTTCCTGGGTTTCCGAACTTGCTGTTCCTCTACGGTATGATTTTTCAGCCTCCTTTGCTCCGCCCCCACTCGTACTTTTTAAAGGGGATAGCAATAAATGAAAAACTAAAAGAAAAAGAGTGAGAGCTGACCAAACTCGACCCCACAGGACCCAACTCCGGCGCCGTCGCCGGCACCATCCCCATGGCCGCCGAGGCGCAGACGACCTACATCTCGCGCTTACTCCGCAAGGTGTCGCGGCAGCACATCCAAACAGCCGCTCCCTCGCGCGCCGCGGCCGACGACTTCATCGCCTACTGCGACGCCTTCTTCCCCAAAACCGTCTTCTCCGAGAACTGCAAGAGCTGGTACAACGGCGGCCGCGCCGGCGCCCGCGTCCACGGCGTCTGGCCCGGCAGCGGCGCCCACGTCAACTTCATCCGCCAGGAGCCGCGCTGGGAGGACTGGGAGTGGGGCTACGAGCAGGGCAAGAGCAGGTTTAGTTATTGGGGCAACGGCAGGACGGCGAAGGAACAGGATCCGGAAAGCGATTTGTTGAGCTGGTTGAAGGTGCCGGCGGAGGTGGATTTGAAGGATTTGCATGAGAAGTGGTATGAGGTGTAGAGGGAGCTCGAGGAGCCCGGTCTGGTTGTGATGCGAAAAGATATTTGGATGAGGCAAGAGCATGTATTGCCGGCGTGCATAGAGATCTGGCTCGTAGATTGGGTGCGATTGCATATTCGGCATGTGATCCGAGACCTCGTTGCTATTGAGGCACGTGTGCCGCCGAAAATGAACGCTTTCAGCTGATTCCAGCAAAATTTTACATCTTAGCATCTTCTGGACCATTATTTATACCACGCATAAGCTCACTCGATTGGGTTTCATCATCACCACAACCCGGTGTACAGAACAAGCGATTTAGCTTGCATGTGTATATTGAACAACTTGTTTGGGGTCCACTTCTGGATCTTTCCGCTTGGTGTTCAACACTGCTCTAAAGAATTAGAGCCGATGTTCATATTATCCATTCTTATTCTAATGAATTGATGAAGAGCCGTCAACTAACGATACTGAAGTGGCTCTTCAGCAACGTCTATTCGTGAACTTCGGCATTTCATGAAGACTGTTAGGGAAAATAAATGGATCATCTGTTTCCTTGAACTTATTTGGCACAACAGTGGAATGGCGATGCATTGTAAAGCAGACTCCCGAAGACAAGTTTTGTTGGGCTATTTCCGTGATCCAAAAGGAGTCAGCCATTGCCGTGGCCCTGAGTACTCCCAAGTCTTTTTCCTGCTCCTCAACGAGTGAGAGGAGTTATGGACCCAGTGCTTCTTAAAAAGGACGTGGATTGCTAGAACTTTTTATCACATGATTTCCTCTGGTATTGTTTGATCACTGGTGCCGTGATTGTCATGTGGGACCAAGGCTCAATCACGGATCTAGAATCTATTATCCGGCCAGGGTCATGCGCCGTCAGCATCAAAACAAAGTAGCAGTTGATCATGCTTAGCCATTCGGAGTACTTGAGCGAAGCCCTTTTATATGCCGCATAGAGCCGACCAGGCTCCCACCGTACCCAGCGATGTGTATGCTCGAATGTGTGAGTAACAATCTGACCCAGACGTTCACTGGCATAGGTCATATGATTGACGACTTCCGCTGGGTCTCCTGGTTTCTCTTCTTCTTGCTCAAGGTACGCTGCATGCGAAAGAAAGCCAACAGCTGCTGAGAGCGACTGGAAACTTTCCTCAATTTGAGGCGATTTCCAGCTCCATTATTGCGGAATTTTGATGGCGATCATCATGAGTGACATCTCATGAGTTGACGCTTTTGAAGCCTTGGTTGGCCCGTTGCATGGCAGCGAGCAAGTCCACATGGAGTTGGGCTCCAGCCGGGCACTTCAAAGATGAACAAACAGCAGCAAACAACAGTACGTGCATCCGCAGGGTAGATTTGCCGCCCATTGCTGCTGCGATTGGGTTGATACAAAATCCAAAGGAGAGGCCGGGGCGGCCCAGTTTAAACAGGCGACAAACATGCGAACGTAACAACGCACGGGAGCCTTGGTTACCCCAATCATCTCGTGAAATTTCGACGTTATTGACATCATGCGGTGATGGCCAGATGGTGCGGTTCGCCGTACGACGCATGGGGAGCGAAGATAAAAAAAAAAAACTCATACTACAGCGCCATCTGAACTTCTATTCCTGCCCCAACACCTCCACTTGTGTTTACAGCGGATACACAGCAAGTCCTATAACTTGCTGTAAGCGAAATGCCGAAGTATACGAACACCTCACTGAGTGGAAGATATGTCTCTTCTGTGCCCGGAAGACGCCGCGCTGCGTCAAAAGCACAAATAATACTGCACATGACTCAACGATGACCTACAATATCAGAAATATTCATTGATGCAGTACAGCAGCCGCGTACAATAGTATATGGGAAAGCATCATACCATCACCCGTAGCTATCCTGGAGCTAAATGCAATTTTCTCTCTCAATCTCCCCAAGTTCCATCCTTAAAAATCTTCGCTCAAAAGTCCCTTTCCAATCGGCTAGAGTTATTACAGGGTTGCTTCCGTATTCAAAATCTGGCCTTCCAGGCATCACATAAATAGCGGCTCAGACCCAGTTTTATGTCACGCGCCCGGTATGGGTTCCAGCACGCTCTCCGCCTCTGTCAGCGCTGCGAACATATGTATAAAGCTCACCTACCCTCTCCCTCCCCACAGCTACTACCAGTAACAAGTCAACGGAGGGCCTCTCTCACTGAATATTGGCACCAGGACTCAACCAAACCAGAAAATGCAACTACCGTCCTTCCCTCTCGCTCCGGGTTTCCTTGCGAGTTCCTCCCTCTCGTTAATATATAAACAGCGATATAGATGATCCGAGCAATTAACTATCATTGCAAAGTCATTCCGATGAATGCCATCAGCTTTTCTCGCGAATACGCATCACCATCGCATGCCCAACCTTTTCGGTGCCTCGAGTGGAACTTCCTGCACGTGTAAGAAAGAACTGAGGCCGAAAAAGAAATCATGTGCTCAGCAATCGCTTTTCCGTTGCTGAAACCAGTCAAGCAGATAATACATTTCCTTTGTTACAGAGCATCTCTCTCACCGCATCGACTTAAGTATCGGGGTGATCGTACTCAGACATACCAGTGAGAAAATATCAAGTGACCAGGGCGATGAAAACCCAGCACATGCATCCATTTGGTCTCATGCGCAATTTCTTTCCTCATCTCACCAACTATCATCTCCGGGCTTGTGTATTTCCGCTGCCCAGACGATCTGGCGAATCGATACATCTCTCACAACGATGAAACTCAGTAAGCCTTTACCGGCGTCCCGAGCCGAATGAAAATTGCTGCACTACTTTCACACATCCAGAATTTCACGATATCAGAATTTGTGGTTTTCTGCTACTTAGTGATTGAAAATTTGCCTTTAAACAAATCATGTCATTCGCATCAGGACTGCTGCTGGACAGTCAAGATCTCCTCTTACTATCTCTTCTTTGCATAGCGTTCTAAATCTCCTCTGATTCTAAAGTCGGGGGGTACTTCCAGATGTTCAACTCTAAATTAAAGCCGAGTCAGCACTCCGCCCCAAACAGCTTTCAGAGGTGCTGTTGAGACCCAATTCTCCTCATTGTACCGTATTAGTATAAGCCAATCCCGCTCGTTATCGACAATCCAGAGGGTTATCCCGTCAACTTCCACATGGAGAATGGTATGGTTTTCGCTTGTCCGGCATCTGGCCTCGCTGTTGTTCAATCTGTCATTAACTGACAATTTCAATGAGCTTTCAAGGTGAGAAATGGGAAATGATAGATGCGTCCTCTCTGACTTTGGATCAATTGTGTCTCGGCCTTTCAGCCAGTCTCTGAGGGTGACATATGACATCGATGTCCATGGCATCTTGTGTTGATTTATGGTCTTGGTAGGCTGCCTCTGTAAAGATCTGATGATATTCCAATTCCTCCAGTTTGGCTAGCCGGGTCCTCGCTGCTACTAACTCCTGTTCAACCTGTGCATTCTTTGCCTGGAGCTGTCCAACTGCGTCTTCAGATGGGTCTTGCGACCCATAGCCGCAGGGCAGTTGGTACCATTCTCTTCAGACATGAGCATCTCCGCCTGGCGTACTGTCCGGTCATCGAGAATCCATGCAGGGAGCTTCCACCTGGGAATGAAATCTTGCAGGATTTTGCCCTCCATTCTCTGGAACGCAGCATCTTCTTTGGCGGCAGGTGTCATTAAGACGTCGAGACGAGATTGCTTTGTGCTCACGACTTTCTGGCTTTCCGCAATCTCTTGCCGTAGTAGGTTCCAGTTGGTTCTCCTGCGAGTGCTGTCGTCGGAAAAACGGCAAATTAATCGCTTGCCTTGATGTGAGTGAGTCTGGGGCCTTAGAAATCGACATACGGATAGTTGTCAGCTCGTGGTTGAGATCGGACGCTGCTCTGGAAGGCATTATTTAACGAACGATAGCTGTAGAAGGCGAAGGAATGGTTCGGGATAATTTGCGTGGGGAGGGAAAGTGGGCTGGGTACGCCAATCACAGGCATGGACCAGCAAGTGAGTTGACCGTTGTCCTTCTGCAAGTCACGAATCTCTCGCATTAGACACCCCGCTTCAACTTCTGCCTTCCTCTAATCAAAGTCGGATTGTTCAACAGCTTCCATCACAACTGTGACTTCAGCGTTAGTGAGTTTTATCGAGCCGAGCGCCAGTTTCCTGTTCCATTCTTCTAAGGGATGTCAGTGCCTCGTCTTGTTCGTGCGTTGTGATGGCCATTTGGCGCGAAAGGTTCTGGCAGAGCTTCTCCAGAGTCTCAATCTTTTGTTCTTGATCAATATAAAGTAGAGGCAAAGATTTTTGTGGATTGGGTTCTACATCTATGTACCCTTTTTGATGTTCTATTGGAATAACATGGTATCAAGTGAAGTGTGAACAGAGTTGGAGACCCTGGACGCACTCACAGTCTCGTCAGGGTTAGTACCGCTGACTCAGACGGCTGTGCTTCCAGGAACAGCCTTGGCGAAGCTTCTACACGGTGAACTTGGTCTTGTTCTCCTCGCCGAAGCTCTCAGCACTCTGCTTGACCTTCTGGGCATCGCCAACCTCCTCGAAGATGTCGTAACCCCACCGCAGACCGGGGAAGTTGAAGCGCTTGTGCCTCTCCAATGCGTTCAGGCCCTGATAGGCCTCCTCAGGCAGCTCTTTCACCTTGAGGTTGGATGCGATCCTGTGCGGCGTCACGCTCTTGGGCAGGACCACGGTTCCGCGCTGGACGCCCCAGCTGCCAAGCAGCACACCCGGGTCAACACCAAGGGTCTTGGCGATCTCGTGCACCTTGGGGTCATCGACGGTGCGCGGCTCGCCGGTCTGGTTGTTACCGAGCGGCGAGTAGGCCTCAATGAGGATGCCCTTGCTCTTGCAGAAGGCGGTGAGGTCGTGCTGCGCCAGGTACGGGTGGGCCTCGATCTGGTTCACGGCGGGCACGACAGTCGTCTTGGAAAGCAGATCTTCGAGGCGACGGATGTTGAAGTTGGAGACGCCGATAGCCTTGACCTTGCCCGTCTGCAGCAGCTTCTCCATGGCCTTGTAGGTTTCGGCAGGATCGACGTCATCGAGCTTGAAGACGCCGCGCTCGTCGAGCGGGAACCACTTGTCGCCGGGCGCAAAGGCGCAGGGCCAGTGCATCAGGTACAGGTCGACATAGTCGGTGCCGAGATCAGCGAGGGTCTTGTTGAGGGCGGGCTCGACGTCCTCGGGCCTGTGCTTTGTGTTCCAGAGCTTGGAGGTGATGAAAATTTGGTCGCGAGGCACGCCGGACTGGCGGATGCCCGCTCCAACCTCGGTTTCGTTGCGGTAGATGGCTGCGCAGTCAATGTGCCTGTACCCTGCTCACACGAAAACACCCGAACGTCAGCGGACCCACTGGCAGGAGGAATACGCGCGTTTCATGCTGACCTTCGCGCAGGGCAATCTCGACCGCTTTTTCGACTTCGTGCGGTGCGGCCTGCCAGGTGCCGAAGCCCACGGCGGGGATCTTGGCGCCGGTGTTCAGCGTGAAGTGAGTCGGGAGAGGCATTGTGTGTCAATTGGAGGCTGGAGAGCAGGATGAGAGACAGAAGCGGGAGTGAATGGCAACATTGCGGCGGGCAGCTGGGTGATTAATGGCTGCTGCTGGTGTGGAGCACATGTCGGAAGCGCTGGCGGATAACTGCGCTCGGTTTCGGTGATGCGGCGGATGCCCGGCGGAAAACGGGTGGAGCACACGCTCGGTGGGGCGGGCGATGCAGCATCGCCAGCCCCAGCCGTCGCATTCTGCAGCGCGCGCTCTTGTGGCCGTCGCGACGGTGTTGCTGCCGGGTGTTGGTAGTGGTGATGATGGCGACGGCGACTGGGGTGCTTACAGTCCTCTCGCAGCCGATGGCTAGCGTGGGTAGATGAAGCTACCGTCCGGACGAGAACGTCGAATTAAAAATTCTACATACACGTCCGGACGATAGCTCCATCTACCCACATATGTTCTTTTTCCAAGGAAGAGCTGGGGCATAGTTACGCTATGTTCTAAAACCCTGCTGAGGGGTATCGCAGCCGAAGGCTAGCGCGAAGAATACACAGCAGGGGGTAACTACGACCGTCAGGATAAACATTTAGCACTTATGTGGGTAGCTGAAGCTATCGTCCGGACGCAAATGTTGAATTAAAAATTCGACATTCACGTCCGGATGATAACTTCACAGCTCCCCATCACATGAGCGAGAACAAATCAGGGCTGCAGTAGGTCGGACGGATGAGCCGAGGAGGCGCGGGCGGTCGGAGTGGTTTGGTCGCGGTGGTGCCAGGATTAGCAGATCTGGGGCTCCCGCGCCCCGCACGCAGAGGCTCGCTTTTTGTCGGAACTACTAAAGCCGCACCCTCCCAGCTGTTCCGCCGCGTCCGCAATCTTTTCCGCGCCCAAATGGCTGCTGCTGTGTCGCCGTTGTCCGCCTCGTCCACCACCCAAGCCCAGCATCCCGAAAAGCGCAGGAAGATCACCCGCGCATGTGACGCCTGCAAAGCGTACGCACATCCCCCGCCGTCCCCCATGCCCCACGCCCCACTGACTGCCATGCCCAGGAAGAAGAAACGCTGTACCGGCACTCAACCATGTCCCTCGTGTGAGAAGGCCGCAAAGCCCTGCACCTACCTAGCCAGTTACACCCGCGGCCGTTTCTCGACGCCGCCGCCGTCGCGCGGCCTCGATGCTCTGGTCCTCGCCGCCGAGTCCCACGATGTGCATTTCGCTGCCGAACGAGACCGCCGCCCGTCGTCTACCCGCACTTCGGATGCCGCCAATGTCCCGTCTCCGCCCCTCAACCGAGGCCTGCCTTCCCCTGAGGTTGCCGCCCAAAGACACCATTCCATGAGTGCTGCCTACGGCATGCCAGTCCAGTCGCCCGGCCACACTTTCTCCCAGACGCAGCAGCCTCCGTCCTTCTTACCCCCGCTTCCGACTTTTCAGCAACCCCAACCGAATGGTGCGACGGTAGAACAGCGGCCGTTGCTATCCGCTGCTGACCAATGGCGTCCTCCGGCCGTGCATGACCCGACCAGCAAAGACCCCTCCCGACGCCCCTCCCCGGAGCCCGACGGAAACTTTGATGGTCACTATCTTGGCCCAAGCTCCAGTGTCGCCTGGCTGCGAAGAGCTCTGAGGAAGTTGGGCCAGGCCCGCGCCCTCAAAGAAAAGCTGCACGACGATTCGAACCATGCGAGCCCCAAAGACGCCACCATCTTCAACTACGGAGACAAGGATGCGCCGCCGACCTTGGGCCCGGGCCTGTCTCTCCCTTCCGCAGATCGTACCGAGTACCTCCTTACCCGATATTTTGAGTTTGCTGCTCCGACGTACAGGTTCCTCCACCGCCCTACCGTCGAGGGTTGGCTTGCTGCAATGCATGATCCGCACAATTCCCTACACCCAGCGAAGAAGGCCGTGGTCCTGGTAGTCCTCTCAATAGCCACCTTGTATTGCCTCAGCCAGATCAAGGACCCTGAGCTAGATATTCGCCGAGAAAGCGAGATGTACTATCGGGAAGCGCAGTCTTTGTTATCCAAGGAGACTGGCCCCGCCACTCTGGAGTCAGTCCAGGCCAGATTTGCGTTAGTCCACTACCTGCTCAGCACAGCAAGGTCGAACCAAGCTTGGTTCACATTTGGTACTACGGTGCAACTGGCCATGGCCCTTGGTCTGCACCGTAGACGCAGCTTGGGCGACAGGAGCGAGTCGCTTATCGTCCGCGAGTCCCAAAGACGTCTGTTCTGGTCAATGTACACTACAGACCGTTACATGTCAGTCATGTTCGGCAGGCCAAGGTGGATTCAAGACGACGACATCAGCCAAGAGTATCCTCTGTCAGTCAATGACGAAGATCTCAAAGCTACCGAGATTATTTCGCCCGGGCAGAATGACTGCCTTGAGGATGCTGCCATCTTCCACTCCAAATTGACCAGGATAGTCGGAAGAGCTGCCAAAGAGCAGTACACCATGCCTTCCAGGACAGAATCGGAGCGCCTAGCATCGGCATCGAAACACAACAAAGACCTGCGGAACTGGAAAGCCGAGCTACCCGCCTATCTTTCAGGGGCAATCAGGCCGTCGAGTCTGATACCTATATTCCGCCGCCAGTCGACAGTACTAAAACTAGCGTATGCACATGCTGTCATGCTTGTCAACCGGCCCTTCTTACTTAATCTTTCAAAATATGGATATCATTCCATGTCTCCGAATCCCGCCACACGGGACTGTGTCGAGGAATGTCTTGCCGCCGCACGCACTGCAATCGAGATGGTCCTCAACTACATTACCGAAGGTCAACCATTTTCGTCCTTCTGGTTCACTCAGGTTCGTATCTACTCCCACTGGCAATCCCCACGAAAGGCTGTTCATGCTAACCGCCCTTGCACATGCAGTACGTCGCCTTCAACGCCCTTGCCATCACCTACCTCTACCTTCTCCACCACCGCCGCCAGGGCATCGACATCCTGTTCCAACACCGCGACCTCCTGTCCCTCGCCGACACCTGCCAGCAGTACCTGGTCGACGTCACCGAGGCCAACGCTCCCAGCATGCGCTACAGCATTATCCTTGAGGAACTCCGCGAAGAGCTCAGCCGCCAGCAGGCCTCTTCGGCCTCCAGCACCAACGCCAACGGCACCGCCGCCGGGTCCAACGGCTCGTCGGCGTCGCTCTCGCAAGCGAACGGCCCTGATGGCTTGCATCCGTCGGACGGCGTCAACGGCGTCAACCCCGTCCTCAGCCCTCGCGCGCTGCCTAGCGATAGCGCCATCTTGCTTGCTGGTGGCGGCGGGGATTCCGAACCGCAGGTCGACGGCGATGGGAGCAGTGTGGGAGATTTGCAGCAGCTGGACTGGGATCTGGATTTTTGGCCGCAGCTGGATTCGCTGCCGATGTGTGAGTTTTTAGTCCCCCTTGTTCTTTCTGGGTAGATGGAGCTGTCGTCCGGATGCGAATGTCTAATTATTAAATCGACATTTACGTCCGGATGACAGCTTCAGCTACCTATAACATGAGCGAAAAACAAATACCAAAGTTCGAGAGTGCTGATGCGGATTTGAACAGCGTATTCGAATTGGGGCGAGTCGATGGCGGAGTTGGGGGTTGTACCAACTGCGTGAGGTGAATGAGGACAGTGGGTTGTAATACGATGTTTTGATGCGAGGCGCATGGAACTGTAACGATGGGAAAAAAACGGTCAATGTTGGTATTGATTTTGATTTCATGAGGGGAAAAGCGGGCGTTGGTCTGCTGCTCGGTTTAAGGGGTCTGTCTATGCTGGTGGATCAGCCGACACTTTTGTCAAATATAACCTTTAATGAAAAATGTAAAATTGTAGTTTCGAGGCGAGGACATGGTGGACGAAATAGTGTGCTGATCAATTTTCGCTGCGGGATGGCGGCGGTGGTCATCTACATGCATAGTGAAGCGCGTACGTCTTGAGATGCGGCGCGGTACTGGTAGCTGGTATAAGGATACACATCCGGAGGAGATATGTTTTAGTACTTGACCATTAGTCTCGCTATTATTCGTGCTCGACGCCACGTGTGATTCCTGAAAGTGGAGAACTGCACGACTAATCAAGAGGGTACACCAATAACCAAAATCTTTGCCTCTACTTTATATACACACTCTAGCAGGCAATCATCCGTCTCCCCTCTACTACATCTTCGCCTTCTCCACCAGCCGCCGCCTCTCCTCCGCCCCAACCCCCCTCCCCAACGCCTCCCTCGCCCTCTCCATTCCCTCCTCCTCCCCGCCAAAATCCACCTTCAGTATCCCATCCTGCATCGTGCTCGCCACATGGCGGCCGGTATCGACGTCGAAGATGCGGCCGTGCACCAGCACCCGCCCGTCCGCCCACCGATCCGTCCGCACCTCCTGGCAGAACCACCTCTCCCGCTCGTCTCCCACCTTGTCCGCGTCCGGAAAAACCACGCCGTCGCCCATGTCGTGCAGCACGACGCTGTGGCTGATGCTGGCGAGGGCGTTGCGCGCGCCGCCAGCCATGACGGCCTCGCGCACGCCCAGCGAGCGCGTGACTAGGTACAGCGATTCGCGGTCGCTGGCGTAGAGGTGCGCGCAGATGGAGAGGTTGATGTGGCGCCATTTGCTGTTGCTGCCACTGCTGTTGCTGTTGCTATCGCTGTCCGTGCCCTCTCCATCCTGGCCTCCGCCCGTCCGGCGCGATCCACCACCACTCACGGACCCCTTGACCGTGTAGAGATTCGCCATCATCCGCGCCGCCGGCCGGGCGTCTTGCAGGGATGACCACTCTTTCTGCTTCGTCCCATCTTGTTGCTCCTTCTGCTGATCCGGGGACGCGTCGTACGGCAGCAGCGCCCACCATATGCCCGGCACGCTGGCTGAGCGAAACGCGTGAGGCGGGCGGAACGTCAGCACGGCCGAGAGGTCGTCGAAGCGCTTGACGGGAAGGCTGCGCGGGTGTGGTGGGTAAGGGTGGCGGTGGGAGGAGGAGTCGCCATCACTGCCATGGCGCAGGAGGTCGGCGACGGGGGTCAGGGGCCCGCCGTCGTTGGGGAGGGGAGGGTCTTGGTAGTTGAGCGCGATGGGGGAGGAAGCGGGTTCGGGGCGTTTGAAGGAGACGGTGGCCGTGAAGCAGCAGGAATCAGGCGATAAGGGAGACGTGGGTTGGGTGACGGTGACGAGGACGGTGAGGAAGGATTTGCCGGCGCGCAGATGCGTGACCGTGTATTGGAAGGCGTGTTTGGAGAGGCCGGCGGCGACGAAGTAGCCGGATGTGTTCTAGAGTATGTGTGAGCTTGGAGTCACAAAAATATTGCATGAAGCAAACATCTAGATAGATGTGGATTTTAACATTGGACAAATAAGTCCGGACGAATGATCCAACTACCCGCATGAGAAGGGATACTATTTCCGATGAGACAGGTCCGGAAAACACCATTTTCTTTTTTTGTTTTCAAAACGCTGTGGAAGTGTAACAGAGAGGATTGCATTTTCCGGATGAAGCATAGGGAAAAAGAGGAATGGAACAATAAAGCAAAGAGCACATACATGGATTACGAAACCATCCGGCACCGTCTGCGCGGCCGCCCACGCCGCCTGCGCGTACACATGACCGCCAAAGGTCGAAATGTACAGTTTACCGTCAAAGATCCTGGGCCCACCGGGACATGGCATGGAAGCGGATTTGAACGTGTTCTCGCCAATCTTCTCCAGCGCCATCAGCTCCGCGAAGTCTTGGCCGTCAGGCGGCAGCGGGATTCTTGGCAATTTCATGTCGAAAGCGGATATGGGTGGTTCCACCACTGATGCTGTCCTCGATGATGCGTACTGGTGGCGGTGTTGATTCCCGAGGATGTGGTTTTGCAGCTGGACGTGCACGAGCGCTTAGGTGGCGACGTATCAGGCTGCAGCGTGATGGCAACGAGACCAGAGTTGCAGAAGCGTGGTCAAGGAGTCTGCGACAGAGTGGCCTGAGGACACGAAGAGCTTTGCTTATCGCTTGAGCAGTGGAGTAACATATTGATCTTGGCGCGTCATTAGCAAGTCGCTCGTCGTAGGCCGAGGTACATTCTGGTGATCAGCGTGGGGGTCGCGATCTTCCCATATGGACGCCTTAATTGCGCCATTTCCGCTTGAATTTGCCGTCTATTCGTCCGAGAGAGGAAAGTGCGCTGAAGATTATCCGTTAGTCGTCAACCTCATGTCTTCTTGTGTCGCCCTGGTTTTTGGGCCGTGGGAACCGACGGAGACAGCTGATGGCGTTGAGATGGGTAGCGAGGGCGCAGGGATTACGATCCGTCTCGTTTTGTTCCGTGTTCCCCCCTGCATGATGCATAAGTGGTTGCCGGCGCGTGGAAGTGGCAGGTACGCGGGGGCTGTTGCGAGCCTCTCTTCGGTTGCAGCGAATGGAGTGAAGGGCGAGTTGCAACCTGGACGGAAAAAATTTCAGACCGGGAATAAAGACTGTTTGGTGTAACATGTGTCGTGAACCCCTGGTGATCGACCACTCACAGCTCGTTCAGTGACTGCGCAGGGTACATGCGGGAGGCGGCTGAGCTTCCGGTGAACTCTCTTCAGACCCTCAGAATGATTCATCACTCAACGCCGCACATGCGAACAACTTGTCGATCTCAGCACATGCTCCGTGTAGCAGATCGGACAGCCGTATGTCTCTCCAAGGAAACCAAGCCCGGGGCGTTAAAGCGGTGTGTATAGGGTTGCATGTTGAGCAGAATTGCCTTATTTGGAAACGGAGTATTCCTTTATTTCCATCATCCACAGTGACGTGGAGGCGGCGCACCGTACACATCCATTGCCAAACAAAAAGCCACGCTGAAATTCGGAGTGTGGATTCAAGAAAGCTGGAGAGGCATGACGACGAACGCAAAAGCAAACCCATGCGGCGCAGAGGCGGCGATCCAGACCTGGCCATTTCTCGCTTCCTGAGTCTCGGCCAATCAAGCAGGCCGCTTTCTCTTCCGACCCAGTTGATTCGGATTGCACCCCATTTTGGCCGCACGCCTGTAAGGCGATGATGTGAAGTGTGGATTTGCACCGCCGCCGACGACCCGTCCCGCGTCTCTTGTCTGCCGTCCGCCCTGTGCTGATGGCGCCCGCTTCCTTCCGACGTCAATGGCGCAGGAGACCAAAAAAAAAACATAACCAAAGAATAAAGAAAATTATGTCAACCGCAAAACTTGATTTTCCCCTGCGTCTGGACATGAAACCCAAACATCAGACAACCGATCGGCATGACTCGATGATTTTTGCCCGTTTGAGCTCGCCCACGTTCAGGTCGGCGGGGTCTGGACCATGCGCCGCGTGCGCCAAGGTCTCTGCTAAATCCAGGAATACACATGATACACGCCAAACGCCAAGCATCGTGACGACAAGAGTGGATATACCCACATAAGATGAAAAAAATAAAAAAGAAACAGAGCCCATCTTCAGCGCGCTCCCCTGCGCACAGTGTGATCGCCCACTGTTTTTGTGATCGCCCGCTGCAAGGGATTCAGGGTGCGTATCGCGCTGCAGGGCAACGTGGGCATGACGGTGCGGCGCTTTCCACACCGGTCCAGACCGATTCCATGGAAGTGTACATGACTCTCCAAATTGCCCCATACGAGTGGACGCATATGTAAAGATGGTCAGCGCCAACATCCGACGGGGCGGCCGCCGCTTCATTGTTTTTTGAGTCAGTGTACGATAATGGCAAGTATGTGGGCAACGTGGCTCTCGCGACGAAAGAGGAGGACGTCTCTCGAGGCGGTGCGGGTGATGATCTCCCGGGGTGTCACTGACAATCTTTTGCTCCCAGCGAAACGTCCGCGTTGGAAAGCGACAATCGCTGTTGATCTTCCCGGGGGATCTGGATCTTGGCTCCCCGAGTCCATGCAGCAGTGCGCAATCGCGGCCCCCACAACCCAGAAGAGCCGTGGCTCGCGCTTAGCACGGGCGGCAGATGGCGCCATCCTTTGGGGCGCGGGCGGGCGGGAACGATCAGGAGGAGTGGGGAATGGGATCGCATGTTTGATGCGCCCGACCGACCCGCAGGGCGCGTGTTCAGAACGCGCGTGCGTGACGGCCGAGCGAGATCTAGCTTCCCGGACCCTTGGGAATCCTCTGGGGTTCCCCGTTCGTGTTCGTGCGTAATGCTTTGTCTATGCGACGCGGCTTGCGGTTGAAATACACCTTGCTAGCCCTGTCAGCTACTCACTGGCTCTTCCGCCCTGCATTAGCTCCCGCCGCCAGGTCAGTGTCCATCCATTTCCCCCTTTGGTCGCTTTACTTTCACGTCGGGCGCGCGTGCGCTGCTGCCGTCGTCGGGAAGTCTTCCCTCAGGCTCGCATTCGCCACAATTATGGAGACGGCACTGTGCCGTTCTTGCCGACGCGGGGAGGATCGCTCTGGTGGCTCCGGACCTCGGTGCTCGTTAATCGGAGAGGGAAAAGCAGAGACTGCCAAAGCGACAATGCTAACTTAACGCGTCTACTATTAAGTGGAGCTCTTCGCGCGCGCGAACGCGCCTTCTCGGCGCGGACCGACCCGGGACTTGTCGGCAGTTTGCGCAATTGGGGAAAGTTTGGCCCACAACAACACTTGCCTGGGGACTACTCTTTGCGCTGTCGAGAGTTGTTTTCTTTCCAGCGAATTGGTTAAGCTTACCCGCCGCGCTGGGCGTGCGGCGCTGGAAGGATCATTGTGGTTGAGACACTGCAATTGAACAGGTGAACAACATTATTTTTGATTTGCTTTCGCGCGCCCCCACGGAGATCCCCCCTAAAATCATGGGGTACTCGAGTAAGGTGAGTTCTTGTCATTTCTTGAGAATACGAAAATGCATCGCTGCGGTTGGGCATGGCGCAGAAAAATCGCACTGACTACTCGCAGAAGTGGATCCCCTTACGCGTCTCCCCCCAGCGCACGTTCTCCAAAGTTGGGACACAAGTCCGAACTCGCCATGGTCGAGAACCTTTGAGAATGGCGACTTCTTTCAGCTGGCATTGATCACCTGGCGTGCTGAGGCGTGGGGTTAGTGCGGCGGCGCCTGCGTTGGCAGCAGCCAGTGGTTTTCCTCATGCACCATCTTCCCTTTTCGGAGCGACGTCCGGGGGGCGAGCCAGACGACCACACCAGCGACGAAAGCGATTGTCAACGCATGCAGGGGCGTGAAGAACAGGGAGGGGACAACAACCCGTAGTCGTACAAGATAATGCCGTGCGACTGGGCAAATGCTTGCCGCCACTGGTTGACAGCTGCGGTTGGTCAGCGTGGCCCCACGTTTTTGCATGCCGAACGAAAACCATCGAAGCTGACGTCTGCAGATGATAGGCACGGGATCGACCTCGACCCGCATGCAAATACGAAGCCGCCCACCGATCAGATTTACCAGCGATCCATGTGGGTCACGGCAACGTGCAAGGTCACCGGACGCTGCAGCGGCACGCGCGAGGTGGTGGATCTGAGCTGAGCAAAATGTGATATGATTCTAATCATAGCCGAAAGTATACTATCGAGTCGGGGAAAAGGTGATCTCGCTTAGAGATCTCGATGGATGGCTGCATTGCATTGCATGCGATGACGTGCAGATTGTGGTCTCGGAATCGATCCGACTGGGCTAGAGAAAAAGCAAAACACCAGGAAAAGTGAATCCCACCCCCCGACACCTGGTACGAAGGTATTAGGTAAATGGATGAAGTGTCTGTGAGAGCAGGAAATCAGAGAAGAGGAAACGAGTGAATGCGGTCAAACCCTCTCTAACGCCAGAGGCAAATCCATTGCCAGAACTAGTCCGAAAAAGGAAATAGGAGACCGCCAACAAGCCTGCCCAACGGTCCAAACCGCCAACCACTGAAGCATTCGGGCATCAGATCTGCGTGCCTGGCTTCTCGTCCTTCCAGATCAGCTCCCTGTTGAATTTGGCTGGATCCCTTGCTTGCTCTTCGCGGCAGCGGGCGCAGAAGCCCGGCTGCAGGATGCGGACATCCTCGATGTAGGCGCACGCCCCGCGCATCTGGATCTGTCTGGGCGTGAGTCCGGCGCGAATTCTCGGGTCTTGGCGTTCGAGGTCGTTAAGGTTGAGCTGGCCAACAGTGCAGAGTTGAAGCAGCGGGGCCTCTTGAGGGCAGGGGCCGTGGTCGCACTGCCACACCTTGGTCCATTCGTAGCACATGGTGATCGTAGGCTTCGCTGAAATTGAGGGAGAAAGTGGGCTCGAGATTCTGAGGCGTGCTCCGGGGTCAAGGGAAGAGTTTTATGGAAAGAGAAAAGCAACTTTTGATGACGGCAGAAGTGGATTTTTCCCAGATTCCTTGAAAGATTCAGATATACCTCGAAGGACTGTTGCTCTGGATGATCAGATGGATCTGACTTCACTTTTACATTATATACCTCCCACAACCAGGCCTCTGCGTGTGACTTCGGGTCGAAAGCCTCCTATGAAAGCCTCAGAATCTGGATACATGGACTACGTAGAGCGCACTGCATCCCCACGAGGCGAATAGAGGAAGGAGGATACGGCTGAGCGAATGCAAGGCGATTCCGTGGAGGGCACGTCACGACCACAGTGGATCTCCACATGCGCAGCTTGCTAGATTGGCGAGCGCCCATCCCGCTGTGGATCGATGGGTTGCCATGAGCCGCAGCGGTAGAGATCTTGGTGTAACCACATTGACCGGGTCGGCGGGCCATCAGGGTCTCATGGCGCGCTTGGACTCGAGCAGAGCGGCAGGTACGCGAGACAAGTCAGCTGGGTATATTCCTTTGTCTCTGGGGGGCGACTGGCCAGACCGCGGATGGCTTGCTGGCACGGGGCAATTTGGAATTGTTGCAAGCTGGCCGTTGCGAGTAGACGATTGGAGATGCGTGCCCACCAGGCATTATCGTCGTCTGGCGCAAGGGGTCGGCGAAAGTGGCCGGAGATTTCTGGCAGCACCGGAGAGGAGTTCATGATAATCACGCATTTCGCCGTGCTCCAATGATGACGTCTGTTCGCACATGGCGGTCAATATGGGTGGGTGCCCCGTGCAGGGACAACGCGCGTATTCTGGCACAGGGAGCAGTGGCTGTCTCCGGATCGCCGGTGGGAGTACGGACGTTGCAGCGGCAGCGAGGGGGGGCAATAGCAGCGGGAGTCCCGGAGCGCAGAGCCGTGGAGAGCGTGCGATACGGGCGAATGAGGAGGGGCAGCATTACTAGCCGTCTGGCTCGGCTGCGGTCCGCGCGGGCGTGACGGCAGCGGGTGCTTGGTGCTGGAGCATTACTCGCCTACGTGAAACCGGCAAGAGGGAGCTGAAAAATGACGATGCTCGCGAGCAGATCTTGTCTGGAAGCAGGGCGGGCTGGCGGGCTCGCCAACGGCTGCTGGAGGGGGCATGGCGCAGTTGGCGCTTCGAGAAGCGGAAAGCTCCTCTGGCTCTGAGTCGTGACCGGACGGGCGAACAACAGCAAGCAACGCGGGGTCGTCGGCGGCGGTGGCAGTGGCGCCCACAGCTGAGCGCAGGCAGAAGAGGCAACCGCAGGCGCGTGGTACAAGCGCGCCGGCGCAGGATCGCGTACCACCCACCGTCGCCGGTGGTGTTCGTCTTCTTCAGCCGCAGAGGGCTCCGCGGCTCCGCTGACCTACGTAGGCCAAGGCTTCATTTCTTGCGAGCAGTGACACGAGCTTGCAGATGATCCCCGTGCGGCTGCCGCGCTGGGCTAGGTGCGCCGGCAGCTGCCAGCGTGCCAGCGCCGTCAGATCTGCCTCGCGCTCGCATTATTTCGGCCGGGGAATTGCTCGGCGGCCGAGTCGCGCGCGGTGTTTGGCGCGCTTCAGGGTCAGCGGCCGGTGGTTCGTGCAGCTGCTGGGGGCGGTGGGCGAGGGCGGACGCGGATTGCGCGCGCTGGCCAGGCGTGCAGCGGGCGGAAGCATCAACGGCGGAGACTGGGCGCGGCGGCGGCTATCGCCAGCGCAGTCGTATCGCGTAGGTCGCCGGCCGTTATGAGGCTCTGCGCGGAAGGGTCCAAGCAAGGCGTGCAGCTGCAGGAGAGGATCCGGTCCAAGGGCTCGCGCAGCGCGTGCTTAGTCAGTGTTGCCTGAGGCGCCCGCCCGCGCCCACGCGCACGTCGCGCTCCTTCCAGGATTCCGCCGCGGCTCACCTGCCTTTGTTACGCTGGCCTCGACGACGGCGGCCCTCTTGTGTCGCCCCACCGCGCCGGCCACACCGCCGATGTGCCTGTCAGACGTTGCGCGCGCCCACCAGACACGTGCGCGCTGCGGATCATACCCCGAGCGCCGCCCGCCACGAGCGTCGCCGCCCCAGCAGGCATCGCCCGGCTTCTCCACGACCAGCGTCGGGCTCTCTGCGGACGACCGCCTGCGACGAGAGCCGCCGACAACGCGCCTTCCAGCACCAGCACGTTGGGCGGCAGCACGCGCCACCCCTCAGGCCCAAGCCCGCGCGGTTTGCGCCCGCACCCCGATCGAATCGCGCGCATCGCATTGATGGGATGGGCGGCGTGCGCGAGTGCTGCCCGGCGCCACCTGCCCGCCCGCCTCCGCGCGCCGACTCAGCGCCCGTCTGGGTCGCATCTTGCGCTTGCTCATGTTTCTATGAAACGCCATGTCCCGCCCAAGCTTACGCCATTGCCGTCCGTTGGCGTGGGCCCCCTGGGCAATCCCGCCGCGCCAGACTCATGGCCGCTGCGCATCCATGATTCCTGCCATCTTACCGCAACCGGCAAGACGCACCTGGTCAGACCATCCGAGGGCGGTCACCGCTGAGCCCCAGAGATAGCCGGGGAGCTTGATTCAGACGCCTTGCAATTTGTGCTGTGCGTGACTTCTAAGCCGTTTCAGCTTCTATATTCGTAAATTCGGGGTTGGCCAATCACCTACCCTGACCAGGAACAACGAGGCTCCGCCACGTCGAGCTGCGTACCTCTCCTCAGCCTTATATCCTGCAGCTCCCTGGTGCACCGTTCTGGCCCCTCGACCTCGCAGACCGAGTCTCTCCTCTCACCAGACCACCGCCCACGCCAGTCACTCGTTCCAACGACCTCTTAAAGATCGTCCACGCCCACCCCAACCAACCACTCACTGGCCCTTTCCTCCTTCTCCAACCCGTCTTGATCCAGCATCTCCTCGCCGCCGCCGCAGCCTCGCTGGTACAAGACTATCACCTCACCCTCATGCCCTCGAGAATGTCCACTGGCTACTACTACAACGAGGCGGACCTCGCCATGATGGACATGTTCCCCGGAAGCACCTGCCAGCCCACGTCGTCCGCCATGTACGCCCCTTGCCAGATGCAGCAGATGGCTCCCCGCCAATTGCTCGACGCCCGGCCGCACCCCATCGCCATGAACGGATACGTCCCCCACCAGCAGTCGCCCGCCCTTCCCGCCCACGGTTCGTTCCCGCAGCAGGAGTACTGGACCCCGCAGCACTCGATGGCTCCGCAACCGTCACTGGCCGTTCCTTCGTTACCCCCGTACGCCACGCCCACCATGGCTTACGCCCAGCCCCAAGCCATGACGCCGGAGAGCACCCTCCCCTCGAGCTACACGCTGGTCCCGCGCGGCTCGAGATCGCCGTCCGCGTCCACCGGCGCCTTCTCTCCGCAGCCTTCCGTGGACGGCAGCGTTGCCGAGTACTCGCGCTCCATCTCGCCCAGCGCCAACTCGGCGGACCTGCGTGCATACGGCTACCTGAACAAGAACGGCACGTGGACGTGCGCTTACCCCGGCTGCACCTCCAAGGCCGTCTTCACCCGCGGCTGCGACCTCAGGAAGCACCACAAGCGCCACACCAAGTCCTTCTTCTGCAGGCACGAGGGCTGCCCGCAGGCCACCGGCGGAGGATTTTCCAGCAAAAAGGACCTGGCGCGGCACGAAGCGAAGCACAACCCCGGCGTCGTGTGCGAGTGGGACGGGTGCGAGAGGATCTTCAGCAGAGTGGACAACATGGTAAATTGGAGCGCCAATCCCGATTTAAAAATTGCTATTTCTCTAACTTCGGCTGCAGAGGGACCACGTCAAGCGCATACATCTCAAGGGCGCCCGGCCAGTGCCCGGCAAGCGCACCACGACTGCGTAATTGCATTGCCCCGGTCGATCGCTTGACTTCTTCCATTTCTATTTTCTTCATGATTTCGAGCAGGCCCTCGAGACCGTCGGGTAATGGCAGATGAAATCATATGGCGATCGTCGTGGCGTCACGACTGTAATGACTAGGAAGACCGACGCATCATCTCAGGGATTTGGCCGCTCGACGGAAAAGCACGTCACGGCAAAAGAAGACTCAGCATTAGCCGCAGCGCGGGCAGGCGGGACGAAAATAGCGCGCAGGCGCAAGTTCCAAGTTCTTTTTTGCTTGCATGAGTCGCCAACGCGGACATTACGGGCATAGAGGGGATAGACAGGTCGGAGCAGGGCACGGCATTGGCATTGTACAAGGTTGTTTTGGTGTGGAGGCGTCACAGGCGTTTTTTTCCTTTGGGCGCAGATGCATACCCCAGGCAGCATAGCATCGGGAGAAAAGCCGCGGACTTTTCGAGTCAACAGCCGCATGGATGCACGGGATAGGGTAGTCTAAAGTTGCAACAGCCGCAGTTATAGTGGGTCAGACGGCCGCTGCTACGCATTGAAAAAATGATCAATACGACAAGTAGACGATTGAAAAATACTACAGATTAAATGCTTGAATCAGGGCGCCATGCCATTCTCGTCAGCGTCTGATCGGATCACCCGACGTGCGGGCTCATCCCGTGCCCAGCGAGGGCGGCGCATGTGTGTGCGACGGTTGCACTTTCTGCCTGGCGTGCTGGTAGCTTTCGTTGGCTGGTGCTGCGCCGAGGTGGTCAGAGGGGAGGGGGGGAAAAAGGAAGAATACTCAGGGCCGCTCCTGCTGCAACGCCGTCCAGACACGCCCAAGCGGCGGCCCCCATCACCTGGCGGTCTCCCGTCGATTCCAAGCCGCAGGATGCTGACCCTGGCGGCGGACTGTCGATCGGCGTTTCTGCGCTCGAGCTCGAGCAGGCGATTGGTGAAACGGGGGGTGGGTGGCTGGAACATGGGTTAGTGGGAGGCCTGATATTGCAGGGCTGCTGCGTGCAACCCCAGAGGGCCGGCTGCGGGAGCTGGTCGCCCTCTCAGCAGCAGGGCCGACGGAGCGGGAGGCGTCGGAGCGGCGGGCGGCGGACGAGACGGGATGCTTGGTGCGAGTCCCCAGGGCTGCGCGTGGGTGTGGTGCACGCCAGCGTATGGGGGGGGGGGGGGGGGGGGGGGGC